GACTCGGAGCGGCATGGGAGCCGGTTCTGGGGTGCTGGAGCGAGATACCTTGGGTACTGGAATCGACCATGTTTCGTCGACGGGGACTTCATCCTGGGGGATGCGGATCAAGGGCTCGGGGGTTCTGGCGGGTGCTGGGCTCGGGGGTGCTGGAGAGTTGTCCCAATTCGCGAATTCATGGTACTGACAGTCGCAACGGAAACCTGACCGAAAGGTTCTTGAAGTCAAGGTTAATGTCGTGGAGGCGGAGCCAGGGGAGACCAAGGAGGATTGGAGCATGGGGTGATTTGGTGACATGGAAGACGAGTTCTTCGAAAGTGGTCGTCGACCCACATGCCTACTGGTTGGGTGTGATGGGTGATTGGCTCAGCAGAGCTGGGTTGACCGTCAACAAGTTCGATCGTCAGTGGACGCTGATGCGGGACTAGGGCGATGCGGTGTTTGCGGGCAAAGTCTCTGTCGATGAAGCAGGACAGGGCACCGTTGTCGATCATGGCTGAGGTAGGTATCGGGGCGCGGCTGGATGATACCATTATGGTAACGGGGTAGTTGAAGGGTTCGACGGGACCCAGCGCAAGCATGGCGCGGGGGTTAATTTCGGAGTTTTCGACGTGGGCAGCGGCTAGGAGGGTTGTGTCGGCTATAACGGAGTCGGGAACCAGGGGGGTGGCCTCTTCCGATGCAGGAGCTGCGAGGTTAGGAGGCCCAGAGGAATGTGTGTTGTCCAGTCGCTGGGGCTTTACTGCGGCTGGACCTTGGGAAAACCCTGTTCCGTGGAGGTTTCTTTGATGTCGACGTTGGCAGCACGGGTGGTGGTCTTGTTCTTGACGGGGCAGACTTTTGCAATGTGCCCCGCGCCACCGCAGTAAAGGCAGAGGTTGTTGGAAATACGGCGTTGGCGTTCCTGAGGGCTCAGAGGGCCGCGGGGACGAGCGGCGTCAATCTGCATAGGCTCGCTGTGGTCGACAGTGGTGGTACTAGTAAACGAGGTATGGGGAACCGGGAAGGTCTGGTGGCTTCTGTTTCGCTCCAGGCGGCGCTCAAACAGCCGGTTATCGCACTGGATAGCCTGCTCCATCACCACATCAATGGTGGCCGCAGGGGGCTTTGTGAGCATCAGGTCTTTGACGTCTTCGTTGAGGCCACGGCGGAAGGTAGCAATCAGGGCCTGGTCGTTCCAGGAGACATCGCATTGTAGCTGGCGGAACTCAGCGACGTATTCGGTTGCTGCACGGGTTTGGCGAAGGTTCTGGAGCTTGTTTTCAGAGGTGCAGACCCTGTCGCTCTCTCCGAAGACCGATTGCATCTGACTGATAAAACTATCGAAGTCCTGAAGGCTGTGATCTTAACGTTCGACTAGGGGCGCCATCCAGGCTTGCGCAGTGCCGGTGAGGTGGGTGCCAATCGTTTGGATCTTGATGATGTCGCTGGGGTAGCGGTCGGGCTGGAGAGCAAACATCAACTGGATGTTGTTCAACCACCCACGGAATTTGCCGCGGGTACCATCAAACTTCTCAGGCGAGCTGATTCTGGGCTCCAGAGCTCCCGGAGCAGGGTTAATGACTTGGGGATGGGTGTACGCATCGGCTTGAACCTGGGCGGCGATGCTCTGGGCAGCTTGTGCGTCGGCTTGGGCTTGCGCTGGTTGGCCTGCAAGTTGGCGTTTTGGCTTTGCAAGGCGGCGATGGCTTGGCACATATCGTTCCATTGCTCGGCGGTGAAAGGTACGGATTCGGATTTAGACATGGCGAAAAAGGTTTGTCGGATGCAGGGCTGGACAGGTTCTGAACTTCGCAGTGTTGGAGCAGATCAAACTGTTATGATCTCGACGACGGGGGCGGAAGCAAAGTAGAGAAGACAGGGCAAGTGTGATAGGCGACAAGAGATTGTATTGGCGAAACAAGAAACAAGGACTAGAACAGGAGATGAGAAGAACTGGTGTTGATCTGCTGGGGAGGAAGGGAATGGACGAAGAGAGGCCGGCTATTTATAGATAGGCAACCCAGCAGATCAGAGAACAACAACAACAAGAGGGGACTGGGGGGGCGCCAGCTATGCTCCTAGAGCGTGCGTGGCGAGCGTAGAGAGCATTGCTACAGCTGCTGGCTATGGGGAAGTAGTGGGGGGTGTGGAGAAGCCGAGGGGGGATTGGCGAAATGAGAGGAGAGAGGAGGAGTGGCGATATTGCAGGAGGATTGGCGAAATGAGAGGAGAGAGGGGGAGTGGCATTGACATTGACATTGACACTGACATTGACACTGACATTGACATTGACATTGGCATTTGACATTGGCGGTTGACATTGGCGGCTGTTAGTAGGTCAGCTTATGGTATGGGCGCGTCATCCATAACACTTCAGGAGGTTTGCAGCGTGGAGGACAGTGTGTCCCCATGATGAGGCGGGTAGGTTGCTGTGTAGAATCATTGGTCTGGTGATCGCTTGGATTCTTTTGATTATTGATTCTGCCGTCCCATTCTGACTGTGGCGATAATTGGTTGATGTCTCAAATTTGATGCCTTGGCTTTCCAGAAAGCGCAACATCGTATGGGAAGTGAATTCCCGAGCGTTATCCATGCGAATGGTGAGAATCTGGTGTTCCGGGAACTGGTTTCAAAGGTAAATAATGTTGGCAGTGATGCGGGGAAAAGCGAAGGCTTTAGCTGATAACAAATTGACCATAGCAAATCTGGCGGATGCGTCAATGAATACCATATTAATATCGGAAGGGGCCGGATGCAGGTGTGTATGGACCGCTGATGTCGACGTGTATGCGTTCAAGGAATTTCAGAGGTTGTTGCGGTTCCTCACTTGGGCATGGGGTCATAACAAACTTACCCAACTTGCAGGATTCGCAGGTGCGTCGGATATCGATGAGTGAGGATTGTGCGATGTTGCGGAGGGGCAGATCTGTAGCGTCAGCAATGCGTATGAACATCGTTGATCCCGGATGTCCCAATCGTGCATGCCAAAGTTGGGTGGTGGCTTCATTCTTCTTGCCGACAGTGTGTCCGACAAAGGATATTGGTAAGAGGTGCGTACTGTAGAGCCCGTTCTGCACTTCACGGCATTGTTCACTCAATCTTCCTTCCTTGGTTATTTGTAGTATTTCAACCCTCCCTCCCATCTCCTTTACGGTGAGTGTACGCATGTGGAATCCATTTTCACGTAGGCTGCGGAAGCTAAAGATTGATCGTGGGCCGGTAGCTGCGTACAGCGCATCTGGGATATCATGCTACTTCTATTTGGAAGAGAGAAGCGGGTGTGTCCCTTGCACATGCCTCCGGCGGGGGCGCCGATTGTATTGATGTGGATGGGAGAGTCATTTTGGATGGAGATGAAGAGGCGTTTGTCGTTGAGGATGGTATGTGTTGAACCTGAGTCAATGATGGGCACTTTGCCGACGCCGGTGGTTACTCCGACGCTGGTGGTTGTCATTCCGACGAATCCATTGGTCATGAAGTCGTTGGCGTCGTTCAGCTCAGTGATGTAGGATTTGAGGGCGTCATTCTTGATGTCCTTCTTCTTTCTTGTTTCCTCCCATGCAGCGACAAGGTGGTCGGGAATGCAGCATCTGGCCGATATGTGGCCTGCGGTTCCGCAGCGGAAACAGGTACGGTTGTCTTTACTATCATCCGTTGAACGTGTCCCGTTTCTAAAATGGTTTCCTTTTCCGCGGCCTCTTCCTCTTCCAGCTCCATCTCGGCGAAGTCCTGCTTGGCCTCGGCCCCCGCGGCCTCTTCCTCGGCCTCTTCCGCGACCCCTTTCAGCATTGGAGATGTAATTGGATTCTTTGTTTTCGACGACGGTTCCAGGTTTGGGTGCAGACGTTTGAATCGTTTGCATCGTCGAATTGTTGGTCTCAAACTGTTGAAGAATTCTTGATGACTCTTGGTACGTTTTGTAGTTGCGTCCCCATAGCTGGTTGCTGAGGAGTTGGGCGCTTGTGGGCATGGAAAGTGGGGTCTGTTCAATGATATCTTTATCGGTAAGGTTGGTGCGGCCGCAATCCTTCATTCTGTTGAAGAGATTGAACAACTTTGTATTGTGGTCGTTGACGGATTTGAAGTCGCTGAAGCGGAGACTGGTCCATTCCTGCATGACGCGGCTTGACTCCGCAAGGTACTGGTGTTCAAAGCGTTTGGCGAGGGCTTCCCAGATTTGATTGGCAGATTTGAGGGTGCAATATTATTCTTTGAGGTTCGTGTGGATTGCATTGCGGTGCATTGCATCTGGTAGTTCTTGCCGTTGGCAGAAAGGACCTCCACATGGTTCAATTTGGAGGCGGCGTTAGAGGTGGATGACATGGTTTTTTATTTTTATGTTTAGGGTAAGCGTCATGTTTTGTTTAGGTTGTATAGATTGTTGCTAGCGGGATTGGTTTTTGTGTAGTGGCGTGTAGGCGGTTTGGCTCTAGCTCGTAGGTGGAATGGGTTTTTGCGTAGGTGGTCTTTCTCTAGAGTAGGATGGTCTATGGTGCTGATAACGTGTTGTGGAACTCGTTACTTTATTCCCCTTCACACACACCACTTGTTTTATAGACATTTGATCGGACGGTCTGCACACACACACAACCAGCTCTCTATCTGCAGAGAGGAAAAGGGGTACGGTAACTATAAAAAGGAAGCTGTGGCTGAAACTGGTTGTTTACAACATCTTGCCCATTGCGGCCACGCTTACAATAGATGTAGGAGTCACAGAGGATGCTCAATAAGTGGGCTGGGCAAGACCCAGGGCAAGACCCGGCCAGGTGATTGACGTGTCTACTAAAAGGGAAACCTCCCTTGCGCTTCCCCAAAGCCCCGCTTACAATCTTCTTGGAACTGCGGATCTATGAGCTTATACCGCTGGTCAACTGAAATTGTGCTACTCGCTACTGAAATTATGCCACAATCCCAATACAGACACGACGTTCACCATCATTGTCGCTCATCTCTACCGTAGACTCTCCCTCCAAAGCCTTTCTCAGCAATCTTCTCGTATTATCTTGTCGCGCTTCACAATGGGCCAGGTTTTCAAGTTTGGGCAATGGCCCATCCCGGCAGGGGAGGTATTTCTCACCACAAAGCTGTCTCTAGGAATCGTCAACTACAAGCCCATTGTTCCGTAAGTGTGTTGAACTTGCTATCTGCAGTAGAGTGGTTGTTCCGGGGCCACTGCTAACACCTTGTTCTTCCAATCCTAAAGCGGACGTATGTTCAAAGTTGCTTTCCGACTACTCGCTCTTGGTAACAGCTCTCCCTGAGAAAAAGTCCTCTGATGTTCGTCATACAGACGTTCTAGTCTTACCTCGACGGGTTGTGCCCCGATTCTCTGAGCTCACATCGGATGAAGTCAAGGACATGTTCCTCACAGCTCAAAAGGTTGGGGCTGTTGTGGAGAAGGAGTATAAGGGTGAAGCTTTGATGATTACACTACAGGTAACGATGTCGATGTTATTGATTGTGCTGCGGGGATCGATCTGATAATGGGCAATCCGACCTTTAGGATGGAGCGATGGCCGGCCAAACGGTACCGCACGTCCATGTCCACATTATCACTCGAGTGAAGGGTGATTGGACCAATAACGATGAAATCTACCCGGAAATTGATAAGAAGGAGAGAGAAATGAACGCAGAACTCAGTAAAGGAGAAAAGGTAGTATCGGTATTTCACACCCTGCCATTTTATATTTGTTGCTAATAAGCTACTTTCTACGAAGGACAAGAAGGGAGTGGATAATGACGAAAGGAAGCCAAGGACGCTGGAAGAGATGACGGTGGAAGCGACAGGACTTCGGCCTCACTTCGAGCAGTTTGAGGATGTGTGGAGTGCTTGAATGATTTATGTAGATTCCGAGAGTCTGGCGTACGATTCGGCACTGGTCAATCCTCAGGTTGCCGATTTTCAACTGTGTTTGAAGACTGGCAATAAACAACTGGACAGCGGGTTGCGATTGTCCGTTCGTCTGCTGGTGGTTACTCGAGTTCCCCAATCTGTGGCACTTGGGGTAGGTCTTCGGCGTTTGTCGTCCTGCGTTGACTGTTTGCCCTTCCCCATGTCTTCAGCGCGCTCGGCCGCTAGCTATTCCTTGCGCCGCTTCCTTCTCCACCCTCTCCTTGTACACGAGTTACATGCCGCGCGGGCGGTCTTCACTCTTCCCACCAACCCCGTCCTCCACGCAGGAGACGATGTAGTACCGCAGACGCAGCAGCGCCCACCTGGGGCCAGGCAGGAGTAGCCGCGATCGTCAAGGTCGGCTTGACTGGGGCGGGAGCGTGCCACGTCTTGCGGAGAGGCCTTGCTGCGATATCTTTTTCCTGTTTGGAGGTTTCTGACGAAGGTAAAAAGTGTCCTCGTCCCGGAAGGCGTAACCGCCGACGAGATGGTGAAGGCGTGACTGTGAACAGGCTGGAAGTATGAGTACCGATGATAGGGCCGCGGGGAATTGTGACTTTGGACCCATACCTTGCACCCCAGTTTCGACATCTCGCTTCCGGTGGCAGAAGCGGTGGCTCCGGGGTGTGCTGCAAATTTGCATCATCATGCACTTGACCTTTTCCGAGCAACAACATATCCATAATTGGGCGAGTATATCATCGATATGTTGTTGCTCGGAAAGGGTCAAGTGGATGATGATGCAAGCACCACACATCGGGGCCCAAGTAATCAGTTGGATGAAGAGGAACACTTACACAGGCACGCCGTGATGGTAAGGAGATGAGCGGCATGTTTGGCATCGAGATCTGCTGTCAGCTGGGCTTTCTCCTTCGCCGCCTCACTCTCCTTGAGCTCCGACTTGGCCCTATGGATGGATTCTTCCTTCTCGGCGAACGCGGCCAGTTGGCGTTGAGCTCCGCTCGCTTTGCTGCTTCCTCTTCGAGCTTCGCCGCGAGATGGCCGGCATGTTTGTCATGGAGTTCTGCGGTCAGCTGGGGTTTCTCCTTCGCCGCATCAACTTTCACCTTGCCCGAGCTCGCTCGCAAAGTATTTTACGAGGTCTTGGACGCTGACCGGGTTGCTGTCCACGGGTGGTGTTCCTTGAGATTTTTCGACGTCTTCTTGACCTGTCTCTTCAGCTTTGCGCTCCTCTTCATTGGCCACGGGCCACTGTCACGACGAAAGGACTTCCTGTCCGGCACAACAAGAGGAAAAGCCTCGAAGGTGTTTTTGCTTGCCCGGTTAAAGTAAATTAAGAGGAATCCAGACAGTGAGAATCTTGATAGTGAGCACCGTATCATTCTGTCTGATCGGCCCTCCCGGGGCGGGTTGAATGTCAAGGATTTCGTATTGAAGCAGCGATGTGGACACTGGATGCCACAGTGCCGGGACCATATGGGGTATGTCTTTTTGAGACATCGGTGGCTAGTTGGAAGTCCATATGCTTTCCGGGGTCGTTTTCAATTGCCCCGTCGCAAGTGGTTACCTTATAGAGACGATAAGTGGTTAATATCAATGCGAGACAGGACAGGTGATTGACAGCTACTTACAGTCAATGTTGCATTTGCCAACACCTTGGTACCAGCCTCTTCCCGAGGAAAAAAAAGAACGGCGTCCCGCGCGAGATCAAGGCCTTTCGCCACGGGGACCAGCGGCACCGGGTCTCTCAGTGGCAAACCTTCATTGATGTTCTGCTCATGCTCTCCTTGGAGGTGTGGATAAAAGGCCGCTGTGATCCAGTTGTTTGCATGCTGGCAGACGGCACTTGGCAGGGACTCCCGCCAGCTGCGGCTCATGTATGAACAAAGCCTGAAAACTTCATCGAGGTCCAGGTACTTGAGCACGTTAAGGAGGACGTCCTCTGTACGCAAGGCCCTGTGATGAAGTAACGCCGAATCAGATGTTTGCACAGATGTCTGACGATTTCTACGATCCCCACGTTTGCGCCTTACCAATGTTCGGTCGGATCCACCATCAGAGACTGAATCCGCCCTCCCGGGGCGTCGGCCTTGATGGGGGCGTCGGCCTTGACGTTCTTGACCGAGGGCGGCCGACCTGGGGCCTTGACAATGATGTTGACGATGATGTTGTTCGAGTTCGGCCAGATCGGCCGTCGGAAAACGAAGTGAGATGTGCGGGATGCTGTCATACCGTAGGGTACTGAAAGAAACTCACGAGCGGGTTCCTCTGGAGCATGCTTTGGGACGAGCTCCGCGAGAGTGTCAACTCCAAATACCTCGACAACGACCGGGGGGCGACGGTTGAGATCCACAACGAGAAGGCTGCTGATCTCGATCGCTTCATCGCTGTCACTTGCATCCTGTTGAGTGGATGAGACGCCCTTCTGAGAGGTTGAGTTCGCCCGTTAATCTTTCTTTTAGCCCGCCCGAATATTTTTGACCTCCATCGAGATCACCATTCCGATGGGCCCACCGCCCACAAAGTCCGCTTCATGTTGATGATAATGGCGCCGGTGAGGTTCAACTTTTCTTCGTCTTCCAGTCCTCCACGGGGGCCCGAACTTCCTTGATTCGCTCGATGTCCTACGCTCCTACGATCGACGAGGGCTTAAAGCGACTGCTGAGGAGGGGAAGGGAGGGGATCCAACGGAGACCGCAGAATCCACTCTCTACCCCTCTCGTTCTCCTTCTTTCCTCCTTCTTTGATTTTTCCTCGGGACGTCTCCCATGTGCCGTCATTTCCCAAGAAGAGAGACAAGGCGAGAAGCATATACAAGAAGTGAAATGATGCCGGCTTGTAGCCGCAGCGATGGAAATACGGCTTGTAGCCTCATCGAAAGTCCCCATCGTGCAAAGCGTCTTTCCACGGCTTCACGAGCATGCCGCGGGATGCAAAAGAAGCGAGCAAGAGCGGACCCAGCGACGTCGCTTTCCCTGTCCGAATGACGATCCGACGGGAGTCCCCGGGTTGTCGGATTTACTTTGGGATGTTGCGCGTGGCAGCACCTTCTTTCTTCTTGGCACCAATGACAGCTCAACCAGATTGAGACCGAGCCAGCGGCGCTCGCTAATGGGCCGATGACATGCCCAGCAAAGGTGTGGTGCGTAGAGTGTGCGGGTGGCGTTTCAGAGGGGGGCTAGCAGTACTCTGCGCCTGCGTAGGCTTGACGGTGTTGAGGATAAGCAGGAGCAGTGCGGTGAAACCTGAGACCAATCTCCACGATTTTTTGTTTCTCGGCCCTTTGTTCCGAGATAGGATGTGGTGCAAAGTGTGCGGATTTGCTGGGAGGACACACAAGAGGGGAAATTCGCTCTCCCGTTTTTGACAGCAAAATGACACTATTTCGTGATCCTTCAAAAAAAGGACACCCACCCCTTGACGCCCTAGTTCTCGTTGGACTAAACCAACGGGAGGGCTCTAAGATGACTCAGAGAAATGCAAGAGACGACCAGTTTTCGGCATGGAGCGACGGGGTTATGTAAGTTTTCTTGTAGTGGACAAAAGTCCTTCAACGGACGTAACAGAGCGACGGACCGTTGCAGGTGATCAACCACGTTAGATATCATTTCGCCAATGACGGCGAGATGTTCGTTGGGCCATCTGTACCACCTAACCCTGCTGTCATCCCCAATAGTCCAAAGAAAAGCTATTGCAAACGAGGGTCTTCTCGTCCCAGTGGCATGTGAGTATTGATGCAGCCTTGCGTAAGATTGCCTCACTGCACATGCACATGCATTCTCTGACATGTGTGCTCTTGTACGTACTGTGTATATGGCGAATGTGCGTCTGAAAGGATGGGATGTTTTTCGCAAAGAAAAAAACGTATGGCATCCTCAGGCAGAGGGGCAATTGAAGTGCGGGCATTGTGCAAAACGAGTGGCTGGCGACGCGTTTTTACAGAGGAGCGGAGACACCCAGGAGACACCGCCCAAAAACGAAAGCCACCTTCACCCACCCCGCGACACAGACGTCATATCGTGCTGGAATGGTGTGCCATACAGTATGAGAGTTTGCCTTTCGGGAATGGGGGGCGGAGGGCAAAGTTGGCAAAGATCAGAAAGCGCCCCGCATATTGGGCAAATGCTTCCCGTTGATGGGCCATGAGGTTTTTCCGCCTCAATAATGGAAGCTACTGGAGTCCTTGGATTCGGGAACCGTCCTGGCTCCCGGCGCACACCACCGACGCCCAACCAGCGATGCCCCTCACAAAGATCAAGGCTGCTGATTGATGAATGCGAGCTCGTTCGACAACCATGGCGCAGACAGGCTGGGGGAGAACCGCCACGAAAGATGTCAGCAATTCCCAATGTGCGCAATCCCGTGTCACTCTCGCGTGCATCCCACCCACCCCAGCGTTCGCTTCCAATCCAATGCTTCTCGCAGAGGGTTCCGCAGCCTTCCCCAAAACAGAACATACCCCCCCCCCCCCCCCCCCCCCCCCCCAGAACCCCCATATAAAAACGCACTATCCCAAGGGTCCCCTTCTTCTCCCTTCAACAACAAGTCCCAAACCAGAATTACATGCTCCGCACAACTCAGCGTCGCATCACACTCCTGCGGTCACATCTCTACACAAACCACCGTTCATACTCAACTACACAACATAGCAAGATGACTGCCGTCACACCTACCGCCACGTTCACCCTGAACAACGGACACACTATTCCCGCTGTTGGGCTCGGGACTTGTGAGTATATTGTATTTGGGTTGCGATGGGTTAAGGTGATCTAAGGATGGTGGGACTGAACTTGGGACATTTTTTTGTAGGGCAATCGAAGCCTGGAGAAGTTGGAGAGGCTGTTCTAGCTGCGATTGATGCGGGGTACACGCACATCGATGGTGCTTACGTCTGTAAGTGTTTATATCAACATTGCGCGATGCACTTTATGCGCTTGGGAGAAGATAACTTACACCGAGTCCCATCTTAACAGACGGTAACGAGAAGGAAATCGGCGAAGCGCTCAAGAAGGCCTTCACCTCCGGCAAGATCAAGCGCGAGAACCTCTTCTACACCTCCAAGCTCTGGAACACCTTCCACCAGCCCTCCAAGGTCTCCGAAGCCATCACCAAGACTCTCTCCGACCTCCAGCTCGACTACCTGGACCTGTACCTGATCCACTGGCCCGTGTCCTTCCAACCGGGCAGCGACCTCTTCCCCAAGGACAAGGACGGCAAGGTGATCACGGACCCCACCGACATCGTCGACACATGGAAGGAGTTGGAGAAATTGGTGGACGCGGGCAAAGTGCGCTCGATCGGTGTTTCCAACGCCGATGTGGCCACCCTGAAGAAGGTGATTGACAACGCCCGCATCAAGCCCGTCATCAACCAGGTCGAGCTGCACCCGTATCTCCCCCAGCCCGCGCTGCTCGAGTACGCCAAGAAGGAGAACGTACTCCTCACCGCCTACTCCCCACTCGGATCCGGTAAAGACCACTCCCCGTTGAAGGAGCAGGTCATCGTCGACATTGCCAAGAAGCACGGCAAGGACCCTGGGCAGATCTTGCTCTCCTGGGCTGTGCAGCGTGGAACTGTCGTGATTCCCAAGTCTGTCAAGGCGGAACGGATTGCGAGCAACAGGAAGATTGAGAAGTTGAGCGAGGAGGAGATTGCCCAGATTAATGGGATTAAGGAGCGTGTGAGGATTGTGGACCCGAAGGAGTTCTGGGGGCTTGATCTGTTCAAGGGTGACACTGCTGACAAGTAAAACGGTGGACATCCCACTTCATTTGTACATTTTACTGTAGCTTAGCTTATTTATAGCTTACTACCGCAATTTTGTGAACGATTGTTCCTTTTTGAATACACCACCACTCATGTCGCTCTTCCCCCGAGATGTCTTTTTCTGTAAGCCGTGCGTGGGGAAAAGGCCGTCTGGGAATAAGTGAGGGAGACGGCGCTGTATATACCCCCCTGTCTTCTTATGGTTATCCGGGGCCACGGATTTACCCCCCCCCCCCCCCCCCCCCCCCTTCTCAATACTCTGTCCATCTCACCCAGAATTTCACCCATTCGCACTTGAGTTGACCGTCCCCCAAAATCCAACGTCGCCCCCAACACCCAGAAGCTTGCATTATGCGCCTACATCTGTGCATGAAACCCGACTCTCAGATATCCAGCACAACTACACGATAAATAATAAACGCCCCCCTGTCTGTCACCCACTGATCTCACACACATCCTCTAGCCTCTCCCACCCGTCTGCATTCACGCTCCATTCCATTCGTCACCAGATGACCAAAAGAAGTGGCCAGCACGATTTGCATTGAAATGCGGGCAAACAAAAACAAAAAGGAGATTCTCGCTCCTGGGCAGGCTTGAACTGCCAACCTCTCGATTGCTAACTTGTGTTACCTTGTGTAACCCGAGTATAACAGTCGAACGCGCTAACCAATTGCGCCACAGAAGCTTTGGATGATCGCTCCTGTTTGGTTGTTTGACTTGACACTTACGATCGCAGCTTTTTTGGGACGAAGGACGAACGAGGTTTTACTTTTGGGATGGACGGTGACCAACGTGTGAGAAGCTCACTGAACGGGAGACGCGGTCCGACGTATGTATCTACGGGCGCACGATGTAGGATTGCGGGGGTTCATGGCCTGATGTATGTATGTATTTTGCTGGATCGCCAGTTCAACGTTCGTGTGGGGGTGTGGAACGCGTAGGCCATAAAGCTCAAGCATCTCGTGCAGTCCCCGGAATACGTAAAGAAACGGGCGTCTGAAAAGTTTGGGACCTGAAAACGCGTAGGCGAGGGAACCAACACCGACGAGGGTTCGCGCGCGCAGGCAACCGTTCTGAGATAGGGGTTGCGATGCACGCACGCACGCCATTACGCTTCGCGACCGGGGAGGTTCCGCCGGCCCCCGGAACATCCCCCCTCAAACCCCGCAAAACCCTCACCCACAAAAGTCTCATCGGTCTCAATCAAACAAAACCTCTGTTTCGTTTCCTGAAAATAAACAAGGGACAAAGCAACGCACAAGGGGAAGCAAGAAAAAACAAGAAAACACAACAGGAAAGGGGGCGTAATATAATTAAGGGGGGGTCGCGTTATCGTACTATTTTGATGATAAGGGGCGGGGCGGAAAGTCCGTATATTCATCCGTCTCCACATTCCCGTGGGAGGCGAGGGGGGTGGGGGGTCGTCGAAAGGGGGAGGGGGGGATCTCGGCATTCGCCATTCGACTTTTCTAGCGGGCGGGCATTCAAGCCTCGGCCTCGGCCTCACCCTCCTCCTCATCAAACTCGCCCTCCTCCTCGGCGGTCGCGTCCTGGTACTGCTGGTACTCGCTCACGAGATCATTCATGTTGCTCTCCGCCTCCGTAAACTCCATCTCGTCCATGCCCTCGCCCGTGTACCAGTGGAGGAACGCCTTTCTCCTAAACATGGCCGTGAACTGGTCCGAGATGCGCTTGAAGAGCTCCTGGATGGCGGTCGAGTTCCCGACAAAGGTGACGGCCATCTTGAGCCCCTTGGGCGGGATGTCGCAGACCGCCGTCTTGACGTTGTTGGGGATCCATTCGACAAAGTAGGACGAGTTCTTGTTTTGTACGTTGAGCATCTGCTCGTCGACTTCTTTCATCGACATGCGCCCGCGGAACATGGCCGCGACGGTTAGGTAGCGCCCGTGGCGAGGGTCCGACGCCGCCATCATGTTTTTGGCGTCAAACATCTGTTGCGTGAGTTCGGGCACCGTCAGAGCGCGGTACTGTTGGGAGCCGCGGGAGGTGAGGGGCGCGAAGCCGACCATGAAGAAGTGGAGACGCGGGAAGGGGACCATGTTCACCGCGAGCTTGCGGAGGTCGGCGTCTGTAGAGAGTTGAAGGAAAGAGAGGAGATAATGAGTAAGTATGAATGTCGACAATGGCGATGGGAACAACAACTCCCAAACAACGGGCGATACTTACTCAGCTGACCCGGGAAACGCAAGCAGGTGGTGATACCGCTCATGACAGCGGAGACGAGGTGGTTCAAGTCGCCGTAGGTGGGGGTAGTGAGCTTCAAGGTCCGGAAGCAGATGTCGTAGAGCGCCTCGTTGTCGATACAGAACGTTTCGTCAGAGTTCTCGACGAGCTGGTGGACGGACAGTGTCGCGTTGTAGGGCTCGACGACGGTGTCGGACACCTTAGGTGATGGGACCACGGAAAAGGTACACATCATACTATGGTGATGATAGTGGGGTGGAACAGCGGAAAGAGGTAAGTATCGCGACGATGATGGAAACGCACGTCAAAGCCAACCAGATCACGTAGCGAACGCGACAAGAAAAATGAAAGACTTACCGATCGGGATACTCTTCACGAATTTTAGAGATTAGCAACGTTCCCATACCAGCACCGGTACCTCCTCCCAAGGAGTGAGTGATCTGGAATCCTTGGAGACAGTCGCAAGATTCGGCTTCTTTCCGGACGACATCCAAGACCGAGTCTACGAGCTCGGCTCCCTCGGTGTAGTGTCCTTTCGCCCAGTTGTTACCGGCACCGGATTGTCCGAACACAAAGTTGTCCTATGCAGTAGAGAAGGATGATGGTGTTCAGTTGGGGGATCGATTCATGAGATTTGTGAAATTTCCTGGGGACATTGCCCAAGAAGAAAGATCAAGACTGAAAGAGGCTAGGATACTTACAGGACGGAAGAGCTGCCCAAAGGGACCAGCACGGACCGAGTCCATCGTGCCGGGCTCCAAGTCGACAAGGACGGCGCGAGGCACGTACTTGCCACCGGTCGCCTCATTGAAGTAGACGTTGATGCGCTCGAGTTGGAGGTCGGAATCACCGTGGTAAGTACCGGTGGGATCGATGCCGTGCTACAGATTGAAGAGACGGAGGAATTGAATAGACGTAAGAGGGAAGTGAGGAGAGACCAACCACGCGTCATCTTTGGAGAGAGCGAGGGCCAGAGTATCTCTGAAAAATGCTGTAAGGGATGGGATAGTTGGTATTTACCTCATCGGAGATGACCTCCCAAAACTTGGCACCAATCTAGACGCGAAAAAAAACGAGTATCGGACAAAGAATCAATCTCGGATCTCACAAAGCACAACGCCCTTACACCTAGGACGACTCATCGCAGTGAAGATAGCCGGGCCTACCTGGTTACCGCACTGTGAACGAAGTGAAATAAAAGAATCAAAGGTCAGTGTGAGGATCGCGCAGAGATTCGTGGTGTTGAGATTGCCCCGTGAAGGGCCTGGGCGTGCCACGCGTTTACATACCTGACCCGTCTGAAGATGCACAATCTCACGCATGACTGCAGCAGTATTTCGATTTCTTTGTGGTAGTGGAGTGTGGGAGTGGAGTGGGTGTGGGTGGGTGGGTGAGTGACAGGAAGGGAGGAAAGCAGATGGGGCGGGTGTTTGGGCAGCTTGCGGGGGGGGCTGCTGAGGGCTGCGGGTTTCTGCTTACGCTTCCTCCTGATTGATTGCGAAGGCGCGGACGCGTTTCGTTGCTGGCGGAGTGCGAAAAGGGGCAGCCCTCCAGACAACCGCCCGGGGTGTGACTTTTGGCTCTGATGCTTCCCCTCTCTTCCTCTTTTCCTCAAGCCCCGGTCGTCTTCCCTTCTCCTCAGTCTTCCCTGCATGCAAGCCCATCGCTCCCCTCCTCACAAGTCAATACCGTCCCTCTCGTTCCACGCAAGTTCTCCGCCCTCGACCTGTCACCCACAAATGCCAGTCCAAACAACCCCACCCCGCCCCACCCGCCAACCCCCTCCACCCTCCCTCTTCACCCTAACAGAAACAAAAGGCGACCTCTTCACCCTCTCTCCGCCCTCCGCCGCCCTCGTCCACTGCGTCTCCCAAGACCTCCACATGGGCAAGGGCATCGCCACCCACTTCAAACACCTCTTCGGTGGAGTCTCTGTTCTGAAAGCACAGAACCGTAATGTCGGCCACGTCGCGATCCTCACACCTCTCACAGCGCCCCGTGTCGAACCGCATCCCGCGGTTTATCTCATCACGAAACAAAGGTACTGTACGCCGAAGGGCGAAGCGAGCCCAGGATGACGGATCACCGTCACAGCCCCACCCTCCTTGTCGCGAGCGGAGCGGAGCAACCCATCCTCTCCATGTTGATGGTTGTTGACGGCTCGATGGCTCGATGGCTTGACATTAACGCCTCTTCTCGCCCCGCCCCCACAGATACTACGGCAAACCCACACTGGCAACCCTCCGGGCAAGTCTAGTGGACTTGCGCCGCGTCTGTGAGGAAATGGGGATCAGCGAGCTCGCGATGCCGCGGATCGGGTGTGGGCTGGACGCATTGCGGTGGGATGCGGTTGTGTCGATGTTGAAGGAGGTGTTTCAGGGAACGGAGATGAGGGTCCATGTTTTCCACATCTGAGCGTAATCTGGGAACACCAGGAGACGTTACGAGGGGGATGGGCCGTTCGTAGATGTGCTGCCCAGTTTTCCCCCAACCATGTCCAACAGTCATCACATACAGTACATCCCGCCCGCCGACGTATTCACCTCCCTGCTTTCTATTATCGAACCACTATACCACGTTTGTCTTTGTATCGATAGCCAATCTAATGCAGTAAGGCAGATAGCGGTTTGTTTCTGACTGAATTTTTATTCAAAATAGGATATGAACTACGGGCCATTCCTTTCAGACAGGTCGCACGACCATCCCATCCACTCACTCATGCGGCGATGCGCACTAACACTAAGGAACATTAAACACTAAAAGAGCTACCTCTACTCTAATCTCTAAAAAGTCCTACCTCAACAACCCTTCCAACCTCACCACCCTAAACCCCCCCCCCCCCCCCCCCTACTCCCTATAATCCCCCTCCCCACCCCCACCCCTCCTCATCCTCATCCCCCACTTCCTCAAATCCATATTCACATCCCCACTCACCTCCCTCACCAGCTTATCCATCTCCCTCTGTCTGAACCGATCCCACTTCCTCCGGTCCGTCAGCACAAAATGGCGCTGCAGCACCGCGTCGCGGGAGAGTGCCATCTTCGTGAGCGGGGAGAGGGGCAGCGTGATGGATGCGAGCCGTTCGCGGGCGTCGTGTTCTTGGATTTCGCCCAGGGTTACTTCCGTGAGGGTGTGGATTGTCATGGGGGACGGGAGGGTGCGGGGGGTTGATGATGATGATGATCCAGTTGTTGGGGGGGCGGGGGTGTCGGCGGTTGCGGGTGATGACGGTGCGACAGCGGTAGTCGTCGTCGCAGTCACGGTACTGACATTATTATCCGACTCAACCTCGCCCCCATTCCACATAATCTGCTCCCCAAAATACTCCCCGGGCGAAATATATCCCAAAAAAATCGCAATACAGCACGGCCCTTCAACTTGTGCGTCTTCAAGTAAACCCGAGTCCGTCCGAGCGCGGACGGCGTGAGGTGGCCGGATTTTCGCGTGGCGGTGCAGGTGTAGTTTGATGGCTTCTTCCGTGGTGACTTCGAGGTGGGTGAAGGCGGCGAGGACGCCGGATTTGAGGAATGAGATTTTGGAGACTGTTGCGCCCTGTTTGAGGACGTAGGTGCCTTTGGGGTAGCGGACTACTGCCATTGCCTGGGTGCAGAATGAAACAAAGGAAAACGGGAATGGTGAGTAGCATAATCACCCACGAGGGTAACGTGAGTTGTGTCTTACGTTTGCGATGAGGTTTACTTCGCGTTCGTCGGTAATTCCAACGTATCGGCGGAGGTACAGGATTCGTTCCTGCCGTTCCTTTTCGTGCACGAATCTAGAAAGGAGTACATTTAAGTCTCAAGTCCAACCACTCAAAAACATAAAGATTACGTCATAATCCTTCACGAAATCTCACCGAACAACCCTAAGATAATCCGCCTTTTCAATCTTCAACAACACGCACGAAGTCACCGTCTTGATCGTAGCCGAGCGCACCGTAATATGCGAAAGCGCAAGCTCCCCGAACCCCGCGCCCGCCTCCAAACTCTTCAACACAATACTCTGCCTCACGACATCCACCACATCCATCTCCGCCAACGCATTCCCCTCCGCATCATTCGCATTCTTCAGACCTTTCGTTCCGCCTTTCAGGACAAGGATGTCCACCGTGCCTTCGAGGATGACGAACCAGCTGGACCCGATGTCGCCCTGCCGGAAGACGGTGCGATTTTGTTCCATTAGGACGGGGTGGATGACGCCTAGGAGTTGGGTCATGGTGAAGTCGGACATGGCGCTGAAGGCTTTGAGAGTGCGGAGACCGGCGAACAGGCGCTTGACTTCGTCGGGGGTGCGTTGGGTTTCGGGTTTGTTGAGGATGCTGACGATTTCGGGCACGGTGGGGGTGAGGTTGGTTGCGGAACCTGATGTGGGGCGCTTTTCGAGTGACTTGCTTGAGTGAGGCCTTTTGACGGTAGTTTTATCGCGCTTCGCTTTCGTTCTAGCGTTGTTATGATCTTTGGAAGTCTGCAAACTCCTTTCCAGCCCCATCTGCTGCGATCTGCTCGTCGCTGCCACCTTCGCGAGAGAGGGAATCACGACCTGTTCCGGCCCTTTCACGGTCCGCTGCCGCTTCTGACTCAGCGCTGCGATGTTCACCGGCGGAGGGGTCCGCAGCTCCTTCATGAAATCCCGCAGCCGGGCGAGGAACTCGGCATGTTTATCTTCTACCGGCGGCAACCCAACGACGTTCCTCGAGCTCGACTCCATCCCCGTGTCCTCCGCCTCCATATCCACCGGATTGATCAACGGGACCTTCTGTGCGGACGTGTGACCCCAGATCGTATCCGCTATCTCACACAACCGTTTCACTTCGACGGCTCGTTTGCGACGAGACATGCGCGGAGATGCGAGGTCCCGTTGTCGAAGCTCGGCACAGTCGTGCGTCCTGTGAGCCTAACCAATCCGAATCATGTTGTTATTGTTTGATTGCCATTCTCAGCTCTGAGCGACGGTCCCACCTTATGGCATTTCGTATCCACCGGCGGCAAATGTATTTCGCTCATTTCAGCCGCTGTTGCGTCGTCCGACAAGTTCGGGGGTTCCTGTTCTATCCAACACAATTGCACTAAGTATGTATGAATACCCCTACGTGGCGGTCACATCTCTTCGTCTCCTGTCATCTTCAAATTCAGGTCCGCCCATTGAAAGACATATACAGCGCATTGCTCAAAGGAAGGATGAGCCCCAGCCACTCCTTACCCTTCAGGTGCGTCTCCAATAAAGTAAACCGTGCGTGGGAAAACGTGTGAGATTCGGTGGTGTGTGAATAAATTTCGAAAGTATAGTTGTTCTTTTCGGGGTTTCTGGAGTTGCTGAACGGGAGAGAGCGATACGAGATGGGCGGTTTGCCCCTCTTCTTGAATTGGGTGGAAAGCCTGGAGCGAGGTACGATGCAATTCTGGATGCAATTGGGAGTTATCTTCAGCTGAGGATTTCGGGAAAATGGCCCTTTCGTGGCGTCTTGGGGGATTCCCCACGGCCAGCCGGCAGTATGGACCAAGTATGGACAGACGGACAGACAGACGTCCTGGTTTCCTACGAGCAAGCAAGGGAAGCCATACTGTATGTAGGGCCTCTGTGCTCGCATCGCTCGCAACCCCTCGTCACCACAGTCATCGTCGTCGCAGATATCATGATTCATGATGGTCCTGCCTGCGTCGCCAAATGCACCGCAAACGGCCAACAGCTTCTTGCCGGTACAACAAGGCCGCTCGCCGCTCAGGACTCAGGAGGCCGCTACATATACAGAGTAGGTGACCAGGTCAGTACGGTACCTACCTACATACTACCAGATGCCCTGCCAGGTGCCTTGCCAATGTTGGCATGCTGCCCGAAACGGTCGTCTCATCTTTCGGTTGACCTCTCGATATGTAACGACGACCAAGTGCTACTGATTCTTCTTATGCCGTTCAACAAAGCAACATAGAATATCACACAAGCACTGAACGATTACTCCATATTTCAGCAAGTTTTGACCTCATTTCTGCGACCCCTACTCATATTACCAGCCATGACCGTCGACTATACCGCCTTCGAGACCCTCCATGCCCGCATCCTCACCCTAGAGTCCGCCACACGGGATTTACCAGCCCTATCCGCCCGCCTGTCTACGCTCGAAATTGAGCTCTCATCAAAAGCCTACACCTCCAAAACAGCAGCTGATCTAGCAGCATCGATCGGCAAAAGCGTCGACAAGCTCGAAGACAATCTCTCGCTTAAATCCATCTCGGCGGCGCTGACCGGAAACAAGAAGCAAAAGCTGGAGAAGGAGCGCGAAGACCTCGTCCATGTTCGCGAAGTGGCACTCAGGGAGGCGGAAGCGATGCGGGCGGTCGAGGTGCAGCTGCCCGGTGTCAGGCAGCAGCACACCGCGATGGAGGCGGCCGCGCGGGAGTTGGAGACGCTCCGAAAACAGGAAACGCAGTTGCTGGAGCAGTGGTTCAGCGGGCCGATCGTAGACCCCGAGGAGGCACTGTTGAAGGCCGCGTTGGCCACGGCGACATCTGCGCTGGCTGGTCCGACGACCGAGCTAGCGACCATGAACGCCGTGTCTAAACTCGTGGATCAGGGATACTGGGCACTCGACAAGGCGATGAAGTACATGGGCCGCAAGCGGTGCGACGACGGCATGTGGATCGGCATCGACCCCATCATGGTCCGCCTCCAGGACTCGGTCAAGATCGCGAATGAAGCGATCGAGAAAGCCAACACCGCGCTCGTGCGCGCTCAGCACATGTTGGACGAGTCGCCTTCCGTCTTGCTGGTCTCAAAAACCAACACTTCCCTCCTCCCACCCCTCCCTCTCCCCCTGTTCGGCGCCGACGTCACATCACGCGTAGCAGACGACCTCTTCAGATCCCCGGGGGTGCCCAGCGCCATGAAGGCTGAGGACGTTTACAAGTTCGCAGTCGCTATGCAGCCCGTTGTGGACCAGGTGCAAACGGCCGACGGGATTCTGAAGGATCGGACTGAGGAGCTGGAGAAAAGGAAGGGCAAGCTGCGGGAGGAGGCTGGTGCCGCGGCGAGGGAGTTGTATGAGGCCCGCGTGCGGCTTTTGCAAGAGCGTGTGCTGCAGACGTAAGTTGGTGTGTAGGATAGGTGTTTTTTGTTGGGGAGAGTAGGTCGTCTGAAAACCGCTAAGGAGGTCGAAGGCACACTGAAAAGGGTGCGAATCGCACTGGGAAAAGTGGGCCAACAAGTCGTGGCGTTCGATGAGGCACCTTGGACAACCATGGGAGATATAGTTCGCATAGTTCACCCGAGATAGGCGCGGGGTACAGTGTAATTTCAAACTCCGAGACACCCGAACGACAGCTCAGATTGGGCTATTCTGTCGCTGAGTTTATTATGGGGAACTGGGCTGCGGGGTCATTCCCATTCCCTCAAGCCTTGTATATATATATGCCAGACCAAGGCATGCCACTAAATTGTTCGCAAACGCAATGGTGGCAAAAAGCTATGCCAATCTTCGAAATTACCTCCGGCTGCCTCTCTGCCGCAGGAAATTGCCAAAATAACTGTGATCGAACTAGCGTTCATTCCACATCGGCTACTCTACCATCTCGGGGTGTATCATGTATCAGACATATGTATGCCGTTCTGACTATCCGAGTATCTCTTCGTGGTTACCGCGCCGTGGTGCGCTTCTACGACGACATCGCCGCGTCCTTATCCCCTTCAATCAAAAATGTCAAAAATAGCCTGCTGGTCCTTATAATTGTTATCCACGACATTGACGAGGAACCAGGACTCCGCGACGGTCGTGATCAGGTCGTGCGAGGGTGTTGAAGGGGTGTAGAGGTTTGCCCATTTTTGCCAGAGTTCGAAGGCTTCGTCCTGTAATTGAGAGCGGGGGTCAGTAAACTGTGTGCGGCGAGGTTTTTGCTTTTGACGTTACCTTCCAGGCGATGAAGCTGGCCGAGTCGACGATGGTGGGTTGTACGATTTCTTGGCCGGGGAAGACGCCCCATGTTACGGCGTTGGGGGAGTCGCCTTGTGTGTTTGTGCGGAGGTCGCCCTATTTGTTGCGAAAACAGAGTTTGTTCAGTATCGTCCAAGCGGCATCTGAAAAGAGTTATGTACATCACCCCGAACAGTTACCTGCTTATTTACGGCATAATACGTAACGAACGGATACCCCGCAATCTTCTTCACCAGCCTATCCAGCTCCTCAGGCCCCACAAAAAACTCCAAATACGCCTTCTGGTACACAAATCCGTTTTTGGGTCCCCAACCAAACACGGGATGCGACGACGGCGCGCCGTCCACCGCGGGCTGCGAGTTTATCGTCAGGTAGCCCTTGGTGTTGATATCCACAAGCCGGGATCGGATGACGTCGGATTCGGCTATTAAGGGCCCGTCGCACCAGGGGAGGACGTTGAGCTCGTTTGTGCAGTAGGCGCGGAAAAGCTCGTAGAGGTCGGGGAGGGTGCTGGGGTGTTTCCAAAGGGAGAGGCATTCGGAGGCGGAGTGTTTGAGGTTGAAGCCGTAGCCGTCCAGTTCGCCAAAGGCTTTTGTTGTAAGAAGGGGAGGTGTAAATGGGCGTGCTCTTTCGGTAGCGACATGCAAATACGAATACCGCAGTCACTAACCTGGCGACCTCGCATCCCCCCACCGCCCGTTCGGAAAATCGTCCCACGCTTCCGTCCGCAAGATGTAGCTGCGTATGCGGTTCTTCCAGAAGATAGGCCGCACGTTCTCCTTTTCGCGGTTCCGCGCCAATGACTGGACATCGACGATAGCAAGCTTTGTTGGTCAGTACAAACCGGCGAACGAGAAAGTAGAAAGACAAGGAAGGGGCGGGGCGATTTTGAGGCCGTTGTGCGTGTATCAACGAAACGGGGACGATGGCTTACCGGGTTCCACGGTAACGGCCGCACCTGGTCAATCGGCGCGACAAACTGCAACCCTTCCAAGATAAGCCGCGTCGACCGCTCCAGATTGAGGGTATAGAAATGGAACCCGCGGATCCCACTCTCCTTCATCTTATTGCACATATCGATCGCTAACCGGATCCCATAGTCCTTCACGGCCCTGTCGTCGTCCTTGATCGGTTCCAGGTCCCGTAAGATGTGGTCGGGGACGTAGGTCTTGCAGAGCGATGTCATGCGGTTGAAGCCGCCGTAGTTTTGGATGGGCATGATGCCGGGGAGGATCGGGGCTGTGATGCCGAGGTCAAGGGCCTTTTTGTACCAGGTGATGAACAGGTCTACGTCGTAGAAGAGCTGAGTGACGACGTAATCGGCGCCCGCTTCGATCTTGCGTTTGAGGTGCCGTAGGTCTTCTTCTGGGTCTGGGTTATCCGTATGACCTTCCGGGTAGGCTGGAAAGGAACGATCGTCAGCAGTATACTCTTCACCAACTGCATTCGAAGATGGGACATACCTGCCACCCCAATACAAAAGTAATCCCCATACTCATGCCTGATATACTTCACAAGATCAATCGCATACGAGAATCCTGTCTCGACCTTTGTCCACGTCTCCTGCCCTCGCGGTGGATCCCCTCTCAGCGCAAGGATGTTCTGTATCCCGGCAGCCTTCGCATCCTTTAGCGCGATGTCGATCTTTTCCCGGGGCATGTTTGTGCACGTCCTGTTCGCTGGAGTCATCAGCCGACGACGGGTGGATGGCAACTATCCGACAAAGCCCAACACTCACAAATGCATACAAGTCTCCAGCCCATATACCGCCTGCGCGGTCGTGCACACTTGCATAGTCACATCCGAGCTGCTCCCGCCAGCGTTCCAAGTCACGTCGACGAACTCTGGGCCCAGTTGGTACATGCGCTCCTGTTCATCCAAACAAACAAAGCATCAGAATGGGCTGCCTGGCTCTTGGCTGGAGCCATGGCTGACCCACCATGCGGTCATATAGATTGATCACACCGGCTTCAGTTTTCGGTGGGAAGTATTCGAAGGACTAGGGGGAGGGTGGGAATGGGTCATGTTTGGGCTGGATGAAGACAGGCATCGGGCAGACGATCGCCGGAACTTACCCAGAAGCACCTGTCCTCGGCTATCCATGAGGAAATGAGAGAGCGAGCGTTAGTACGCGCCCAGATACTAGACTGGGAGTTGGGCCGCTCAATAGGGGTCGCTGTGCTTGAGCAATGCTCGAACGTGGCTGCGCCGTAGGCCCTGTCTCCAAAGCTTGGGTGTGGCACATTGCGAGTGGTGGGCGGAAGCATCCTGCTGCTTACCTGTTGCCTTTGCTATCTTGTCGGTGATCTTCATGGTAGCTTTGGCGACGAGGTTTGCGACGAAGTGTGTTTGTGAAGCGGGCTATAAAAGTCAGGGGGGGTGGGGGGCAGTTGGGTGGGGGGGGGGGGGGGGAGTTGGGAAGTTTGGCGCACGAACATCGACGCGTGAGGGGAAAGGGAGATGAGATGATGCTGAGAGAGAGGGACCCCAAGACAGCCCCAGGAGCCGCCAGCGACAACACTACATAGACACCCTCCAAACAACATACTGTACACTATACACTCAAATGTCACATAGAACTTTGTGGCGCTGATGTCTGATGTCTGATGTAGATATATGCAGATAGTTCTTGATTGCTATGTTCAGTATGTACACTGCCATGGCAGTCTATAATCCCGGTCGTGGTCCAACTACCGGCTCTTACTCTGCAAAAACTCCACCACCTTCTGCAAAGCCTTATACCGATGACTAATAGTATTCTTCACCTCCTTCGTCAACTCCGCATAAGTCTCCCCAAACCCATCCGGCTGAAAAACCGCATCCCACCCAAAATCCGTCGGCCCCTTCGCCGGCACAATCGTCCCCCTCGTCCTCCCCTCAAAAACCACCGGCTCCTGCCCAGGCTCACAGTACGCAAACGTGCACACCGCATCCGCCGACTTATCCTCAAACCCCGCCAGCATCCTGTTCAGCCCATCGTGGCCCACCCCCTCCATGAACCACTTGATGTACGGCCCGGGCAGGTCGTTGAGGGCTTTGAAGCAGAGGGAGGTATCTTCGGTGAGCACAGGTGTGTTGAGCAGCGCGCAGGCGTGCCGCGCTTTTTCGCGCGAGACCGTTTGCGTTGTGCCTTGGAGTTCCGGGAGGTCGAGCTTGTGGTTGGTGACAGTGAGCCCGGTGGGGGAGAGGATGGCTTGCACTTCGAGCAGTTTGTTGGCGTTGCCGGTTACAAAGACTAGGGGTTCTTGGGCGGACATGGTGTTTGGCGTCGGTGTGTTGTGAATGGTTTTGTTTCGGACGGTAGTTGTCTGAGGGGTTGAGAGCCAGTCAGACACCAATAAAGCTGGTTATCCCCCGTACTAAGTCAGTGAACCCCACGTTCGTGTACGCCACGGACACCGGCGACGACGGCGACAATGACGGCGGCAGCTCATCATCATCATCCTTATGGTACGGGGATTGGAGCCCTACTCTAGAACTCTCATAATACCTAGTGGTGCCGACGGCAGCCATTCTAAGGGGCACAGACGCGATCACTGCATTTAGATACTCACCGGTCGTCGGCCAGATCTCCTGGACAACTGACGAACGTCAGTCAGTTCAGCTTCAGAAGGCCGCAACTTAGCTGGTCTCCCGGTGGGTTTTTTGGACTGGTAGGAGGTTGGGTCGCCTGGTGCGTCGTCACGAAACCTCTTTATGGTCCTATAAACGGCCATAGTGGAAACTTGCTCCATTGCGGCAATCTCAACCTTGTTTTTTCCTGCCCGGTGCAAGGCAAGTATGGCTGATCTCTTCTGGGGGGTCAGTGCTCTTCCCATTGTGGGCTGGTGTGGTTGACGAGTGCTGGCGTTGTCAAAAAGTTGGAAGATTGAAGATTGCCGACATTGCCCGTCCACGAGCGTCCGCGCGAAATAACTTACATACAGTTAAGTGTCATGGGATTAGGGTTGGGGATTAGGGTTATCACCGGGTTAGGGTTGTGAGGTTGGGGATTAGGGTTGGTAAACCCTAACCGGGTTATATCCCATGACAGTTAGGGTCACATGCGCGAGTAACAGTCCACGGATCTAGAGTCTTTTCTGGAGGCGGCAACGCCGCCGTGGCCAGCCTTGTACAGTAGTTGTCAGGGACTCAGGGAGGGCAATTGCGGGTTGAAAGGGTTTGAGGGGAAGTGTGAGCAAGGTGAGAAAGACGGTGGGGCAAGTCTGGCAAACGCTGGACATGCACGCGTTCTGTGGCTCTTCTCAAAACGCACCCCAAATCCCAACTCACGCGAAAGAGGCATAGCAAACCAACCAAGCCTGCCCGCCCATCAACAATCGACGAACAGAAAGCCGCGAACTTGAACTGATTGCAACCATGACCGTGCTCCCCTCGCCTTTCAACCCCTCAAGCACGAACGACACAAGAACAGAAAACCAAACTTCTTTTTATTTCGAGGCCTATGTACATATCACAGAAGTCAATGAATAAACGGATGATGCAAAGTGACATCGCATTCCATCGCACCCCCATCCCCATCGCGCGTCTCTCCCATGCCGGTCTTTTCCACACTTTGCTTGTTGTGCGATGTGTGGCGGATATGGGGTGAGTCAAGTGTGGGTGGCACGAATGGGTCGCGGGAGACCGAACGATCCATGGAAAGAACCGATTGGAAGACGGGTGTGGGAGGAGATGGGGAAGGACGATGGGTGTTGTTTATTCCGCCCCCCCTAGAACCACTTGGCCCATATGATACCGATGATGAGCAGGATGAGGAGGATGATGATTCCGAAGGAGAGGATTTTGTTTTGGATCATCCTGTGGAGGTTGAAAGGGTCGGAAAGGAAAGGGGTGTTGAGAGGGTAGTTTGTTTCGCATATGGCTGCATTTCGCCGTTCACCAACGAGGGCAGTATAGGCCCCACTCTGCATTCACTGATTCCCTCCGCTCGTTCCCCTCCGCCCGCTCGGCTGGCTAACGCTCACCTACCTCCGATGCATAGTCTTCAACGCCCCCTGACTCTTCGTAATCCACGTATCCGCACTACTCAACCCATCCCTCGTCCTATAAATCTGCTCCCGCTGCCTATTCAAATCATCCAACGTCGCAATCCCCACCGCCTCCGTCTCCAACGCCAATCGCCTCGCATCCTCCAGTCTCCTACTACCCTGCTGCAATCGCTCCGTGCCGTTCATCAATCTACTCCTCTGGTCAGACGACGCGATCTCGAAATCCACCACGTGGGAGCCGTTGTTGGAGGGACGGGAGAGGAGGGCGTCGCGGTCGGCGGTGGTGGAGTAGGTGCGACGGAGCTGTTTTGTGGAATCCTTTGCGGAACGCACGCGCGGGGCGAGACGCATGCGGGTGGCGGCGGGGAGGGTGGACAGCTCGACTTCCATTTGGGAGATGATCTCGTCGAGTTCTTCGAAGCCGGCTTCGAGCTGGTGGGTTAGGAGTTTCTTTTGTTCTGTTCATCGAGATGTTTTTCGTGAGTGTCAAGGGCGGCGTTCAAACCAGATTATCGAAAACATGCACGGCCACTCCAGAGGTAGGAATTTTTTCGCTCAGCATCTCCGCTCGTATGCCATTTCCCAACTTGCACCCCTCAAATCCCAACCCGATTCAACCAGAGCCGCTCGGAGACAGGCGCAAGAGCTATTCGGTCCCACACCCCAGTCCAATCGCCGAATGCCAAGCCCAGCTCCATCCACGTCATCCCCACCGGTCTTCCTCCCATGCCTCCAACCCCCGCACTTCCAGAACACCCACAGCAAACCCACCCCCACCGACTCCCTCCCACCCGAACCCCCAACTCCGTCCCAACTCCGCCCCACATTTGCAACCCCCACAACTCCGCAAACCTTCTCAACTCACCCCCAGATGCAGCCGCGACCGCATCAACCTGCCTCAGGAGCGACTCATGCAGCGTGTCGTACTCCTTCTGGTACGTTTCGAGGATTTCGGAGCCTTCTGACATTTTGAGCTTTGTGGTGACTTGCAATCCGGATGAGTGTTGGGTGACGATGAGGGTTTGGGGGTGTTTGAAGGGAGCTTCAAGGGTGATGACGCCGCCCCGTGTGTTGTTTATGTGGGCGCGGGGATTACATAAGCAACTCAGCTGGGTTCCCGTCACTTCTGCATTCCGGAACTTCCATCGACTCCCTCACATAGACCACAAAGCCCACACGCACGCTACCATGCAAACAACACACCCAAGACAATCATCAAGCGCCGGAAGAGCCTTCAAGACGAGTCCTCGCCGAAGCGGAAGACGGAGATCGTTGCCTCTTGGGCTTGATGATACTTTCGGCGGGGTGCTTATGGGGAAGGCGAATGACGGCGCTCACAGTGGACCCATTCTGAACATCACTTCGAGTCATTCACGGCCGTCAAGTGGAGGAGAAGTCGGGAAGGTATGAATATGCTTCACTATCGCTTACAATAACTCGCTTCATTCTCATTGATCCGAATGCCCCATTTCATATAGATAATCCAACTCCCAACCCTCCACAACGAACTCGTCCGTCTCCAACTCTCCCCGCCGCCCTTCAGCGCCTCTGACTCCGATCATAGACGCTACTCCACCCCCGACCGCGGCGACCATGGCAAATCCACCCTGCCCCATCTAGATAAACGCGGCGGGATACACGCGCGCTCGGAGGAGGATGTTCGCAAACGAACATCGCCTGGTAGCAGGCCAGTGAGACAGGCGTGGGAAATGGAGCGGGATAGTAAGGAGGGCGAATTGCGAGTCGTGAATTTGGAACGATTGATGTTGGAGGCAGTTGGGGCTCCGCTCCCAACAACCCCTGACAAGGAGAAGGAGAATGCGGCAGGGTCAGCGCCGCGGTCCCGCAAAGGCTCAGCCCATCGTCGACGATTCAGCCACTACCCTCGCTCCAACGGAAGCACGCCTCACCAGAGCCGGCCCGTCTCCGCGCGCAACATCCCGCTTCCGCCTTCACGACCGCAGACGCCGGACCCGGATATGGCTGTCATGGGTGTCATACCGCCGATTTTGACCGGTTTGGCTTCGCAAGCCGGATTACATATCCCCTTGGGTATGGGACGGCTGCGGCCCGTGTCGCCGCTCACAGGTGAACAGATAGGGTCCCCGTTGCGGCAGGTTGTGAATCAGAGTTTGGAGGAGATAAGGAGGCGTGACGAAAGCACTGCTTCCGCGCCACGTCCCATCGCCAGCGCACCAGACCCGACCCCCGCACCCACGGGCTTCTTCTTCAAAGCAGACGGCGACATGCAGTTCGACCTCCAAGAAGCCACCGCCTTCATGCACGTCCTCCAAAAAGAGTCCAAAGTCCGTTTTGTCGCATTAGCCGAACAACCCCCACCCTCGCCCACCCTCGACTCGACATCCTCCACCGACGCCCAAACCACCGACACGGTCCCGCGTGAATCATCTATGGGATCAGGAAGCTACCCGCGCAGATCGCCCGAGACACCCGCGTTGCAGGTCAAGACCCCACGGCAGATGTCGCGACGGTCCCGGCGGAGCGTGGATTTCTTCACGCAGCCGTTTGTGGAGAGGAAGGAGGAGCCGGTGACGAGCAGGTTGTTTGAGCCGTTGTTGCTCTTGCAGAGTTTGGATGAGCCTGCTGCAGGGCCAGTGGCGCTTGGGGTGGTTGATGAGGTGGAGTTGGGGGATGTGGGGGTGGAGGGAGGGATGGAAAATGTGCGCGCGACTGCGGGGCTGTCACCGGCAGGCAGCGAGCGAGGGAATGATGGGTTGCAAAACGCTACGTCGGGCTCCTCCCACTCGATCAGTTCAGTGCCCGAGGATCCGCAGAACGACTCTGACTTAGGCGCGGAGATCACGATACTGTCGGGACCCACATCCCGTGAAAATGAGCCGGTGATAGTTCGCTTCGTCAATTCTGCGGATTTGGAGGATGAGGGAGATGAAGATGGTCACCTCCCATTGCAGAGTGATGAGGCGGGGGGAATGCCGGCGCATGAGGAGGAGGAAGGGCCTGCGAGTGAATCGGTGATGGAAGGGCCACCCGGCGGGGCAGAGGAGCCGAATGGGCTGTATAATGGTGAGTTCTCCACGGTCAATTTGACAACGCGGGCGGAGATCGCTGAGCAAAAGAACCACCTCAGACCCAACAGAAGAAGAAACATCGCAGACTGGAACATCGCAGAGTGAAGCTGCGTATCCATCCAACGGTGACAGGGAGGTTGTGGATCCCGGACAGTCGCGGGAAACAGTTTCGCAGATTGCGACCCCTGAGCCGGCCCAGCAGTCCTTTCCTGTGTCCAACCGGAACTCATCAGCTCCGCTGGTAAGTTCTTCAGGAGCAAGCGGATCCGAGGCAGGCTGCTATAACACATCTTTCTTCGCACGTAGCCCGCGCCCATCACACGGGCGATCGTTCATCCTCCACCGCAGGTTTGGACGCGTAGCCTCCTAAAGCTTCACCTTTCTGAATACATGGTCGCTGATGAAAGGGGTTTTTTTCGTCGCAGATCGCAGCCATGAACGAATTCAACGACTACAATAGCCGGTGGAACAGCCGAGAGCGCAGTCTGTTGCGTTCACAGGAATGCATGGCTCTCGCCGTTCTCGACAAGGTAAAGCACACCCCAAAACGGGATGGTGATCAACACCGATGTGTTCATCAACCCATAACTTCCTCCCTATTTGTCTTTAGTACGTCTACACCCTCCACCTCTCCACTCTCAAGAGGCAGCAAACCCTCCACAAAGACCTCATCCACACTCAAACGCGCAACGACGCGCATCTCGCGCGGATGGCAGCCAAAGAGCGGCGGGAGTGTATCTCGCAGGGCCGTGATTTGCACCTGTGGACGTCGCCGGGGACGGCGGGGATGGCAAAGAGGTGTGAGGCTAGTGGGTGTTGGAAGAGTGGCTTGTATCGGGAGGTTGGTGTTAGGAAGAGGGCTTGATAGGAGTGTAGATAGGTAGAAGGTAGGGCGAGACCCACGGGTTTAGAGGCTGGGACGGCAGTTTAGAGAGAGGGAGAGGGAGCGGTTGTGCCTGCAGCGGAATGTCGGCGCTGGCTTCCTTTTATACCCATTTGAAGGACACTGAAGAAAAAAGTGAACCGCATCATACTGTGTATGATTGGACCTCTTCCGGCCACGACATTGAGGGGACATATACCACAGATGCTAAACTGTCACATACAGTCCTCTACATATTACAACGTCCCTCAAAGTCCACATCCCCGCCCACACAACCCCCACTCCCAGCAGTCCCACCCCCTCATCTCGAAGTAATCATAACCTTCTCAATGCTTGTCTGATACATCTCAAACTTACTGCTAATCCTTTCAATAATGTCCTCTAACCCCGCCGCATCCACACTCTCCTGCCGCCTCAACTCCGCAATCTTCTCCTCCATCTCAATCACAATCCGGGTGTTTTCGTCAGTCGCGGTGGCGCAGTGGGTCCGTTCGACGTTCGCGGCGTCGAATTCGTGTTTGAGTTTTGTGAGTTTGGCGGACATGGCGTCTTTTTTGACCGATTGGTGCTTTTGGAGGCGGGTAAGCTTTTCGTGGGCGCCGGTTATTTGGCGTTTCATTTGCTGAATTGTCGAAATCGAGGACCATGGGTAATGAGCACAGCGCAAACTGCATCAAGATTTCGATGAAAAAGCATTTCCAAAAGCAACACAACTTACATCCTCCCTGAAATCCAGCTCCCGAATCTCGCCCCTCCGCTTCTCAATATTCTCCTTATCCGAAACCACCTTCCTCGCCGCCTGCTCCGCCTTGTTCTTCTCGGCCTCACACTCCGCCATTAGCTTCAAGCACGCGTCAATGTCCTGCTCCACCATGTTCATGAGGTCTACTTTTAGCTGCAGCTCGCGGGATCTCTTTTGTATTGATGCGACGGTGTTCTTGTCGCCTTGGAGGGAGTTGTTCATTTCGGCTATTGACTAAGACGATGGGAGAGGGTGATGAGTGGGGATGGTATAGAGGGGGGGGGGGAATGGGAGGGGGGACATACCGCTTTGAGCTTTTCGGGGCTTTGGACGATGCGTGATTTTAGACGGACGCAGTCTTGTTTCAGGTTCATGATGGTCATTTGCATTTTCGACTAGAAGGGGTATTCGTGTTACTCCCCTCATGCACACCGTATAGAGTCTGACCGGGTGACATCCATTCCAATCCAATCCAATTCCCCTACCAGCTTCTCCGCCAACTCCGTCTTCTCCTTTTTCAGCGCTTCCGCCTCAGACGTCAACCCCGTTTGTTTCTTTTGCAGTTGCCGCAGATCAGCCGTGAGTTCGGAGTTTGCATCACGGAGCTTTTGCGCCGCTGGCTCCTGTTCTGCCCTTTGCTGTCTGTACGGATAATCCGATATTCAGCAGTGGCATAAAATCCATGACGTCTTCCCAAAAACCCCAACAACTTACCTCAGCGTATTGACTTTGTCTGCCAGTTGCCGGTTTTGATCTTCCAGGGCCTGCTTTCGTTGTATGATCTCCTCCTGCGATCCCGCGCGCAATCAGCTGTCTCGTCGCCAAATGCCCATCGCGAGTTTGCAAACCCTTACCCCTCGAACCGTACACTTTTCATAAACGCCCAACCTCTCCTCCCTGAACTTTCCAAAATTGACCACCGCGCTCAAAATCTTCCTAATCCTCGGCGGTTCCGGCCTCAAAATGTCCCTCATGCTGAAGTCGTCCACTCCAATCTCGGACATCAGCCGTCTCAACGCGCGGTAATACGACACGAGCGTGATACTCTCCTGCTGCAGTTCCGGCTGCTCGAGGATCTGCATCGCGTCGAAGCTGATTTGGCTGTAGTGCTCGCGCGTGCGGTTGAGGAGGGTGTGTGTGATGTGGTCGTAGATGGCAAGGATGCGGGCTTGGGTGGGTTTGGTGAGGTCTTCTTCGGCGAGGGCGAGGCCGAAGTCGGTCATGCACGGGATGAGCTCGGAGGGTTTGAGGAGAGGGAAGGAGAAGGTGCTCTCCGAGGATGGAGGCTTGTAGTGGCGGTTGCCGCGGTCCATGGTTGCTTTTTCCGTGCGTGGGCCGAGGTTGGGTTGGTGCCGCCGCCGTGAAGTGTGAGTTCTGGTGGGATGCGGTGTTGCGAGGTGTGAGTGAAATCGGGCTGTACAGTAGGTGGGAGTGGCAGCCGCGTCCAAAAAGAGATGACACCGGCGTACGAAGGGTAGCTACTTCTGCCGATCGGGCGACTCTGCAACCTTCCTCTTGTTTCTGTGCTGTGTTGCTGTATGTACATACAGTATGTATGTGGTTGTCGTTTGCCTTCGCCTTGCGAGTTTGCGTTTGGTCGGACGGACTGCTATGTCCGAAACGCGCTTTGCTTTGGCTCATCCAGCCCCAGAGTCGGCCGGCCTACGTTACAGGAGTAACCCTCCCCCAGGCTCCCATTAGGAAGGAGCAACCAACTATCAGCCCGCACCTCAGAGCTCTCCTGCTCTGTCCATACACTCCCTCCCTCCCTCCCTTCCAGCTGCTATCGCTCTACAGCTCGCTAGCTACACAGCTATCGGAAAGCACACCGTACCCGCTAGCAAACGATGACTCAACGACCGGGAGAGACCACCGTGTCTGACGACGGTAAGTAAGCACCCCCGCACAAAGCGAACGGGTCCACTCCAATGGCAACGACGTCCGATGGAAGAGGGACTATCTTGCGCAAAAGTATCGGAACTCAACTTCCCCGCTCGTCGTCTTCCATTTCACAGTCCGCCCTGGCGCCTCTGAACAGGACAAGCAGATCATCGCTGAGAAAATCATAAACGAAGAATACAAAATATGGAAGAAGAACAGTCCCTTTCTCTATGAGTATGTTCAGTTCCTCCTCGCTTCCTTGTTGCAGGCACCTCCAGGATTTCCGAAAACTCACGGTTTTGCAACTTTCTCAGCACCGTAATCACCCACGCTATGGAATGGCCTTCCCTCACAGCACAGTGGCTTCCAGATATCGAGAGGTAGCGTTGGAGCATAGCGAGACGGACAGTCTGCTGGGGGCGATTCAGCCCTGTGTGCATCATCACAAACGTAACCTCACAACCATCCCAAATACAGGCCCGACGGAATGGAGTACACAATCCAACGACTTCTATTGGGAACCCATACCTCCGATTCGGAGCAGAACTATCTGCAGATTGCTCAGGTGCAGCTGCCCACTGAGACGACCGATAATGATAGGTCGAAGTTTGATGAAGAGCGTGGAGGTAGGGTAACGTGAGGGATAGAGGGTGCGAGGCGCAACGCTTGCGAGCAATGCGAGCCGTGAGCGCGAGCAAAGCAGAGTGTCTTGGCCGAGGGAAGCGGGGTGTCTGTGCCCGAGCAAAGCGAGGTGCGGGTCTGGGAGAACCGCTAGGTCGACCAGAGCGAACGCCTTACGCGAGCGAATCTATGCAGAAACCCAACTTACTAAGCGACGGGCGAGCGACAGCGAAGGGCAGAGCGGAGCGAGCCACATTGCGCCAAAAGGCGAAATACACCCCTTACCTTGGATAATTCAGGGTTGAAGGGCTAGGGCTGATGGTTGACAGTTGATGATGGATGGTGGTTGCTGGTTGATGGATGACACATTTTTCTAACGCTCATTATTGCTTCTCAGAAGCCGGGAGCTACGGCGGCAACGAATGCAAGATCAACGTTATCCAAAAGATTAATCACGATGGGGAGGTCAACCGAGCACGCTACATGCCCTTGAACCCAAACATCATCGCTACGCGCACCGTCTCGGGACCCGTCTATGTGTTTGACCGCACACGGCACACGTCGGCGCCTACCCCCGACGGTATCTGTAACCCGGAGATCAAGCTTGTTGGTCACACGAAAGAAGGGTTTGTACTCGATGGCTTTGCGTTTCTCATGTCTTTAGTCAGCGGCCTCCCAACTCACGCTTATTCCCACACAGATATGGCATGTCATGGCATCCAACGCTCCTGGGCCGCCTGATCACAGGATCTGAGGACACGACGATCTGCGAGTGGGATATCACAGGGGCTACTAAGGAGCGGAAAACCATGGCGCCGACACGGACGTACACGGGTCACTCTGCTTGGGTCGAGGTTCGTCGAGACATACTCCATCTTTCCATTCTCTGTGAGATGAAGATCACTGACCCCTTATATCGGAAATCGTAGGATGTGGCGTGGTCAGAACTCTGCGAACCGATATTTGCCTCTGTAGCCGACGACAAGAAGTTGATGATGTAAGGGCCTTTGCCCTTTCTTCCGTGAGCTGGACCTCGAATATGGATTCTAAACTGGCATTGTTTCTATTGACGTGTTTAGTTGGGACACGCGAAATCCCGCATCACACAAACCGCATACCAGCGTCGACGCACACACCGCCGAGATCAACTGCGTGGCGTTCAACCCCCAAAACGAGTTCCTCCTCGCTACCGGGTCCGCCGACAAGGTAGGAAAAAAAAACCATGTCCCCTCCCCCAAAACCCCCCGCAAGCTAACCCCTCCCCCCCCCCCCCCCCCCCCCCCCCCCCCCGTCCAATCTCACAGACAGTAGCCCTCTGGGACATGCGCAACCTCCTCCGCCCCCTCCACACCTTCGAAGGCCACCAAGACGCGATCCTCCAAGTCGAATGGGCCCCCTTCGACGGCAGCATCCTTGCCTCCTCGAGCGCGGATAGGAGGTTGAATGTGTGGGATCTCAGCAGGATTGGCGAAGAGCAGACGCCGGAGGATGCTGAGGATGGACCGCCGGAGTTGTTGGTAAGAAATAAAAGTCATAGGAAGATTGTGGGGGATAGGGGGGGTAGAAAGGGTGGAGGGGGAAGGGTGTTATTGATTGTGATTTTTCCATTTTTTTTAGTTTGTGCACGGAGGCCACACGAACAACATCGCGGACTTTGACTGGAACCGAAACGATCCGTGGGTGATGTGTAGTGTGGCGGAGGATAATGTGTGTCAGGTTTGGCAGATGGTGAGTTTTGAGACACACTTGGTGTGTCCAAAGGTTTCGTTTTCGTTTTTTGGTATCTGTGGTTGGTGATGAGCTGATGGGTTCGTGGTGTGATTGTGATTAGGCGAGTAACATATACAACGCGGAAGAGGTCGATGTGCCGGATACCGAGTTGGAGTAGGCATAGCTAGCCGTCTAGAGATTCGGATAGTACCACCCCGTGGGGTCTCGTCGACGCTTGACACCAACGCGGCGTGGTTGTTCTTGCCAGCTCTCGCCCACGGTCCCCTCTTGCCCCCCTGCTCCTTGCAACGCTCGCACCCCATCCGCCCCCCCAGCGAACGTACATTACATATTATGCACACACACACACCAGGGCTGTATCTCGCGGCGCCTGGGGCTTTTGTATTTTTTCCCCCTTTTTTGTGATTGTGTATTTTTGAGGTGGGAAATGAATGGGGTCAGATTTTTTTTTTTCCGGGGCGAGGCTGGGACCCAAACCCAACAGTGTCGAAAATGTCAATGGCGGGGATGGCCAGCGCCCCGCGTAAGGAATCGTATCGCGCCTGTTTTCGAGACGGCATGTGCGATATGGACAACCCTCCAGGAACCAACAAGCAAGCAAGCAAGGGGGGATGAAGGCTTTGCTTTCGCGGCTTTCGGGCCTTCCTTCATTTCATGGAACTATCTTCATCTCGGAACCCCAACCACAGCAATGCACAAATCTCGCTCTTCTGATGGTATCCTATATACACGCCTTTTGCTTCATGTATTTGCAGAGATGATGAAGTATGTCTATGATATATGTCTGCATGCTTGGGGAGAAATGTCCGCAGGGCAGAGAGAGACCCCCCATGTCCACCGCAAGCCTATCTACCAAATGTTAACAACCTTGTCCGCCGGACGGCGCATAGGGCCCACCGACACATTGTACGCTTTCCAGAACCCTTCAATGTCCGACAACGGCCCATTGATCCTGAAATGCGCGGGCGAGTGCACATCACTCGCAACCTGCTTGCGGGTCGACTCCTCCCTCCTGTTCTCACGGTACGAGACCGCGTACCCGGCAAAGAACTGCTGCTCAGGCGTGAGCGTCACGGCGACCTTCCCTGCGGCATCGCGGAGCACCAAATCAGGCAACCGCCCGTTCTTGGCCATGTAGTTCTGGAACGCAGAGAACCCGATCGCGACGCCGCCCAGATCGGCAATGTTCTCGCCGACCGTCGCGCTGCCGTCGATGTGCAGGCCGAGCACCTCGTACCCGTTGAATTGAGAGATCAGGCCCTCCGTGCGGTTCGCGAAGGCGGCCGCGTCCGCGGGCGTCCACCAGTCGTCCAATTGACCAGTTCCGTCATACAAACGACCATCGTTGTCGAAGCCGTGGGTGAACTCGTGGCCGACGGTACCCGCAGCCATGGAGCCGTAGTTGAATCCGAGGAGATCCTCTTTACGGCCGTATGCGGAGGGGTAGTAGTTGGGCGGGGTCATCATCGCGGCAGTGACGACGATACAGTTGACCAGAGGGTCGTAGTACGCATTGACCTCAGTGGGCGACATGTCCCACCGGTTCGTGTCCGGTTTCTTGCCCACCTCCGAGATAGCCTTCTTGGTGCGCGCGGCGAGGATGATGCGGCGGTTGGCCGCGTACGGCTTGGTGGCGCTCACGCCCTTGACCTCGGCATACGTGTTCCATGTCTCGGGGTACGCGATCTTGGCATTCACCATCCCCAATTTCTCAAACGCCTTCTGCTTCGTCTCGGCCGACAACCAGTCGCGGGTGGAGATGTGGTCCTTGAACGCAGCACGCACAGTCTCGACAATCTCTTCCGCGGTCGCCTTGTCCTGCGCCGAGAACGCGGCCTCCACAAAGGGGCGCGCAATCGTGTCGGGGAGATTAGCCTCCACGAAGCTCTTGACCTCCTTCCACCGCTCGCCTTGCTGTTCCTGCCCGCCCAGCGTCTTGCCAAAGAACTCAAACTGCGCCGTGGCGAACTTCTTGGGCAAGAACGGCGCGTTGGCGGAGAGGAAGTTGAACCGGATGTACTGCTTGAACACCTCGGTCGTGTTCTTTTGCGCGAGGAGGTCGCTGACGGTGGTGAAATACGCCGGGTTGTTGACAATCACAAACTCGCCGACCTGCTTGGTGCTGCTGAACCCCAACGTGCGGAAATACGTCTTCCAGTCAACGTTGGGCGCGGTGGCGGTCAGATTCGCAACCGTCAACACATTGTACGTCTGCTCCACATCGTCCCGGTCATCCACCGACAACGACGCAAGCGCGAGCGTCGACTCAAGATCCCGGATGCGCTTCGCCGTCGCGGTCGCGGCCTTCTTCCCCAATTTCGGGTCCGCGAGCGTCAACACCCGCGCGATGTACTTGACATACTCGGCGTGGATCGGGTCGGTCGCGTTCAGGAAGTAGTCGCGGGGGATGTTGAGCTCCGAGTCGGACAGATCGGACAAATAGACCACGTTCTTGGGCGTCTTCGGGTCCTTCGCGACCCCGGTCGTAAAGACCACACCCAGCGCTTCCCTATGCACGGTCGCGATCAACTCCACCAACGCGGCCGGCGTGTTCCTGCACTTCCTGATCATCCCCAACACATCCTCCACGGGCTTCAACCCAGCCTTCTCGATCAGCTTCACGTCCATCGCCGACTTGACGACGTTCGCAAACAGCGTGGTGTTCCTGGTCGTCTGCGCCTGCTCGAACAGGTTCCTGAGCACGTTGTCGACGTAGTTGGCGGACTCGCTGAACGCGGACACGGACGTGCGGTCGGCAGGGATCGGGTGCGTCTTCTTCCACCCGCCGTTCACGTAGTTGTCGAAATCCTGCTTGGGATCCACCGAGAGGTCAAAGTCGCTGATGTTGAACGGGACCCCCGGGCGCGTCACCACGGGGAGGGTGGTGGAGGTGGGCACCGCGGAGGTGGAGGTGCGGGTGGACGTGGACGAGACGGCCTTGGTGGGTGCCGCGACGGCCGGCGAGAAGACGGCGAGCGCCGTGGCCGCGCAGGCGAGAAGGAAGGTGCGGGCGACCATTTTTGGAATGTCCGCTTCGTTTTTTCCTGGCACGGAGAGAGACGAGCCACTTATATATATCTATACCCCGAGGCTGCTGGAGAAGAAGGGAAAGGGGCCCGATAAGGGCCGGCCCTTTTTTATACGATTTGGAGGAGCGACGGGGCTTCAAGTTGGAACTTCCGAAGCGGGATCCCATGATGTCCCCGATTTCCCCATGTCCACAAAAATACCCGCATGGACGTTCCGGACTTCATCGAAAATTCTTCCCCCGGTGGGCCGGTGGGATAATTTCATATCAAGCTCGCCGCGCACAGGCAACCGGCACGCACACGCTCCCCGGGGAATGTTCAATGTGCTCAAGGACAAACACCAGAACAAGACCCATATCCAATCCCACTTCTTTAGCTTTGAAATGAGAATCGGAGCAAACATCTCTAAACCAAACTGCAGATAGCCACACATCCCATCCCAGCCATCAAGTGTGTCATCAGGACAGCTGAACACCGATCAAGGCCCATCCCGGCAGGACGCCATCGTCTGCAAATTCGACGCCAATGTTTGTTGGCCCCACACCAGTGCAAGCGGTGTTACCGACGGGGGTGTGCGACGTCGATGTCCGTGAATGAATTTTTGTTGCAAAATTGACTTGCCCTTTTTGGGGCCGCGGGTTTGGAAGGTGGGAAGGTGGAACTTCGAAGTGGACGCGCACGGATGACATAAGCATCGGAGGGCTTGGATCGACGCGTTTTGGAACAGGCGGCTTGCAAAGCGGGATAGACCATTCAAGTATCGAGACTATTGCCTCCCCTACTGGCGCCGGGGATCAAGATGGCATTGTTTGATGATACGTTTAGCGCGAGTAAGAGCGAGCCCTAGTATACGGCCCCCGGCCGTTAATCTACCTCTACAACGGGCCCCGCCTCACACCCACCGACCAAGCCCTACCAGCACTCAACAGAATGAATCAACCGATCTCGGCGTCCCACCTTTCCCAAGCGTGCAAGAACCCCGCAACAGAACCAGCAATCGATATCTTCTTCCAGTGGGGATCCGTCGGGAACCGCTGAGAGGGTTAGCAGGACTACAGCGAATGATGTGACGCTGGTGCATGCGATGCCGAAATAACAGTTCAATGGGGCGGGATGACGGCGATACATGGAGAAATCGTTTCGGGGGGTATTGAAAGACGCTTCTGTCCTGTCCTCGGCGCTCGATCTTGTTGGGGATGCGAATGTCATGGCGATCGGGGCGTGGAATGGCTTGGGCGAGGGGACGGGGGTGGGGAGAGATTATCATTAGAGTGTGAAGGGGGAGTTGGTTGCTCCGACGAGGTTTGGAGTGAGAGGCAGTGTGTGGTGGGGAGTGCGGGGTGAGAGATAGGAGAGTGGCGCGGAGTCGGGGTGGTGGACGTGGGGGATTTGTACGTTGGTCGTGGCGGCAGTGCTTGGGGTCGTTTGAATGGGTAATTTTGGGGGGAAGAAAACGACCCGATTACGGAGAATACGGCCCGCAGCAGGACAGGGCCTTTGCATTGGAGCGATGTTCGCTTTCTGGAGTTTGTCATGCTATTAATAATACCAATGTTGATACATAGTTCGCCGAGAACTTCCTTATGCGGCTTCACTCGTGAAGAAATGCTTAAGCATGGGTGTAGCTTTCACAGGAAGCTGGGTTCCAGCTTCTGCAACTCCACATTTGGGCGGCGGTCGACATCTCGTGAGCGGTCCACCCCGACATTCTTACGCCGTCCTTTCCCTGAACGATGGTTCAGGGCATCCCTCTAGGAACGGATTCCATGGCGGAGATAACATCGCGGCCATTACACTTCGATCGCACAAATCGCTGCTCCCCCTCCCGGACCTCCATTCCTCTTCCCAGCCTTCCCTCCCGTGCGGCGAACCATATTCCAGTTTTCGCATATCCACCCAATCTTCATTCAAAACTCTCGGGCGGTAAGGTGATCCCTGACCGCAAACACGTAATCACCCTGCAGGACGACGTGGTTGTTGAGCTCGGAGACGGCGATACGTTCGGCGGGGATGAAGGATGCAAGTTCGCGGGCGAGGAACTGTGTGGGACAGGCGTGTGTGGGTTAGTTTCGTGGGTCAATGGTTCTTGGGAGCTTACGGCCGAGAACGCACGCTCAGATTCGTCCGCCCAAGAATATGTCTTTCGCATGATCTTGGATCTGCCCTCCATCCCATCTCCCAGTGTGCTCAATCAGCCACAACGTTACTCCCCCTGATCCTCCCGTCTCAACCCCAAAGCACATCAGCTCCCTCTCGGTAAGTTCCCCATATCCTCACCTCAGCACTCCCATCGACTCTCCTAATCGTCGTAATGATCTGCGTCCGGCCCTTTTCGTACGCCCTGTATACGGGCAGGTTGCCTGTTTTCGTTCGTCGGACGCGGTACGGGAGTGTGTCTGTAATTGCAAAGGGTGTGAGTAAAACGGCTTTCCCAAATGATACCGCCCCATCGCTGCTCGCTACCTTTCTTCCTTGCAGGTTCAGCGGTGGGATCTCCTATCAGCTCAGTCTTCATGACGGTCGGTCGCGGGCGGTTGCCGAGTGGTGCGCCGCGGTAGCCTCTCGAAGGAGTGAGTATGGTAGCTGCGGATCGTGGGAATAGCGGCGATGGCGTCGAAGGTGAGGCATTTTGTAGTGGTTGTTGGCGGGAAGCGGGATACGATCGGAGGCTGTGGGAGGAGAGTGTTCGCGCGGGTGTGCAACTGCTCAGAGAGGGTGCTGTCCGAGACCGCTGCGAGCGGAGGAGGGTTGTAGTTGCCCGTATCATGGGTGCTGTGCGAAAGCAGTGGTTGCTGCCAGGTGTGTGTCTGTTCTGCCTGTGGCGATGACGTTCTCTTGCCCAGTCTGATCCCGCAGTGCTGTGGAAAAGGCGAAAAAGAGCGACGGGAAGAAGCGCAGAGGAGCGCGTGTGGCGCAGTCATGGGAGTGCGACTAATGCGAGGTGTGATATTAACACCCCCCCCTGGGTGCTCAGAAGACGGACAGAAAACCCCTCGGGTCTCGCACAGCAACAGCAAGGAGAGCAAAAAGGCAGAAGGCCATATTCGGCTTGCTCTCATAATACCCGGAAAAATTACATAGGAGAGCGAAATGGCCGGTCGTGGGGGAGGTGGTGGAGGATGGCGAGGTGGTCGTGGAGGAGGCGGTGGGGGCGGCTTCGGCAGAGGACGGAGTGGGCTGGATATGCCCGATGACCTGGAGGTCCAATACAAAGAGACGCCGCTTTTTCCTGTGAGTGCTGAAGCCTCGCTCCGTAGCGTTGCTCTGGGTGGGAGAGTGAGCACTTTGTCTCCGGAAGTTTAAACCCGTCTAATTGGAGGCCATCACCGCGATCTCGCTACTTCCCTTAGGACTACCAACCAAATCCTTTTACTGAAATGAGTAAGGACGAGGAGCGGCTGATGGAGGGATGGAAACTGTTCATGGATACGTGCAAAGACTTGCCATACTACATCGACGTTGCACCACCAAAACAAGGTTCGCGTCCTTCCGATGTCTCCCTGCATATCGTACGTTGATCCTCACACAACCTCTCTCACACCCCAGACATAGAACGGTATTCAGACCGCTTCAAAAAGCCACAAAAAGCCGGCCGCAAAACATTCGCCACAGTCCCCACCGACCTCTCCTTTTTTCCGGACGAGCTGCATAGCGTCAAGGATGCGTCTAAAGCACCGCGAGCGGCCAAATTGGTGAAGAAGGATATTGATTTGAGCAAATTGGATGCGCTGGAGAAGGAGGAGGGGGCTGGTGGGAAGGTGCAGGCCGCAGGAGAAGACGACGATGACGATGAGTTGCCAGCAGAAGAGATCGACGAGGATCTCGAGGAAGACGATAACGACTACATTATTGATCATTATGACGACGAGTACGACGATTTGGATGGGGGTGGTGGCAGTGGACGTGAGTCTAAACGCTTTCTGTGGGCGTTCGGGTCGCACTTGACCTGTGTTGTGTTGTGGAACATCACTGATACGCTTATCTTTTTCAGAGGAGGATTACTCATAGCTGCCGCTGCTCTCCATCATGACATTATGTTGTCGCTCATTATCGACATCGTTTCCCACATGCGCAACAAGACAACCACTCGCCGAGAGTCGTATACTTTCGCATTTTATTTATGATATTTCATCGACAATCGATGCCGCGCACACCCATCTGTGTGCCTTTTTGGATCCCCATTTTACACGCTTCCGCTTGTACCATACTACAAAAAGATATCCCATGCATGCCGTACAACATAGCATGCGCATATCCCCCTCCCATCCCGACTCATCACATCCTACACACACAATACATATAGAGAGTTACGGGATGCCCACAATAAAGTCAAACCACTTCCGCCTCCACATTGTCCTTCTCATATCCTTGGCAGCTCTTCCTTTTCTTTCTCCATTCCCTCATTCATATCTCCATCCGTTCCATCAAACATTGGCAGAAGCAGCAACCATCGCGTCCCCGTTCGGCTCCTCCCGCCCAGCAGCTCCAGGAGTCACGATCTGAACAACAGGCGTGCCCCCAAGCCCGGGCTTCCCATCCGCCACCAATTTCTCCCCCTCCCTCAAAGACCGCACATCCCCTTCCTCATCTCGTGTTCCAAGAAGCATACTCAATCCCGTCGGTACGGACATGGACGCAGGCAGCATCCGGAACCCGAGGTTGATCATCTTCTTCACGGTGCCTGAGATGCCCATCGTCGGTGGTGTAGCTGTCATCGGGGTGGTGGTGGTGGTGGACGTCACCATCTCCTCCCGACTGATCTGATCCACCCCACCACCGAAAATCAACCCCCGCATCTCCGCCCGAAACTCATCCGCCAAGCCCGATCTGGTAGGCGAAAGCGGGTGGGCGGTCGTTACCTCCAGCGGGGCCACATGAGTTTGCGATGTGATTGGGTGCACGGGGGCTGATGGGTGGCGTATGTGGCGTGTAGTGGGGGCGGATAGGGTTGTGCGTGCGAGGGTGGGCGAGGGAAAGGGTGAGGGAGAGGGCGAGGCGGGGAGAGGGGTGGATAGAGCGTGGTGGAGGAGGGTTGAAAAGTTCAAGAGGGATTGGCATGGGAGGTTTTGTGGTGGTGTTGCCTCCGCGATGGTTGTAGGTGGTTCGGTATGGACTTGGGTGTCGTGTGCGGGCGGGGTGACGATGCTGGGCGTGTCGAGGGATGTGGGAATGAGGTCCGGTTCTGCCCCACCAGACGTTTTAGGAGATGTTTCTTCGGCAGGGTTGCCTGATATCGGTCCCGCGACGGCCGGTTCCACACCCGCATCCGCATCGCAGGAGGTCACCTCAAGCGATGTGCTTCGCACGGGAAGACCAGACGCCGTACCCGTCTCGGGCTGCGTTCTCTCCACTTCCGCGACGGGTGGTTCCGTGCCCGTAGGGACATCGCTGGTGGTCAGGTCAAGTAATGTGTTTCGAATGGGGAGGTTGGAGGGCGTAGCCGCTTCGGCATTCTTTATTTCTATCTCCGCGTCGTTGCTTTTTACCACTGGATCCGATTTAGGGAGGACGAACGGCGAATCCAACCCCGGCAAACCCGGTAAGTTCAACGCAACTTCAGTAGGAGGGATAGTTGTGGCTTTCACGGCTGCCGTCGCAGCACCAGCGCAGCTGGTCACTACAAGCGACGTATCTTGTACGGGAAGGTCGGCCGCCGTATTCGCCGTGGGATCCCTCGCATTAGCCTCCCGCTCTCTCTTCGTCAGCGCCTGATCGCCCTTCTTCACCGACAACGGTGATCTGGGAAGCACAAACGGCGCATCCAACCCGGGCAAACACGCTTTTTGCTCATCCAACACAAACGAATCCGAGCGTTTCGGCATCTCCGGCCGCTTGGCCTCCACCCGGACCTCCATCGGCTTCACCGCCATCGGACCCACCGCCAACGACAACGAAGGTGCCGACGCGTTGTTGTGAGCTCCCATACGGAGTCCGATTGACGACCTGCTTGCCGGTTTAGCGGGCATATTATGACGGATCTCGGTCGGATCCACGCCAAAGATATCCGTTGCATTTTCGATCAAGAACAAACACGCCGCTTCTTCCGCCGTCATCATCATGTCACCAGTCGTAGCTGTGGACGCCCCACCATCGATGCCGAACACGACCTTATGAACCCCCTTCACAATATTCTTCGAATACATGCTGAACACATCCCGCGTGCTGATCCGCTGCCAATGCGCAAACATCAACCGCAGCACGTCCTTGTTGGCGCCCGCGTACGGCGTCTCGCAGACAATGGCGCGGAATTCAGAGACCTTGTCCGTCAATTTACTGCTCGTCGTCTCCGCGTAGTGGTTCCGCAACCCTTGTGCCGCGCCGCGGAGCTGGTCGGCTATACCCCGGGGCAAGACGGTCGGCCCGGCCAGATCGCCATCAGCGCCCTTTTTCTTCACGCAGCAGAGTTTGATGTACGCCAAAACGAGCTTGGAGAGATACTTTGCATCCGCTTTAGGTTTATTGCCCGACCCGGCGGAGAGAAGGTTCCAGGTCGCGATACTCGGGCGTGCCAACAACTGCGACACCGGCTCGCGGAGTTTATCTTCTTCGCCTGCCGTCAACGCAGCATACAACAACTTCTCATTTTTCCCGCTACGCTCGATATCCCCAAACGCACGCTGCAGGAGCTCGTACGTCGTGATCGGGTCGTTCGCGCACCCGGCGTTCCGGCCCGCACCCGGAGACTTGCCGCCGATCCCGAACATCGAGCTGATCGTCCGGCGAGGGGTGGGAGACGCCGCCCGGCTGTTCATCATGCTCCCCGGGATCGGCGGGCGTGCACTACTCCCCGGTTTACCCCGGTTCGGCATCGTGTAAAACGGCGGCGGCGCCGCATCCCCGTTCCCAAATCCGGCGATCGACGGCCTCCGCCCCGTTATCCCCTTCAACGCCATGCTCAGTCTCCTCACACTAATGCCCCCGCCGCCGCCGCGCGGACCCGCCGGCTCCTTTGGCGTGTTGATGTTGGACTCTGTCGCGAGTGAGGCGAGCGAGGCGATGGAGGTTGAGCGGGAGACGGATTGGGACGGGGCGCGGGAGGTCGCGCAGGAGGAGGCGAGGGATTGGGCGGCGCAGTGGGTGGTGATTATGGAGTGGAGGAGGGGGAGGAGGGTGGTGCGGAAGTGGGGTTGGTGGGTTTGTTTGGTGGTTTTGAGGTGGTGGTGGGTTGTTGTTACTATGGCGGTGAAGTGAGATGTGAGTGGATACGCAGGAGGGCAGAATGGACGACGATTGACATGTGATGCATGGAGAAATTCCGTGGTGGACACCTCGCTACTCACCTTCCTCCAACACCCTCCGTCGAACACCACCCACAGCAACGCACTTCTCCGCGGCCGTATAGTCGCTCAACTCCGTGTACGGCGTCTCAGCCGTGGCAAACTCCCGTGGCGCGGCAAGATGGAGCCATGTACGCCCGTCGTCTGCGTACTGTACGATTCCGAGTGCGTCTGCATTGAGGATGAGTGTGAGATGGGTGAATAGGGGGATTTGAGGTCATGGGGTAATGAAACTTACGGTACGATCCTTTGACTTTGGCTACGATGTCCCAGACGTTGGACCCGGCCGGGCATACAATCAGGCCGATAGATCCCTGGATATCGCATACTCGAGTTAGAACACAACCATAGTAATCCAGCACGCGCACAACCAGGTTTCCAACGCACCAAACGCCCTCCAGTCAACCCGGCCAGATGATTATAGTACACATCCACGCCATTCCAGGTCTGCGCATACACCGCAAGCGGTTTCTGTACCGTTTGCGATTTCGGTCCTGTTGTGCACGACGCAGTTATATTGGGGATGAACTGGACATTGGCGGTGAATGTGGGGAGACCTTACCCTTATTCGGTTTGGTTAAGAGATAGATCTGGGCGTTCCGCGCGGCTCGCAGGAACTCGTTCTTGCGGGAGATGTTTTCGGCCCGGATGGCGCGGGTGCCGTCTATGATGTCCTTGAGGCCGATTATGAAGTCTGGTGGCGCAAGGTGGGGGAACAGACCGTTAATGAATGCAAGTGCGCCCACTTAAGAGCTTCAGGCCGCGTACCATGCTCATTGAGATTCGCAAGCACCATCTTCTGCAGCTCATACACATAATTCTCCTCATATGGGGATCTCTTCCTTCTCGTAGACTGTTTCGGATTCGCAGGCCCGCGCACCGCGACGAGCACGCAGGTCGAGAAAAGGAGCAGCGTGACTGCTTCGCAGGGTGTGCTGCTCACTAGATTATCCAGTGTTTGGGCTCGTAGCTCGAAGAGGAACAGTGTACCCGCTTTGGCGAGGGTGCCCCCGGTCTTGAAAACGCAGTCCATAGCCAACGGCAGTTGATCCTCCTCCGCCTTCTTCTGATAATCCTCCATCACGGCCAATAGACTGCACACAGCGTCCAGGGCGCCACGGACATGCGGGCGGGCTTGATGGTCCCCGGGCAACAACTTCATCAAATTCTCAAACCCGAGCTTGTACTGGAACGGTCTTTGGGAGGGCAGGAACCTCAAATCGCTAAACGACGTCGGTACGCCATCGGACTCCTCGAGGCGAGTGCTACAATCGGTAATGAACTCTTGGAAATCGGGGTTTGTCTTAGGGTCCCGCGCCACGGCGACCGCCAGGCGTCTGGCATAGGCTGAGTAGGCCTTCACGCTATTCGGGCTCGTAAGTATATCCGCAAACGCATCGCAGAAGCGACTCATGCCTTGCTCATTGGCGAGGTCGCCCAGTTGCTGGAGCATCTGATCCGACACGGCCACCAGCTCGGCCATGTCCGGCGCGATCTGCCGGAGAAATTCACGACTGCCTACACTAGGCCGCACCCGACCTCCCGTCAGTCGAAGCACGTAGCCCTTCTGATACAGCTTCAGTTTCCCGTTGAAAGATCTTTCTATTGCCATCATTTCTAGTAGTGTGCCGCGGACTTTTGGGCTGTCGATGTGTGTCGGCGGCGTCCTCTCGGACTCCTTCGCGATCCCGCTGTCTATTGTTTTCGGGGCTGGCATGCAGAGACCGAGATCGACGAACGCTCGGCACTCCTTCTCGGGTGAGATGAATTCGTGTAGCGTGGTCCCACCAAAGGCGTCCATGAGCGCCGCAGGAGGCGCCGGGGCTGCACCCACATTTTCCGCCCCGTTGCCAAGCTGTGTGATCACATCCACCACAACATGGTCCACCTTGTCCTCCGCCCGCCACACCGGATCCAGCGCCTCCAGCATCGGCACCGGGTTGCTACGCACCAAACACGTCTCCTGCTCCGCCATCGCTGCAAGATCCGCAATCTCGTCGGACTCTTCCTCTGTATGCGGTGGCGAGTGCAGGAATCCTGCTGAACGCAGACTGGCCGTTACCCATGGCTGCGACAGGTACGCCCGGAGAGCGGCGTGTACAATCGGTGAGTCGGATGTGATGGCGGCGCTGACGCGGTGCGAGCTGAAGCCCTGAAAAGTCCGCATAGGACGTTAAGTACACAATTTTGATGCGCTGGCAGCCAGGAATGAGGCCGAATCAGACTACGTACATGAGGCGAACGAATATAAACCTCGCTCTCGACCGGCGGCTCCTGAACCAGCTTCTTACTACTCCCTTTCCGATCCGGCTGCTTCTTTGTGATCGTTGCAAACACATGCCCAAACATGGCCGGGATAAAGAAGGTAGGCCCCGCCTCCTGTTTCGCATCATTCTTCTTCCGCACGTCCGCGACTTTCTCGACCTTCGCCTTGCCGCCGATCAGACTCGTGCGGCTGCTCCGCGCGCTTGGCGTCGGTGGTCGGCCGTAGATGCGCTCGGCGGCGGTTGCGGCTTGCAAAGCAGGAGATGCAGTTGTGATCGCGGCGTTGGGGCTTCTCTCGCCGTCCGCTGGGTGTGCTTTGTCGCCTTTGGGAACGCTGACGCTGATGTTGTCCCTTGATTTGAGCGGGAAGGGCTGCGGTTGGGTTACTTCTGGGCAGATTGTGAAGCCCGCCTCGGTCAGAGCGCTCTCCGCAAGCTGTAAAGAATGAAGGGGTTGCGAGTCAGTCCCAATACGTCAAAAAGACCTCGGGCATGAGAGAAACTGATCCCGTGCAAGGAAAAGTGTCAAACATACCCGGGCAATGTCTTCCTCGGTGGCCATGACGGAGGAACGAGGAGCAACAAATGAGCTTGAGAGTCTCCGCAGTGTAAATGAATGAGTATTTTCCAGTCCGATGACACAAGGGAGAGTATGGAAAGTGAAAAAGTCGGGCACATGCGACTGACAACAAAAGTTGACAGGATTGACGGGAACGCGAGCTTATATAAGCGAGCGGAATCGCGTTTTTGGCTGAAGTTGGCCCCGGCGCATGCAATTCTCCAACTTGCCGCCATAACCGACGGTGCGGCTCTGCAGGAAGGTCCTAATAAGTACTACTCATGACGTTCTATTTCTTCCGGAGACACGCATTTTGAGATTCCCGCCTCTACAAGAGTTCTAGACGTTTGCGAGGGATTCTGATGGCAAAGCATATGGATGCCAAAACTGTCCTTTATGGAGGGATGTCTTCTAGCCCACATCCCACATCCAATTGAGAATTCACCCTAATTTCTACACCCGCATTCGAGCAAGCGTTGAGGAAGACACAGCAATATGCCTGCACCTAAAAACACCCGGGGATCTGACAAGACCGCATTTCCGGGGGTGGAGAAGAGCGAAAACGACGACGAGATGCGGAAGAGAAGCGACAAGGAGCCTGGCGGTGGCAGTCGCGAGACAACCACCACCCCAGCCAACTCCAGCGAAACCTGCGCGGACCACCCAACAGGGACCATCCAACCCACCCGCCTCACCGCCGCGACCACCATCGACAAACTCAAACCCCCCACCTACTCCTCCCGCACCCCGCTCCTCCTCCGCGTCACCTTCCTCTTCCTCCGCCCACCCCACAACAAAACCCAGCACCTCGTCGCCCTCAACCACCCCCACGCCGTCACCGACCTGCTCACCCTCGCCGCCAAACTGCTGCGCAACCTCCACTCCGTCATGGTCCACCCCCTCCCGAGCGCGGACGATGTGACGATCAGCGTTTATGAAGTCGTGAGGGATGACGAGGGCCGGGATGTGCTGGCAGCCGAGGGGGAGAGGGGGGAGGGGTGGAGGCGGGTCCGAGAGAAGTATGCGATCACTGCGGGGATTTCATGCGGGAGGGGGATCTGGTCGGTGTTTTGAAGGGGGAGAGGTATCTGGTTGTGCATTCCGGTATGTGTTTTGGGGCCCCCTTTTTCGCAAAGGGATGCAGATTTGAACATTCTCTCTCCACACACACATACCAGGCTGGGACCACAAGCTCCCGACCCCGACGCTCGCGCGCCTCCCCCCCGTGCCCACCCAACCCGCCCCCCCCCCGCAAACGATCGCAACATCCCAACACAAAACACCGACAACTCCCACCCCGCGCCGCCCGCGCCGCACCTTCTGGACCGACCTGCGCCCCGCCGCCCTCCCCTTCATGCTCGTCATGGCCATCGGCTTCCTCCTCCCCGTCCTCTTCCCCTCGCTCATCGGCCTGCCGTGGCTGAGACGCAAGTTTATTGATGATGAGGAGTGGGCGAGGAGGGAGGCGGAGTTCAGGGAGGCCGAGAGGAGGGTTGGGGAGAGGATGGGTGGGGTGTGAGCGTGGTGGGAGATGGACGGGCGGATAGGGAGAGGGAGGAAGAGGGGGAGTTGGGGTAGATGTACATCTACGAAATCTAAAATTCAAACACTTTTCTCAAACCCCGCAAAATGCTTCAGTTAGGGTTAAAACTCTTCCGCTCCATCGACACCAACTGACAGTGTATAAGTTTCAGTCAAGGAAGAAAGTCTCATGACCTTGGAATTGACTGAGCAGCCTTCAGGTTGGTCGAGATGGCCGTGATCATTCTTGAGAAAGACCAGACATCCGGGCGTTTTTCCTAACGGTATTCTCAATTGTATTCTCAACCAAACTTGTTCGGAAAAGCATCTATTACATCCTAACAGTCCATCAAAATCTACTCTACCGTCTATGTTGCAATCCAGAGCAATCCCGATTTCTGACCCCAGATAACCACCTCCCAAGTCTGCTAATCTACTGCATGCAGTCCGCCGACACAAAGCTCGGACAGGGGGGATGTGATACGTTACGCCGAACAATTCGGTTCGCGGCAACGATGCAAATGCAGAGCCGAGACCATTGCCTCCCGGTGCGCTGGGCCTGTTCCAAGCCGATTGCATGCGCAGAGGGGTGGACGGCGGGTGGCGAAGGCCGTCCGTTAGTTTTGCGTCGTGCTTTCTTGACTACGTCTGTCTGTGTGGGTCGACATTGAAAGACTCGCTCTCCCTTCAGATGAGATCCTCCTTATGCTCCGCATCCGGCACAGTCCAATCCAACGGGTACGTCGCGCCTTCCGGGATCTTGAATTCTGCATCCCCAACAAACAAGTCAGTCATTTCCCACCACACCCTTAACACCCTCCTCCCGCCAAACAACGTACCTCTCAACGCCTTGAGCACCTCCCCAACCGTGTCCCCGACAACAACCAACCCCCTCGCCCTCTCCCCCACAAACCCCTCCCTCACCGCGCCAGAAATCATCGCCACCAGCGGATCATAGTACCCGTTCGTGTTGACGACCCCAACAGGCTTGCCGTGGATCCCGAGCTGCAACCACGTGATGACCTCAAACAGTTCCTCAAACGTGCCGTAGCCGCCCGGGAGCGCGATGAAGGCGGACGAGTGCGCGGCCATCAGCCGTTTGCGGGTATGCATGTCCTAAAATGAAACCGGCTAGGTGAATATTGTCCCCCGATTTCCTAAGCGATGAGTGGGAGATAGTTACGCACGTTGACGACGGTGATCTCACCGATAGCAGCCATCCCCTCCACCCCCGTCAACGCCCTTGGCATAAACCCCAGCACCTTCCCTCCGGCCTCATGCACCGCTCGCGCAACCGTCCCCATCAATCCCATGTTCCCACCCCCATACACCAATCCAATCCCCTCCTAAAAAAATGAAATCACACAATGAGTGGATGATACAGTGGGAGGGTGCCGGGGGGAGACGTACGGCAACCATGAGGGCGCCTAAGGCTTTGGCGTCGGCTATGTAGGCGGGGTGGGTGCCTGGGCGGGAGCCGCAGAAGACGCAGATGGTCTTCAGCTCGGTTGGCTGGGTGGCGGACATTGGGGTTGAGTTGGTTTTCGAGGTGTGAGGTGGGTGAGATTTGCGAGCCGTGGACGGTGGACGAGAGTGGTGGACGGATATATGTGAAGTGGGTCGAGTGTGGTGGGACGATGTCGCAGCGGCTTCTCTTTTGTATGCGCCGTTCTCTTCGGGTGTTGAAGGTGTTCCCACCACAGCGAGTGAAAACATCAACAAGCGCATCGCGAGGAAAACGCCCCACTTGGACGACTCGCATCCTTTCCCGGAGAAAAAAGTCCATATTTTCACGACAAACATACATGTACATGTACTCCTCCCTCCACACACCCACGGTATCCATCCATAAAAACCAGAAATCCTAAAAAAAAATCCTATGCCGCCCCACCCCCCCACCCATAAGATATCTCCATCTCCGACAACGCACCAAACCCCGCAGAAATCATCCTTCAAACCCTCCCCACCCCACTCCGTCTCACACCCATCATAAACCCGCCGACCTTCTCCACATCCACCTCGCGATCACTCTCCACCGCTTTCAAGAGAGGGTCCAGCATCGCGTCGACGGATTCCAGGGGGACCGAGCAGCATTGGGAGATGAGCTTCTTGCAGAGGAGTTCTGTTGGTGTCGGTTGCGGGTGGAGCGGGCTGGTGGGTGAGGGGGTGAGCGCGGTGGCGGTAGGGGAGAGGGCGGACGGGGTGAGGGAGCGGAGCCGGGCGATTTCGGAGCGGAGGTGCCGTTCGGTGCGTTCTTTCGTAGCGAGTTGCGCACGCAGCGTCTCGACCGTCGGTATCGTTCCATTCTCGCCATGTGTTGCCTCTCCGCTTCCATTCCCATTCGCACCGCCCTCATTCACGTTCACCCCATTCTCAACATCCCCCGCATGCACATCATCCCCCTCCGCAGCCCCCGCTGCCCCCTCCACCACCTCCCGCTCTCCTCCCACTCTAGCCATCTCCCCCCCCAGAACGCCCTCCAACCCCCTGATCCTCAAAATCATATCCGGCAAGGTCTCATTCTCCTCCCTCAGTTTCTGATTCATCTTCCGGACATTCGCCAACTCGCGTGTGACCTGTCGTAGCTGAGATCGGACCTCGTCCAACTGTGTGGTCCGCGCGGCCATTTCGGTGGTGAAGGTTTGGGACATTTCGTCGACCATTTGTTGGACTGCTGTAATTTCGAAAAAAAAAAAGATGAGATGGTTGGGTTTTGGGTAAGTAATGGGGATGACTGACCAGAATATGAGATGTAAAAGGGTGAAAGAGACAAAACCTACCAGAAGCAATCTCACCCCCCTTATTCGCACTCGCAACCGCACTCAACGCCAACGCCGCATCCTCCTCGTCCGTTCTGATGCTCGGAAACACAACCCTTGTCATCGGTTCCCCGGCCTCCATCCCCGCCGCCCAATCCCCACCCCCACCCCCACCCGCACCGTCCCCGCTCTCCGCCGCAACCCCATGCATCTCCGCCGTCCCCAACAGATCCTCAAACCCAAAATCAATCGGCCTCACCCCCGCGCGATTCTCAACCGTCGGGTCAGCGCCCACGTCGACCAGCTGCTCGACCAGGTTCCGATTCCCGACCCGTGCCGCGACGTTCAGAGGCGTGTCGCCCGCGTAGTCCTGCGGATCGACAAACGTCGCAAAGTGGCCCCCGCCGTGCCGCGCCACCCATTCAAGGAAACATTCCGCGTAGTACCGGGACGCGGCGACGCGGCCCTCCAGTCCGGCGGTGGCTGCAATGTGGTGCAGGACGTTGCGGCGTTTCGCGTCGAGGAGGGCCACGGTCGGGTGCAGGAGGTGTAACAACTCCGGGAACGTCTGCGTGTCGTAGTTGTTGGTCACGCGGACGGCGCGGATCAGGGCCGTCTCGCCGTCATTATTAACGCTACGGATATCTGCGCCTTTTTGGAGGAGGACGCGGACGACGTTGATACGTGCCAATGCCGCCGCCCAGTGGAGGGAGGTGTGGCCTTGGTCGTCGATGATGATGTCGAGGTCGAGGTCGGGGGGGAGCACGGGCCCGGAGAGGATGTCGGGGATGTAGGAAGGGTCTTCGTGGACGAACATGGCCATGAGCATTGCGCGGTACTTTTCGGCGTTGGTTTCGATGGGGGTGTCTGAGAAAGCGTCGGGATTGCTCGCGCCTGCTAGGGATGTTACAGTCTCGGTCTCGTCTACGTGATTGTTATTGTTATTGTTGTTGTTGTTCTTTTGCCGTTTGGCGGGAGGGGAGGAGACGGCGGGATGCTGGCTGTCGTCGCCGTCACCTGCCTGCTCGGGCTCAATCTCGACCATGCGCTTGTTGGCGCGGGCTTTACCCTTTTTCTTGGGGCCCTCGGCACCACCTGCATCGTCGGTTGCATGGCGGGCTTTGGTCTTGCCCAAGGCGATGTTGTTGGCTGCTGCGACCGCGTTGTTGCGCTTAATCAGGTCGCGGTTGGCAGCGTAGACTTGCTCCTTGGTCGGCGTGTGGTCGGAAAGGCCTGGGGCAGGGAACGCGAAATCAAAGATAGGTTGTAGTGCAACCTCCACATTGTATTGTTGGGCTAGTTGAACACCGCGCTGGAACGGAACCCTGTGGAAGGGAAGGAAAATGATTGTCAGCGTTCTCACTCGGTACAACGTTTCAAAAGACATGCAAGGCCACGACAACTCGCGGCGATACATACCAAGTCCCCTGATACTTCCCATACCCCCCCTGCACCTTCTCATGCTCGCCCGTCATAACCTCCTTATCCAAAATCTTCGTCCTGCGCCCCTTATCCACACCCGCAACCTTCAAAATCTGCGTCGCATTCAAGTACCCGTCGCTCTTCCTCCTCATCACCGCAACACCATTGGCCATCATCTCGTACACGCCGATGCCAGAGTATACGGCCGAGTAGATCTCGCCTTCGCCTGCGAGGAGCTGGATTTGCACGGTGCCTGGTATCGCGGGGGTTGTGGCCGGGTCGATTTTGGCGATCAGGTCTTTGGAGTCTTCGGTGTCCATTGCATCGTCGTCGGTTGGGCGGGCGGATTGGGTATAGATGTTTCGAGGGGATACGCCGCCGAGGCCGGATGAGGAGGATGCGGATTCGGTCAGACGCGTGAAGGCTGGGATGTGGATTTGGGGGAGGGGTGGTGGGCCCGTGGCACCGCTCGCGGAGAGCATGGGCGGTGGGCCGCTGCTGCTGCTGCTCCCACCGAGGGCGGTGGGAGTTGCCGACAAGCTACCACCGCCGCGATTGAAGAAGCTCTGCAAGAAGTCCGGTGGGGCGCTTCCTGGTCCTCCTGCGCCTCCTGTAGCGGACGAGGATGGCGCCATTGAGGAAAGCATAGGATGTGGGGAATACGAGGATGTATGCGGCGTGCCGGTGGTACTATTCAACGTGGACGAGTTGTATTGAGCAGCGCGCTGAGAGAATGAAGGGAAAAGCGTGGAAGAGGGCAACGGTGAGTAGGAGGACGACGGGATGGAGAGGGGCGTCTGTTGCTGTGCTTGCGTCGCACCGCTCAACGCCGTCGCTGGTTGCTGTGGGCGAGACATAGCGGACTGATAGTACGGAGGAAGTGGGGTTGACGTAGACGTCTGGTGCTGCTGGGACAAGGAGGACGTCGTAGTGGTTGCATTAGCAGGAGGAGGACCCGTTGCTGATGGGCCAGCTTGAGGTTGCGGCGCCGAGTCGTTATCAGCGCGTAGCATGGGTGCCTCGTTTTTCTCAATTGCGTCACGGGTTGGAAAAAACGGGTTGGAATTAAGCTTAAGCCTCTGCGCGACGGTTTGCCTTTCCCCGGGGAGTTGCGCCTCAGACGTTGATACGCTTGGACTGTGAGTGAGTGAGAGAGACGGAAGTGCGTAAGTGAACCGAGGTAAGCTTATTTTTCGATAGCAAGATTGCACGAAGGGGAAAATGGGGAAAAAGAGGCCCGCAGCAGGTTGTGGAATGCGGACGTGTTTTGGATCTGCCCATTTGACCCGTTGAAATGCATATTGCCGGCTAGTCTCCGGTCCACCATCCCCGTATGGAAATAATTAGCACGACACTCACCTTTATGGGTTCAGGCTTGGGGAGGCCGCAGCGACTTTTGGGAGTGGGGAGCGGTAGATTCCACGTGGGTTTCTTTGTTCGTTTGGCGTTCAAGGACACGAGCAAGCGAGGAAGGCGATAGCAATAGGCTAGGAGGGAGGGCGACGAGCGGACAGTATACGCTAGGGGGGGGTTGCTTATGGCAGTGTGGTTGGTGCTGGGGGTGGGTTGTCAGGTCGTGTTCAGTTCGTGTAAGTTTCGTGAGGGAAGCGTTGCGCCGTCTGGCCCCTTCTGTCCCCCTGATTCTACGTTAGCCTCGCGATTAGGACTCACACGCTCCATTTCGCGTCGAGAGAGAGAGAGAACACGCGTTCATCAATTCAGGCGGCGGCTTTTCACCCGCTGCATTGACTGTATTAAAAGAGGAGGGACCGAGGAATTTGTGCATTTCAACACAACGTCGGTTTCGCAGCACATGAGGGACACATTTTGAATGTGGATCGAGTGAACTACGGTGGTGGGTAAAGCGGTCCATAAACGACGAGTGAAGTTTTTCGCAAAACAGTCGTAGTAGATATGTATGTCTTTAAACAAGCAGCTTCATCAAAGTCTGCTAGGACTGGCTGCTTCCCTTCGAAGCTGATCAATCGCCTCAGGAACACCACCAAGTGGGCAACTCCAGTGTTACTCCACCCTTGCGTGTCGCAAAAACTCGCTGACAGTCAAGAGGGTCAAGGTAGTATACAGTCAGTGCCGCTTGTTTTGCAACTGTGCCTAACAACCAACAGTACGTGGATTTGCGTGTCCAAGATCGATCAACGCGTTTGTGATGTGCTTACGTGATGAAGAAATCGCGATCGTTGAGGGAAGGTTCGAAACACAAGCAGAGACTGACGAGGAGAGAGGGGAGAACAAGCGACGAGAACGAAGCAAGAACAATTCATTAGTATACGTACCCAACCCAACCCAAATCAAGTTTTAATCAACCAATCCCGTTCATCGCTCAATTGGGTTTCACATTTGCCACCAATGAAGAAAGAATGCGCCGCCGCTCTCGCTTTCTTCCAAAACCCGTTTGAGATGATGATGCGCACACAAATAAACCCTAATAAGATGCAAAATGCGGTGAATGTCGAGCAATCGTTGTTTCACAATTGGAATCGTGCGCAGAACAGGGATACCTGTCCGATTGTTGTCATTGTCTTCTGTCTGTCCGTGCGCCGCTATCTACGCGGTCGGTCGGTATGCCGTTGCAAGGCTCTATCTACTACACCGATACCGTTGGCGGACTTTGCAGGAAATCCCCAACGCCCGCCGAGAGAGGGCAGGTATACTGTATGTGATCCCCGCTACAATAATGGTCCCCCCAGCAGGTCCTCGCAAAACGTTTAAAAGAGCACCGGCACCAGCACCAGCCCCCTCTTCCCAACAGACACCGACTCCTCCATCAACCTCCATTCACACATCACAAACTCAAATACATTCGCACGGTCGCAAACAAAATCAACATGCACATCTCATACCTCCTTCTCGCCCTCGCCTCCACCCTCACCTCAACAACCCTCGCCGCACCCACCCCGCAAGCCTGCTTCATCTCCACCAAATCCGCCCTCCCCGCCGAAGTCGCCTCTTCCATCCCCGCCCTCGCCCGCACCATCCGCTGCTCCACAACCACCTTCCTCCAAACATCCCCCACAAAAATCCCCGACCTCATCTCGGGATCCACCTCCTTCTCATCCATCGATTTCCGCAACTCCGCCCTCGACCCGCTCGGGTTCGCGTTGGCTAACTTCGCCGTCAACGACCCCAAAACCGCGAACTTGGCAACCCTGACCGAGAAACTGAACGTCTACCTCGCCTTCGAAGCCGCCCTCCGCTCCTCCGGCGCGAGCACCAGCGCATTGACAAAGGCCAAGGTCCCCAAATTCTTCCTGCAGTTCCAGCTGGCGAGGGTCGAGGTGGCGCAGACCGGGAAGACCGCCGTCGCCGGCGGCGTCGAGCATCAGAGGGCAAAGGTTAGCAAAAATGCGGCCGCCATCAGGGCTTCGCAGGCCGAGCTGAAGGAGTTGGCTGCTATCAAGGCGTAGGGGCATATGTATGAATACGATGGTTTGGATTGTTTCCCCCTTTTGGAGTGCGCTTTTGTGTATAGATGTGTTTTGTAGATTTTGTTTAGAGTTCTTGTTTTTATTATATAATGTGCATACGCGAATCGATTACTTGTGCAGAATATGTTGTCGCCATGCATAAGTCGCCACGTCCCGGCAGAGGACGAAAACAGAGAAGGAGCGTTGAGGATGCCGGTGCGCGAGAACAGGGTATGATAGTCAATTATGGCGATATATACAACAAACAGGTCTTCAATTCACATTTCACGCCGTTCGCAGAATCAGATGAACGCCGCTGTCGGAAAACACCGGCTGGCTCAGTTCGCCGACTTGAAGGGCGTAGGTGGCGTTCTCAAATGCGGCTGGTGGAAATCCAATGTAGCTGATTGTCAGTGCTCATTGGCCAGATAAAGGCAGTTGGAAGGACATTTAACGACGTGCCTTGCATATCACCCCGCCCAAACACCCCGAGATCGCCACCGCGTTTGGCGGAGCTGCAGTCGGATTCTTTGCTAGCGAGTTGTGCAAAGTCTGTGCCGGATATGAGTTGGGTGCGGAAGTCTATGGGTAGGAGACCTGAGCATGTGAGCGCGAGGGGTTCAGAGAGGAAAAGGACGGACTTTACCATTGATCTTTTGCAACGCCTCCTCTTTCGTTCGCGTAATGTTATCCTAGAAATATCTCAGGGTGAGCTTCTCCCCACCATCCCAACAACCCATCACACCCCGTCCCCGCACCTACCTCCTTCCAACTCTTAGGGTTCCGACTCTCCCGATGCTTCACCAGCAAATGCGACGCGCGCACTTTCTCCGCCGTCGCCCCACCACCACTTGCAGCACCCCCGACGAAACCGGGCGGCTTTTCCCATAGACTTTCGCCGGTGTTGCGGTTGAAGTAGTAGGCCCGGCTGCGGCTTTTGGAGAAGCGTTCCTGTTGGGTTGGGGAGGGTGAGGTGGTATGGGTGAGACGGTGGTATTTGCCGTCGACGAGCATCGTTCTCTACGACGCAGTTCTCTCGGTGTCGCTCGATACTTTTGAGCTCAGCTTGGTTTCGCTCGGTCTCGCTGGCCTACCAACAGTCCCATGCCTAAGGCACAGTGGCCCGCCTTCGCTCTCACTCTGCTCGCCTCACTCCACCTCGCCATCCTCAAACCCCTTTGTGCCTCGCTCCTCTCCGTACCTCCCATTCGTCGGCCTAATTTGGACAAAAATGGCGACCCGTGTCAATCTTGGGAAGATGTGAAATCTGCAACTAGAAAGATATCACGCCTTGCGGTCGGACGTACCATTTTGGAGCTGTGCTGTAGTAGTTATGTGGGTAATGAGGTTCGATGACCACAGACAAGTTCGCTTTGCTAATTTGTTGCTGCGAGTTTAATGTTTGAGACTGGTTCGAGATCAGTTCGAGACGTTATGGGCATGGAACGCGCGGGTTGCAACCAGCCTTGAGACGAAGCGCATCTGAGCTTTCCGGCCAATTCCCGTGCTGTAGCCTGTCATCACCTGCTGCATATTCCAACTGTGGTATTGGGTATTGAACAGCAGCGACCCAAGCGGATCGTATCTACATAGCCTCGTGTGCGCTACTGCCCATCCTTTCCCATTGACCACCGAAATCCGGAGTGGAGCCCTTTTCGAGATACGAGCTGTGAGTGGTCTTTTGATTTCGTTGCGGTAGCTATCGTTCTACCTGCTCGATTTTTCTCATGCACGTCTTCTTTGGCAGTGAGAAGCTAACATTCACCGCCTGCGACCTTTGGCCATCATCTCTCGCTGCTGCGCATGCTTATAACAGTTTAGTTTGCAAGCCATCGTTGTTTACACAGCGCACAGCCTGTAGTCTTCTCGGGGTTGCTGTCGCACTCCGACTCCCGCTTCTATTTGCGAACGTCAGCCTTTTTGTTCTCGTACGTTTCTGGGTCCTGTTTTCATGAGCGTGGTTGAGCGAAACCACACTTTGCCGTCGTTTCGCTAACGATGTTTCTTCCATGGCGTAGTCACTGCCCGGTTCCGACATTCGATCACTGCGCACACTCTTGGTTCTGCTCGAAAGTGAACGCAAACGCTCTGACCGAACCGCCGCGGAACGGACAGTAACAACATGGCTCAGTTCACACTCCCTCCGGAGATTATCCTCTTCATATTCGACGAGGTTGACCACAGTACAGCAAAGCGTATGGTCGAAGTTTGCAGAGAATGGCATGGGATACTATTGCGACCGTTATATCAAGATATCTTACTGAAAAATCCGGCGCGCTTTCTTGGGCTCTTCACCACGTTGACCCAGTTTCCGGAACGCCGCAATTGGATCGTCAGTTTGGTCCTCGAAACTCTCCCAGGCCCTGAGGAGGGCCCTGTCCTCTGGGGTTATTCTGATACGGCATTGGCAACCGCCGTGCTTCGAATGTGCGGACCTCAACTGGAGTTCGTAAAGCTTAAGCTTGAGAATAAGAAGCTTGATGTGCCGGAAGACGAAGATATACAGGAAGACGAAAGAGAAACTCACGAACAGCGGTTTCGTATCTATTGGGACGCCAGAACTGGTCTCCTACAGCTGAAACTCGGCGACACAAATGGAAACCCGTATTTGATCAGTCTGGCTCTGGATATGATGTTCCTAGTGAGCGGTGACATTCGCGACCTTGAGATTATCAGTACTCAATGGCCGGAGGTTGGAGAGTTCAACTTCCCGACGCTCCCGCCAATGCCCAGGTTGGAACGATTGCTGACGATGTATTCGAACGCATTGCCCGTGTTTGCCAGGATCAAGGATGACGTGTGCCCGCTACTTCGCGAGGTTGTCGTATTTGGGGACTGGCAGGATAATGCAGAAACGCCATGGACGCTTCCATCTAGCATTCAACGTCTGCAAATGCTGGCCTCTGACTGGCCGCCATACTTTCCGCCATGGACTCGGCGAGACGCCAACCGGCTTCTTCGGTACTTCTGGCAAGATTCTGTGATCAGAAGACAGGAAGAGGACCGTAGGGAGCCGTTCCTGCTCGAAGCTCTTGAAAAGTACAATGGAGGCGGCAGACTCGAGATTATCTGCCTCAAAAATCAGCTCACGTCCCCAGAATTCATGAAGATGAAAGGAATCATAGAAAGCACGGGGAAGTTCGACCGAGTTGAATTTGTCAAGCTCGATAAGACGAATGAATTGGAAGAGCGTGCTAATCGCGAGGAAATGGGTGACATTGATTTCGATTGATGGGGATGTCAACGGTGGACGACAATAGGCGGCGCCTCGCGCCAACACCACGCTGCACTAAACTACACGACAGTCCTCGCATTGGGCATTGACTGGGTTACACTGGGCGGAAACGAGTTCGATTTAGGTGCTGAACAATCATGCGGGTCGCCAGCTAGAGGTATGCGGCGTAGGTGCAGGAATGCTTACGGCTTATTGGGTTCCGTCGTAGCAGTCAGGGACGGAAGGTGCCGGAATTGGAGAGTGAAAGTGGACCTGCTCAAATGTGCGACTCTGTACTACGCATCGGTCCCTTTTGTATAGTGTCATTGCTTGTTCGAGCTTTTCTGTATATACGCTCTTCTGCAAATGAGAGAACCTACTCTATCTACAAAGGGAAAGCGATACTACGATATCACGATGTGCGCAACAGTGGCTATGTACAGTGCGTACAAGTTGGAGTGAATTGAGAACCTCCACCTTGATGACAAAGTTGAACGGTTCTAGAGGGTCCTGATCTATTCCGCTGCCGCGCCGCTCACACTCACACGCCCGCCCTTGAACATCTTGGCGACCACCATCCCGATCCCGCCCAGTCGTGATGTTCGCCGCGGCTTCTTGAGCGCGTGTTTGGCCACGGTCTGCTTTTCCAGCGGCTGCTGCGATTCGTCCGTCGCTTCGTCTCGTTTGGCGATGTCTGCTATTGATGACACCACCGGATGCACTTCCTCCGTCTCGATGGTCCTTTCCCCATCCGGTACAACGGACAATCTGGCCTCCGGCTCCGCAAGCGCGAGGACCACATCATCCCCCTCATCCTCCTCGATCACCTCAGGTTCAGCAACCGACCCAAAATCCAGCGTAAAACTCGGCGCATGTTCCGACGTCCGCTCCAATTTGTCAAAATCCCCGTCTCGTAAATCAATCACAACCGGTAGCTCATCGAACGATACGCGGCTGCCTTTACTGCTCCCCGTGTTTCCGTAGCCAAACTGCGATTTCTTCAAAATCGCGCGGTGTTGGAGGTGCCGGTGGTTCGGGTGCCGCGGGAGGTGTGGGCTGGACGTGTTTGAGGAGGCGGAGGAGAGGAGGGAGGAGGTGGAGGGCGTGCGGGAGCGGATGTGGCGGGCGAGGGGGAAGGGGAGTTTGGGTGGGAGCGGTGGTCGGGATGTGGATAGTGGGTCGAACGCATCGGGTGGGTCGGGGATGGGTAACGTCCCGCCGGTTTCATCATGTCCACCGTGCTCCGCGGAACTCCCCAGCAAATCCAACTCCCCCAGGTCCAAGATCCCCCCGCCGCCCGCGCGCGTGTTCGCAGCCTCCACCTGCTTCCTCTTATACTGCTTCGACCATCTGAGCATGATATGCATGCGATTCAGCCGTTCCTCCTCGTCGGAGGCTGCTACGTCGTCCTGCGGGAGACGGGACGAGAGCATGGAGGCTATAATTGGGTCGACTACGGCGGGAGCGTCTGTTGATGTGGAAGCGAATGTGTCGGTGTGGTTATCGGGGTGGAAGGAAATGAACATACTGTTCATTTTGGTGTTGAGGAGGGTTTGTGGGCTGCCCGGTGGGGAGCTGGAGGCGTCTTGGTCTGCGTCGTCGCCTGATATGCTGACTTGAGGTGCGGGTCCGGTCACTATGTCCTCGGACTCCGCGTTAGCGTCGCGAGGGAGTGGTTCGGCTTCGCCCTCGGTGTAGGTCTCGTTCAAGGTACATGTCTCCGCCGCATCCTCGAGAGCGGACGAGACGCCGTACGTGCCCATCGGAGGAACCTTCCTCGAACAAAAAGGCGGGGCGTGATCAAGAATAGCTTTGCTCTTCGCGTCGCCAAATCGCTTCTTCCTGCGATAGCCAGAAAAACCACGAGTCACGGAAGGAGAGATCTGTACTACAGTCCGGTAGCGAGGCGCCTGGGGGGATTGTAGTGTCGATATACTCTCCAAGAAAACGCAACGAATTTGGGAGTGTGAAAGCAGGTTGTAAGTCCCTTGAGGTCCAGATTATTCCCGCCTCAAGAGTTCCGGCGTGACGAAGCTCCGAAGACAGAGGGTTGGTATTTACGGAGAGCGGAGGATCGGGCAGGATGGGCGGGGTGTTTATATTCGAATCCCGGCAATGCCATCCAACTCTTTGATGGCCCTCCTGATTCACCGAATTGATTGGCGAATGTCAGCTACTTGCATTGTGGCACCAAACTTACGACTGCGGAAAGTGTGACAGGATTTCCAATGTGGGGATTGATTGAGCCGGTATGCGGGACATATCAGCTGGAACCTTTGGGGGTCCAGACTCTGGCAGGAAAATGAAATGAATTACGGACATGAGAATCGGGTACGGGAGCACAATGTACGAGCGGGGCGCTAAACTGGTATTTTCTAATCAGCCATGCTGTCATCGTCGTTATCGGAAATAGAAGTGAGGCTTGGCACGATGCTGCGTCATTACTTGAGGATCCTAGCCGCTGTCGCTAGAGTGTAAAAAGCTTAAGTTTGTGCTAAACCCAGGCCCACGGTCCGAGAACGAGGTTAACCAAGCGTCATCTCCTGCAGGTGGATGCCGTTGGCAGGAGGATCGGGTCCATTGCAGAAGCTGGATCCGGAGAATGATTGATTCTCGAAGGCGAGGGACAGTAATGACAGGGCGGTAACGCGCTGTCGATATCGGAAGGTGCTTACTTGTCCACCTTCCTATCAGCCACAACTCCCGCCGTGAACATGCAACTGCCGCACATCAGCCCGTCCACCCACCCACCTTTGAACTCATGCAGGACTCGGGGTCCGGGGAAAAGCGGTGATTTCGGCGCTATATAAAAGAGCAGCGATACCTCCTAACTGCCCCTCTTCCGTCTCACAGAAACATATCCCCACTGGATATTCCACCTGCAACCCACACAGCTAAGACAAGCCACGAGAGATCTGAACATAGTGGATATGAACTCAAATCGACGCAATCCGAAAATGGCAACACATAGTACCATTCCAGAAGCGACTGCTGCCGAGACAAAACCGATACCCACATCCACAGCCGAAATGCCTCCCCGACACGTCTCCGATACATCCGATTCGGACGGCGAAGCGCACATCTGCTACGTCTGCGGACTGGATTTCCGGACTGAGCGCGAGTTCAGCGTCCACGTGAAGTCTCCCGAGCATTCGGAGATGGCAAGCGATGGAGCTGGGGGCTCCAGGAAAGGCGCTCCAGCAAGTTTTGGGAAGGGGATGAAGAGGATCATTGCGAATAGGAAGCGGGCCGTGGCCAAGAGGGCTGGGAAAAAAGGCCCGAAGGTGAATAGTGAAGCGGTGGAGGCTGAGGCAGCGCAGCGGGAAGAAGACGAGGTTGTGTACGCATCGCCATCAGAGGCAGCATCGGAGCAAGCTTCCGCACCATCACCCAACAACGACACCTCGACATCCGCCCCCACCTCCTCAGAAAATCGTTTTGTCTTCGGCGGCGCACCCCCCAAATCCAAATCCACACACGCCGTCTCAACAACCACCCACCTCCCCACCACCAACACCCACCGTCACATCCCAGCGGCTCTCGCCCAAACCCTCACCACTCTCCCCACATCCACGCAACGCACGCTCCTACAACACACCCGACAAGCCGAGCTGATCTCCATGGCGCACTTGCCAGCGTCTGCGTTGGTTCAGATTGCGAGAGATATGGAGGTTGCGACGAGGGAGAGCGCGCGGACGGCGCAGAAGGCGTATGCGGAGGGCGGTGTGAGGGCCAATTTGCAGCGGAATTTCAAGAGTATGAGCAAGGCGATGGACGCGGGGTTAATGACGACCAAGACGTGATGAGGTAGATAGTATTAGATGAACTATGGACTCCACGAACCTTTTTTGGATCTTGTAATATACCAACTTCTAGAACTATTGAAATTTGTATAAGAGATGCTGTGCCTGGTGTGATCATCGACCGCTCGTGTAATACATGTGTTTGAGTTCTGAATTCGCGGTACAAGACAATCCGACTATGGACGAGCCGGTACAATGGTTGCGGTGATGGGCGTTTGTATGAGTTAAAGCAGCTTTTCGGTCTCGCACTCCTGCAGTTACGATCTCACATGCCTTCGGCAGCTACAACGGGTTCTGTGTATCACTTTTGAAGAGGGACTCGCCAAAAACAATAGGATTTCATAGATGGTCGCCGGCGACATCGGGTGAGAGAACTATGAGCTGGGACCTCCCAACCTCTGTGGTACGTCTGCTATGGAATGCATCGGAGTGTAAAACGGCAACCACACCTCCGGTCATTCCATCCCGGCGAAACCTGGCATTGTTTTTTGTAAATGCCCCAGTTCAGCAGGGTACACACTATTAGGGCCTCCATATGAATGCGAATGATGACGGGGAAAAGGGTGTCACTCATTTTTGATGATGTCGCCGGGACCGAACTTCGTTCCAAAACAGTACTGCAGCGGTCGTGGAAGACGTCAGCGCGTAACCTTCTTGGCTGACCGCGGCGCTCGTTTCGAAGAAGGTGGCGGCTGCGGAGGAGGCTTTTGGGTTTTCGCCGTCGACGAGCTTTTCCCAGCACCGCTAGCAGTAAAGGCTTTCCCATCCTTCGCGTTCCTCTTCCGCTTCGTTCCCTTCGCTTGCGGCTCGGGATCCCACGGGTTGCTTCCGGTTATCAAGAAACGGTACATCATGTGCGGTTTCAAGAACTCCATCATGCTTTTGAGGTTTTCGAAAGGACGGGTTTGAAACCTAAGTTGGTGGTGAAGAAGGGCGCCGTACAGCGGATTGATGCCGGTAAGCAGCCAGGAAAGAGTGACGTGGATTCTGTCAATCTTGTAGCTTAAAGCTCGCATACGGAACGCTGCGTTTGGATCATCAAAGTCGAGGATCGTGCATTCGAAAGCCTGCATGTACATTGGTTCATCATAGGGTAAGGTGATCGTCAGCATCAGCTAAACAATAGAAGCACTGAAGACTCCCAAAAGGACAAAGGCGAAAAGTTTCTGCAACAGAATGGAGGCGTACCAATTCCTTGTAGCCGATAATGGCATGCGCAGCGTCAGCCGAATCTTTCTGCTTTCGGTCATTCTGATGCTTCTGGATAGCCGTCGAGAACCCGCTCAGCGAGGAATCAAACCGTTTCCCCCTCGTAGGCCTCCCGCTTGCATTCGTCCCTGACCTCCCGCCAAAAGCCTTCCACCCCACAAAGTCCACGGCTTGGGGTCCGCCATCCTCTATCAACACATCCACCTCCTCTCGGTCGCATGCGAGTCCCGTTATCGTTTTTTCACCCAAGATGACTGTGATTGGCGTGAAGGTGATCATATCTGTTGGCGGGTCGAATGCTACAGGAGCAAAGAAGCATGCGACGTTATGGAAGTCGGTTTCCACAAGGAACAGAGGAGGCGCAGTCCTATCGAGTTGGCTGCGATCTTCATATGCGTAAGGAAGCGTCCGGCTGAGGTGGGTGTCGACCAAGGCGTATGGGAAAAGACGGTCGCATACAGCTTTGACCGAGCGAGAGATAGGTCGCAGCCTGAATATAATTGAGACAATGGTAAGCATGGAGGAATCCCCACAATTGCGCCTTGCTACAGCGGAACGCACACCTCCAAACCGAGCGCCAATCGAGCACGCGGGCCTCCAAGACCAAGTCCAGAATTATGTGGACTGGCAGCGCGGAAGTGTTGCTGTAGCTCCTTTTCGAGTTTCGCCTGTTTGAGGGCATCTTCGCTGCGTATATCGGTTTCTCCGTATGTGCCTGTTCCACGGGTCGAAAAGAAGGGAGGAACAGAGGAAGCGGAAAGACGCTGGGAACTGGGGAAAGACGCATGAACATCTGGGGAATGCTCGGAATGCGACATCTTGGCCATTCCCCCCAGGAGGACAGACCGCCTCTCAGAACCAGTTACGACAGACGAGATATATCATGTATCCTCTGATACCCCTTTCGGAGAGAGCGCAGAGAGGTCTTTATCGGCTGCTTAACATCACATCCAAGGAAATCAAAGACTTTGTTCCCAAAATTACCGTCCGACAGCAAACGCGCCGGTCTCCCATCAAAACCGGATGAACTTGCGGGCATTGTCAGATGTGCGCTTTTCTGCACGCCCCATTCAGAATTTTCACCGGTCTGACCTATCATCTTAATCTGCCTACTTGACTACTGTGTAGCCGGGCAATTCCTACAATCCGAGGGCATTTCCTATAATCGTTCCCCAGCTCTGAAAGCCAGGTTCCACTAGAGATGCCCCTGATTCACAAGGCGATCCCACTTTTTGATGTGCTCGAGAATGTGTACAGCTATTGCGCGTTGCCGGCCAACCTTGAGACATAGAGGTCTTAGGCGAGACCCTCGAGTTACTAGGGACGGATTCGGGAGACCTTCTTCTGAGTGGCCATAGTTTCGTCGATCTGTGGGGCCTAGGTCAACACTGCCTTCCATATTCGCCCTGGGCCGAAAAAACCCAACCGCGGCACGAAAAGCGACTTTCAAGCTTCTATATCAACTGCTACATCTTCCGGCGTCGTCTGCTGAGGATGAACAAGTTGAGGAGGAGATGTAGGGAGCTGTTTTCTTTGTAGCCTCCCACCCTTCAACGTTCCAACCAACCAACCAACCAACCAACGTTTTATATCAATATAAAAGACAAGAAGTATTGTAAGCGCGGGGTACGAGCAGAGATTTCCCCACACGAAGGAACAACGGAAAACTCTGAATTGTTGGCAAAATAAGCGGGCTCCCACGTACTTCGATAAGGGTGAGGAGGCGACGACGGACGAGGAGTTCACTGATTTGTATCGAATGGCTTGGAGGCTGCTGAACGAGGGGCTGGAAGAGGAGGAGAGAAAGAAGATGAGGAGAAGATTATTTGGAAAGAGCAATGCGAAGGCGAAGAAAAGCTGTCCGATTCCGCAGAGGGAGGAGAACAGAAGCCAGATGGTAGACGAGTGATTTATCAGATTGATAGGGATATGTTACCTTCTTTTGGAGACTAGACCTTTCTTCGCTCATCTAGCGTTGAGGAGAAAAAAACCCTTTGCCTTTGTTGCTTTGCTGTTCAAGCGAACTATATGTACGCTTCGCACCACGAGGAAACTCGTTCGTGTTCAATTGACGAACGCTAAACGCAGTTCCTCTTGACGAACTGTTGGCAGGCATACACCAACGATGCGGTTTGTGGTGGGCCTGTAATGAGCGCAGACCCTAGGTAGTAGAAAGCAACCGCCCAGAATGGAAGTCACATCTGTATACCCAGTTTCCGTAACCACCGTCTACGGCTGTGGTTGTACTGTAATTGGCTCTGCTGTCAGGATAAGTAGCTGTCAAAGCGCGTCGGAGTTGCCTCCGAGGTTGAGATCGACGCGAAAACATACTGTAACATGTATTATATTCTGCTAGAGCACGCCGAGAATCCGTTTTCGAGAGGAATTGACTTTCACAATGGATTAATCTCATTTATGCTTCGTATTTATTCAGATTATGCAGAAGCATGAGCAACATGATTTCAAGATCTAGCATCTGATCATATGTATGCCTTAAGTGATAAGTGGAAGTTCGGGGATGATCCAATCATTTCCGGGTAGAAGGAGCATCAATGACAGCTGTAAATGGGCCTTGTCTGGACGACCCTTGTCATGCCAGTAACTCTAAGGTACTATCGCCCGGAATCGGTCTGCTTTGAGCAATGAAGACGTTGATAGAACTGGAAAGCGGAAACACAAGCACCGACGCTGAACCAACGACGGTATCCCCTTGCTCCTCCTAACAAAGCAAGCCCACCCCCAGAATGGCCATCGTACAATCCCAGTATCGGCTAGAAGGAGCATCAATGACAGCTGTAAATGGGACCCTTGTCTGGACGAGCCTTGTCAAGCCAGTAACTCTAACGGTAAAAAACTCACGAGTTTATATTTACTTGATCAGAATGGGCAACGGGAAACGGGAGGACATGTCAATTCTCATTGGCAGCGATGTGGTCCTCTACGCTGGCGCTCTTTCTTGCTTTAGAGCTCTCCTCGTCGACGGCCCAATATTGTCGCTCGGAATCCGTCTGCTTTGAGCAATCACGACGTTGATAGTACTGGAAAGCGGAAACACAGGCACCGACGCTGAACCAACGACCGCCCACATGACGTCCGAGCCTTTGATGATGGAAACCGAGACGGGTCCAGCAACCGGATCCGATTTCAATCCTGCAGCACTCGCCGCGCACCTAGGCGGTGGCTCCACGAAAAGCCATACGAATGCCCCGCTGTGGTGCATTCTTATCGTGGGTCAGCTCGCAATTTTGGCTGTCATTATTGTGCCTAGCAGCACGCTTTTCGTGACGAACGCGTATAGTACGGTTGAACAGGTGAGGGTTAGTCGAACAACCGCTTTCCAGACTCGGAAATGTTCTGACCGTTTCGCCACCCTCATCTCAGAATGCAGATGTCATTTTAGATGTAAGGCCTTGACGCACACAGATTTGGTATCAATGAGGATTCTCACATATTCCCGGGAACAGTTGACGATTTCCAAGTCATTAAACGAAATCTCTGCCACGTTAAATACCAGCTACATCGTAGCTCATAACTTTGGAAAACGGCCAAGCACCACGGCGGTGATTTTGAATGCTTTGGCAGGCGCCAGCTTGGAGGAACAAGTGACCCTTAAACAAGACTGGCCCCGCGGTAAGCTAGACTGTCCGCTTCCTTCTGAGCTCGTTGCGGACGCTGAGCGTACTCTTCGCGATGGACAGAGCTTGCGAATACTTTGGTAGATCATGCCAACATCGCAACGTGAGTGAATCGCACGACGTTCATTGATATCTGCTGATCCGAAACTAACCCGATTCTTGACAGCATTGCGTGCTTTGGAAACGGAGGTGAGTGTTTTCGTTTCGAGTTCCGTCTCAACCAAAAAATATATACGAATGATTGGCTTCTCCACAATAACTTCAGGACCGACTCCGCCTTTCGTTGTGCAAGTGGCCATGGACAAATGGGAGTTCCCCATCACTCCCGCGAGCATCGGCACCACTTATCCCACCATACCAGCCGATTACTACAGCCGAAGATTCTTCACTTACGACTTCATGGACAGTCGAACTCCCGCAGTCACATCTTCCCGCTTCCCCGGTGAGGTCGCGCCTGGCAACCAAGTGTACTACATGCATAACCTGGACGCAAAAGCCACACTATTCTCGCCGACGCTCCAGGCCGCATTGCAGAACAGCTCGGTCATAAACGCAAAGTTTCAATACTACTTCCAATCGCCCGATCCCGCCTTTCCGCAGCTCTGGGCGTATCCTCCGGGGTTGCCATATAACTATTCTGCCGATCCGGGGTATCAGTACATGCAAGCTGCATCGAGAGAGGGCGCAAGGAAGTGGACGGTGAACGGCTTGAGCAATACTCTCTATGGGTTAGTGGCGCGAAGATGCAAGCAAATTTGAGAGAGATGTCTGATAATGGTTGGGTTTACAGGACTGTCATGACGAACTTGTATGCCTTCAACGGGAGTCAGGCGTCTATCCCTTCGCACATGTGTGAGGCGGGCGGATCCATTGCTGATTCCCTCAACCCGCTCCTGGAAGCTTCCGTGCCGTCTGACAATGGTCTCATATTTGTGTTTGATACCACGCCGGCGGCCGAAACAGTGCCACCCTTGAAGCCTGGTCCCCTGATTGCGTCGTCCGTCAAAGACTCCGCCTTTAGAACCATCCTTCGACCGCCTTCCAGAGTGTTCGAAAGATGTGAGTTGGCTTCTGCATGCTTCATGGGCGGTGCGGTGCATGCAACCAAACTTATCCGTTCAGTTTACACCACGCCACTCAGTCATCGTACAAAGCTCGCCGGACCCACGCATATCCCAAATTGGCAACTTCCTCGCAGCACAGAACCCCGCCCTGACTCTGACAGGTCGAAATAAATACCAAGCCAAACTCAACGGCACGACGTGGTATCTCGCGACGCAGGAGCTCCGTCCGGACGACGCGGGCACTCTCTGGCAAGTCGTGGTCGCCTTCCCTCGAAGCGACTTCTTCCACGGCATCGACTCGTCCATCCGCCTGAGCATCATCGTCATCGCCGTCCTCACTTCTGTCGGGCTGATATTCATCCTCATCCTGTCGTTCGCATTTACCATCCCGCTGCGCAGACTTGGCTATCGCATGGAAGAGGTGACACAGATGAGATTCAGCAGCCTGGAAAATAGGTCGCTGGAGGCCCGTAGTTTCGTGCGCGAGATAGGATCATTGGAAAACACGTTCCAAGTCATGGTTCAGGCATTGTGAGTGTTGATCGCTCATTTCAGCGGTTCTATTCTTACGGCGGCGTATCTAATCCCTAGCTCTTTTTCCTAATTAGCGCTGCTGGAATCCGCATGAACGCCAGCTTAACCACGAAGACCAAGTTCACCGCGACTCACGATCACGCCCCGCCGCATGACGGCGCAAATGATTTGGTTGCGGGCCTTGAGGATTGTCCGGGAAAGAGACGGATCGAGGACTACATATGAAAGGAAAACATGGTGGTCTGGTCCTGGTGAACGTTGGCGGGTAGTTTGTACAATAGCATCAAAAAGAGAGAGAGAAGGCCCGAGTGGGTTAGTTAACCCATATGCGCCTAACTGGTTTTCGCATGCCTGTACGAGCTTTATGTGCCGAAAGACCTCTCCTTGCGCTAGCAGAAGAATCGATGCCCTGAAAAGGGCTTCAAAGCACAGCCCACCGGATGTGACCGATTGCCATGGATGCATACGTGTGCTCCCACATAGCAGTTAATAGCCGTCAATCACGCGCAACGGCGACTCCCCAGTTTACGCCGTTGACTGATTTACTGCAAAGGCTCACTCGCCTGTTGTGAGGTCATCAAACTGGTACATGTTCCCAGGCAGGCCGGTCGGTGACTTCTGCTGGTCAGAGAGATTTGTAGTCCGAAGATGAGCAACTGGTTTATAGCAAGCGGCACAATGATTCTTCGCCGTCTTTGGACATTTACAGCACCGCCACCGGACAGTGCTCACCCTGCGTCCCTGACGTTGGAGGGTTCGGGATCGGACCTTCCAGTTATATGCTCGTCGCGTGCATCGACTCGCCTAGGATCATTCAAGTTGCCATTCGCTGAAGTGCAGTAATTGCCCGGCGGATTACTGGTGTTTGGACAGCGACCCATTGAACGTAATAAAACGTTTTACACTCTGCTAGATACCCAAGCCCGGTGTACTTCACTGTTCATACCCGTAGTGTACTTAACCTAGAACGTTGATCGTATCTAGATACAGCAATACCATCTTTCAATTTACCACATATTCCCGCCCTTTACACATCGAGGCCGTGGGGATACCGATGCAGATAAAAGCTCTTGGACCTACAGCATATGCCCCGTCCTTGCGCTAATTCTCCTTCATCAATCTCCGGAAACGTACAAGCCACCGGCGAAGTTGTTTCCGCAGGGACTTCATGGCGCATATCGTATCAGGCTTACTTTATTGACCAGGCCCGTTTGCGTTTCCACGAAGCACCGCAGATAAAGCAAAGACGGCGATGGTCAGCGAAATTATTTGATCAAGTCTGGCGTGAAGTTGCCCAAGCATTTTATTGTCTAGTACAGTAAGAGGGAGGTGCACCAGGTACCTCGAGAGAATGTAGGATGAGGAAAATCTAAGGTGGGATGTGCCTCTATGTAGCAATGATATTTGAGATTTGATTTCAGAACAGTCTAAGACCAATACGACCCCGACGTCTAGACTACAGGGAAAAAGATGCTCAGGCCGGCGGCCGCAGCTGCCGCGAGCACGCCCTGCGCTGCCCTGTTGCCGCTTGCGCCCGCGCTTGGTTGGACTGCGGCCGCGGGGGCAGGGCCGGCAGGCTGAGCCGGGACAACGGCGGATCCAGCACCGGGCTGAGTGGTTTGTACGACCGGCACTGTCGGCCTTCCTGGCGGCCGTTTCGGCCTTGTGACAACTACACCAGACGTGATGGTCTCGTTCCGAAGTCTTGTCGTCCAGGCGTAGAGAGGCAGCGACAGGGTCGGCACCTGCCCATCGCCGCACACACAGACAGCGGTGTAAGAGTCGTACGCAGTGAAGGTGCCGGTGTTAGTAGTGTTCAACGCGGTACACCCGTTCAAGCACTGTGCCCCAAAGAGGGCTCTAGCCCGCCCGCGATGGCGCCTACGGAAGGGGTGGAAATTGTATACCGGCGGAATCACCTGCTGTCCCGTGGTGGGTGATACGAAGGGGATGGGGATCGCGGTAGCGGCGCAGGCTTTGCACATTGTCGCGGCGAACGGGGCATCAACGGGACCAACGCAAGTGCTGCCAGTGGCGGCACTTCTGGGGCGGCCTGTCGGGCAGCCAGGGTTGATCTGAGCTTGCAATTGCTGACAGCGGCTTCGAAGGCTCGGCAGTATTCGGTTGTAGTGGTGTTGCTGGCGATAGGAGCCGTCTCGGTGGTGTTAGTGGCGGGCGTTTGGGCGAGGACGGCGGAGGCTTGCAGCAGGGCGAGCGTCACACCTACTGCAGCGAAGATTTTCGATGGCATTGTCGCAGGGATGTTCTTGGGGGTTTTTGGGGTTTCGGAGTTCTTCTTTGCTGATGCCTTCCAAGACGAAATGGCATTTGAATGCGTACTGGGAAGACGATGGGAAGAGGAGCAAGAGGAAACGTCGCCTTTATATACAAATGGGGAGGCCTCAGGTACCTTTTTGCAAGCCTCCGAGAGCCTCCGTAAACGACTCGAACCTTAATACCTTATATTACGTAGCAGGAGAGCGGGCCGAGGCTCCGAGCGCGATTCACATTCCTCCTTCCTCTCCTGCGGCAGCGTGAAGTTCAGCGGTCGGTGGGTCGCGTGGCCCATCGTGGCAGAGCGGGTAACTTCCGGCGGACGGTCGGAAGGATTGTGCAGTAGGTGGCCAAAAGTCCGGGTGCGACGGGTTCGCCAAGCCTCCGTGTGCAGTATTTGCAGTTGGGCTTGTTGGTTGCATCGGATGAGGAGGAAGGAGTAGAGGAGGAGCCTCTTGAGTCTTGAGGCGTCGTACCCGGACTTTTGGCCACCTACTGTATATATACGCTCGCCGCTGAGCACACTTGTCATACAATGAATGGTACGCCAGGACTGCCGCGGTGACGTTGACAATGAGGACTTCAGGAACAGAGCCGAGCTTCTTCGAGAGCTGCACGCATGCCGGACTGAAAACTGTTCATGTATCACTTATATATACAAGTTGCCATCATCGGCGACGCCTCAGGCAGAGGTACAATGATGTGGATGGCAGATAACCACCACGGAAAATGGGATGGGGTGAAATCTAGACTACCGGTTACGGGAGAATGCGTCTGGTCTGCGGCCATCAATGCCAAACACCACCGAGCGCACAATCGAGAGGAAATTCTTGGTGCTCAGGACGTCCCGATTGTGCACTCTCATCCGTAGTCGTAGTGGTTGTCTTCTTCCAGGAATCTCAAATGGCGTCCAGTCTTGGTTGATACATTCGGGGTTGGGGCAACCCACCAATCCGTGGACGAATTCCATTCTTCCCTTTCTAGCTTGCCACGGCCGAGACGACAGCCGGCGTCGGATGTTTTTCTTCACACGCCCGTGGCAGTCTGGGCACACGGAAGACGTTCGATACTCATCTAGCAAGTAGCATGGAATGCTGTTTCTTGCAAAGAGTGTGCGGAATCTGATTTCCATGATGATGAGTTAGCATATTATAATACACAGTAGGTACTACCAATGATAGTCTAGTCACTCACCCTTTGGTCTTTGATGACTCCTGAAAGCGCATGGTTTTTCCAGCGTCGCTCCAATCACCCAAGATGACCGAAAAATGCTTTCCATACAGGCGTCGCATGTTCTTGATGAGCTTGCTCTCAGACTTTTGCCGCAGTGAGAATGCCTTGAATCTGCAAGCGACGTGAATCTCATCCCGGTAAAACTCATCCAGGGCGGGATCTGGGATATGGATGGATGTCAGCCCATGTATTACTAAATTTGAAGACAGCGCATAATACATCATACCTGCATGTATGTGATCCACAATGAACGCTGAGAACACCTCGATGTTCATGCTCTTGTGCGACGGAATACGCGATTCCATCTCAGCGACGCCGGCATTGATCCTACGCTCTCTCATGTCTCTTTGAAAGTACCGCGACTTTGTCTCAACCGCCCGTTGATTGGATGTGTATCTGGTACGGGGTGGTGTTTTGTGAGTTTTGTGAGAATGCGGCAACAGATGGTGGGGATGGTGAAGGGGGGGGGGGGGGGGGGATGGTGGGACGGGGACGAGGACAGGGTTGAGGAGGGCGTTGATTGGGATAGCGGCGACAGTGGGGACAGCGGCGACAGCGGGGACAGCGGAGCGGGGACAGCGGCGACAGCGGGGACCGCGGCAACAGCGGGGATAGCGGAGCGGGGACAGCGGGGACAGCGGCGACAGCGGGGATAGCGGAGCGGGGACAGTGGCGACAGCGGGGACAGCGGCGACAACACATCCCATGCCGGTTGACCTCCCGCAAGCGGCGGTCGTGCTCAGCACAGGAAGCGTTGAGATCAGCGATGGCGGAAGTTGATAGCATAAAGTTGATGGCGTAACCAACAGCGGCGACAGCGGGGACAGCGGGGACAGCGGGGACAGCGGCGACAGCGGCGACAGCGGGGAGGGACAGCGGGGACAGCGGGGCAGTAGTAATCAACTGAAACGTACCTAAATGGCCGCTCCTTCTTGATGTCTCGACAGAACAAGAGGTCACGCTTGCCCGGATCAATGCTGACGATGTTTGGAGCCTCCCGTAGTTCGGCGATGTGGTGCTCAAAATACAGCTGCTTGACTTCTTCCCGCATTTGGGCCTTGCTGCGCTTCCGGGCCCGATGCCCATACTTGAGCCCTGGCTTCTTGAAGTGGATGGTAGCAGAATACCCGTTTGTGCTGATTGACCCATCAAATTTGAGACCAAGCTTCTTTCGATCCTTGAAGACCTTGTCCTGCAATCCGTCATTCAGTGAGGTGAGGTGAGTGAAATAAGCGCAGAGGGATAGAGACTTACATTCACGTTGAGAAACTGCCCCCACAGCGCCTGTTATGAATGGGCGGAGCCGATGGAAATAGAGGCGACTTGTGGTGCAGGTTGTTGACAGGTAATGGTATTCAGACCGAAACAAGAACTAGAACAAGACTAGGAAGAACTGGTGTTGATCTGCTGGGGGATCAGGAAGTGGGGAGCTCAGGGGAGGCGGCTATTTATGTTTTTCTGGGAAGGCTGGGGAAGCGTGGGGAAGCAGAAGGGTATGGAATGAGAGGGAAGCCAAGAGAAGCGCCAAGGGTGGGGAAGCATAGAAACAGAAGACTGGGGATGGGGTGGCTACGCTGAGGCTGTGGGCGGGTACGTGGGGAAGTATGGAGAAGGGTTTGTAAGCGCCGAGTGTTGGGAGGTGTGGCTACGTGCGGCTGCCTGGAGAAATGAAGGCAGTAGGCAGGTGTGGGGTAGCGCGGCTGCGTGCGGCTGCGAGGTTTGGCAGATGTCAGGTTTTGACAGGGAATTGACATTGACTGACTGTTGGGATGCTGTCATGAGGTAAGCGCATGGTATGGACGCGTCGTCCATAACATCACCCCCTCCTTTAGCCACGGCGTCCGGATGTTGTTTTGATGTTGGCAGGCTTTGGTCGGGGTTTGTCGGGGTACTTTTGGTGGAACTGGGCAACAAGCTCTTGACATCGGGCAAGGTGTTCCACTGGCTCCCATGTGTTCTCCGAGCTTGGCCAACCCTGCCACTTGATGAGGTACTGAAGGTGCGTGCGTCGAATACGGGAGTCAAGAATGTCTTCCACAATCCATTCCTCCTGTCCTTCGACTTCTTCTGGTGGGGTGGGTTCTGGCTCAGTTCGCTCCGGAATGGTGAAACGTGGTTCAAGAAGGGAGACATGGAAGACGTTGTGAATTTTGTAGGATGGGGGAAGCTTGAGGCGATATGTGACCGAGTTGATCTTCTCCGTGATTGTGAAGGGGCCAATCTTACGGTGATCAAGTTTCTGGGAAGGTCGGAGAGTCTTGAGATTCCGCTGTAAGAGCCAGACACTGTCCCCGGGTTTCATGTCTGGGCCAGGTGCCCTCTTAGCATCGGCAAAGCGCTTCATGCGTCCTTGGGCCTCCTTGAGCTCAGTGGCAAGCTGTTCATGGATTTCCTTGAGATGGTTGGCACGAGCTTTGGCTGCAGGATTAAGGGATTCGGTTGTGGTGGCGGAAGCCAGACTGAATCGAGGATGGAACCCATAGTTGGCGTAGAAGGGGGTTGTCTGGGTGGCGGAGTGGATGGTGTTATTGTAAGAGAACTCAGCAGAAGACAAGAGTTCCTTCCAGTTATCTTCTTGATAGTTGCAAAAGCAGCGAAGGTATTGCTCAAGAATCTGATTGGTCCGCTCGGTTTGTCCATCGCTCTGGGGATGGAACGCCGATGAGAGGTTGACCTTGGTTCCCAGGAGAGCGAAGAGACGTTTCCAGAAGTGGGAGTTGAACTGTGGGCCACGGTCAGATACAATATCGTCGGGGAGTCCATGGAGCCGGATGACATGGTGCCAGATCAGATCTGCAGTTGACTCAGCGGTGGCAGTTTTCCTGCACGGTACAAAGTGCGCCATCTTGGTGAACCGGCAGATGACAACGAGCACAGAATCAACCCCATCACTGGCGGGTAGATCCGTGATGAAGTCCATGGAAATTGACCCCCAGGGGCGGTCAGGGACCTGCAGGGGTTGGAGGAGACCGTAGGGCTTGTGTCTGCTGGTCTTGGCTTGAGCACATACGTCGCAGGACCTGATGTAGGACTTGACAAAACGCCACTGGCTAGGCCACCAGTAGTTGCGTGAGATGAGCTCCAGGGTCTTTGACATGCCGTAGTGTCCTGCCAAACGCGTGTCATGCATGTCCCGGCAGATCTCAGCACGGAGCTTGTTGGTGGGGACGTAGACAAGGTTGTCGTACAGCAGAACCCCATTTTCCTCGGAGAATCGCTTTATCCGTTCTTGGTCTTCTTGAGATTGCTGGGCAATGGGGGCCCTAAGCTGTCGCCGGATGGTTTGCGCAAACACATCGGATGCCAGGGCAGCTTTGATTTGGTCAAGGAGCGAGGAGTCCAGTGGGGTCAGATGTGGCGGCCAGGCGGAGATGGTCAGGGGTGAGGATCGTGGTTTCCTGGGAGCGGAATGCTTCTTCCCCCTCCCTTGGCTCGTATTCAGAGCGACGAGAGAGGGCGTCAGCTTGGTGTTGCTGGGTACCAGGGCGGTATGTGATGACAAAGTCGAAATCAGCAAAGAAGATTGACCAGCGGGATTGGCGGCGGTTGAGGGTACGGGTAGTCATGAAGTACTGGAGGTTCTTGTGGTCACAGTAAACGATGACCTTGTGGCGGGCACCAATGAGGTGGTGTCGCCATTGAGCAAATGAGTCTTGGATAGCCAGGAGTTCCTTGTTGTAGATCTCATAGTTGATTTCCTCAGGAGTAAATTTGCGGGAGTGAAAGGCCACGGGGTGGAGTTGATCTGTGTCATCGGGTTGAAGGAGGACGGCGCCAAGGGCAAAGTCGGAGGCATCGGATTCGACAATGAAGGGCTTGTCAGGGTCGGGGTGAGTCAGGATAGGTGCGGAGGTGAAGGCTTTCTTGAGGGTTTCAAAAGCTAGGTGTGCAGCGTGGGTCCATTTGAATGGCAAGTCTTTGTGAGTGAGCGTGGTCAGGGGTGCAACGATCGCAGAGTACCCTTTGATGAATCGCCGGTAGAAGTTGGCAAAACCCAGGAAGCGCTGGATGCCTTTGACATTCGTCGGGGGTTCCCATTCGGTAATGGCAGCCGTCTTCTTTGGGTCCATGGAAATGCCTTGCTGGGAGATGATAAACCCCAGGAACTCAACAGAGTCACGGTTGAATTCGCATTTTTCCGGTTTCGCATACAGCCCGTGCTGGCGGAGTCGTGAGAGCACCTCTCGGACGTGGTTGGGGTGGTCTTCTGGGTTTTTTGAGAAGATCAGAATGTCGTCAAGGTAGACCACAACAAAAACGTCGAGAATGTCACGGAATATGTCGTTCATGAGGTGTTGGAATACTCCAGGGGCATTGGTGAGCCCAAACGGCATGACATTATACTCGAATAGGCCGTAGCGACATCGGAACGCTGTCTTCCATTCATCCCCTGGCCGGATCCGAAGAAGGTTGTAGGCTCCCCGGAGGTCAATCTTGGTGAGCCGGCGTGCCCCTCGAAGACAATCCATGATGCTGTTAATCAAGGGCAAGGGATAGCGATTCTTGATGGTGATATTGTTGAGTCCACGATAGTCGACGCACAGACGGAGGGAACCGTCCTTTTTCTTGACAAAGAGGACTGGGGCACCGGCGGGAGACTTGGAGTGCTTGATGAACCCCTTAGCTAGGTTCTCTTCAAGGTAGTCACAGAGTGCCTGCATTTCAGGCTCGCTGAGACTATAGATCGGGCCGAACGGTGGCTGTTTGCCCTCTTCTAAGTCGATGGGACAGTCGTAGGGTCGGTGCTCTGGGAGGGTATCCGCGTTCTTCTTGGCAAAGACGTCCGCAAAATCTTGGTATTCTTCAGGAATGATGGCCTTCGGATCTTTTGGAGGAGTGGTCGCCAGGGCTTGGGAATCTGACTTGGTCGGATTGGCGTAGGCAATGAATGCCTGGTCATGCCTTGCCGCCACACGGAAAGCTGGGGCGCTGATAAACGATACGTGGATCGGTGTGGGTGCTGGGTCCAGTGTGTTGGGTGTCTGGGCTAGGGAGACTGAAATCTCGTCTTGATGGATACGGATCAGAGGCTCAGGGGTTTTTGAGGGCTTCGGGCTAGGTTCTGTTGGCAGGGCATCCCAGGAGGCGTATTGTCCAAAACCGCAATGGCAGCGGACGCAAAGAGTGCGAGTCTTCCAGTGTAGCTCCACATCATGGAGCTCAAACCAGGGAATCCCCAGGATGATTGGCGCATGCGGGGAACATGTCACATGGAATACCACCTCCTCAAAATGGTCGTTGACCCACATGCCCAAAGGTTGGGTGTGATGGGTAATGGAGCCCGCATGGCTGGGACGTCCGTCAACCAGTTCAAGCGCAATGGGGTCCTCCTTCTTGACAAGTGGGATGCGGTGCTTGCGGGCATAACTTTCGTTGATGAAGCACGACATCGCACCGGTGTCGAGTAGTGCTGAAAGCTGAACTGGAGCTCGCTGGGCCGATATCTGCAGGGTAACAGGGTACTCGAATGGTGAGGATGGGCCCAAAGTCCGCATGGGTGAGGGTATCTCAGATAGGAGATTGACATTGTTGGTGGTCAGGAGAAGGGTGTTGCTGGAGATGCCAGGATCGGAGCAAGGTTTTGTGGCTTCTCCCTTGGCAGTACTTGCGTGGTGAGAAGGCCCAGGACAGGTGTTGCCCAGCTGCTCGGCCTTTACTGCAGCTGGACTTGGGCAAAATCCTGGATGGGTGCAGGTTCCTTAACCGCAACATTCGCCGTGCGTGGTTTGTTCGGGCAGAGTTTGGCTATGTGGCCGGGTTTACCACAATAGAGGCAAAGTTTGTTTGTGATGCGGTGTTGGCGCTCTAGCGGTGTGAGGGGTCCTCGCGGACGAGCAGCGTCAATGATCATAGGGTCGTCTGGGCGGTTGTCGGGGCTCATGAGGGTGGGGCTAGTGGTAACTGGCACATATGGCTGTCGGTTCCTGCTTCGCTCTAGACGGCGCTCAAACAATCGGTTGTCACATTGGATGGCCTGTTCCATCACGGTGTTGATTGAGGCGGTAGGGGGCATCGTGAGCATTAAGTCCTTGACGTCTTCTTTGAGGCCGCGACGGAAGGTGGCAATCAATGCCTGGTCATTCCACGACACATCGCATTGCAGCTGTCGGAATTCAGCTACATACTCTGTTGCTGCACGGGTTTGTCGAAGGTTCTGGAGCTTGTTTTCGGATGTGCGGATCCTGTCGCTGTCTCCAAAGACTGCTTGCATTTGCTGGATGAAATCATCCAGGTTCGTAAGGGAATGATGGTCTTGTTCGACAAGGGGCGCCAGCCAGGCCTGGGCGGTGCCAGTGAGGTAGGTGCCAATAGTTCGTATCTTGGTCTGATCGGTGGGGTAGCGCCTGGGTTGGAGGGCGAACATGAGCCGGATCTGGTTGAGGAACCCACGGAACTTGCTTCGGGTGCCATCAAATTTGTCTGGGAGACTGATTTTGGGTTCAGGGGCAGTGGTCTGGGTTTGCGCTAGTTCGGCTTGTAGGGTGGTATTCTGTGCTCGAAGTTCGTCAATCGCATTGCACATGGCTTGCCAGGCTTCGGCCGTGAGGGGAAGGGCGTCGGACATGGTGATTTGGCGTGGAGGTACAGCGGCTGGGGGTTGTTGAGCAGATCAAACTGTTATGAATGGGCGGAGCCGATGGAAATAGAGGCGACTTGTGGTGCAGGTTGTTGACAGGTAATGGTTTTCAGACCGAAACAAGAACTAGAACAAGACTAGGAAGAACCGGTGTTGATCTGCTGGGGGATCAGGAAGTGGGGAGCTCAGGGGAGGCGGCTATTTATGTTTTTCTGGGAAGGCTGGGGAAGCGTGGGGAAGCAGAAGGGTATGGAATGAGAGGGAAGCCAAGAGAAGCGCCAAGGGTGGGGAAGCATAGAAACAGAAGACTGGGGATGGGGTGGCTACGCTGAGGCTGTGGGCGGGTACGTGGGGAAGTATGGAGAAGGGTTTGTAAGCGCCGAGTGTTGGGAGGTGTGGCTACGTGCGGCTGCGTGGAGAAATGAAGGCAGTAGCAGGTGTGGGGTAGCGCGGCTGCGTGCGGCTGCGAGGTTTGGCAGATGTCAGGTTTTGACAGGGAATTGACATTGACTGACTGTTGGGATGCTGTCATGAGGTAAGCGCATGGTATGGACGCGTCGTCCATAACAGCTCCCGCTTGCGTTCATCGGTGAATTCCCCCATGCGACGTTGGCTCAAACCCAGGATATGAATGGCTAGGATCAGCGTGTCGATCCGAACAGATGACTGGATTCGAGATTTGCGCAGCGGGATAGCGGAAAACAGCCGCATTCCACGGCGCTCATGGAGGCGTGAGAGCTCACAATAGGCACCTGTGATGAGGCGAGGCAGGTGCGGACCATGATTAGCCGAAAGAGGAAGCCGTGGGGTGGGGGGAGGGGAGGAGGGGGGGGGGGGGTTCGCTTCCTGTCGGTCAACATGCCGAGCCTGCTGCTGCCCCGGTCGCCTAGCGAGGACCCGCGCACTTCGCTGACGGAGAAGGAACGGACGGAGAAGGCGGATAACACCTGCGTCGTCACTTTGGCCAGACCCCTCACACCGGCCCGCTGTCGACTCCCACCACAGCACACCATCATGCCCACTATGAACCCATCCCTGCTCACTTTGGGTCTGACCCTCCTCCCCCTTATCGCCGGGCAACCCCTCCCCACCCCCGTCGCTCCCGCCCCCGTCGGACCGATTATCCCTCCTCCGGTCGTTGTGCAGCTGCCGCCGGCTGCTAGTCCGGTTGTAAACCCGGGGATTCCGCCCGTTGTTACTCCGGGGGCGACCGCGGCTCCCGGAGTGGTGGCACCCGCGCCGAGTCCGATTGGGCCAGGGGGTTGTAAAACGATATCGCCGACTTCGTTGTGTAAAGTCCCAGTGCTGCTGTATGCCCACCGCTGTATGCCCGCTGCCGCGCGATGTGGGCTTGAGCGTCTATGTTCGGCACGCGGCGAACACGTCGTCGGCGATGGCAACAGCGCATCACAAACCACGTTGGCCGGGGTCCCGGCGCGCAGCCATTCGGCCAGGTCGGCGTACTAAGCGAGGCGCTTGCTTGCGTCGCTGCGCAGCCACGCACGGGCCAGAGGAAGGGGAGGGGGGGTTGATAAATATACAGGATGCAACTCACCTAAATATGGCATTGCGTCCACCGCAAGGCTGTACGCAAGGGGCTCATCCTGGGGAGGAAACAGAGCCCACAGCTCTTTGAGGATTGTCCGCTCAAGTCGTGTGAGGCTGCCAAACTCCTCTTCCGTCGGAAACTCTTCAAACGTCGCAAATTTTGTAAATGGACGGACCCGCTGATAATACTGTCTCCGCTGCGCTTGGTTGGCTCTGGCTCTACGGAGATGCAGAACGACTTGCTTCAAACCAATCCTTTCGTTAACGTAGCGCAGAAACATTTGCATAAAATGCTCTTGTACGTTAACTTTGAGGTTGGTGAAGATGCTCTGAGCCGTGTACGCTGCGGTCTGTTGGCAATACCGCATGCGTATGGGGGCGAATCCGTGAACATCGCAGTACTCTTGAACCCGTGGACGCAACTCTTGCGCGATGATCGGACTGCCATTGTAGCCTGGGTTGTTTAGCAGCTCAAATATCACACTGATGTGCTTGTCGGTGATGTCCGGGAAATCGTGTAGAGGATGATCAGCTGTGGTGGGCGGACGTAGTAGTCAGGACATTGTTATGGGAAATATTATGGGAAACATACAGTGTACCTCAAAAACTCACCAAGATAGTACTTGAGAAAGAAGGTGGTGTGGCGCGCAAGGACGTGAACATTGCCGATGAATGTTGTCAGGCGCTCCCTTTGAATTTGATTTTGATTATGGATTCGGTGAAGCGAAACCTTGGTGCATGCATGTGTCTGCCGGGGTCGTTGAGCGGGTGGTGGTGGCGGGGGTTCATACACCAGGGATCCACCCGGTGTGCTGGGAAAACGGAAAGGGATGGGCGCGAGGAGGTTCAGTGGGCGCTGCAGACCCCTGTCCGCGGGTGAAAGCCCTCGCTGCGGCTGCTGCTGCTGCCCGTCTTCATCGCCGGAGCTCTCGCCGGAACTCTCGCTAACCATGTCTGCAATTGCTTGGGGCAAGTGGCGTTGGACAGACGGTGGGAATTCGAATCGCGGGGGTGGTTGCAATGGTGTCTGCACAGCGGTTGGCAGACGTATGGGCAACCGCGGGGTAACCGGAGCAACCTTTCTCCTCTTCCGCCGTGGAGTGGTAGCTCCGGTAAAGATGCCACACCACAGGTGCCCCTGGAGCGCCTGGTGTGATGGCATGATGGCCGTGCTGTGCTGTGCTGTGCAGGCAAGTGGTGAGATCAAGGGGACCGAGCAAGGGGACCGAGCAACACATCCTGCTTACCTGCGATGTGTTGAAGTCTTTTAGAGATTGGTTGGGGGTTTGCCTTGATGTGCGAGGCTGTAAGGCTGTAAGGCCGAGGGTGAAGGCTGTAAGGTGAAGCCTTACAGGCTGTAAGGTGATGGCGATGGCGGTGGCGATGGCGGTGGCACAGTGGTAGTTGGCGTCCTCTTGTTCGCGCGTCGCCTGCGCCGGATTCCAGGAGAGCGTTTTCGCACTTCCCGGCGTATTTCACAATTCGCTGCATATGGAGATTGCAAGAGCAGGAACGGAAGATACCTCAGTCAAACGGCCCGAAGCCTGCTGGACAGGAGTAAGCTGAGCTGCTATGGGATCGCGGATTCATATGCGTGCGGTGACCGCGGCACTGAAGTCGATTGCTTTGCCGAGACCTCGCCTAAGCAGCACAAGAAAAGCGCTCGACGATTTAGAAACCTTTCGAGCCTTGAAGCCATCCAAACAGAACAAGATTCTCCAAGCGCGCTTGGTGGAGCTCCGGAATCACGAGAGTATTGCCCAGAGAACCGACGAGTGGCACGCGGCACGTCGCACCCGGATCACAGTAAGTAGTCGCATTGCCACCTTCGTTGGAAAGGAATGTAAGGCGCACAACGTTTGGCAGAGGACGTATGGAGTCCCCCAGCTCAATTTTTGAACCGCTCTGTACCGCTCTAGGCCTCCGAAGTCCCATCGTTTCTCTATCGGAGCGAACGCGTCGTCGATGGCTACTACGATGACTTCCAGATACCCCCAGACCACCGCTTCTATGACGAAAACATGCACATCTCGCCTTTCAACGGTCCCGAAATCGTTTTAGATCGCAAAGTGTCTGAGGAGCGGCGGAAAAGCAACCGCGCCCAGGCTTGGGGCATCGGTTTCGAGCCTCTTGCTTCTTTGATCTATGAGAAGCTTTCGAAACGGAAGCTTGAGAGCTTCGGCCTGCTCCTGCACGACGCGTATCCATGGCTAGGCGCGTCGGTGGATGGAGTGGAGACAAAGAATGGCTTGGTAGTGGAGATCAAGTGTCCATCAAGGATGGTTAGCGAGTTCCCTGAACTAGAACCGCCAGAGTTGCATTATTGGGTGCAGGTCCAGATTCAATTGGAGGTATTGGGGTTACCGGAAGGCTCTCTTTTCACGGTAAGCACCAGATGTTCGAACCATGCCCTTTCTTGAAATTTCGCCTGATCTCTTTGCGTCTGTTAGTGCTACTTTATGAAGTATAACGATGAAGAAGACTTTCTAACAGATCCCATTGAACGGATACGGGGGTGTATGCTGGTTCCGGTATCCGATCGGAAAAAAGCGAGGCTGCCAACCATATACCCCCCAGCGCCGTTGATGATTCTTGATCCCGAGGCGTCAGAAGCGGAGAGGATTGCCCTGATTGAATGGGCAAATAAGGAGATCCGTGACGGAAGCCTGCCGCCCGCTGAAACCTCATCCACAGAAGAATCGGTTGAGGATGAGGTGGAGGAGGCCGCGGAATCACAGCTCATCCCCACCTACAAAACGCTGTATTGGGGATTACACACACACACGACGAAACCCATTCGGAGAAACAAAACATGGTTCGAGTCGATACTGCCCGATCTCGTGCAAACTCACGACGACCTAACGGGAAGGATTGCAGATTGGGACATGGAGACTTCGGAGAGGGAGAGTGTGGCGGGAGCGAAACCGGCGAAGAGGAAAACGGCAAAGAAGCGGATAAAGAAGAAGGCTGGGATAGAAGACGACGCTGGAGATCAGGCAGTTGGTGATACCATCAGCGACGAAGGCGGTTCCGGGGAAACGGTGGGGAAAGCAGCTCAGAAGGCGTCTCGGAAGAAAAAAATAAGCAAGAAGAGCGATCTTGAAGAAACCGCTGGAGGAGAGAATGCTGCAGATGTTGGTGATACCATCAGCGACGACGGCGGGTCCGGGGAGACGGTGAAGAGGCCTGCTAAGAGGGGCCCTAGGAAGAAAACTATAAGCAAGACGGGCGATCTCGAAGAGATTGCCGCAGAACATGTCATCAGCGACGGTCGGCTGGCTGAAACGTCGGAGCAGCGGTCACAGGAGCCTTCTAAGAAGCGAACAATAAGCCAAAGGATCGGAGTCACCGATACCGCTAGAGAAGACATATTCAGTTTTCTCGTTCCCGCTGCCAAGTCGGAGGAATCGATACAAAAGCCCAAGAAGGAAAAGATCGACAAGAGCGACCAAGAAGAGACCGCTGCAGTAGAAGATATTTTCCCCTCTATGACCAACGGCGCCAAACCGGTGGAGTTATCCAAGAAAGCTGCTAAGGCGAGCGGGTAAAGGTCCCTGTCGACTAGAATCCTAGAGCGCAACTCCATGCGCAGATCGAAGATATGGGACGTCCACTGCACGGATAGATGTATGTTGCGGCGTATCTACCCTCCCCAGCATGGTTAGAGTCCCCGATTTAATGTATTCTATTGTCGATATTTCTAATCCTCAGGTCCCAAAAATACATATTGATCCCGCTGCTGCTATATATGTCTAGCGTAAGCTACTCAAAGTAGAAGAAGACTCTTCTCTGGGCTACTATCATGTCCTCCAATCGACCACCCAAAACCAGTAATCCGCGCCGTCTCGATCACACCAGATCCGTCAAACCCCGTTCGTTCTGCCTCGCGCACGCCCGCTCACACGCCCCCACAACCATGAACGTCACGGCAGCCGATGGCCCAGCCTTCAGCACCGCGGGAACGATCCCTTTGTACAGCGCGCGCACGCCTTCGCTTCGAGCGATGGCGAGACCGCACCGGATGAAGGACCGGGGGTATGCTGGTACGCTGCCGACCACGTAGGAGGTCCGCGTTGGGCCTTGGATTTGGAGGCGTTTCCTACGATGACAGACGGTTTAATGAATTGATTTGACCCAAGGTTGGACATGGTAGGGCATGGGGTCCATCTTTATTACCTCACTACGTCGAAAGGCATGACCGCGGATTTCCCAATCATACCCGCCAAACCACCTGTCAAGAAACTTTCCAGCCCTGTCCCCTATAAAAGTGCGAAAAGTTGAGCAAAAGCGCAAGCGAGTGCCAAATCAAAAATCAAGGAGCGCTTCAACGCACCTTTAGCCTCGTTCCATCGACAGCATCATTCAATATCCTGTAAGACGCAAACACAATCCCCATCTGGGGCATCATCTGCATCACACTCGGCCACACGCCCCGATAGAACCCCCGTATCCCCTCCGTCCTCGCTATCTGTCCCACCGCCTGCATCAACCCGGTATACGGTCCACCCTCGGCGCCCTGGACCGCAAACCGCGTCCTCAACAGATCAAACGGGTATGTCGACACCGTCGCGGCGCATCCCGCCAACGCACCCGCGACCATCTCCGCAGGTAAATGCTGTAGCAGGCTAGATAATTGCGCGGGGAGACCTGAATCGTGTCGTTGTTGGGCGGATTTCGCTTTGTGTTCGTTGATGAAAGTGACGGCTCGGTTGTAGGTGTAGAACTGGACTGCTCCGTATGTAAGGTAGAGGTACTCTGCCGAGAGATTGCCCTTCCAGAGGCCACGGTAGCCTTCTTCCCGGACGATTCGGCTGAAGGACTGCACGACTCCGCGGTACTTTTTCGGAGCTTCAGTTGTAGTAGTTGCTTGTGTTGTTGTTGAGGACATTGGCGCGGAGGCCGCTGCCGTCGCTGTTGATGGAGCTCCACCTGCATGTATGGACTCAACAATAGCAGTCCGTGCCGAAGGGATGTGCGATAGTGTGTTCTTCGCTATTTCTTTCAAAGGCGTCAGAGCGCCAGTCTGCAGCTGGAAACGAATTTTTATGACATCCAGCGGCGCAATGACGAAGCGGGAGACGACGCCGGCCGTTGCACCACATAGAGCGTTCTGCCATGGCGGTATTTTCACTTTCGCTTGTTTGGGCTGTGAGGGCTTTTCGGTCAATGCTGCAGCGGCGTTTGTCGTCGTGAGGGACGCTGGACCGTCATGGACGCTGGCCATGGCTATCGAACTCGTGGAGAATTTTTGCGTTATGCACTTTGGCGAGTTTGAGTGCGGAGGAGAATATGCTACGCCTCGCCCACAGAATCGTTCCGAAGGTCAAAAATGTCACAGGGGGCGGTCTTTTATCTCCGTCTGCAATCTACTCTACCTCTGGGAAGGCAAATTGGGGTGAATTCTGAGAGCGCTGGGCGTGCGTCAACAAACGCGATATCGATGGAACAACACCTGGAAAGTGCCTTCACAAAGACTCTTGACCGGGTTGGCCGTCACAGCGTCAACCTCAACTTCAGGTTGGCCCCTCTCTCAACACACCCTCCACCTTGGATCCTTGGACACCATGGCAACTGCCTGTCTCAACGGACGCGACACCTGGAACTACCAGCTAGAAGCAGGTAGGGCTCACTGAGTGGTGAAACAACGCACCGCACCCAGTTCGAACTTCGAAGAGCAGATCACGGCAAGTCCTATCGGGAGGAACGGAGGACCGCGCGACAATGACTCTCTCAGTTGGGCGAACTGCGCCTGCTGCTTTGTGAAACTTGATGCACAAGGTAAGCCGACTGTTTGGACTAAGGCAAGAATATGTTAGAGATGAAATGAACATGGATCCCTCATTCGAGCTACCTGTGCGTTGGTCACCGCCGCGGTGGGAGCTTTGCATCTGTGTGAAGATGGTTGACCCGGTAGTTGACGGTTTCCCTGATGGTCGCCTCCGTAGAGCATCTTCAGTAGATCTCTCGGTTGCCTCTTCACTTGGGTTTTGGACACAACGCATCTTCCGAGCAATGAATACCGGAACTTCACCGAGCGAAAGGCAGCAGAGAGTAACAAGTGCGAGCTGGAAGGTGCCTGATGCACTGATGCACTGCACGTCGTCTGGCTAATCATCGCATCAGCCTGCTTTCACCGTCAGGCGAGGAAATTACCTGGACCGTGGAGCCAAATAAATCGCAAAGACTGAGTGGACAAGAGAATGTGCGCATGGTCTGTTGGATGCACAGAAGATGGACAGAAGATGAGGTCAACCTTCTAAGTGAGAGCGTTTAAGGTCAAGCTGTTTAACACAGTTCGAAACCCATTCTTTCAGTGATTGCCGAACAGACATCGGGAAGAGTTTAGCGAACGCTATGTCACGGTCTGATTCCTTACGCGAAGGATATCACTCCTGCTCGCATTCTTCTATAATCTGTACTAGCAACGGCCAACTTCTACACCTGGCGTCTACGCCTTCCCTGTTGCTCATGCATCGATCCCAGCATGGACCGGATGGTGGATTGCCGTAGCTCGTCCGGCAATGGGGAAATGCGTGCGGCGTGTGTCGAAGAAAACCCCTTCACAACCGGTTACGCCGTATACGCCGTCTACAATCTGGGCGCAAATGTGCATGCGGCCCATCATGCCTGAACTGCCCGCTCCTTACCGAGTACAGGGGAGAGCCTCACTGGACTTTTGCGGTCGCAAAGGAGGTCTCGGAAACGGACACGGCTCCCGAGAAATCTGGTTTCAAGCACGCCGACATCACCTTCCGATATGGAAACGGGTAGCTGTAGAGAAACGGCAGCTCTTTTATGGGGGCAATGAATGGATTACGGAACGGATAAGAGTGAAAGAGAGGAGGGAACGCGTAGCCCTGGATGACCTCAATAGGAGGTCATTCGCTGTAGGACTGACGTAGGAGCAATGGAGGACGCATCTCTAGAAGCGACTTTCCATCGGGCTTCGACATGGTGAGAACCACGGTATCCCCACTCGGAGTGAGAGCCCCCAGACGTCATTCACGTGATACGTAGTTTGAAGAAAAAGGCAAATATCCAAGTACGGAGCGCTTGCAGCAGTCCACCGGGTCAGACTTCATGTATGGGAATTCGACCCTTCAGAACCTTTTCTGCTCATCAGCCTCGTCATTTCCGGATATGGCCGAGTTACTGATTAGTACGTGAGGGTATGGAAGTCCGCGGACCGAGGTAAAAGTGTCAAGCCCTGCTACTATCTAGATCTAGCATGACGCCAACTCGTCGGAGAGGCAACCGGAGTTTGCGAGAATTGAGCGTCTCCCACCGGCCGAGGAGAACGCGCGCATCACGCACGGCGATCGTCCTTCCAAAGCCCCGTTTCCTCACGTCACCAACTTGCGTTTTCCTCCTGTCCCCCTACTGCCTTTTCCCTGCCCGTCCCCTTTTTGGAAAACCCCCCAGGTAAAAAGGATGGGCACCCCTTTCCCCACGCTCTCCTCCTTCTGCAACTTCGAATTCACAGACACTCCATATTACTGTACAACGCATAGTCCTACAGTACCCCGCAGTGGTGTCGCACGCTTAGGAGGAGCTGAAGAGGGAGGCGAACGGTGCGCGACAATTTTGCAACCGAGAGGCTGTCCAAAAAGAGGGCATTTCCGAAATGGATGTCCACCTATTGGCTGGAAGGGCCCACAAACGCTCAGTCTTACTTCCTGGGCCTATGTTGGGTGACGGGAAGGCTCCCGATGCTCGAGACCTCCTGGCACGCACATACGCTGTCATTAGCCACCGCGCTCGTCGGTTGACGATACTCTCTCGACATGGAAGCCCAGACCGCCTAGTGGTTGCTTATCAGGAGTTGGTCATTGACTGCCACTCGTTCTTGGCGACAGTAGCTCGAAAACACTTGCAGGCCACTCTCGCTCCGGGTTCGACAGGCAGTTTTGGTGCTGCACCTGGTTACCCCGATATTTCGCACTTCCCTGGTGCAAAACAGCTTGCTCTTCTTCAAGCGATTAACGCCCTCAAGGATGCGCTGAATACACTCTCGCGAAGTATACGATATACTGCCAGCTCCGGATCGAATGTGGATATGGGACATGGTGACGCAGGAAAGCCAGATGGGCCGGACCCGTTAGAAGGCGACGTGCGTCGTGTCTTGGAAGCTACTAGACGTTTGGTTGAAATCGTGAGCAAGTTTCGGACGCATCACGAACCGGATGCAGGAAGCGTATCCCGTAAAGCAACAATCAGCAAACGGCCGTCATTTGCGTCTCTGGTGGGACAGTTTGGCACGAAGAACATCAACAGATCACTGTCAGATCCTACCACATCCACCAGCAGTCGGAGCAATGGGATCCAAAAAGGCAGGCGACCGTCTGGGAGTCGTATATCGCTACCGCTTGCTGTCGAGTCACATACTACGAAAAAGCGCACAGGCACTCTTGCGAGTGAATGCGATTGCGGAGGAAGAGATATACGTCGCGTTATACCCGTGCTTTCCGAGTTAGGAATCGTTGTCGGAAGCTCTCTGCAGGAAGTGCGAATATTAAAGAAGAACCTTCTGCATAGTTGCGACATCCCGACAACATCGAGGGCAATCGAAGACATGAGCATAACCGAAGCATGTTACGAGCAGGCACTCAACCGATTGCTTCCGTTGATCTCGTCTCTGGCTTCCGATGGGGATCATGGGCACGCAACGGCCGCTGATCTCGAGCGCCTACAGCAAGACCTGGTGGAAAAGGACGCAAAGCTAAATGCCCTAACGAAAGAGTGTGAGAACACTCAGCGAATGAACGCCGCACTCCTCGAGGAAAACGCCATGCTTAAGGCTGACATAGAAGCTCTCAATCGAAGAACCAGTAACTTGGAGCTATGCCAGACGCCCCGGTCCGAGGACACCATACGACTTTCCGAATTTCCCTTGTTGAGTCCTGCCACGGAGATTGACGGAGGGGACTCATACCTGGGTACAAGCGGCATACCATCAGTAGCGGTGTCTTCGCCTGTACTCAACTACGCCGAGATCACCATGCAGAATGTCTCGCGCGAGCCTGACACTACCGCACAGCGAATCCATAGTGGGGTCATACAAGCCGAGGCCTTGTTAAACACGGTGAAACAAAGGCGGCTGGCCGCACGATCTTCTATGAGCTCTGTCAAGTCAACTGCCATCAAGTCATCAAGGAGTCTCCCTGAGATCACAGGCTACACATCCTTGTGGTATGATTTCAACCGCGCGGTGAGTTGCAGTCGAGTTGTCGTCGTACGCCTGGCTGCCACCATCTAATATGTCATTCGCTTGTCCGTCAGTTTGACGCTGATCCAAAGACGACAGCATGTCTCAAAATTCAGCGGCTTTGGCGAGGTTACGTTGCTCGTAAGAAGCTCAAGAACATCAAGCATCGGTTGATGATCGTCAATGAGGTGTTGGACACGGAGGCTTCATACGTCCGAGGGCTGCTCGTTCTGCACAAGGTATGAGGCGTTCGCAGCGACTGTAATCACTGAAAGATCGTTCGGAAATCTGATGTGACCTCTTAGGAATATATGCTTCCCTTGCAAGAAGAAAAAGACGAGAAGTCGCATTCAATAACACCGACTGATTTCGACAACATGTTTGGGCATCTTAGCGAAATCATGCAGTTCAGTCAAAGGCTTCTCGACTCCATGGTGGACAGGGTGGCCTACTGGCATCACGAACAATGCTTTGGTGACATTTTCATCGATGCCGCCGAGTCCATGAAAATCTATGCTCACTACATCAACAATTACGATCTCGCCATGGAAACCCTACAACGCCTGCTCGACAACTTTACCTTTGCCAAACGACTGCAGAGTCTCGAGAAAGCAGCAAGCCGATCGCACGATCTGAAGGATCTTCTGATAACGCCAGTGCAGCGACCACCGCGATATCTACTGCTGTTGCAGGAATTGCTGAAGAGAACGCCAGAGAAGCATCCTGACTATGAAAACTTGGTTTCTGCTGTGAAGCGGATAAAGCGAACTGTCCACACGATCAACGAGCGGAAGAAGAGACACGAGTCCATGCGGAAACTGCATGAAGCGGTGCGCGGCAGCCCTATACATCTCGTGGCTACAAATCGATACATGGTGTTCTCGGGACCCGTTTTGGAACTTAACGAAAGATCAACTGGTGTCAACGACCTCAAATACCACCGCCACTTACTGCTATTCAACGACCTGCTTCTATGCGCCTCACCAACCTCCAATATTACCGAAACGAATTCAGCTAACCCAGAAGCGACACAATATGACTTCAAATGGGCACTGCCTCTTGCAGACATTGTGACCGTAATTGAACGAGACTCCAACTGCTTCCAAGTTGCATGGAAGGCCGGAGCTTCTTCAGGAATCAGAATACTATATACCCGCAACCAAGAAGAGCACACGGACTGGGTCAAACATTTCGCCCACGCTCGCAAAAACCAGATCAGACTCTCACGTCAATCAACATTGGAAGGAGCCGGCCTTATCCTCCCGCCAACCCACCTAGTCGTCAAAACCGCCACACGCCGTAAAAGCTTGCAAACGATCAACCAAACGATAGAGCGTCTAGAATCCGAAATCCAAGAAGAGGCCAAAGTCATCGAGGGCTTCCAACTCCTCGAAAACCTAAACTCGACGAAACCGGAATCCGCAACCAAATCTGCCAAATCTGTTCCGGGGCCAATCAAAGCGCTCGCTACTCCGTTCGCACCTGTCATCAAATCTCATAATCGGCCGATGTTGAGCTGGGATCGGGAGAATTGGATTGGGTTACTTCCTGGTGTCAAGAAACTTTCGAGGACTTTGTCGTTGAGGGGCCAGAGGGATGAGTCGGAGAAGAAGCTGGGGGTTTTGAAGCGTGAAGTCTCTCGGTAAGTTGTGTGGGTCATTGTTTCGGAAAAGTACACCCGGATCACTCTCTCATTATTTTTGTTTTCCAACATAGGCATCAGCTCCTCAGACAGCAACTCCAAACCCCGCCTCCCTTGGGATGAATCGCGCACCTGGACTTCGGACAAGTTGCTGGACTTCCCTACAACATGGCCCTTGACTTGTCCCTGTCAAACAGTGTCCTCCCACCGGAGACGCCTGGAACCTAGCCTTAAGTGTAGACCACTTTCTGAGGATATTTCCTGCTTATACATGGCGTCTCCCTCCCTCCCTCGTTGACCCTTTTTGGCCGTCCCTAGTGGCGTATGTTCGTAATGTCGTGTCGCCCGTTACCTATTCCTGTATCATATACCCGTTGTGCACACAGCTATAAACATATTCCGACAAGGTTTATAATAAACGTTGGTGTTGGTCTACTTGTTGTAATACCATTGCTGAGTTGTCGGACCATTCTCACTGGCTCGTATTTGCATCGTATCGCGCCGGCTCGCATCATACCAAACACACCTCCGCCAGTTCGTATTCTCACATTGAATAATGATCTGGCGGGATAAACACAATTCAGACAAGATCTATCTAGCAAGTCAGAGCGGGATACATGATGCGATCCGCAGAGGCCTCGCTAGAACCGCGAGAGACCAATCATCGACTCGTTGTGTTGAACTGCAGGAAGAAAGCGTCCGTTGGTTCGTTGGTGTACAGAACGTGGTTGATGTAGTGTTGTCTGTAAGGTAAACGCGCACGACATCCATTAGTAAGTCATGCCAACTTCCTTTCTACCGCCGCAAGCCGACATCTCCAAAGCCGAAAATAACGTCCACCAAACACTCACTTCGCCTTCTGCTCCCCAGCCTTCTCCCTATTTTCCTCCAACAGCCTCGCAGCGTCCTCGCGCTGCCGGCGAACCTTCTCGCGCTCAAGCAGCATTGCGGCGCGGATGTTGGCTGCGTCTTGGCGGGCTATGCGTTGTGCTTCTTGGCGTTCTTCTTCGCGTTTGGTCTGTGGTGGGTTGTGAGTTTGGGGAGTGGGAGAGTGGGAATGGGTTGGGTTGGGCTTTACCTGGAGGTCTGCACGCTGCTTTGCTTGTACTTGCGCGATGTATTCTTGTTGTTCCCTCGTGATGCCTTTGAAATCGTCTACGCGGACTCTGTACATCACAAGAAACAGTAGCCAGTTACCTTCCCATCATGTTTCCTACGTATTCAAAGGGTAATGCACTGAACTTACTGATGGCCACCCCGGATGTTGAACACATCAGGCTGCTCGGTCAAGAACCGGCCGTTCACTTGCTGATTCACCTCGTCGATGCTTTGCTGCTCTTCATGGCGGCGGCGTTCTGCTTCGCGCTCTTTTTTGAATTGAGCCTGGGATGAAAGAGGGCGGGATGCATTAGCGGTCTCTTGGAGCCGTTGCATGATACACATGCACCATCGGAATGTGTAAGGTTTTGTGGAGCTTACCTGTTGGCGATTGAACGCCTCATCGGCACGAGCTTGCGCCTGCCGCGCCTCTTGCACGGCCTTTTGAAGTGTTAGGACTTTTTGGTCAACGTCGTTTTGGTACTGCTCGTATCGACTAGAGGGGATGAAGAGTGAGGCCATGCGTTCTCCTTCTCTTCGGCACGATCCAAAAAACTCAATAGATCCTCCTCCCATCTTATGCCCCTCGTCAAATCCTACCTCTTCTCCTCAGCTTCCTCCGCCTTCTTCATCCTCCGCTCCCAAACCTGCTCATTCGTCCACGCCCTAATCTGCTCCTTCTGCAACTTCTTCCTCCTCTCCTGCGCCAAATCCTCCCCTTCAAACCTCTGACACGAGCTCAGCCCAATCGTCTGATCATCATCACCGATCCGGCCCGGCCGGTCCTTTCGCAGCGCTAAGGGGTCGTAGAGGTCATAGTCCCTCCGCTGGGTGGGGTGTTGGTGGGCTGACCGGAATTGATTGAGACGTTCGAGCTCGCTGCGGGCTTGCGCGGCGGCTTCGGCTTCGAGGTGGGCGAGGGTGAGGTTGGCTTCGCGCATTGCTTTGTCTGTGGAAGGTTCAGAAGCTTGGTTTGAGAAGACGGAGGTGGAGGATGGGGTCTGACGAACCGAAAGCTTCCTCCCTCTGCTGCTCTTCCCGCTTTATTCGCTCCTTTGTCCTCATTTGATCCTCCAAAGCCTGGACATCAATCTGCCGAGGAAAGCGGTTAGACTCGGGTGAGCATCCTAGCCGATGTGACCAAGCCCCGACAATCATATCTCATACCCCAAAAACCCGTATCTTAGGATCAAAAATCCTCTTCTTGCGCTCCGCGTCGAGATGCTTCCGCCTGTTAATGGCCGCATCCCGCAGGGTGTCGGAAAGGATCTCGACTTTGTACATGGCTCTCAAACGCAACTGCTCGCACGGATGTACAGGTGTCGGCCGGAGTCTCTCAAGGAAGAGCACCGGTTATGAAGATACAATCCCTGTTTGCCGGCGGACCAGATTGTCGGGACTCCTTCGAAAACACTTATCCTGAGTTTAAAAGGTGGCAAAAACGCAAGTCGGAGATTATTGACAGGATGCTCATTGCTGACGTGAGCTGTCAGTAGGCCGCATGTTGCGGTGGTGCTCTCAACTGCGAATTCAGAATCAGTCATCGCAGGGCATCCTTCTGCTTTGGTATAGGCTAGGCTTCTCAATACACGGCGGGTTGGAGTCGCCTATGGAAGGCAGTAGCGGAGCGCACACAGTCCTGCCGGTCCACTGGGCGCCTACCCGCGGCAGCCTGGTCAAGATGGCGGATAGGGAATTAGGTTCGTACCCTCGGTGGTGTATCCCGTTGGACAACTGTAGCCTCTATTGGGAAAGTGTCCACGCTGGGCATATGTTTCAGTCTCAGTCTTAATTATTGATGTATTTGGCCGTGGTCCTGCATCTCTACCAGAATACAAAGCGAAATAGTACGTTGCGGGAGTTTCAGGCGATCCTTCGAAGGTTCAGGGAATCTGTGAAGTGATAATTGTCTTGTTCGTTTGCGCAGTACGGCTTTGAAAGCCCGCTTGCGAGAGGAGGAGAAGGTGCAGGTTGGCTCTATTTCACGGCATTGTCGACTATTGATTGGCTGACGAGACTCTCTGCCGGTCCTTCCCTTCAGACGTTCGAGCAGCTTCTCTCCCAGTTAACGAAACTAAAGAGCGATGTTCGTCGCTTGAAGCTAGAACAAGGGTGAGCCCCCAGTTATGGGCGAGCTACTTACTCTTGGTGCCTATGGATAGTAATCAAAAGCCCTTGTGTTGTAAGGCTGTGGAGGGAGTCAGAAAGCCCCCCGAGACACGGAGGAGAGCGAGCCCGGGAAGGCGACGCGAGATCAAATGGCAATCACAATCGAAATGGATGACACAATATTCAGTCATGCATATCCTACTCGAAAGTAACTCGGGATATATGGGTGTGTATTCAGAGATGGAAATTTCTGGCGAATGAAATCGGTGTGAATGCATCAGCTGAACATTATACTGCCAGGAGCCTAATGATACGAAATGTGGTGTTGCTAGACTACAATTTCGGAGCTACCACCTGCTACTTGGACTTGGAAGAGAGAGCAACGACACCAGGGAGCTCCTTGCCTTCGAGCAACTCAAGACTGGCACCTCCGCCAGTGCTCACGTGGGAAAAGTCGGCTTCCCTGTTGGCCTTGGCGACGGCGGTGGCGGTGTCACCTCCACCAACGATCGTCGTGGCACCTCGCTTGGTAGCGGCAGCGCACGCTTCCAGTAGACTGTTTGTGCCTTCCGCAAACTTCTCAAACTCGAACACTCCGGCGGGACCGTTCCAGAGGATGGTCTTGGCATCCGCGAGGGCTTGCTTGGATTCCTCGTTGGTCTTCTTTCCCGAGTCGAGACCGAGCCATCCCTTTGGAATGCCTTCTTGCTTGGTGGCATAACCGACGTTGGCGTTGGCGTCGAACTTGTCGGCGATGACAAAGTCGACGGGGAGGTAGAACTTTACATTCTTGGCCTTTGCTTTGTCAACAAGCTTCTGTACGATCTTGGAACCCTCCTCGTCGAACAGGGAGTTTCCAATCTCAACACCTTCCAGTGTCTTGAGGAAGGTGAAGGCCATTCCTCCGCAGATGATGCACGCGTTGACCTTGTCCAGCAGGTTGTCAATGAGCTGGATCTTGTCAGACACCTTGGCTCCACCGAGGATGGCGACGAAGGGGCTCTCAGGGGACTCCAAGGCCTTGGCGAAGAAGTCGAGCTCCTTCTTCATGAGGAAACCCGCGGCCTTGATGGGAAGGTTTACGCCGACCATGGAGCTGTGTGCGCGGTGGGCGGTACCGAAGGCATCGTTGACATACACGTCTCCCAGCTTGGAGAGCGATGCGCGGAACTTGTCGACATCCTCCTTAGGTGCCTTTATCTTATTGCCCTCCTTGTCCTTGACGGATCCCTCCTCCTCAATGTGGAACCGCAAGTTCTCCAATAGGATGACTTCTCCGTTCGAGGCCTTTGCGCAGTGCTGCTCGACCTTTTCGCCGACGCAATCGTCCAGGAAGGTAACTTTTGTGCCCAGCTGCTTTTCAACTTCGGCAGCAACTGGCTTCAGAGAGTACTTTGGAACGACCTTGCCGTCGGGGCGCCCAAGATGGCTCATGAGGACGACGCTCTTAGCACCCTTCTCCAAAGCATACTTGATCGTGGGGATTGCGGCGACGATACGCTGGTTGTTGGAGATTTTGCCGTCTGCGAAAGGCACGTTGAAGTCAACGCTGGGGATAGAGGGTGGAGGAATAAAGCGTGAGCGCTTTGTTACAATTGTCCTTCTTTAGCATTGCCCATCCGGCTCACCGAATAAGGACACGTTTGTCCTTGATATCAACGTCCTGGATGCCGAGCTTGTTGCTAAGAGACATGGTTGCGTATTTGTTGGGATGAGTAGTGCGGTGCGGTTGAGTGATAATGCGTATGAGATGGCTAGACCAGGAGATGTTGGGTTTGGTCAGATGATAACGATGGAAGGTGCGAAGTGGAAGGCAACATGACGGGCATCGATGGGAAACAACGGGTGAAGCCGGGGCGGGTTGTTCAGACCGTTTCTAACCAGTTATTTTCTGGTTTCCTTAAGCTTGCCCCCAACCACATGTGCACGGCAACAGGCACCAGTTGTCGGAGGCCGTCAGCAACCATAGCAGCAACCCGCCGTCCGTATTAATCGTGCGTCGATGAATGCAATGGCGAGAGAAGGGTAGGTCTATCGTCGGCGGACAGCAATTAGGGTGTTACTAACCCTAACCCTAACCTTAACCCTAACTGGGGCACTTAACAATTACAGTAACTTCTCGTTTATTTCAATTCCGGTTACTTCAACTTTCGCTTATTTCAACGGTCAGAGGGTTAGGGTTAGGGTTAGGGTTCGGGTAACATTGACTTTGACAACACTGAGAGCACGAGGCTTGAGCACACTGAAGAGTTCATTGCTCGCCAGATTCTTAGTGAGGAAGGGTTGGAGGTTATGGGGTTAGCCTAGGGAGTGCCTGTTTACCGAGCTTAGCGCAGGTTTTAGTTGCGTACCTGTTTGTATACCCTTAGTATGAGGAGGATTTCAGATATTTCAACTTTCGCTTATTTCAAGGGTCAACGGTGTTGAAATAAACGAGAAGTTACTGTAGAGTATGTGTGCTCAAAGGTAGCGTGGATAGCAAACACGGGTAGCGTCGTTAGCAACTTTCTTTGGTAAAGTACCGATTGGCCAATCCCTGAAGGCCGCCTTTCCACTCCCTGACTGGGAGCCCAAGGACATATAAGCATCTAAATACTCTGGGTTTAAGGGAATGTTACTGGATCTGGATGCCGTATTCTGTGGCGACGCAGGATCTGCGATACCGTCCCGGCAAGCGCCATCCTCCCGCAATAAGGGCTCCATTTTTTACAAAGTTCCGACAGCGCTCCTCGAAAGGCAAAGAGACCCCAGACGATTCAGCCATCGATGAGGTTGCCCCGTCTACACATGTCACGCCTGTCACTTGAGGTCCCGTTAAACGGCGGAGTACTTCACATCGAGGACGTGGCGGAACCACAATCGGCTCGTCTTCAGGTCCAGTTCAGATAGTGGCGTAAGCATCGAGACCGGACTGTCAAAAGACTTCGATTTAAGCAGCGGCTCACCGCCAGGTCGGTTATCGGCGCTACGAAAATCGGATATGGTATGGGAAATCGAACGACACCGTCGGGCTCATATATATGAGAGTGGCCAACTCAGAGCGGTTATGGAGGCTGCTGTCAACGGTGGTCGCTGTGCTGCGCGCTCGCGTTGTCGTCGTCGATCCGGCATTCGGATCGGCGATTTATGAGCGAGATCGACGTTCTACGATCCCCAATAGCATCCGCAAAGACACTTTCCACGCATTTCTCAACGCCTCTTTCATTTGCCATTTGCAACGCCAAGAGCTGGCCGAAGGGAAGGGGAAGAAAAAGGCAGCCCTCCCTCTCTCGCCCTTGCTCGCGGCTCTGGTTTTCTCTCCTTCGGCCCTTCCGTCGGTTTTCCTGCTTTTCGGTCGGCAAACCACGAAACATGTGTGCAACGGCAGAGGAGGGTTTTGGGTCTGGATGTGGGGGGATAGGCCGGAACTCGCACGGATCCCGCAGGGAACTTCTCTCGGCGGCTTGCACCAGAATCGTCGAGCGCAACATCGAACCGAAAGCGAGATACAGTAAACGCTACGCAACATAACGACAGGAACAATTCGGATTACATTCTGTACTGGACGGAATTACCCCGCCTTGCTATGGTCCAAACGATCAACGAATCGCCCGCATCGAAAACTCGATTTAAGTTATGATATACGAAGAGAGAAAACCGAGGACCTATGACAAAGGTTCGAAAAACGAACATTGCTACCGTGCCTTTCACATCGCCCCACCACCCAAAAAAGAGGACGTGTCAGCAAGCCTCCATACTTGGGAGGTGGAAAATTCCGGAAAAATGGGGAAGATAGGTTCCAAACTAGCTGGACGAGTTCGGTATGTAAGAGGGCGATGCGGAGCGGGTTCATCGCTACGACGGCATGAAAGCGTGTCGGAACAGCGTGGGGTTTCGATTGGGAAACCGGAGTAGACGCGCGGTGTGTCGGGCACCGTCGTACGCCCCGAATGGGATAGAGCGGTCGGGAAGGGAAGACCGCTCGCTTGATATCCGTCCCGTCCACTGAGCATCCGAGTATCTTATCTGTCGCGATCGCCATCGCATGGCCAACCGCCAAGCCCAATGAAAGAACTCGATATAGGCACGCGTGCACTGAAGAACGCTGCAAAGCAATGCTACAGTCTGGAAGCCGCCATCGCATTTTCCAAGCACATCAACATCGATCGTCACGCATTCTTCCCTTGAGGCACCGGGGTATCCGGAATAAGTGCCGTCGAGGTCGCCGATCCCAACTTCGGACCTGCCTTGCTACTGTGATTCGTGATAGCACTGTCGCCAGATGCCCGGCCAGCTGCAACGCTACTTCCGCCTCCAGCGCCATTCGTACCCGCGGCTGGACCTCCACCAGTATCGGCAATGTTGAATTTTCGCTGCTTTTTGGAGTAGGCGAGACCGCAGGCGTTACATAGGCTAAAATGGAATGGAGGGAGGGAGGGACAGACGCCCGGTTAGCCGCGAATTCGAAAATACGGCAGCGGCGAAATGGAGTGACTCACGTTTTGGGACCATCGGGGCCTTTACGCCACTCCGGGGACGACGTTGTCCCACACTGGCGACAAAAGAGCTCTTCGCTTCTCGGGGCTTTCCGCTATTCGCAGGAAGAATGGAGTGGATCGAGACGCATCAGCAAATCCTTTCGGCAATTCACGCGACATCTCTCTACCGCCATGAAATCCCAAAATTACCTTTCGTTTCGGCGGAGCACTCGGTTCAGATTTCTCCTTGACGCCAATATTAATATCCGAAACGGCCACGAGGCTACTTGAAGACAAAGACTGGTCCTTGTCTCCGCGATACGATGCTTTGTCTTTCATGCCTGCATTATCTGACAAAGATCCAGCTTGCTGATCACCGACCGGTCGCCCCGTTTCCAAATCATTGAATGGTTCGAAAGATTCTGGATCGTGTGGATGTGGGATCCGTGGCGACGGTGGACCCACCCGAAGCAACGGATGCGTTCCGGGATCTATCCCGCGTTCCCGGAGTTCCACGCTGAGCTGGCGCCGTAAGCGCAGATTTTCGATCCGGTACTCTAACAGCGAGTCGACTGCTAGCGACGCTTTCGAACGGTATTCTCGAGCGGTTAGAACTACGCAACGTGCCGTGCCCACCGAGGAAGCCGCATTGGCAGCACCGGGCCCGTTCGTCAAGCTCTTGATATGCTTGTCATCCATCAGCTGTTTGCCTCGCACCTCCAGCAATACGAAATCGCCGGCTTTCTTTTGGTATCTCAGATACATCGTGCACGATGGTGGCACGCTAATGCCGGTCGCACTGGAAGCCGACGTTCCATCACCCCCCGAGAGATCTTGGCTCTGCAGGGTCCGCAGCAGAGGTGCACGGTCTTCCCGGTGCAAAATTTCGGAGACATGATGCCCCGCTAGATCGTTACCAGTATAGCCCAGGAACCGCTTCACGGAAGGCGAACAGTACACGATTGTTCCGGATGGAGTGACGACGTGAAGGAAGTCATCTAGCTCGTTCAACAACCTTCGATATCCCTCTTCGGTCGCTGTGAAATGGGATATGACTGAGGTGACATGGCGCGACAGGTTCGCTTTTGCGGTGTTGTGCGAGTCTTCCGATCCTGTGGCTTCTGATGCGCCGTCACCATGCCCGTCGCCTGAATCAGGCGTCGATCGATATCCTACGTAATAGCAGCAACTATCAACGCTTCTGATCATCGAAATAAGGACAGCACACCAATGCAACTGGTAATTGCACGATCACGGCTGCGCAAGGAAGATTTCGAGGTCGATACTTACGATTATCTTTGGACGGCTCACTTCGTCTCCGCGGCACCTGTTGATAATGCGATTGCTGCCCTTGCGACTGCTGCCCTTGCGACTGCTGCGTCGACGGGTATGTGGGCGGTAGCGCTTGGAATGACTGGAAAGGGGATGGAGATGCAGAGGACGATTTGCGTGCAGCTGCGGATGGGAAAGGAGTGGGTAACATCGAGCTCGGACTTGGAGTTCCGTCGACTCCTCGCGAGGGATACTGCAATTGCGGCGGGAGTATATTCGCTAAGAGGAAATTACTTTGCCTGGCGGTAGATGCATCTGCTTGGCCCGACTGCGGCACCGGTGGATTTTGACCAGGCTGTGGAAGCTGGGAGGATGTTGGGAGTGGCAATCCAGGGCCTCGCTCTCCGGCGCCGCCTATGGACTGCTGACCATAGCCTTTCAACGGTCCTTCCGTCGAGTCGACATTTACGCCCCCACTCGCCATGTATGTGTCATAGCCATATTGCATGGCCATTGATGAGTTCGGTCGCTGAGACGGTTGGCCGGATGCTCGGGTATCTGGCCCGGAAGGGTAAAGAGGCGCCGATGTGGGATTGTATTGTATCGCCCCCGATCCGTTCGATGCTCCGCTGTCTCCGAATTGGTATCTATGCTGTGGAACGTGCCCAGGCATAGATCCTTGAGGCTGCATTACAAACTGCTGGGAATCTGCTGCGGGATACCGGTGATATGGCTGATTATTGGGCGAAGCAGATGTGGGGTAAGGAGCAGCGTAGCTCGACGCAGGTGGGATGAGAGGCGGTTGTTGATATTGCCCTGACGGTAAGTTATTGTACATATTCGTGGAAATAGGCGGTGGTGGATAATTTCTGGGTTGATATGGCACCGCTGCAGGCGGTTGTGGTTGCTGTGGAAGATACGGGTTCCCTATGCCTCCCGGTGGTTGAGGAGGGACCTGCTGCTGCATATATCCGCCGGATGGCTGTTGTTGAATTGGATTCCCTATCTGAGGTAAAGGCGGCGGTGGAGGGTAATTCGTACTTGGGTACTGTTGTGAATGCAGCTGCTGCTGTTGTTCTTCGCGCCAGCTGGTTGCGCCATTGTCATAAACGCTACCCTGTTCTGGTGGACGATCCATCTTCACGCCTATTGTATTGTGGCGGATCCTCTCCTGGTGGCTTTTCCAATATAAAGTTCGTTCGTGGTGGTTCAGACTCCTGAGGAGGACTTTACCGCGAAAGGTTTGGCTATGGAGGCGAGAGGGTGTTTTCGATTCCCACTGCGACTTGGCGGAACCAATTGCCTTCTTTCGAGCAAAGCGGAGTCGTTTCCCGTGTGCAATCGGCGACCAGCCGTGGGCTAGACGCGGGGCAAACGTGCGGCGAGATAGACGAAGAGCGAGAAGCTTGTGTCTGAACGCAAGCCCTGATGACTGCCCGACCACCTCCTTGTTCTTGGTGTCCGGATTGAGCAAGTTGAGCACGTTGAGCAGTTGCGCAAGACGAGGCAAGGCAAGGGCTGATCCTGGAAGGATCCTTTACGGCGATCCCACTTTTTGCCGACGCTAACTGCTGATTTACATTAGCGCCCTGATTAGCCCCAGAAGGAAGAGTCAGCGTGGCGCTCCAATGCTCCGTCCCCCTTTTGCCAGAAACACGCAGATCCGGCCGTGACATCACGGGAGGGTGTATGACTGCTACAGCACCCACGGCTCGAAGTCACCGGCCCCCCCGCGTCCTCGTGCTTCGACGTTCCGAGAAAGTGGTAAATGGACCAACCCAATACCCCCGGCGATCATATTTTTCCGTCATTTTGACAGGCGATGGCATCAAACGACAGGGATTCAGATTCAAGCGAAAATGGGAGGAATCAACTCTTTGGGAAACGCAAACTGTCGTAGCAAAATTCGCCGTCTACCACATGAACCGCTGTATAACGCCAGGCTCGGAAGGCCATGTGAACCCCTTCTCTCCAAATAGATATAGAGTCCCGACGTTGACTATGAGGAAGAAGATAAGCTCCCCCACACTACATGCAAGTGCAAATTCGGTTACTTGCTTCGTCGCAGTATTGACGGTGTGCTTCTTGGATGCTTTCGCTTGGCCGGTCTTCGAGTGAGGACCGGCATGTGTGCGGTTGCTTGCTGGTGACGAAGGGATGGTATGCACCCGATAGATCAGGAACGGGATGATGTAGTACCGGAAGTCAAAAAGAGGTGTTGGGACCAGTGTGACTGCTGTGCAGATCGCATACAGGGGTAAGAGTAGCGCTGGCTGGCGAGGAGTCGAGACTGAAATTTCCCATGTAGGCCGTCAGTTACACTTTCGTTTCGTGGCATCGGCTTCAGGTAAAGGGCACTGCAGATACCCACCAAATCTGCGGAAACACGACCAGGCCGCAAACACGTATCCCGGCACCACGGCATATCGTGCCAATGGGTGTCGGCGGTATACATTCTTCCAGATGTAGAACGAGTAGTGTCGATTGTCCGCAAGTAAGAATGGGTGCTCGATTCTGTTTCCGAAACATGGTGGTGAGACCGAACTCTCGCACCGGATTCGTGCTGAATGTGCGCGCAAGACACCTACGTGAATTCTCGCACGGTACAAGCGATGCTCAATATGTAGACGGCCGTCAGCACAACTGTCGATAAACTAACCAACGAGGGGTATGAGAAAGTGGATATCTCCGTTTCCGAAAGCCCGACACCGCTTACCATCCGCGGGCAGACCGGCACTTCCGTCCCACATCCTCTAACGCGCTTGTCCACTCGATTGTGAATATGCTGAATCCAAAGAGTGTGCAAATGAAATAGTATAGCTGTGGGATATGCAAGGTGGCGATGTGGTTTGATCTATCGCCTGATCATCGAATTCGTGAGTGATGTGACCATGTGAACACGCCGGCGACGCCGCTTGAATTTACCTAGCACGATGCCATTGTTCCAGTAGACGAAGCCCACAAAAGTCAGCGCAACGCTGATGTACGGCCAGAGGCAGAATACCAAAGGCCCGATCTGTGTGGTAGCCGCCATCACGAACTTCGCAACAAGATTCAGAAAGGCTCCTGAAATGCCGCGAATAGCTTCCTTAAGTACTGCAGCCATGCGCATGTCCCCATTCCGTACGCCCCCGCCACCAACCTGGGCCTCGTAGGTCACTGAAAGAAACATCATGAAATGACGTCTTCCTCCCAGCACCAGTCGTCGAAAGCAACCTCAAAGTCGCAGCTCCGGCCGCAAACATGATCCAGATAACGTTTGTTTGCCTGTAGGTGACCGACACCAAACCTATCTTCGCAATACGAGACGGTGGAGAATGCGAGACCGGAAGTTAGGCAGATGCTCCACGGTGCGCAACGCAAACTCTACACCATCCTTCAGCACCAATAACGAGGAGGGTCGCGATACTCACAAGAGCACTCGACTTATGCCACCCTTTCACCGACATCAAATACGACAGCAAGACCCAAAATGTCGATCCGGGATCCGTGTAGTACAGCCCATGAAAAAAGTACGATATCGGCATCATTGACAATGCCAATGCCTGCGGGACACAGCCTCGCACGCTCATTTTTGGGTTCAGTGTGCTGCCTAGTATCACGAGAACCACGTATGTCCCCAGAAGGAAAAGGAGATTATGTGCCCGAAGACTTTCGGTGCTACACGCTGCCGCCCAGGAAGTCGAGGCCAACAATGAATGGAGCTTGCTGAGAAGATAGGACGTGATGTATCTAGGCAAACGTAGGCCGCATAAGAGCCTATGTCATGTCTACTTACAGGACGGAGGAACTCACAGTCCTGGTGGTGTTGTAATCTTGGGATCCCATACGTGAAAGTTGCCCAGGCAATATTGCTGAGCTTGCCTAACGTGGAATATCTCATCCTAAAAACCGGAGGAGTGGCGTTAACCTATTTCAGTCAGGTCACTTTCTTGATGGACAGGCTGGGAAGCAACGGAGGTGAGCACGCACCATGTAAGGTTCGGGTGCTCTCAAATTCACATAGCGCTGACTGAGCCCACCCGCGAGCAGCAGCGGCGCGGCGCCTGCCAGCACCCAGGTGGCCGCAGACCGCTTCATAGGGTACCCGTCGCAGGATCAACAGTGGCTATGGAGCTGTGAACAATGCTTTTTGAAGGACGGAAGGAAACCCCGGCCGAGTCCAAAAAGGTCAGAAGTCTCAGAAGTTGACCGCAACGGCGCTGTTCCCACGCGTGCCCCTGTGGAGCCTGTGGGTCGCCAGTTGACAGAGCTTTGGACGTCAGAAAAAGCCCCGGGTATACCTTGCAAGGAACACCCTCCTTCTCTTCAGAGGTCTATCGTAACGATGCTGGACCGCTTTGTGCGGCGTCTGTCGCATATCGACGCATTTCCCAAAGTCCAGCGCAACATTCAGCAACCAACAGGCTCCGGCGGCCTGGCGACATTACTGGTCGGAGTACTGCTAGCATATTTGACGCTCTCGGAGTTTGCCCAGTACAGGGCAGTCACACAGGACTACGAGTTTTTGGTGGACCAGACGAGGAGTAATGGTAAAGCGGACCTTGGGCTGCAGATCAACTTGGACTTGACGATTGCTACCCCTTGTCAACGTGAGTTGACGTTTTTGCCCCAGACGATGATGACATCTTGAAGACATTGTCTGACCTGAGGTTGCGTTTGGTGAACAGAGTTAAGAGCAGATGTGTTGGACTATTCCGGAACGACGCTAGGTGTGTCACATCAACTGGAATCGAAGGAGGTAAAAACTAGGGGGTCGGAAAGAATGGGAGGACAGGACGAGAAGTGTAAACAGCGGACGTTTGTCGGTTGACAGGTTGTGTTCTCCACAAAAGGCACGCGGTTGTTTCGGTAAGAGGGGAATATCATTGAAAGGAGCAACACTACTTGGAATGCTGAGACCCCCGCCACATTGTGTAGGGACGTCAGTGGCAAAGATAAAGGCGTCAATGTCCATAAGATTGTTGGACAGGCGAAGAAAGCAGAGAAAGAGGACGCATCGGCACATCCCAATGGTGAATTTGCCCATAATGAACGTCTCCGGCTTCACATGTCTTCTCACACTCTTTCTACCAACCCTTATTGCAGATGGGGCTGCGTGTAGAGTCACCGGCGCCTTGAAACTGGCGAAAGTGTCAGGGATGCTCCATTTCACAGCGCTTGGACACGGATATGCGGGCGGGCATACCCCACACGAAGGTCAGACTTCTATCAGTACAGCATAGAGCGTTCAATGCAGAAGATTGGCGCTTACCGTCCCCCATAAAACAACCCAGTGATGAACTTCACGCATCGAATCGACAAGCTGTCTTTCGGTGCCTACTACCCCGGCCTCCACAACCCACTAGACCGGACACTCGAGCTCGCAAAGACACCACTGGACATGTTCCAATACTTCATTGCCGTGGTGCCTACCATCTACCTCGATAATCGACGTACCTTCGGCAGTAAGGTGCTGTTGACGAATCAGTATGCCGTGACGGATTACCAGAGATCGCTCGAGGGCCAGGCTGTCGGCGGTGTCCCAGGTAAGTGTGTAGGTGTCTAATCTATGCGCGAGGGGGTGGTTTCTCATGTCATGGTCCATCCGCTAGGCATTTTCATCAAGTACGACATAGAACCTATAATGGTGCGGATAACTGAGTCACATCAGGGCTTCCTTAACTTCTTGACTCGATTATGTGGGATAATAGGAGGTATGAAAGCACGCTATGGATTATTCGTCCAAAGCAATGGCGTTGTTGACTGTTCTTGTGACAGGCATATTCGTTACCATCGGAATTCTGCTGGACGTTATACGGTGGATGATGAAATGGTTTTGATGTTCATAGCGGCTGTCTCCATTTGCGATCACGACTCGTCGCAGATTCTCATCCGTCGGTAGGCTCTCACGCCGTCGGTCTCCGCCTTGACATCCGTCACTGTCGACACTCTCAGATCCTACGGAACACTGTCCGCGCGAGCCCTGTCTACATAGCCGTCTCCAACTCAAGTTTGAAATGCTACCATAAATACAAAGGCATAGCTAGAGAGTGCCGTCGTATATATCCACGGACCCCGAACCGAATGCATTCATCTCCCACAGCCTACATAATCAACTCAATACGACAGATTCTTCCTGCCCTTCAACATCCGCCGCTTAAGTATCATCCTTCCACCCAGCGTCCTCAACCGCTTCAGAAACCCATGCCGCCTCTTCCTCTTGATTGTGCTCGGTTGGTATTCTCGTCCGTAGCTGACGAAACGTGGACGGAGGGACGCTAGGAACGGGGATGGTGGGAGAGGGAGGAGGGAGGAGGTGATGGGCGTTGTTGCGGGGGAAGCTCTGATGTACATCTGAGAGTGTCAGCGCGCGCAGAATGTAAATTGATAAAAGAGCGCTTTGACATATACCTTCGGTTGATGCTCGTTAGCCCTATTGGTGATCTCTGCGACAGCATCGTGCTACAGCCAAGGAAAGCGATCGGGATGTCAATCATCGGTAGGGCCTCATGAGGCATAGAATTTTCGATCCAACATCAGAACCTACCCGAAAGTGAGCCGGCCACAAACTCTACTCCCCACAAGCGAGCGACTCGGGGAGGCACCCAGTGAGAGACGGGATATCCCTGATATCAGTGATCTGAACTCCATGATTATTGTGCCGTTTGTGATACGTTTGGTCCTGTATACAGAAGGAATCGATAGGCAGGAAGTTGAGTGCGTTTCCTCTCTCCTATCGATCTGTTTTACACTTTCTCCCCATATTCCTTCATGGGTTGTGAAGAACTTCCCTCGCCTCCCGGGAGCAGTACTTAAGAGCTCCCTCGGCCACATATGCGTGGCCGATCAGAAACGTTTCCCACTTCACAACGTTGATATCAACCTGGTCATGCTCCCATAGACCTTCGCCACTCCATATCCACCCCGACATCAACACCTCGGTTGGACCTGTGTTGCCAAAATGTTGCTACTCCGCAGGAAGTGTGGCTTTTCTGACGAGTTCCGCCCGGGCTGTCCGGCGACTCTCGAGCCGGGGTCGACAGATGCTGCTGCTTCGGAGTACTCACTACAAGCCTGTAAGAACCGTCGAGTAGCTCACCTTCCCGCACTATCGTTGCTGGTGATGTTGCAGGGTTGCACGAATGGGCTTCGATCGTCGGTCAACCCAGCACCTCGAACCCGCCTCGAACATAATTTAAAGATGTTTCCACGTGACCTTCTGCCAGACTGTCGCTCTTTGCACTCGCAGCATCCATTATCCAGGAGGACACCAATCGAGAGCCTCGTTCAAGCATCGGAATTCATCGAATCCACGCAGAGCCTATTATTATAAGCCTTCCAAAGCCCGCAAAGTCGTAACAAAGATTTACAAATGAAAACAAAACGACTCTCCTCTAAATGGAGCTAAGGGGCTATTGAGGGAGGAAGGAAAATCCCCTACCTATGGTTTACACCCGTCCCATACGCCAGAAGTTCCCCTTTTAGATAAAGATGACAGTCTCCTCCTGCTCTTGATACCATAAGGTGTTCTGGGCCGACATTTGCCTCAAAGCCATCTTGACCTCCTCCAACGCGAATCGTTCCTGTTCAGGGATGCTGTTGTTGATATGCGACAAGATGTCGTGCACCATGGCAGTGCCATCGCTGCCGGATCGCTCGAGGACTTCTCTGACACTGAAGAGGCCTTGTCGGAACTGGTCGAAGCGCTGCGGGTCGAGGGGTGTATTGGATGACGAGGCGCCTTGCGTGGTGTTGTTTAAGGTTGCGGAGCCCGACGACTCGATCAGACCCGTCAAATCGCCCGTAGAGCCGGAGGAGGCAGTGCCGTTTGGCTCGGCTGTTGCGGAAGTAGAGATGTCAGCAACATGCGCACTTTCTTGCGTCCCGTGCCAAGGGAGGAAGAGGTACTAACCATGATCCATATCAACGTTCATCTGGGAAAGTGCGTTCGCCGTCTGATCCACTGCATTCTGCTCGGCCCTCGTGGTACGCCTTGGTGTTGTTGGTTTACTCCTACGTCAGTTTGTGAGTACCAGCGAAACCACATGAAAACTTGCTGGGTATAGCATTCCCATCAAGACGAACCTGCCAGTGTACTCTCCATCACTATCATCGTCGCTATCTTCTGATTCCGAATCGTCGGCAATCTTTGCGCGCTTCGTCCGTTTCTTTACTTTCACTTCTTTGTAGAGAGCGAACTTCAAGATCTCTACAGCGACCTCGGCATCATTCTAAGAATGAAAGGCTTCAGGAAACGTGGCAGCGATGAGCGAAGGGTAAAGCTGCGTTAATTACCTTTTCTACACGCGGACTCAGCCTAGCTTTTGCGTGAGCGGTCGACAGCCGAATAAGAGTTTCAAGCGTACGCGCCGTGATGGGCATTGTCTGTACGAGGCAGAAGATAGGCCGATCGGCATCACGGTTCGCGTCATCCAAAGGTTCTACACAACGTACCCTGTACTTGTCACCCTCACCCTCCTTCGATGCCCTCAGTTCCGAGTACTCCTGGCAAATATATTCTGTCGCATCCTCCGTCAACACAGGCTTTACTCTCGTCTTCGCGTAGTGCAAGAACTTCTTCAAGAAGCTAATCGATAGCAGCTCAATCTTCGCCTCCTTCCGTCGACCGCTGCGCGTGCGTGTGCCCGCCTTGTCGCGCAATCCGACGTGCAGCAGCTTGTTGTATTTCTGGAACACCTCCGTGCGTTGAGTCTCTTCTTCGTTGGCCGAACTGCTGAACGCTCCGGGAAGGCCTTGCATCATAGAGTCGTTGATGGGTGCACCTGTGAAAGGGGGATCGTATGAGTCTCGGGATATGGGGCTACCAAAACCATCCCATTTTGTATCATACCCTCTTCCAACCCTGGTGGCACATATCGGTGAACACGACCAACATGTTCCGAGATCATCCGGTTCAATTCATCATCCGTTGTGTCCAGCACGACAAACACCAAATCGAAACGAGATAGCAAAGAGTCCGGCAGAAGAATGTTCTGATGGGGAGGCTTATCGATCATGTACTGTGGAGGTTTCGCATTAGTTACTCCAGGAGATGCGCATCATGCTTGGAGATACTTACGTGTCCGTAGACAGGATTGGCTGCCGCCAATACGCTGCACCTTGCATTCAACGAGGTGTGAATACCAGCCTTTGCGATCGTGACAGTTTGCTGTTCCATGACTTCGTGGATCGCCACACGGTCCACATCGTTCATCTTGTCGAATTCATCGATACACACGACTCCACGATCGGCCAACACCATTGCTCCAGCTTCCAGTGTCCTCTCGCCTGCAAGTGCGAGCGTTTAGTTTCCTCGGTTATGATGCACGTAAGATAAACCCGTTCAGACCACCTACCAGTTTCCTTATCTGTCGTCACCGCTGCGGTCAAACCTACACCGGATGACCCGCGTCCAGTCGTCGCGATCGCCAATGGGGCAATGTTCAGGACAAACCGCAGCATCTGAGACTTTGCCGTTGAAGGATCTCCAATCAAGAGCATGTTGATGTCACTGGCCATGAGGGGAAGAATTAGCACCGGATGCAGACAGTTTCAGGCTATCTGTCCACATACCCTCTCAAATGCGTTCCATTGGCCAAGTTCTTCTCAATTCCGCCCAAAAGCAGAAGTAGCAAGGCCTTCTTGATGTAATCATGCCCGTATATCGAAGGGGCCAAGCTCTGCGCCAACAATTCGAAGACATTCTCCCTCCTTGCGATCTTCTTGATATCGCTGATGTCGGTATCCGTGACCTGCGGCTGCTGCACCTCCTTCGAGAGCAGGCGGATGCTGTTGGCCAGAATTACGGTCTTGAAAATAGCAGAAACGTTGGCGGCAGATTTGCCTAACGAGCGGAACACGCCGACAATCTGTACGCGATCTCCGGGCTTCACTTTGTCGGCGAGGTCATCATCCAGGATGACATCGATCGGGCGAGGAAGCTGCCCTGCAGGCGCGCGCTCGGGCATTTCCTGAAGCGAAACGGTTTGGTAATCGCGGTATGCGGAGAATCCGAATTCCGTTGTCAATTTGTTGCCCTCGTCGTCCTGAGAGATTCATTTGCGTAAGGAACTAAATTAAAAGGATCTCTCCCGCCGAGAGCTTTGAACCCACCTCTTTGGGGTAAATAGCCCCGGTAGGCACAGCATTGCCCAAACTCGTCCCATCCCTATACTCCCTCATGTGAAACACTTCGGTCTTTTCGCAATAATGTACACTCCGCACAACCTTTGGCCTCACAAGCGAGCCTGTGCAAACAACAATCAATCTCCATAACGCGGGAACGGATGATCTCGCACTCGTAAGAACTTACATCGTGTAATAATCCCCTCAATCGAGATCATCTTCCCCAGATGACCTGAGCTGACATTCCTCGGGCTGACTTGATGGTCTCCGAATGATCCTTCCAACCCAACGTAAAAGTTCTGCTCCTCCATTCTCCCATTGCCCGTGACCGCCGCAGGGTTCTGCAACGACAGAGCAATGTCTTTCAGGGCTTTATCGAAAGGTGGGAGGTAGTCCATCGGAGCTTGAAGGAGTCTGTCATGAACGAGCGTCAGTGTAATCTGAGAGCTGAGTTGCAACAGGGGAAATGTGACCTCACCCTTGAGCGTATTCACGGTTGTACTGCCGCAGATGGTTGATGCTAACCATGAGCCGCCTCTCTTTGGCGATAAGCATCTTGCGAATCTTCTCCTTGTATTGGTTTTCGCCATACTGTCCAGAACAAGTTCCTCAGTGTCACCTTCTTCCTCAGGCACGATCTCGAGGATATTTGAGTCGCTACGTACGTCTTCGTCCAGGAACTCCTGGAAGAATCTGACTCGCTCGTTGAAGAGCTCGTCTGCGCCTAGGTTGCGCAGGTTCCCCGCTTCAGCTGCCATGTTGGGAGGTAACGAACGCTTCTAACTAAGAATGTGTGATGCGCTAATGCACACGGACCGATGAAACGAGGAGAATGAGCCGGCCCAGGTGCTCTTAGTGAATGCTGCAAGGTGGGAGAGAGCGGGGCTCAACAGCTGCCTAGTGGTTGCCTTTCTCCTTGCGCTGTGCCTGTCCGAATAGGATGCTCAGTATCTTCTGGACAATTCTGCGTTCGGACACGCGTCCGAACATTGCCTTGTTTAACTCGGGTACCAAAAATTGCTATGGCTGCAAAGCCCCTGCAATATCTCACACACGTTTGCTCACATGCTGATGGTGCATATGGCCCGGAAACGAACGAAGAAGGAGTTGTTATCCTTAATAGATCCATCAGTCTGTACCCAATGGGCATTGCACGTTGTCTGGAAGCCAGTGGACAGTCTCTGTCTTAGAGGAATGTCAGGAGGGGGCTTTCGGGTTAACCCTAACCCCCCGTGGAGCTAGAGATTGCAACTCAGCAGCCGCAGGCAGATCCCAAAGGCACTCGCAGCATTACCGGTTCAAGCGTGAGATGGTCGCATGTAGTACAGTAGCTGACTATCCCCAGCTGTGAATGGTTGTTTTCCAATGGTGGAGGCAGTAACAAGTGAAGAAGAGTCACTGTCAGTCAGATGCGGCGCGCGTCGCGGCCGCTGGTTAGATGAGCCCTGCGCGTTTCCCCGGAGCGGGACGCCATGCGACGACGGTAGGGCTCTGTCTGCTTTGCAGCCATAGAATATTTTCCATGGACAACGACATGGGAACGCTGTGTCAAGCAGCTTTGTCACCCGCAGGAAAGCATGCATGCTCTCAAAAATAAGCGACTACTAGTAACGTTAATCGAAGGGACATCGATTAGGGTAAGCAGGACTGCCGAAATCGAACTGGAGAAGGACTGAGCTTTGAACTCCGAGCAAGGACCCCGAGTGTTCTACGTACAGTCAGGGGAAATAAAGGTGGACCCCTCGTGAAATGAATTACCGACTGCCGGCGACGACTTTTATTTCAATTGGAGGAGGGTCTACCTTTATTTCCCCTCACTGTACAGCACATCTTTGAGGGAAACCCGATAGGCTTCAAACGACGGGTTCAATGAACTCATGCAAAGAATTTCACAAGTGTACAGCGCGGCCGTCAGTTTTTCCAAAATAATGGTATCTCGAATGTGTATTTCACGGAAATATCAAATACAGTTTCATGAGGGAGGGGGGGATGACCACTAAATTAACTCAACGGTTTATATACATAATGACACACGGGTTACGTTGCAGCTCGAGGGACGTATCTAATCGACCTCTTCCATCTTGGACTCGGCGGTGGCCTCCTCCAATGGTGGCAGGTCATCGTGCTCTTGCGCTGGTGCGTCCTCCTCGTCGATGGACAGACCAAGCTTGACCATCCGGTGGATGCGGCCGGCGAAGCTGGACGGGTCCTCGAGGGAGAAACCGGAGGCGAGAAGGGCGGTGTCGAACAGTAGGTGAGTGAGGTCCTTCACGGTCTTGTCGTTCTTGTCCTCCGCGACCTTGACCTTGAGAGCCTTGACGATAGCGTTGTCGGGGTTCAGCTCGAGGGTCTTCTTCGAGGCCATGTAGCTAGACATGGAACTATCCCGGAGAGCCTGGGCCTTCATGATACGCTCCATGTTCGCAGACCATCCATATTGTCCGGTGACGAGAACGCAGGGGGAGTTGATGATGCGGTTGGAGATAACGACCTTCTCGACCTTGTCGCCAAGGATCTCCTTGATTTGCTTGGTGAGAGGCTCGAACTCGGCCTTCTGCTCCTCAAGAGCCTTCTTCTCGTCCTCATCCTCCTCCAACTCAAGACCTTCCTTGGTGGCGGACATGAGCTTCTTGCCGTCAAACTCCTTGAGTTGCTGGACGCAGTACTCGTCGATGGGGTCAACCATGTACAAGACCTCGAAACCCTTCTTCTTGAGCACTTCCAAGAAGGGGGAGTTCTCGACGGCCGCCTTGGATTCGCCGGTGATGTAGTAGATGTTCTTTTGCTTCTCGGGCATGCGGGTGACGTAGTCCTTGAAGGAGGTCATCTCCTCACCAGACTTGGTAGAGTGGAAGCGGAGGAGCTCGGCGAGCTTGGTGCGGTTGGTGGAGTCCTCGTGAATACCGAGCTTGATGTTCTTGGAGAAGGCCTCGTAGAACTTGTTGAAGTTCTCCTTGTCCTCGGAGATCTCCTGGAACATCTCGAGACACTTCTTGACAATGTTCTTGCGGATGACCTTGAGGATCTTGTTTTGCTGAAGCACCTCACGGGAGATGTTCAAAGGAAGGTCCTCGGAGTCGACGATACCCTTGACGAAGTTGAGCCACTCGGGGATCAAGTCATCACAGTCGTCCATAATGAACACACGGCGAACGTAGAGCTTGATGTTGTTACGCTTCTTCTTCGTCTCGAAGAGGTCGAAGGGAGCGCGCTTGGGAATGAAGAGGATGGCACGGAACTCGAGTTGACCCTCGACGGAGAAGTGCTTGACAGAGAGGTGTTCCTCCCAGTCGTTGGACAAGCTCTTGTAGAAGGCAGCGTATTCTTCGTTGGTAATGTCATCGGGGTTACGGGTCCAGAGAGGCTTGATCTTGTTAAGCTCCTCGGTCTCCTTGGTAATCTCCTTGACGGTCTTCTTCTTCTTCTCGGTCTTTTCCTCCTCGTCCTCGACCTCCTCAATCTTTGGCTTGTCCTCCTCATCTTCCTTCTTCACCTCAACCTCTTCGTCCTCAACTTCCTTCTCGACTTCCTTCTCGACGACGAGCTGGATGGGGTATCCAATGAACTCAGAGTGCTTCTTAACGATGTCCTTGATAGTCTTCTCCTCGAGGTACTCCAACTGGTCCTCCTTCATGTGGAGGCGGATGATGGTACCACGGCCGATCTGCTCGTTCTGAGTGTCGCGGGTGATGGTGAAGGAGCCACCGGCAGCGGAGGCCCAGACGTACTGCTCGTCGTCGTTGTGCTTGGTGATGACCTCAACACGGTCGGCAACGAGGTAAGCAGAGTAGAAACCGACACCAAATTGACCGATCATGGAAATGTCGGCGCCAGAGGAGAGAGCCTCCATGAATGCCTTGGTTCCGGACTTTGCGATGGTACCCAAGCTATTAACGAGGTCGGCCTTGGTCATACCGATACCAGAATCGCGGATCTCGAGGATCTTGTTGGTCTTGTCGGGCGTGAGGCGGATGAACAACTCCTTCTCGGAGTCAAGCACCGACGAGTCCGTCAGGGACTGGTAGCGGACCTTGTCGAGAGCATCGGAGGCGTTGGAGATCAGTTCACGAAGGAAGACTTCCTTGTTGGAATAGAAGGTGTTGATAATCAGGGACATCAACTGTTGGAAGCAGAGAGAGAAGGAAGTTAGTTTCCACCGATATCGACATCTGATCTAGCCTTGGGAAAATGTGCCTGAAAAACCTACCTGAGAGATCTCAGCCTGGAAGGCAAATGTTTCAGCTCCTTCCGCCATGTTTGCAATGTGTATTCGTTGAGAACTGGGGGAAACTGTGGTCTGTTGGGGGTGATCGAGTAGATCAAGTGGTGGTTCGAGGCTCGACGGCTGTGTGTCGCAGAAGAGAAACTGGGGAGGAGCGAGGGTTGCGGTTTCGACGGGGTTTTTATGAGGAGGAAAGTTGCTGAGAGTGTGGCCGGCGGGGCCCAGGCACGAGCGGTCTGTGACTTCCGCAGTTAGGCCGCGTCGTGCTATCGATTGTGAGTTGCACTGCGCAAAAGCAGGTAGAAGTCACCGACCCCATTCGCGGCCCGAGCGATTCCAAAGCAAGATCCAGAAAACGTTGGAATTTTTTGATTAGCGGACAAGCCATTTCTCAATGAAAAAGGAGCAAGATGAAAGGCGGTCGTTTTTCTGTCCAGTTCCGAAGAACTGGAAGGAACTTCCATGCCCTTCTGCAGGCTTCCAAGCGGTGACTCAACTGTGTCCGAGAACCTACGGGGATAGACTCGGACGAACCGGAAATGGCGTTCCTCGTCCACCATCCAAGAAAGATGGCACGAGACACAGGCTGAAGTGGGAACGACTCTACGCCGTCGATATACAGTACAGTACGTAGGATACGCCCTCCACTTGTGCTCGGAAAACCACCAGAACCTGTGGTCGTTATTTGTCAGAAAACCACGGTCATTTCTCTGTCAAGTCCCGCAATGCCTCACCACCCGTCCCCATTCGGCACCGATGCTCTCTTCGGCTCCTCACCGTCCTTCCTCAGACGTACCTTTGACTCACCACTCCCTCCAGTAAACGCCCCCACCACACCTGACAACCAGCATTACCACTCTCAGCACCAGCTTTACTCAACAATACGAGGAGTTAACAGTGATATGGCAGGGATGGGAGCGGGGACGGGCATGCGCGATATGGCAGGTGGCGGAGGCGGCATAGGAGCGGTTGCTGGATCTGGAGTTGAGCAAAGCAACCTGTGGGCACGGGACAGGACGGAGCAAGTATTGGAAGGTACGTCTTGTCTGCCAAGCCTTGTATACCGTATGCTTTGTAGGGTACACGCGCGGGAAACCTGAACCTCGGAGTCATCACGGGTGGAAACCAATCTTCTCTCCTAAGCAGCAACGGCAACTGAGATACTCGAATGCGCCCGGGTGCTCGCAGAAGATCTGGAAAACGACGACTGGATGCATGCAAAGAAAAGGACATCTTGGACACCTGCTTTGCTGAAGCCTCATTCAAGACTGACTTCTCGGCACGGCTCGGGGCCCGGAATCGGAGGGAGGGAAAGAACGGTATCAATTGGAAATGAGATCAAAGCATGGTTGAGGAAGAATCCCAAGGTCGGGGTTGGCTGTGGCGAGGAGGATAAATAATGTCGAATGAAGAAAGGTTTTGGAGCATGCATTTTTTGGAGGGGGCGGACCTTTGGGATTGCGTTCACACGTAGCGAAAGAGTACGACGGCTCGTACGATAGCATTGAGGAAGCGAATGTGTGGGATGGGAGTCCCGGAACTTTGCGCATATGTACGTATGTATCACACAAAAACCAAAAATGTATATGTACCATGCCTCGGACCACTCTCATGCTCCGTCAGTCATCATCCGATGTGTCTCCGTACGCCCCACATACTAAGCCGGTGGCATCTACACTCGTTGCCTGCATTTTCGTTGGGCTCTCTAACCCCTCAGACAATTTTCGCTTCTTGACTACTGCCGTTGCTAATGGCCCAGGTGTTGACGGTACTTGCGATGAGGGACCAGATATACGTGGAGGGAAGGAAGTAGATGGTCCAGATGACGGAAGAGAAAACGGAGCCCTGGATAGGGTGACCGCGAACGGATCATGTTGAGACCTGGACTTGCTTCTAAGCGCGGAGAGGACTTTGCGGGCTGCTGGGGTATTGGGTATAGACGTGCGAGGCTGTGATGACTTGCTTGTGGAGAAGATGGATCCGTTGTGAATAAGTTCCTTTTTCTTTGCTATCGTTAGTGGAGACGGTCCTATCGTTCGGGAGTATCAATGAGTGATCTTCTTCCTCGGGCCGCAAACAGGGATGGACACTCACCCCAGTCGATCTGCTTCGCGATAGCTTCATCCTCCGTACTCGCCGGCAGGATCGTCAGCATCAACGAATTCTTCTCCGCAATCGCCAACCCTTCGTCCTCCACAACCTTCCTCTCTTTCTTATCCGTTCTGAACTTCCTCCTCATCGTCTGCGACAGCGTATACGGATCCTGCCAGTTCCTATCATTGAGCTGCTTCAATTTCGTCAAGTAACGCGATGCCTCTGTCGCCTTCCGTTCATCGTTCGTGCTTTTTTCCAGTCGAGAGAATGCGGCGTCAGCTGTGTTCGCAAGAGATGCATCGTTCGTCTCGTATGTCAGCGCCGGCAGGCCGATGTCTTCCGGGTCGTAGCGTTCCTCTCGTCGCCGAGCCCCGCTGATAATCACGTATTCGGCATTCTTCGGATCGGTGTGTATCTCGATCCAGGAGGAGCAGAGGTGGCACTTCATTCGGAAGCTCCATATGGGCGTTGTGTAGTACATTCCCGCTTTCTTCTTCTCCGCATTGTACCTCACGCCTGTCGTATGGAGCGACGTTACCGTTTCAACGCACATGCACACATCGTTTTTGAAACGCAAACTTGACATACCCATCCCAACATGGTTTCCACAGCCCTCACACCAAATATTGTACGGGAGCTCGAACCGCACAATAAGAATCCCCTGGTCCAGCTTCCGTGCTCTATCTCGAAGTGGATGCTGCCCAACATATGTGTTGATAGACCCTTTGGAGGGATCCCAATCAGGGGGCTGTTGGAAGAAACAAAACATGAGTGTCTGAACACCGTTAAGAAGAATGCATAGAGGGACTTACATAGTATTTGTTTGTGGCCTTGCGCTCAGCCATTGTGCGCCATTTCAATTATACAGTTGTTGTGAGGAACCTGGTGAGAAGCCTGGTTGAAGCCTCGAGCTCAGAGCTCGCCCAGGAGCTCGCTGTCAACGCGTTGGTCCCCTCCTCGCTCTCTTCGTCACCTCCTCCGCTCATCTGCCGCACCCTGCTGAGCACCCTGCTTCGACGCACGGCCAAGTCTTTCTACATAGACAATCACTGACTGGAAAATGGAAGCTATGTGCGGAGGCCGTTCCGAGAGCTCACCACTGAGATGGCCTCGTTCACACGAGATTCCTTACGGCGTTCAGAGACACAACGAAGCAGACAACGAAGCACCTGTTTCAGACGGCAAAGCGAGTTGAAAGGGAATCGGGTTCCACTTGCATCACTCATCTTCCACCAGTCTGCGACGTTCATACTTTGCAGTTCAGTTTATTCACTGCACCTCATATGTCTTCCCATATCAGAACCTCCCACACCGTTCAGGGAAGAACCTTCCATATGCCTACCTCATTGAATGGAAAAACCCGGTTGCAACCTCCCTACCTACGCTCAAAACCGATATACCGGACGCCCACTTGAAGATTGAAGGTGAAGGTACAATATTCAAGGTGCGCAAAATATGGCTCAAACTACACTGCGAGTACTTCTCCGGCCCGTGGGTCGAAAATCGGGACACACGAGGAGAGATGCAGCGCATCACACTCAAGAATTTCCCGGCGCGAAGCGTTGGATGTTTCCTAGCTGCCCTCTACGATCGTTTCGCCACTGAATCGTTCTGGACGAGGGAGGATGTGGTCTTCATTTTGATTGACCTGGCTGGCTTTTTTGCTACCGACGTGGTACGACCTGCAGGCGGCCCATAACGTGAACATTGTGGAAACTTTCTCAAGGAAGCAACCGAGCGAATCTCGCAAATTGATGTTCTCCGCCCCCTGTGCCGTGCATTCCTAGAGAACAGGCTGTAGAGCGACTTGCGACTATCTCGTTGAAAACTACAAACTAACGATGGTGCGTCCCGGCGGAATCAATGGCGCAGCGCTGGTGAGATTGTGGAAATCCACAAAGAAAAGCACTTCCAGAGTCTTTCTTCCGACATGCAAAATTGTCTTACCCATCAGAAGGAACTTCTCGCTCAGCTTCCGGCGCATCGGGAAGATCAAGACGCATGGGGGTGTCAGGAAGATGTAGGCAAAGGTAGCTGGAACGAGGATGCACGCTTCAGGGAAAGCATGACTATCAGTCGATCTTGATAGCAAACAGATATGGAATGAAGAATATGAGAACGCCTCCTGGAAGTGGTCATATGGAAGGGATGTGCATGGCCTAGGAGGAGGCTAGTTGTTATTCGATTTATGATAGCGCCTTCGTATATTTGCCTATCACGTCGCAAACAGATTCGATCATGCGTTTGAACTTTGATGCTGTTTGTGGGTTTGCGTTTGTGTGCTGTCAGCGGTCCTGTCAATTTCCAGCTTGAAAACAATTGCGGCCACACGGAGCTTCGGAGGCCCCTGACCTTCCCATGATTCCCTCCACCTACGCTTCTCCTTGCAACGACAAACCGACCCGACGGCCGAGCCCTGCTTTCTACCGACCGCTGTTAGAGCTGACCTGCGGCTCACGACGCACATTTATGTCACGACGTCAAGGCAGCTACTCTTTCTAGATTCTCTTCGGGATTAGCTTGGCCCTCCGACAACTAAACCATAGCCCCGACGTAACCCTCCTTTGCCAACCCGACGAGTCACTGGGAAGGGAACAAGACCATGGCAATAGATCAAGAGGCGCCGGAGCCGCCAACGTACGAGGCTCTAATTGCGCAAATTGCTCGGCTACCCACCTCTCGGTTTGCGAGACCTCAGCACCCTCTTTCACCTTCAGAAACGGATTCCTCCAGCGCCGCGCCACCGGCGTATATCCCTCGCGAACGTTCTTCTATTCCGCTACTTGTTCCATTGCAGTGCGACGGCGTTACACGGCCACGAGTTGTCTTCATGGCCTCCTCAGTCATCGCCCACGTTATGCAAACTCGCACCGTCGGCCTTTCGACGCATTCGCCACTTGAGCCGCCCACCGCTCTCTCGGTGCCACGGCAGCTGAGTGTCCGCGACTTTCTCCGACGATATCTACCTCATTTTGTCCTTTTGCCCCTCATCACTGGCGTTGTGATTGCCATCGATCCGGTCCTAGTCCGGGACGTACGTGTGGATAGAACAGATCCCGATAGGACAATCGTAGAGATGGCAGGGCTATCGGAATGGGAGTTCCCGCTCTCTGCGACTTCGAGGACACTGAAACATAAGAGCAAGAATGTCAAATTGTGCGTAAATAGGAGGATCGCAGACGTGTTGAAAATGATCGATCCTCTTGGGTTTGAATTGGCAATGGGGGACATGACAAATGTGGAGTTGGGACTTGGGAACACTCTGGCTGATGCCTTGAGATGAGCTGGATCTTTCCAGAACACAACGCGGCGTAGATTTTTGGTATCTAGTCTTACGTAGTTTCCGTAGTCTCAATCTCCCTCCAATGTAACTTTGAGTGCGGGCTCTCAACCCCCGGGATGAATGCTTGATGCAAACCCTTTGATTGTCCTTACGTGGCTCCAACGATGATAGAGCTGTGCAAAAGAAAGACATCGTCGGCGCCAGCAGCGTTGTCGGTAACGAGGCTTACGATTCTTCTTACGATCCACCAGCCTCACGCGTCAGCTTCGCGTTAACTTCGCGCCGAGCACCAGAAGTCAGTTGACAAGTGAAGGCAATACCCGTAGAATATATTTTGAAAGCGGTATGTTCGTTACGATAAGTTTTCCCAGATCACTTCGGTGTGGGCATTATCCGCCAGCTATCAGGCTCGTCCTGCAATTACCTTCACCGGTCTCAACTATACCGATTTAAGAAAGTCTTGTGACGGGATCACATAGATCATGGCTTGATTTCTACCCAGGTTCAGAATGGCTAGAGGCGTGGACTATGGGCAGAAGAGCGTGGCGGCAGACTTGGCGCCTTTGCGTTGCTTGACTTACGCTTCACCATAAGCCGGCAGACAGAGAGTTACATACGATGACATGACACGGGATTCGGGGATCTTGACCGACGGGGAGTGATACCGAACATGTAAGAAAAAGGAGGTGTCGGGTTAGCTATGGTCTCAACCGTCCCAACCTTGCTGTGCTTCACAAAAGTCGATCTGTTCAGCCAACGAAGAGTGGTCCTTTCTTGATCCTGTGATGGTCGCAAAGCTTGGCATTCCGTATCCTCGACTTCCCGAGTAGAATCAGTCTGCTGTTGCAGAATCCATGAGTAAGAAAAGCGAGAAAACGTGGAAAGCCACCCCTCAGGAAAGCCACGTTCAGGTCCGCGGCGCGTTGTTGACGCGAAGCGAGGCGAAGCCTTATCTTTCCGCCAAAAGGTCTTGGCATTCGCAAGGCGCTGATGGACTGACCATCATGTCAACCCGCACAGGACAACGCCGTCCAGATATAGCCCCAGACCTTGTTGTACAAAAAGGCTGAGAAGGTCTCAAAGCTTCCTCCGTCGAAGTTCTACAACACGAACTTACAGGTTGGCGAAAAAAAGTTGTTGTGCAAAGCCATCACCACCCGATTTCCCACCACCCACTGGCAGCCATCCGAGCGCAACAATGGCCGATAGGAAGCTTCCTTCAGCGCCTCCCAGCTACAAGGCCGCCACTGGCCGGCCTCCAACTCCCCCGGAGAAACAGCGTGACTACCTCATTGAGCCGAGCGCCCCTCCACTGCCGAACAGACCCGGTCCGCCGCTGCCCAGTCCGCCGCTGCCCAGTAGGCCGTATGGAAGTTCGTCAACGTTTACCCACCTCGAACTGTCGACGCCGGATACCGCGGAAGGCTCTTCCGACGACAAGAAGTTGCCTGCCGACGTGGAGTTTCGCTCTGACGGCCGGTTCACGCTCATTTTGCCTCGACACAAGGACCTCGACGATGTCCTGCCGGAGTATTATGCAACTCTATTTAAAGAGCAGGATCCGGCGGTTATCAAAGCCCAGCAGAAGGTGGATTGGCGCGTACCGTGCATGTCAATCGTCATCCAGATCGTCGGGAGTCGAGGTGACGTGCAGCCGTACTTGGCACTTGCGAAAGAGCTGCAAACTTTCGGGCACCGCGTGCGCATAGCGACGCATGATATCTTCCGCAAACTGATCCGGGATAACGGCGTCGAGTTCTTCAACATCGGCGGTGACTCGGCCGAGCTAATGGCATTCATGGTCGAGAACGGTGGCTTGATACCTAGCGTCGCTTCGATCGCGCGGGGGGATGTGGGAAAAAAGCGAAAGGCGATAGCAGAGATTCTGCGTGGAACGTGGAAGAGCTGCGTTGAGAAAGACGACGAGACGGGCGCCCCGTTCCTGGCGGAGTGTATTATCGCCAACCCACCATCGTTTGGGCACATCCATTGCGCGGAGAAGCTGGGGATTCCGCTGCACATGTCGTTCACCATGCCGTGGACGCCAACAGGGAGTTTTCCTCACCCACTCACAAAGATTGACCATACCGACTCTGTGAGACGGAAATGGAACAAACTGAGTTATACGGTGGTGGAGCAGCTGACGTGGTCAGGGCTCGGCGATTTGATCAATGCCTTCAGGAGAGACATCGGGCTCACGAGGGAGTTGAGCATGTGGCAGGGGACGGAATCTCTGATTGAACTGAAGGTACCCTACACCTACTGTTGGAGTCCGTCGCTTATTGCGAAGCCGGTGGATTGGGGAGATCACATCGGTAAGTTACTTGTGAGGTTTCCCGGTCCTCCTCGTGGGTTACTTACTCATTTCTGCGTCTTCCTGGTAGATATTACCGGCTTCTACTTCCTTGACCTTGCATCAAACTATACACCACCAGATGACTTGACCGACTTCCTGCGAGCTGGGCCACCGCCAATTTACATCGGCTTCGGCAGTATCACCGGCTACGACCCTACGAAGCTCACGAAAGCCATTCTCGAAGGTGTGAAGCTCTCAGGTGTCCGCGCCATCATTTCTAAAGGCTGGGCCGGTCTTGGCAAGGGTAGCGACGCAACGAGTCAAGACAAGCAAACATTCTTTATAGGAGACTGCCCCCACGACTGGCTTTTCAAACACGTATCAGCAGTCTGTCACCACGGCGGGGCAGGCACACTCAGTGCCGGTTTACGTTGTGGAAAACCGACCATCGTCGTCCCTTTCTTCGGTGACCAGTTCTTCTGGGGCGCCATGGTACACCGCATGAAAGCGGGGCCGAAACCCATTCCCGCGAAACACATGAACGCAGAGAAACTCGCAGATGCGATCCGACAGGCCCTGTCACCGGAGATGATCGAGGTGGCTCAAAACATCGCGTCGCAGATGCAACAGGAGAACGGCGTGAGAGCAGGGGTGAACGCTCTCCACGCCAGCTTACCGCTCGAAACCATGCATAGCGATTTCAACGACCAGTACGTGGCCGCATACGCGATTTCATCCGCGAAATTGCGAATCTCGAAACCCGTTGCGCAGGTGCTTGCATTAGCGGGCGTCATCACGGAAGCGGATCTCCGGATCCATCATACGAAGGAATGGGTAATACCTGATGACAAGGATCGGATTTTGGGTCATAGTGCGATTACGGGTGTTGCGGACGGGTTTGTGTCGTTGTTTTCCGAGACGTCGAGGGGGATTAAGAGTGCGAAGGGGAAGGAGACGGCTGGGGATAAAACTCTGGCGGTTACGAAGGGAGTTGGGGTAGGTGTGGGGAAGCTGATATTGCTTCCCTTGAAAGGTATGCATGATCGAGCGTTGTCCGTGCGTTGCGCTGCACTCCATAGCTAATTGCCGTTCACTTCAATTACCCCAGGCGGCCTCGAAACCTACCAAGAAGTCTCCGATGGTCTCTATCGCGCCCCCGGCCTCTGGGACGCGACGTACAAACCCCGTCAGCAAAAGCACATCAACGGCGCACTCACAGGCACGCTCGAAGGCATGAAAACCATGGGCGCCGGGTTTGCCGACGGGATCATCGACCTTGTCCGGAAACCCGTTGAATTTGGCAAACAGGACGGCGCCCTCGGCGTCGCGAAAGGCGTCATGGTTGGCGCGACCAACTGCGCGTTTAAGCCGTTTATGGGTATGATTGGCGGGGTCGGGATGGTGGGTAAGGGATTGTACCGGGAAGCGACAAAGGGAAAAAGTAGCAGTAAAGTCACGCAGGCGATAACGAATGGGGAGGAGGGCGAGGCGGTTGCGACGGGGGATTGGAGAGTGGATGCGGCGTCCATGACTGGGTTTGATGCGATGGTGTGTGAGCAGATTGTGAGGGAGTTTGAGGCGAGGGTTGTTAGGAAGGAGGGGAAGTTAAAGAGGAGGAAGACCAAGTAGACGTAGACTTAAAAGTATATATATACTTCATTTTGCAGGAGGTAATATGAATTGACATTTTTTTTTTACTACTATGCAAGGGGGCGCAGGCTTTGGCGTTCGAGTGCAAACGTGCACGAAAAAACATTTGGGGAGATAACATGTTATGGATGCATTTCGTGGTGATGATGTCTATGAACCAAAAAGAAAAGGAATACACACGCATGGTATTTGCAGCAGATAAATGCTTGAACGAAAAAACGTGGGATATATGCTTGAACGGCCCCGGTACTACTTGGCGTCCGCTGACCAGTTTTCTAAACCATAAAGCTCTCCCCACACCCACACGTCTCCTTGACATTCGGGTTATTGAACACAAACTCCGAATGCAGCACATCATCCACGAAATCCATCTCGCTGCCAATAAGACTGAACAGAGCCTTGGAGTCCACGACCACTTTTACGCCGTCCTGCTCCACCACTTCGTCGAAGCGGCCGGGTGCGGCTACGTAGTCGAGGCTGTAGGAGAGGCCTGAGCAGCCGCGCTTTTTGGTGCCTACTTTCAGGTATTGTGGCTTTTCAGGGTTGGAGAGCATTCTGCGGAGGCGCTCGACTGCTCGTGGGGTCTACGGAAGTGAAGAGGGTGGGGTTTGGTTAGCACCTGGAGGAGCAGGTGAACGCACGGGAAGTCCCATCATGGATCAAACTTACGATTGTCAGTGCTGCTTTCCTCGGCGCAAACCTGGGAGCCGCAGCTGCTTTTCGGACGGAAGTTCCTGGCGGCAGATTCGTGGCAGACGTCGTGGTAGACGGCGCCGTTGCAGCGGTGCTGAGAGGCTGTGTCCTTGCACTTTGGGTGGCTTGTGATAGGGAAGATGCCTGCGACAGCGGCGGAGCGGGCGCTGACGGCCTGCTATGCAGAGAACGGAATGATTGCGGTGTTGTGCGCAACGGGATCGCAGGTGTTTGTGGAACGAACCGCGAGTGACGGGCGGCTGATTGGATGCGACAGCGCAAACAGGTCGATGGAGCGGATAATCGTAGTATTGGTGACATTATGTTGCGACTTTCGGTTCGGCGGTTCGATGGGCTCTGCTAGTCTCCTAAGTGCTCTCCCTGCAATCCCTCCTCCTCTAATTCTATCAGGTGTGATCGCGGACTTTAGCCCTGCGAGAATCGCAGACTGTTTGTGGTCGTTTTAGGCCGCGGTAAATTATGAAAATCGATCAGACGAGTTCTAGAGAACGGTAAGTTCTGTCTCTATCTCTCTACTTGTTCTCCTGTGAGTGCTGTAAGTGTGTGGTGCCGGCTCGGGGATAGTACACTGCGTTTCGTTGGAGCGTCTGAGAATTGGCAGGGCGGTTTGAAGTCCCGAAAGTCGCCAGATCATGCGCGCCTCCAATCCGCCTGACTAATGGCGTGGCTTATTACGCTCCGACACTATTGACACTCTCCTCCTAACGCTTGGAAGCGCTACCCCTTTGTGAACTCGCTACGACGTCAGTCTCGCAGGAGTGTCACTTCAAGCAGCCCAAATGCTCTGCCACACCTTTCGAGTGATTCTCGGTTGAAAGTCGCATCGAGCCCAGTCCATGTCATTCCAATCGATGTAGATGCCAGATATATGTAGGACCCTAATTGCGGGGAAGCGCCACCCCTTTGTGAACTCGCTACGACGTCAGTCTCGCAGGAGTGTCGCTTCAAGCAGCCCAAATGCTCTCGACGCTAGCTCCTCTGATGAATATTTTTTGAACGCTGAAAATCCACTGGATGGACGACTCATCCCATCAAAATTCTCACAAAGGAGGACGCCCCAACAATGTTCGCTGAGTCTGACACAAGAAGCCTGCCATGCGTCGATAAGCCAAGAGGCATGGGGTGTGTGCAAACATGGACAAGGCCCGAACCTGAACCGAGGGAGTCGAGGATTGGATGTGGAAAGCGGAAAACGCAAACGCGTCGGGCCGTGCGTGTGCTTCCCTCCCCTCCCCACTTCCTCCCCACTTACTCAACTTCCCCTGGCCAATCTGGCCCATTGCACGAAAAGTCAAGCACTTTCTCACGCAACAGCTGCCGCGTCGCTCAGGCCGCTGCACCGCAGTCGCAGAGATCTCGGCTCTTTCAACACTCTTAGGTTCCGAAACCACAATGAGCAACAACATCACGAACTGGGCTTATCAGCAAGCGATCAAGCTTCTGAACCCGAACAGAAACGACGACCATACCGCCCAAGCTCCGGCCCCACAAGCCCCTCAAAAGCCGGAGATAAAGCGTCACAAGATTAGCCCAACTGATTTCCCCGAAACCCCAAGCCTCCCTGCCCTCTCGGTGGCCGGCGAAAAGAACAAGCAGCGGCTGAGACTACATCTACTAAACAATGAATTGGTACTGCTCGCCTGTCGCCTTGCCATAAAACCAGAGGAAATGGAATACCGCCAATTCTTGGTCACCCAGATGCGCGGAATAGTCCTGGACTTCTGCAAGGCCCGAAACTTGGCGCAAGATGCAATCACGTTGAGAGTGGTTGGCTCACATGCCTTCAGTTTAGGCAGGCACAACAGCGGGCTGGATTTGGAGTTCAGGACCGACAATACTGGAGTGAAAGCTGAGCAAATGCTGGATTCGTTTAGCATGTGGATGAAGCATGGGGCCAATCAGACCGCGAATACCTTGCTCAACCTCAACAGAATGAGGAAGGGAGGTGACGGATTGCGCCCCTATGTTCAGGTACCAACCCGGTTCGGAGGTGTCAGCGTTTTTCTTCGCGTCAACGTCCCAAACGCGGCTGCCGCCGCTGCCAGCTTCCGAACCTACCTTAAACAGAATCGCGAGGACTTGCAATATCCATTGATGTTGGTTCTCGCATACTACTTCGAGTCGCGCTTCTTCTTGGATCCCGAGGACGGTGGCATCAACATGTTCTGTCTTGCACATATGGTTGTGGCATCCGCACAGAGGGAACACCGACCCAAAAACCTAAACCTGTGCGATACGTTCATGGACTTCCTGCAGTTTTACTCGGGGGTGTACCAGGCACAATCCATGGCCATCTTCATCCGGCCAAACTTCGTCTTCGTTCACCGGAAACACACCGCGACCAACGCCAAACCCAAACCTCCCCCACCGGATCGCAAAAGTCTCACCAGCAAGCAGCCCATCCAGATCCTGGAACCTCACGACCCTGAAAACGACATGACGGCGGGCGCATGGCGATGGGAGGAAATGCGGTGCGAGCTCATGAGTATCTCCGTCATCGTCAAGGAGCGGTTGGAGCTGAACACCATTAGTGGCATCAACAGCAGCTTGACGAATGGGGTCTTGGGAGGGTTCATTCCGCCCCCGCCGCGGGTGGTGCAGGATTACCGAGACGCAGTGGCGAGGGTATGGGTGAAAGCCTGCACGCTTCACGATCCCAACACTCCGGAATTTTTGACCTTCTTGGCCAGCGAAGCGCCGGTGGTCCCCATCACCCAATCTTCCGCCCAACCGCCTGTAAAAATCGAAACCATCTCCTTGATCTCGGATGATGAGGCCGACGAAAATGATGGTCACCCTCTAGGCCCCGTCGGTGGAATGGCTCGATAGTCCTAGTTCCTCCGTCGGTACATATATACCCGGTTCTTTGATGTTTTAGTTTCGCCACTTCGCGCCCTCTCGCCGCCACGTATACTTGGAGAACCGGCCCGCGGTGGGAGGATGGTCGCTGTTGCGGCGGACCCCTTCTGTTTGTTTTTGGCGTTACCCTGTGTGTTTGTATATGTCAATGAATGATAGTTGTAAATATATGAACCCATATCCGAGCGTAGAATACCCGAATCTGCCATCTCAACTCGAAGTCGCTTTGAAATCGTCAGAATGTAAAAGCCCGCAAATGATACCATTAAAGATGCTATGTACAAATGGAAAATGAAATGGAGAAAGGCCTTGGAGTGGAGAGAAAGGACGGTGAATACGCCGTAAAATGGGGTTGCGTGGATATATAGAGACAGTCCTACAACGGCTAAATGATTATCGATCAAAAGAAGTATTTGCATGAAGAAAGAAAGAAAGGGTATGTCAATCACCGCCAAGGTGACTGGGTCGAATACTGAAGTTGCGAATGCGAAAGTCGTTGCTGCAGGTCCAATTCATCGTGCGCTTGTTGAGTTTCATTGGGCGGCGTGACCGAGAAATACGAGAGATGCGAGATGTGCCGTGATGGCGGGGATGGGTAGGTGAGGGTGGTAGTGTCTGATCGTTGGCTGGATAGTGACGCCCGCGTGACGGTGCTCGGGAGCAAGGCGAGAGGCAAACCACCGGACTCTTCTTCGTCTTTCAGTACCGTCGTTCCTCGAGACAAGCTCGTTAACGATGAGTTGGTCAGGAGGTCGTCGATGTTGGTATGAGAGCCGTCCGTCCTGCCCCTATGATGACTGCTCTTGACGATGAACGGGTTCGTCAACGAGCCGTCCAACCCCGCCGCACGCGACATTTCCCTCCCGGCCGCTCTAACAGGCCACGCCAACCCCTCGACCGGCTTCCCCGCCATGGGCCCGTCAAACGCATATGGCAAATGCGGCTGATTCTCCGCCTGCACATCAATCTCGTACTCCGGATCCAGTAGGGAATTTCTCGCAGCCGTAGGCGATCGGTATGTGCGTCGTCTATTCGCGACAGCGGTGGAGATGGGACATGCCGGCCGTACGTCTTTGCGCCTCTGCCGTCGCCGTTCGCGACTCAGATTGAACCAGCGGGATCTCCGTATTCGGAAAAATTCCTTCCATTCCGCGAGGATGGCTTTGCGAAAACCGAATATTATAAATGTCCACGTCCCGAGGAGGCCGGGAATCATCTCGGCCAGGATGAGGAGACGGAGGGATGTGACAGAAGGTCTGGTGAACGGGCGTATGAGTATTTCTTTTAGCTTGATGCTATGAATCTTCGACAGAGCCACTCACGTGATTATAGGTGAGCATTTTTCTTGGGAGCCCCCTGGACTTAGTATGCAAGTTAACCAGCTGACTTTGGTATCCATCGATATCTTCTGCGGAATGGCATCCTGCACGTAGAAATACTACGAACCCAACCATAGCGTCAGCAAGTCCCATTTTTTTCTGAAGCTACGGTGTTCTGCAGACGGACACGTACCCAATAGTAAGCGAAACTCGCAAGGTAGACCGTCACCAGCGCCATACTCCTCCAACTCGTCTTCCACAGCTGTAACACTCGTCGTCTCGTTCCGCTGGTCCCGTCCCAACTCCCCGTAATCGTTTCGGAAGGTATGAAGATAGCGTGGCGGTCGGCAAGGAATGCGATTTTGCATACGTACATCAGAGTCGACGCGTGCAGGAGAACGCCCAAACCAATAACGGGAAGATAGGGATAGAAGAAGATGATCAGTGCCCGCCGGTGTTTGAGAAAACACGCTGACCCAAACTCGTAGGAGATTTCGGTCAAGTCGAGGGCGACGACAGTCATGACCATAGGGATGGCCCAGCTGATCGGGCCGATGTATTTGAAGTTTCGCGAAATGATGTCGGAGTTCCAAACGGTTTTGCAATGTAGGTTGAGCAGTACCGCGGAACAGGTACATATACATGCACCACTACCAAAGACGTTCATTGCACCTGGAACAACACGAGGGAAGGAATCGTTGAGAATACTCCGTTTTTGTCTGCAACAATACCAGTACCCATCACCAGCCCACCTTGAACAGTGCAGCTTAAATTATTCGACTGATCCGATTGAGTTATTCCATCTGCAGCACATTGCGTTTCCAACCTTCGACCCAAGCTGATAAAGCTCGCCACGCAGAACAGAAACATCGCCACCACAAACGACTGCAGTATCCTCAACGCTTCACTCGGCATCTGACGAGCAATCAAAAGCGAGCAGAGCAGGATGAAGGCCAGGATTGCCGATAATCCGCGCATCGTATCGGTCACATTTAGCACTCTCCCGATCTTGTTCGGGGGGAAGAGCTGCTCCATGTGAGGGCAGCGCATGCAGCAGGCACCCAGACATATTTGATTCTTCAGGCATGGCCCATTGGGTACGGGATTTCGAACTAGAGGTTCCGGGCAGCCCACATCTACCATTGTCCTGTTATCAAGGACCTGTTTTCGCGGGCTGCATTGCGATACGTCGGTAGACCATGGGATCGATGTCCCTGGCATGTCCGCGTTGCATTGGGGAATTCGGTAGGTCAAATTGTAAGCGGCAAATAATTCGTCACATGAAGTTTTCACACGCTCGCAGTCTGCGATGATATAAACGTTGAGTCTGCGATAATCTGAGGTTGAGGTTGACCGCTCGCTATACCTGATTTGCAAGGCGGATTTGCGATAGTTCCTATTGTTTTTGTCAAACATTCAGCGATCTATCAAGGGAAATTGCCGATACCGAGCAGAACCCTCACCATTCGCCGCACATTCCGGAAACGCCAAAGCACAGTGGAGCCCGAAGAAGGCGTCGAAGCACGACGGAAAAGGCGCCAAAGCCGTCTCCAGCACATAGTCGACGCCAGAAGCTATGAGTAGCTTCTCGGTATCACCCACGGTGGGCAGTTTCGGCCGTACTGGGTAGTTGATAACGTGTCTGCATACCCCGTCTGCGAGGTCATAGGTGGAGCAAGCTTTGAAGTGGAAATGGGCGGAGGACGCGGTAAGCAAGGAATCGCTTGGAGATGACAACGCCGTTGTTGGCATGACTATTTCCAACTCACCTTGAGCGCTCGCTGCAGTGACCAACCCGCTTGCCACGAGCGTCCAGATCCAGGTCCGCATTGGCCATCCACACGCTACGTTTCGACAACTTTTCCACCACGCAATGGCGCATGGAGAGAGTGTTCGTGGGAGCTTTGTTCGTCAGTCGCCGCCGTATTTCTTTTTTTTCCGTCCTCGAGAGCACAAGTGAGGGACATATATGCGCCAGGGCATAGATTAATTCTGTGTGCGCACATGGAGTAATGCAGATGACTGCGCAGGTACAACCCCAATCCTTGATTACTTGGGACGGTGACATAGTCAGATCTAAGCGGATTGCACATGTACTCGTGTTAGGGGTTAGGTACGCTTGCCAGATAACATTGCCCTCTGTCCCGATGCCGAGACATGGCCGCGGGGATCCTACCGTAGCCACATCCCCAGGACCTGTTTGGCACTGAATTTGCATCATGAGGTTGCTGCCTGATGATGAGAAGGAAAGAAGGCTACGAAGGAAGGCCTCCTCGAATCGGGCCAGAGAAATTTTGGGCATGTTTGACCGACTTCGTACAATTCGTACACAATGATAAGGGGTGAACTACGAGGGGTATGTGAAGAAAGGGAGAGCTCATGTTCATTTTATAGTGTTGACGCACTGTGTGATGTGTTTGTTTGTGGCAAAGGCGTCCCTAAGCCGACGTTGTGTGATGTGTGTAAGGTCGGTTCTTGCGTTGGTAAGGTTGGTTCGCCGCGCGTGATGTGATGTACAGTAGTTTACTTCGCTATTGGCAGCGGTGTGGTTGATATTGAACGGTTCTTGCGGCGTCGCACGTGTGATATGATATGAGATGATCGGTTCTTGCATCATCGCGCTGGTCTGGTGCGTTTATGCTGCTCGTCTCCGTATCCACAAAGACTGTGGATGAGCTTTACGCCATCGTTTGTAGGCAGGCGTGTATCGAAGTGCGGATTCGGGTTCCCATGTAGGGTCAGGATAGCCGGTCCATTTACTAGAAGATTTCGTACGGCGCGTCGCTTGTCGATGATATCCTCTACAACCCATTCAGGTTGTCCGCGTTCTTCGATTGGTTCAGGAGGTTGTGAAACAGCACGTTGCGGGTATTCCTCTAAGCGATGTGGTCATAAAATATCGACGTGAAAGACAGGCCAGATGCCGATGATCTTTGATGGTGATAAATCGAGTTCGTAGGTATCGGGATGCGTTCCTAGCGCGATAATTTTGAATGGTCCGATCCATGTAGCTGAGAATCTAAGTCCTCTTCATTGGTCAACTTCTAGGTTGATTCCTTGTCGATTTAAATCCACAAGGTTGCCGATTTTGTATGCAATTGGCGTTTGACCGTTGTCGTGTTGACGTGCGAATTGATCTTGCGATCTCTGAAGGTTTTCGCGTACGATACAGGCGATGTCTTCTTGCCCTCTCTTGTAGGGTTTGATTTCGTTTTGATCTACAGCTCAAAGCTTGAGTTCTTGTCCTTTGAGTGTTGGATTCCAACCCGGTAGGATTGGAGAGCGTCCGAGATGTACTTTGAATGGCAATAAACCTTCATATTCCCCCTTGGAGCGGTGTTGTATGCGAATTTGACTAGGGGCAATAGCTTAGTCCAATTGGTTTTTTCGTAATTGAGGTATTCCTTCCAAATCCTTTTCAGGGTTTGGATGGCTCACTCAACTTTGCCGTCAGTCTGCTGATGTTGAGCCGTAGCATTTAACACTGAGGAGAATATCAAACGCGAGGAAGAAGTCGGAGAGTGTGCGAGGTTTGCGATCCGTAACGAAGACTTTTGGCATACCAACATGTTTCCATACGTGACCTAAGAAAGCTTGGGCTAGTTCGCATCCAGTGATAGCTTTCTTGATCGGCGTCAGGATCACACGTCCGGAAAGGTAATCGATGCAAACGAGACAAGAATTTATCTTGTCTATGGTGGAAATATCGAATCTGACCGTGTGCCATCTTCCCAGAGGAATAGGAAGAGGTGGAAGAAATCTGTATCGACGGTGACCAGGTTTGAATTGTCGACAGGATTTGCAAGTTCCAACGTACATGAGAACGTCGGAGCGGACGGTAGGCCAGTAGTATTCCGTAAGAATTCAGTTGGCTCGAATTGACGGCCCGCCAGATTATTGACGCGCTGTCGAGTTTTTCGTTTTTCGACAGCCTCTGCCCTTCCACTTGCTTTCTTACTTAAAACTTAGACCCATCCCACTCACCGGAGACGCACACTCTCATTGCCAAATCGTCCCTTAATTGCTCAGGGGATAAGAATATTATGGGGGACCAGCGCTTGCAGTATGGGTCGTACTCAAACTTCGGCGAGCGCCTGAGTCCGGGGCTCAAACCTGTCAGTCGTCCCTCACATATTCCCACGGGCCAACATGACTCAATTGCCTGGGAAACCAGACTCATACGTAGAGATTCTTAAGTAGAGGGAAGCAATATACGAGAGGAACAGGATTCCGGGGTCGATATGCGTCTTACAAATACAGGTTTTCGCCCTTGTTCACGTCCTCCCGCAAGAAACTGCATATGTCAGGCACAGTATTGGGAAGACGAACTCTGTGACTGCCAGACACAAGAGAAAAGGAAATCCATTGAGAAGCGGACTTGGAAGAAAGCATCAAGAAAAAAGGTCCCAGGGTGCTTGGGAAATGTTTCCCTTGCAGCAAAGCCGCGCGTCAATTTCCACCCCCGTCCCCCCACTCTGCATAACCCCCCATCGGTCCCCGTTTCTGTCTGTACATGTACGTAGTAACAAGCCGATTATAAGGTACAGCCGTCGAACAGCACAGCACAGCACTGCACTGCATTTTTGCTTCTCTCGGTTCCCCTTGTTGCCCCTCCCGGTGAGACTTGCTCAGCTCTTCCCTCTCCTCCCGTTACCTCTCAAAACCCAGATTTCCCACGCTCAGACCGTTTTAACGTTTTCCTCCTTACCAACAGCACACACTCGCTCTCACAGTCTCAAAGAGCTGCAGCTACTGCCGTCCTCACTCTCCACACTCTACTCACCTATCTTAAGTCGCAACACCTTTCTACGGTCAGTCCCGGTGGTTTGGCGTCTGCCTCTCAGCTGTCAAATATTCGTGTGAAAACCCGTTTCAAGACGTTGAGCCGTTGCGTTTGGGTTGAACCTGAAGTTAAACTCATCGTCGTTCTCCTTCCAACCTTCTATGCCCTGTTTTTATAGATGAGCGGTTGGGAGGACGAGCCTGCATCTGCCGAAAGCGCTGGTTGGGATATCAAGGAACCCGAGCCTTCGTCTGCTCCTCAAGCCTCTGACGAAACTACCAACGAAACCCCCTACGGCCAAAGTTCCGGAAACGACTATGGCAGTGGCGGCAATGATTACGGCGGCGGCGACTTCGGTGGCGGTGGTGGTGGCGAAGGGAGAGCCTGTCGTCGCTGCCATCAAGAAGGTATGTACGCGAAAAGCTGTGCTCGTCGAATCTCGGTACAGCTCAGCAAGGTCCACGGTGTTCATCCACTTCGCCTCTTCTCCCAGGCCACATGGCTGCCGAATGCACTGAGCCGGACACCAGACCTTGCCATAATTGCGGAGAAGTCGGGCACCAGTCCCGCGAATGCCCTCAGCCACGCAAGCCTCGTGAAGGCGAAAGTTGCCGTCGGTGCGGTTCCCTTCAGCATGTGAACAGGGATTGCCCTCTCAAGAACGTTCCCAAGGAAGGCCAAGGTTGCTACGATTGTGGCAGGTAAGTCTAAAATCTATCCCAATCTGCTAACATTTCTTCTGCTCCCACGTTCCATACTGACACCATCAATCCATTTCCCGAATGCAGTACTACGCACTTCCCTCGCGACTGTCCTATGCGCAAGGCTCCTGAAGAACCCGCGGACCCCGCAGTTCTCGACGATCTGTGGGGGAAAGTTAAAGCTACCGACAAAACCGGCGAATTTGACGATGTCAAGGCCGCCATCCTCGCATATGTCAAGGCCGATCGCGCCCATATTACCTGGCTCGACGTTGAGGAGAAGTTGCGGGAATCTGGATGCAGGTGCGATGCATACAACTTCAAGTCCATTTCGACGATTAGACTCACACTGATGCAATACTGTAGGACTCATATTTTGGCCGAAGGTCCTCGAATGCTTCCTCCCTCGAAGGAACTTGCCGACAACAAGGGCGATGGCAACAAGAAGTACGAGGTTGTCATTGTTCGCAACGCTCGTCAGCTTAAAATGAAACTCAAGGTACGAATATGCGCCGCCCCTGTCCGATTCTATAGCCGTACTCACAAGGTGTGATTGCTTCATCGTAGGACGAGTCTGCGATTGAAAAGAACAAGGAGAACCTCCAGGACGCTGGAATGATTCGCGAGAGACTCCGCAATGAAGAAAACCGCAAGTACGAGTTGCCCGAATGGGCCATGGATCTCCTCACTGCCGACCAGAAGAACATGGCCTTGAACAACTGCCTCCGCTGCGGTAAGGAAAGGCGACCCCTTTCGCGCTTGCGATTCCTAGATTCTCATCAACTGTCCCGCTCCGTTCACTTTTAGGCAACTCCGAGCACAAAACCAAAGACTGCACCGAGGAGAGAGCTACCGATGATGAAAAAAAGAAGTTGGCCGCCTGCTTCAAGGTATGTATTCTACAAAGGCACCTCTGGCGCCGGGCATCGGCACTCATTAATCCCGTTCGCTCGTATCCTCCTTTGTAAATAGTGTGGAAATGAGGGTCACAGCTTCCGGAACTGCCCTGCGCCCAATCGTAAGTGCACTATGGTTGCATCAATGATGGCATGGTGGAAGCCAACCTCATCTCAATTCCTTTACAGCGGAGTTCGCCTGCAAGCGTTGCCAAGGCTATGGTCACCGCAGCAAGGAATGCTCCCAGCCCGACACCCGCGAGCCGTGAGTAGAACGATCTCGCATCCCCAGCGTTATGCGATTCTGGGCTGACTAACATATATCAATCACAGCATGAAGTGTCGTCGTTGCGGTGAAGAAGGTACGAACGACTTGATTCCTAACGGCATATGGGTGCAACTCGTAGCCCAAAACAGTCGAATGGAAGCTGACCCCTTGGCAACTCCTTAGGCCACAAGAGCTCCGAATGTGAAGCACCGGACACTCGTACTTGCAACAATTGCGGTGAACCTGGTCACATGCGCAGTGACTGCCCCAACCCGCCCAAGGGTCGCCCCTGCCACAAGTGAGTCCATCACGTTTCCTGAGCGGCAAAAGTTTCCTCATTGACCGTTTTTTACACTCCACCATACCAGCTGCGGTCAAGAAGGGCATATCTCTCGCGAATGTCAAGAGCCCAAAGTGTTCCGTTGCCGTAAATGCAACCAGCCAGGTAAGGTTCTTCTCCGAACACTACCTACGGGTGCTTGGTTACTCAAAAAGTTTTCTTCCCACCAATATCTAGGCCACAGGGAGCGTGAATGCCCCGGCGAGGTCCCTGCCGACACCGACACTGGTGCCGTCCCCATGGACACCGCCTACCCCGCTGAGCAAGTTGTCGGTGGTGGTGATGGCGGCTGGTGATTGCAAGAAGTTCCCAGTTGGCAACTGGCCATTTAAAAAAATCTCGTTTCAATCATACCAAATAGCTCCTTCTGTATTTCTCGCGTTTTTCTTTCGTATCCTTCGAGGCCTGTCGCCCAGGATATCTCGTTTCCTTTTTCCTGCTAGTACTGCAAATGTTGCTTCAACTCCCCGGCCCGTTCATAGGTCCTCCCTTCTCTCCCACATGCTGCTTTCGAAACATTGTGAAAAGTATTCTCGAGCACTGTCAATGCTGTCAAATGTTTGTCCATCACGTGATTGTCGATTCACGTAAAGGCGAAACAGCATGTCCCGCTTTTCGGCTTTTTCGCAGTTTGGTCGTTGGGACATTTAGCACTGACCTGACGGACTGGTTTATCGCAAACGGTCAAAACGTCCAGGATACAAGTAACTCGGTCAAGTAGCAGATAGAGTAGGGGGTCCGGCTATTTGTAAGAGGAAAGTTCGCTGCGAAAAATAAAGTATATTATACCGGCCATGGCGCCAGCAGCAGCGACCCCGCACGCAAAGAAGCGGAAGGCGGCACCTACACCTCAGAAGGACGACGCCGATTCAAAGTCCGCAGAGAAAGTATCAGCAAAGAAACCGAAAGTAGATAAACCCGCGACGAAAGCCGTGGCGGATAAGCCAGTAGTACCCGTGACAAAAGCGCCGGTGGTGGAAGAGGCATTCCCTCGCGGTGGAGCTTCTGCACTCACACCTTTGGAGTACCGTGAGGTTTCTGACCAGGCGAAACAGGATGTTCTGTTTGAGGTGAGGACTGTTTTTGTGCTTGCAATGAGATGTGGCAACCCAGACTAAACTGGTGTTTCGGCAACAGCAACAAAATGAGACGCCAGAAGCAAAGCCTAAGCCAAAGTCGAAGAAGCGGAGGGCTGAAGACGGCAAGGCGGAGGAGGACTCCGCCAAAAAAGCACGGACGGAAGGGACCACTCACGCGGAAATGCTTTCGTTCAAGCGTCTGAATGTTGGAATGACGCTGCTGGGTTGCATCAAGGAGATCAACGATTTGGATATCGCCATCTCGCTTCCCGATCAGCTTACGGGATATGTATCCATTACGGAAATCTCCGACTACATCACCGCCCAGGTTGAGAAGGCAGCTGGAGACAACGAGGACAGCGAAGAGGACGAGGAGGAGGAGAGCGAGGAGAGCGTTCCGGAATTGCGCGAGTACTTCGGTCTTGGCCAGGTCGTGTCGTGCGTGATTACGGCGTTGGAGCATGACGCCGACTCGGAGGGCAAGGCGGGATCTGGCCGCAGGAGAGTGGCGCTTTCTCTGAAGCCGGAACTCGTCAACGCCAACATCAGCAGCTCAGACCTGGTGGAGGGCCTCGTGCTTGCGTGCTCGATTGTCAGTGAGGAAGATCATGGGTTTATTCTGTCGGTAGGGATCGAGGGTGCGTCTGGCTTCTTGTTGAAGAAGAACGCAAAGGCGTTTGTTGAGAAACAAAACGAAGGACGTCCATTGAAGATTGGACAGGTTTTGCACGGGAATGTGCTGAAGGTGGATGAGGCTCGGAAAGTCGTGTCCGTGACGCTCGACCCCGAGGTTCAGGCGAAAGCGGTGGTGCCTGCCACGCAAGTCATTGCTTTCGACGCTTTGAAAGCCGGCGCGCTCGTGAATGCGAAAGTGAAAGACGTGCTCGACAATGGTATTCTGTTGACTTTCCTCGGCGTGTTGGAAGGCACCGTCAACTTGGCCCACCTGGGTTCCTTGATTGTGGATCCGGAGGAAGAGCTTCCCGCCAAATATAAGGTGGGGCAGAGGCTCCGTGTGCGTGTGCTCTACGTGGACCCCATTCGCAAGAAGATCGCTGCGACATTATCCCCTAGCCTGCTGCACTTTGTCCGATTCACCCCACCGGCGGTCGAGATCGGGTCTATTTTCGACGACTTCGTCGTACGACGTATCGATGCGAAACTGGGTCTCCTGGTCGAGCAGAAGGATGCAGGGTTTGCTTTCGTGCACATTTCCCGATTGTCAGACACGAAGGTTGAGAAGATGGATAAGAACTATAAGGTCGGCAGCAAACACCGCGGACGTGTTACCGGAATCGATTACTGCGATGGCCTCCTGCACGTTAGCTTCCAGAAATCCGTTCTGGAACAGCCTTTCCTTCGCTACGATGAAATCAAGCCAGGTATGGCTGTGAAGGGTCAGGTTGCCAAGCTCCTGCCAAATGGAGCCATCATCTCCCTGGCTGGTTCGATCACCGGATTCTGCCCGAAGCTCCATTTCGCGGACATTGCCTTGACGCAGCCGGAGAAGATGTTTAAGACGGGCGTTGTTCTGAAGTTCCTGGTGTTATCCGTCGACGCCAAGAACCGTAAGGTCACGTTGACACATAAGAAGAGCATTCTGAACTCGACGCTTCCGAAAGTGGCGTCCTACGAGGACGTCAAGTCTGGAGACATTGTGCACGGTGTCATTATGGCTCTTAAGGACTTTGGATGCTTGGTTAGCTTCTTCGGCGATGTTCGTGCGTTGGCCCCTATTTCCGAGTTGAGCGAGAAGTTTGTGGAGAAGGCTGCGGATGTCGTTACCCTGGGACAGGTCGTCAAGTGTCGCGTGCTGAACGTTGACGCTGCGGCTGAGAAGATGCGCGTGAGTTTCAAGCTGCTCGGCGGAGCGGAAGGACAAGCATCTCTCGAAGCTGAGAAGGTGGGAGAGATCGCCTCCGCCACGGTCATTAGCGTGATGCCGTCAGGTCTACTAGTCGAGCTGCGACCATCGCTGGCCCGCGGTTATCTTGCGAAATCCCACCTCTCGGATCATACTGGAAATGTGGAAAAGCTCCACAAAGGCTTCCAGGAGCGCTCGGTGCTGAAGGAGGTCGTGATTATCGGCAAGGACGAGAAGCGTGGCCACGCTATCATTTCGATGAAGAGCCTACTCATCGAAGAAACGAAGCGTCGCAAGGCCGCTTTTGCATTTGACGACATTGAGGAAGGCATGCTTGTACCAGGATTTGTAAAGAACATCACTGACAAGCGATGCTTTGTGTCCTTGGTCGGAGGCGTTGTCGTGGCGGCCATATCCCATAACATCTCTGATCGCTACGTGACCAAGGTGGAAGACTTTCTGCAAATCGGCCAAACGGTCGTGGCGGTCGTCACCAAGGTCGACAAAGAGGACCACAAGATCGAGATCAGTCTGAAGCACTCGCAATGCTCCAAAGCCGAAAACGCTCTGCGATACGAAACCGAACTTTTGCGGTCTTTCTTCCATGAGCAGGACGTGCTCCAGTTTGGTCAGCTTCCCAAGGATAAGGTGAAGGCGGTCAAGGCGTGGGCCATTGGATTGAAGCTGGGAGAGGTTACGCAAGCTGTTGTCACGTCGTCGATGCCTTACGGTGTCATTGTGGAACTTCCCCACAATGTGTCCGGGCTCATCCTGAACCCGCCTGCAGGACAGGAGTTTGCTGCCGGGGCGAAGGTTAATGTCAAGATCATGGACGCTAATGCCGATCGGAAGATCGTCGACTTGATCTACGTGAGCGACGCAGATGTCGCGGACAACAAGCCGAACGCGGACATCGCCGTGACCAAGGAGGCACAGAGCAAATCCGACAAGAAGATCGTCGTGGAGGCCACCATCCAGATTGTCAAAGAAGACTATGCCATTGCGATTATCCCATCGCTCCACAACGCTGCCGCCTTCGTCTTCTCCCGACACTTCAACACCACCGGCACATTTGCTCGATTCCGCGCCGGTCAGCAGATCAAGGCCACTATCACTCAAGTGCCTTCTCGTGGAGACTCGACGAAGAACTTTGACGGATACATCAGGCAAAGACTTCTGATCGTGCCGGTCGTCGAGTCCGAACAGCCGCAGGGCGGTTCAGACAGCAAGCGTGCCATCAAAGGCGCCATCGACCCCGGTTTCAAATCACTGGACGACTACTCCCTTGGAGCGACAGTAAAGGCCAAGATTGCGTCGGTCAAGGACACCCAGCTGAACATGACGCTCGGTTCCAACCTGAAAGGACGCGTCCACATTACGCAAGTGTACGATTGCATTGAGGATATCACTGACCTGAAGCACCCGTTGCATCACTTCAAAATCGGGGACATCATCGAGTGCAAGGTCATTGGTTTCCATGACGCCAAGACTCACAGGACCTTGCCGTTCTCACACCGCAAGAACCCTTCGCACACGGTCGTCGAATTGACGGTCAAGCCATCGGAGCTTGCCTTACCCGAGGGGCGAGTCTCGACCGAGACGGAAGTTCCTCCTACCCTCGATACCTTGCAATCCGGCGCAAAGTATGTCGGTTTCACCCAGAGTGTCGACGAGGATGCTCTGTGGATTCACATCGGACCCAACCTTCTTGGCCGTGCGCATTTAATGGATCATCCCAACCCCGTGGCACTCAAACGTCCCCACAAGTTCTTCCCTACGGGTAGCGCCGTGCAGTGCTGGGTAGTCCGGGCGAACTCCGAACGCAAGATTCTCGATCTCAGCTTGAAGGTGCCTGGGCATCACGACACGGTGGAAGTCGGAGCCAAATTCAACGGGAAGGTGAAGAAGGTTGAGGCTGGGAAGGGCTTGCTTGTGCAGATTTCGCCCGCGTTGACTGGCAGAGTCTACTTGACGGACATCACGGACGAGTATGTGAAGGATCCACTTGAAGGGTTCCGCGTCGGCGGAATCGTGGAATGCGTCGTTATTGGTTCGGACACTGTCAACAAGCGTCTCGATCTCTCTTTACGCCACTCTCGCACCAAGCCCACCGAGGATGCTGAAGTCCCCAACCCGGAGGTCAAGGACATCGGTGATGTCGTCAACGACACGGTCGTCAGCGGATACATCCGCAGCATCTCCGACGGAGGCGTGTTCGTCGGTCTCAACCATAACCTCGCCGCTCGCGTCAAGATCTCAGAGTTGTCCGACGCCTTCATCAAGAACTGGAAGGAGGCGTACACGGTCGGCCAATTGGTCCGGGGACGCATCGTCAATGTCAACGCTGATCAGAACCGTATTGAGATGTCGCTGAAACAAAGCGTTGTCGACCCCGAGGCTGCTGGCGTGCAGATCAAGTGGAACGACATCGAGCAGGGGCAGAAGGTCAAGGGTACCGTCAAGGCCATCCTTGAGTTTGGAATCTTCATCCAGCTGGCCAACAGCGCTATCACCGGTCTTTGCCACAAGACGGAGCTTTCTGACAGCCCCGTAACGGCTATCGACAAGCTGTACTCCGTAGGCGACGCCGTCAAAGCGCTGGTGCTGAAGGTTGACAGAGAGGCGAAGAAGCTTTCCCTGAGTTTGAAGGCGTCTCACTTCGACGAGACGGACTATGCCGATGACGCGAAAGTCATGGAGATGGATGAGTCTGGCAGCGACGCGGAATCGGATGTCGCCGAGGTGGTTGGATCCGATTACGAGGACGAGGACGAGAACGAGGATGTTGAAGGAAGCGATGCTGAGGAGGAAGATGACGCCATGTTGATCGATGGTGCAAGCGAAGGCGACGATGATGACGATGACTCTATGGAGATCGACGAGCCGACTGCGGCCTTGCTCAACTCGTTCGTAAATCTGCCCGATGAAAGCGATGACGAGGACGATGAGCAGGAGGAGCAGGAAGGCCTCGATGTGGGTGGGTTCAACTGGGACGGCACTAGCGCGGGCGCAAACGCCGCAGGCGAGAGCGATGATGAAGACGGGGCCGAAGGCTCAGACGACGAGGACGAGTCCACGCAAACAGGGAAGAAGAAGACTCGCCGCGCCAAGCAGCGCGCTAAGCGCGAGGAAGAGGAGCGGATTGCACAAAAAGAACAGTCGCTCCTCGAAGGTGACCAGCCACCGGAAGTCGCGGAGGATTTCGAACGTCTATTGCTCGGATCTCCCAACAGCTCTTTCCTGTGGATTAAGTTCATGGCTTTCCAGCTCCAGATGGCGGAAGTCGAGAAGGCTCGTCAAGTCGCTGAGCGCGCTTTGAAATCGATCAGCTTCAGAGAAGAGCAGGAGAAGATGAACGTATGGGTCGCACTCATGAACTTGGAAAACTCTTATGGCACGCAAGAAAGCCTTCTGAAGGTCTTTGAGCGGGCGGTGTCCATGAACGAGCCCAAGGCCGTGTACATCCAGCTGATCAAAATTTACGAACGGACCGAGAAGTGGGATGTAAGTAAACGTCTCGGACCCGTTCTCATCTGTTGCTGCGTGTTATTGATCGCATTTGCCTTTACAGCAAGCTGAACAGCTCCACCAAGTCGCTACGAAGAAGTTCAACAAGAGCTCCAAAATCTGGACCTCCTTCGGACTGTTCCAACTCAAGCGCGGGAAAGTGGAGGAGGCACGGAAGATCTTGCAAAGGAGTTTGCAGAGTTTGGCCAAGCGCAAACGTAAGTTGACATATCGTCGCATCTCATAATGGATCCCGAGCTCGGTTTCCTGATGTCCTGCATCCATCCTGCAGACGTCAAAACCATCTGCAAGTTTGCGCAAATGGAGTTCAAATATGGCGAGCCAGAACGTGGACGCACGATCTTTGAGGGTATCATGAGCAACTACCCCAAGCGCGTGGATCTATGGTCTGTCTACCTCGACATGGAGATCAGGAATGGAGATGTCTCGATCACAAGGTATGCTACTCTCTTCGCTCATCAACTCTTTGGATGAACTCGAGCTCATTGAACCTTCCCTCCCTCACAGACGTCTCTTCGAGCGGGTGATCGCACTCAAGTTCTCCTCAAAGAAGATGAAGTTCTTCTTCAAGAAGTACCTCGACTTTGAAAAGAAGAACGGGACACCGGAGACTGTCAACCACGTCAAGCAGGCGGCCGTCGCGTACGTCGAGTCCCTGCAAAACTGAAGAATCTGTTCCCGGACACTGGCGTAGGCATTTAAGACGTAGAAGATAGGTCGATAGGCATTATATATCATTCACGACCCGATATTTATTGTACATAGTATGTCTCTCTTTTTGCAATCACCACTGCTTCATCATACGAACTGGATGTTGCGTTGAGTCGATGGGCACTGGAACATGAGGCTGTCAAGTTTTCTGGTAACAATGTCGATCCCGCCGGCCACAATGCACATGGGGAGCGACCGACAGCAGTGAGTGGATCACGTCACGACGGTTGCACCGACCAAAGCCCCGAAGGGTCTTCGCGTTCAGACTTCAAACCAACTATTTGAGGCTTGCACTTTTGCAAAACACAAGGGCCTCAACAACTCAACGAGACTCACGTCATCCGTATAACTAGCAAACCCTTCCAGACTCTCTCGCTACTTTGAAAACGGTCTCGCCTGGTTTGACGAACGGAGCTGGGCTTTGGAATCCCGCGTTTGAAATTTCGGCAAACTGAAGTCTGGACCAGAGTCTGGACTCACTTCGACGAGCAACCTCAATTGACGCATAGCTACCCAGCACTGGTGGCTGCCTTGCGCCCACGGAGAAGTTATGGGTAACACACAGGCCCGCCCACCGCCCGGGGGTCAGTGTTTCGTTGGGTACTTTTTTCGTCGCATCTTGCTTCTGTCTAACGCATATTGTCCTACCTATAATCATCCTAGCCCCGGTGGACCTGCGCCATTTCGAGCTTCTGCAGTACATCGGAAAAGGGGCGTTCGGGAAAGTGAGGGTGGTGAAGCGGAAGGACACGAACAAAATCTACGCGATGAAGTATATCGACAAGGTGGAATGCGTCAAGATGCGCGCGGTGCATAACATCTTTCGCGAACGGCGGATATTGGAGGAGATTGATCATCCGTTTGTTGTGAACCTTCGGTACGCGGTGCCTGTGGTGACGGAAGTTGGGGGAGCAAGGAAGAAGTATGCTGATTGAAATCCCCGGCTGTAGATACGCCTTTCAGGACGATAGTTGGCTGTTCATGATCACGGATTTGATGGCTGGAGGCGACATGCGTTTTCATATCGACCAGAGGCATGGATTTCCGCATGAATCTGTGAGAATCATGGCGGCCGAGTTGGTGTGCGCTCTCGAATACCTGCATAAGAGGAATATTGTGCACCGGGATGTGAAGGTGAACCAGCTTTGTTGTCCCCGCATCCGTGAAGTTCATGAATTGACTCTTCCTGGCTTGATTCAGCCCGACAATATCTTGTTTGACGAGAAAGGACATGTTCATCTGACGGATTTCAACATTGCGGTGCACTACAATAGGAAGAAGTACGTTTCCTGCTTGTGATTAGGGTGCTGTGATTTGGCAGCAGGTCGCTGATCGCGAGAACCACAGCAAGCTCACATCTGAATCGGGGACGCTGAACTACATGGCCCCGGAGGTTTTTACGAAAGTCGGGTACAGCTGGCCTATCGATTGGTGGGGTCTGGGAATCGTCATTTTCGAAGCCCTGTACGGACGAAGACCGTTCCGCAGCGGCGAGGACGATAATGTTGTCAAGGACAACATATGCCATCAGGAATTGGAATTTCCGGATCGGAATTTGCTCGATGCCAAACCAGTAGAGCTACCGCTAGAGGTGGAAGACTTCATACGCCGCCTGGTTGAGCGCGACGTAAGAAAACGAATCGGGTGCGGAATCATGGGTGTGGAAGAGATTGAAGCCCATCCGTGGTTTCGAGGAATCAACTGGCAAACGGTGGAGAAACTAGAACTACAGCCAGTTTTCGTCCCCGACGCCACGCGCGGAAACTACGATCCATTATTGGATCTGGAAGAAATGTTTGCAGACACCGAACCATTAGCCTACAAATCCAGACAGAAGAAAGCACCGAAGGCGAAATCGCAAGATCTTGCTGTAGTAGATGCGGACACGCCGACAGCTGGAAAGGAAGTTCGAGACGAACGATGCTTGACGAGCCCTATCGAACATAGCGACGAGAACAGCCCTTCCGCGCCAAACCAGCCGGAACGAACACCAGAAGAGATAATGCAGAGGGAGCTCGATTACCTTGACGAGCACTTCAAACACTTTGACTACAGCGTCTACGAAAGCTATAGAGGATTCGTAGACGAGAGGACGATGAGCGTGTCGGAACAAGTTCCGGAGTGGGTCAAAAATCTAGATGAGGCGGGCACATCCCCAGTATCAATACCAGCCCCGCTACCAGAGCGGACATCTATGGCCTCCAGCATCCTGGAGTCCCCGATAGGAACGCCTCCTGCCGAGTTGAGCCGGATGGGCAGCCTTGTGATGAAGACTGTGTGGGAACCACCACGGGCTCCACCACCACCAGAGGAGTTTGTCGGCAATGAAGGGTTGTTCGATCCGGAAAAGTCGACGGGAGATTTATCTTTCCCACGGGCATCTGCCGCGCCAAAGTCAGCTGGGCCAGCTGTTTTCGACTCGACAGCGCCGGGCTGTCACGGCCAGCAGGACTATGACTTGGCGACGATGCACAAGGAAGCGAGACAGTCGGTTGCCACATTATAGTAGCTTTCTCTTCGTTGAGGGGATCTACACTTTTGGACAGGGAGGTTGTTCGGGATCACTGCATGTAGATTTAAGTAGAGGCATAGTTCTTTTTAATAGACTTGTTGTGTTCTTATGGCGGTTGGGATCCGCCGAAGCGCGTTTATCACTGCGCTTCCAATTCGTCGTAGATCCCACCAAACATCTCCCCTGGCTGGCCCCTCTCAGAATTGCCCACTTTCCCACGAGCATTACTTGAGAGATAGAAGAGGTCCATATCATTCTCCACAAGTTTGTTGTTTGTCTAGCAGACACACACACCAGCGCCATGCCTCGGACGCAAGACTCGCTCCTTCGCAGCCAGAGGGGCACAACGCCCTCTCAGCAATTCGCCAGCTTGCAGACTCGGCATTCCGTCCACGGAAGCTCCCTCCAGAGGCCACGCATCCCTCGCTTCACAACCGACTATCGCCACTCCATGGGCCCGGGCACTGCGCCTTCCTTGCAAGTTGTGGGCGTGGAGGGCGAAGACGGGCAACGGCTCGACGGCGTCGCTTTCGATAGTCACCCGTCGCTTGTGAGCGACAGTTCGGAGAACGGGTTGGACGGGCATGAGGATAATGGAAACGAGTCGGGGTTTATGACGGAGGAGGAGAGGGCTGCACAGGAAAACAGCCGGACCTTGCGGGATGTACAGGAGGTACGTTCACCGTCGCCTCGCGGAACGGGAGAGAAGACCTCTGTGGAGTAGAAGTCGAATGTTCCCACTCATATTATCGTACGTTCTTTCGTAGGCTATCAACATCAAGCACCCTTTCGGTCTTCGAATTTGGAAACCAGCACTGTACCGCAAATTTAGGAGTATCGACACGAAAACCTACAAAGCCCTGCATGCCGTACCGGGGGAGAAGCCTGCTAGGCCGTTATACCTCAATCCCGGGAATGTTCTATGGTGTCTCCTCTTTGGATGGTGGATTTCACTGGTGTATGTTCTGGTGGCACTCCTCGTGCTGGCACCAGTCTCGCTTGTGGGCAAGGTCTTTGCTACGATCTGGTTTTGTGGACGCAAGAGAGAGCCCATGCTGTTTGGCATCAAGACGTTCTTGCCGTGGTTCTTTTTGGAACTGGAACATTGCTGGCAATACGCGAAGGTAACGTCTTCCCGTACTCCACTCTCTTCCACCCCCCTGCTGATGTATACTTTCACCACAGGTCCTGTTGAACATATCTGGATATATGTTTTGGCCGTTTGGAAAGTTCATTGCCAAGAGGCGCATGTATCATATGATCTTTGAGCAGGAGGATGCGCTCGACGGTAGCCACGCCGATGAGCAAACGAGTCTCTTGGGCGATTACGACCAGGAAACTCCAGGAGCGCATGAGGACACTTACGTCGTGGGCATCTCGGACGAGTCAGTCCCTTACGACTCGCAGGAAAGGGCCGTCAACGGGTCAGCACCCAAGTTCTCTCCCCATCACGGAGATGAAGATGCTGGAAACCTCTCGGACGAATCGGAGGATTCGTGGCGCGAATATCAGTCCTCGAGCAGGCGGTACAGCATCACAGTTTCCCGGGCCATTCATTGGCAGGAGTGGGTCCCACGATGGATTCGCAAATTGTACAGCGCAGGCCTCTCCGGTTGTCTATTCCGTCTCTGCGTGATCGTATTGATTGGCCCACTTCACCTGGTGATCACATGCGCATGCACGTTCTTCGTCTTCTCTTTACCGATGGCAAAGCTGAACTACGTCTTGCTCAAACACCTTCTTCGACACCCATTGCAAATCTCGGCACATACGCCTGTCAATGCGCCTAGTCCGGGGGACAGACCTAGCCGTAGAGCAGCGATCAAATCCCGCGCCTCTGCTGCTTGGAGACGGACAAGTCAGTATATCTGGCGACCAGCTTCGATTCTGTCCGATACCGCCCAGCCGATCGCCATTCCTACGACTCTCGGTACACCCACTGTTATGCCTACAGGCGCCGTCGCCCAAGGACCACAGCTGGCACCAGAGTTCCAAGTTATTCTTTGCACGTACAACGCGCTAGGATGGGAGTACTACAAGTACACCATCGATGGGATCAACATCATCTTCATTAACTTGATTGCCGTGGTCGCCTTCGCCCTGCTCGATTTTTACTTCATCGGACCAACTTTCGGGTTCCACGGTATCGCCTCCATGAACGTCATCTTCTCGGCCAGTCTGATATCCTCGATCCCGCTGGCGTATTTCATCGGAATGGCTGTCGCTTCCATCACTTCCGAAACCGGTTCTCTTGCTATTGGTGCTGTCATCAATGCCACTTTCGGTAGTATTATCGAAATCATCCTTTACATGCTCGCCTTGAGTGAAGGAAAGACACGTGTGGTTGAGGGAGCGGTCGTTGGGAGTCTTCTCGCTGGACTGCTCGCATTGCCCGGTGTGTCCATGTTCTTCGGCGGGATCAAAAGGAAGGAACAGCGCTTCAACGCCAAAGCAGCTGGGGTCACGGCCACCATGCTTATCATGGCGGTAGTTGGATGTTTCACGCCGACGCTGTTCCAGGAAATCTACGGTACTCAAGAGCTCACGTGCTTGACATGCCCTAAACTTGGGGCACTAGAAACCGCTGATGCTCCCACAACGCTGCTACACAGGTGCATTGGGTGCAGAATGCGGTCTACCCCACCTTTCCGTGACTCCATTTACGTTGGAAGCACCAGGTATCTGGTGTACTTCTGCAGTGGTCTGCTTATCCTTATGTACGCTGTCGGACTCCTGTTCACGCTCCGGACCCACTCCCGTGTGATCTACGCCAAGCCGAAATCCAGCAAGCGAAAGAACAAGTACCGGAAGCACCGAGTGAGCAGATTTGTGAAGAGGAGCGACACTGGCGGAGTTGCGCCGTCGCCGGCATTATCCGCTCAAGGAGTTCCTCACGAAAAGGACACATCCGGCGCAGGAACTCCATTGGAAGGCCCCTCAACGCATTCTAGGGGTTCCGTCCACAGCACGCTTCGCGGAAGGAAGACAGCATTCCGCACATCCCAAGTGCCGTCCGAGAACAGCGGGGAGCCAAGTTTGAGCGAATATCCGTTCCCCTTCGTCAATGGAGAGCATCTGAACCCGGAATCTGCTCGATCTTCCTCGCCCAGTAACCGACGCTCGTCAGAGGTCCCCAGCACTCCCATGTCACCTTCGCTACCTCCACGCCGCAGTGTACATACAACTGGCGGTGTCATCCTCGTGCAGGATCCAGATCCGGTCGTCGCTGTACAACAGGGCGATGATTGGGATAGTGCGTCGGCTCATTCTTCGGATGAGGATGACGATTCCGTGGCGGACGGAGGGCATGATCACCCGAACTGGGGCTTGACCAAGAGCGCGATCGTTCTGCTGGGATGTACGGTGCTGTACTCCCTCGTTGCCGAAGTTCTGATATCCAGTGTGGACAGTGTCGTCGAGAAGATGGGGATTGGAGAGAAGGTTCTGGGAGTTACGTTGTTCAGTTGGGTTCCTCTTGTGACTGAGTTCTGTGAGTACCGTGGTTGATGCACCATTCGATTCCGTCCCGGTAATTTACATACGTCTGCTGATAATACTGTTATATCTCCTCAGACAACGCTATTGCCTTTGCCATGAACAACAACATCGCCCTTTCTCTCGAGATCGGATCCGCGTACGTCATGCAAGCCGCGATGCTCCAAATCCCCGTCATCATCTTCTTCTCCAACATCTACTTTCCAACAACCCAAAAGCCCATCACGGTCCCCGACCCAGATCCCGACCACGACCACGACATGTTAGCCACTTCAGCCAACCGTCTTCCGAGTTTACCGTTACGCAACCTCTTCAACCGCGTCTTTGGGCCAGGGTCTCCGTCGTCGGCGGAGATGCAATCCGCCTCCCAACAACACGATTGGACCCGCGCGGGACCTCATCACCACGCCGAAGGGTTCACGATGATTTTCCCGCGGTGGGACCTCTACGCCGTCATATTCGGCACCTTTATCCTCACCTACATCTACATTGAGGGTAAGGCCAACTACTTCAAGGGGTCTATGCTTCTTGGGGCGTATGCCGTGTTGTGTGCCGTCTACTTCTTCGAACCGAACTGGGATTGAGAGGCGGCTGGTATCTTTTGCGGCATTGGGCGGAGCTCTGCTACCTTCGTCGTGCCGATATTTTTTTCGAGCCAAGCGTATTGCGTATTTTGTCTTCTCCACATCGTTCTCGTAACGCGTTTCTTGCGAGTCTCCCTGCTCTCGTGGGGCGCCTTCTGTATATAGCTTTTCACACATATTCGCCTGTGTAGCCTCCCTTTCGTTCCCATGTTTTGCTCCCCCATGGCCGCCTCGCCAAATCTGGTCGCTGTATCTCTGTCAGGCCGTCGATGCATTTCCTGTGGATATTGAATCAATTTTGAATGTGGCATTACACCTTAGATCGAGCGATCCTCAGATTCATGTAGGCCAATATGATGTAATGAATCCTTTACGACTAAGGTAACACTCATAGAACTGGTACAGAGGGAAACTCCACTAAAAAGAATCGCGCCTTGATATCCGGAATGTATAGAAAGGATCCGGGTTCTACTGCGATGCGAGCACCTATTCTGAAGACATCTACACCGACTCCCTTGCTGCCATCGCCAGATTCGGTACGCTCGCTTCCACAAATCAGGAATCCCTCCGTCGTCCTACGACCTATCAACTCTACGCCGACTTCCGCCTCTTTGGTTTCGCAGCCACCAAAAACTTATGCAGATCGCACTTGATCACGCCGCAGAGCGGTTTATATGCGAGACGATTCACTTCAGGGAAGAAGACTACGCCTGCGGCGCGTTCGACGGCTAGAGAGCGAGTGAGTGAAAGATATCATGAGCAAGTGATGCGAAGGATGCCCAGGGGCGGACGGGAAGAGGTGCCAGCTTACCATCCAAAGGCAAGACAAACTCTTGCAACGGTACGTCGCCGATCTCTGTGTTGGGCAGGACAAATGTCGCCATGGCTTCGGTTTTGCCCTTGACGCCCAAGACAACTACCGAAAAGTGGCGGTCAGTACAGGACCCGGATACATCAGAAAGATCACATTTGGACCCGTGTATCATCGCCAACCAAACCTTTATAGAAATGCGTCGGAACAGCAACATTCGGCGGATTCCCAATCATCTCATACTTGACATAATGCTTCCCATCGTCTTCCAACTTGGGCAGGTACAAGGGTCCCGTAATGACGTAGACGTCGTCGAAGTCCTTTGTGAGGGTGCGCACGAAATGCTCAAAGTAGAACCAGTAGTTGCGATTGAAGCCTTTGCCGACTTGCGGGCTGATGTTTGTCACTTTTTGGAGGAAGGGGTGAATTTATGCATAGAGGGGAGGGTGGGTGGGTTTGAATTGGGCTTACAGAGGAAGGTTTCGTCCATGGCGTCTTGCGATTCGACCACATCTGCTGCCGGGACGAGATGGCCCCTGTAGCGTGCGGATCATCACATCAGCAGATGCCCTCCTCTTACGCAACCCATCCAATGCAACGATCGACTGCTAATGCATGCATATAGCCAACCTATCGAACCCTGATCCCACGAAATCCTTCAAATGTGCGCGAAATAGCCGAGGAATCTGCTGGTCTTCCCGGAAGGCAGATTTCTGCCGGTCCGGCTTCTCCTCATCCAACGCCGCTTCGAGTAGGCCCGCTACTCCAGGGTTCGCCGCTACAGAGCGAGCTGTCAAATGCTCTGCTACCTGTCATCCGCACGAGAGGACGCTGTTTGAGCCACAAATGTGCGAGGCGGGGGACGGATGCCATCAAACTGCCACTCGTACCCAGTTGGGGTTGCGCAAAGACCTGTTGTAAGAGCCCACTGTACAATGAATCCTCTCTTAGTTTTTCTGGGTCTCACCCCAGGGTCTGCATAGCAGCATAGCTCACCGTACGCCGTCCGATACAAGAGGTCAGAAACCGGGCCTAGACAGCCAACGCTGTTTATGAGTGAGCTGACTAGCTTGCGGAAAAAAGGTAACCGACCGCCCAGCCTCAGCTTATACCTGGGAACCCATATTTCATTATTTCCTTCGCCGCGGTCATATGAGCCGGTACTCCCAAAGTTGGCGGACTCGAGACCGGCACATGACTGACAGGCCCCTCGGACGCTGGCGGCGGCCTCACATTCGGCGTTGCAGGTGCACGAGTGCCGAGATGATATAGCGTTGCCGCCGTCACACCTCCCAGTAGACCGCTGCCGAACACCAGTAGACCGCTGCCGAAGACGCCTAGTGTGTAGTTCCGTATGGACGGCATTATGCCTTTGGAGATGTGTGCAGGGCTGGGAATTTGTCCCTCCTCCTTCAGCGTTCAACGTGTCAAGGAGGTATATAATGGTGCACCATGCAACATGACCGCTTCATGCCTAGACATTACAGCGCTGTCCGACGCTTTTGGGCTACAACTTATGCTTCGCCCATGGCCCATGCCCACTAGGTAGCCGACTTCTGCCAAAGTTTGTCCAGCTCCGCATACGCGATTCCGCCGTACACAAAGGCCGTCTTGTCAGTGCCGTACGCTTTCAGAAGTCCTCCGTTCTCAAATCACAGTGGGACATTCCAATTGTCGGCCATGATGTGCCATGTCTCAAAATCTTATATTTCCCTGCAATCTGTGTATTTGCCAAAAAATCGTAGTATTCAGAGAGCGACTATGACGAGGCCCTATTGGCTTGAAGGCTTGATATCGTTCGCGCGGGCTGCGTTTCCAGCGCCTTCCTCGCTTTTCCCAAGGGTCGCCGTGTTCGCATCTTGACCTCGAATGGCCGTCGGGCCGAATGTGCTTGTGGTACGCGTTTCTGTGGTTGGAGCTAAGCTGTTTTCGGAAGGATGTCCAAGAACGACCTGAAATGGGAAGTAGTCTAGTGATTAGGACAGTCCTCGCAGGAAGAAGGAGAAACTTGCACCATTATATACCTCCTTGAACTGTTGGACGATAGGCTTCTCACGCTCGTCGATGTCAGGCATGTTGAAGAGTGGTGGTGATTGGATGTTTTTTGGTCGAATATGTCAATCTACTCGAAAAGATAGCGGGTGCTCTGTCCATGGCAAGCGCTTTATACTACATTGTACCCTCTCACCGAGCAGGTATGGCGTCACAGATACGTTATTCAAGTTTTGACACCATTTCGACAGGACCACATGGTATCTCCCCGCCTTTGGAGTTGTTTCTTCCGCGATATTACTTTGAATGGAACTTACCTGACTATGGGATCCGCAAGGGTTCCGACTTCTTGCGCAATGCCAAACTTATTGGGCATTGACGGTGAATAGGTATATGGAGCAAGTCTCTCCGATACGGCGACGGATGCTGCATTATGCTCCGTACGTCCATCATCTTGTCTACATGCTATGTCAAACTGAGGAGCTTATAGACCGAGGAAGTCTCCAGAGTCGTTACGGCTGACAACCTGAACATCAGAGCTACAGTATACGGTGACTGCTTTGGCGGCGCAAGGTGGGCAGCTGAGGGTAAGACTGGCTTCGATGCGATGTGGCGCGTGTGGCTTTTGCACGGCGAGGCGCCACTTGGGGCAACCTCCGCGAACTCGCAACCTCAACATCACCCATTGGGGACTGTTACTTCGGTGGTTTCAAAAGCCATAACGCTCTCGCCATCAAGGGTAGCTTGGCCTAAGTGGTTACGTAGTAGTGAAGCCGCCAAGACTCGCCGCGAAGCGACTGACCGCGGAAACCTGTCTGTTTAGCGTTCCATTGAAGAACGACATTGAACGGACGCATTGGACAGCGAGCAAAGAACATGTCGCTACAACAAAGCTTCAGGTTAACGAGAGCGGTCGCTCAGAGGTCGAGGGGGTCAGCGAGCTGCTGTTCGTTAGCAGGGGAGCGCTGCGAAGGTCTGCAAACACGGATACTACCCACTCAATCCCGACAACGAGATCAGCGATCTTCCCACAGCACGCTGGCTTCGCTACGCACACCATTCCTATCCACCGCCATTGTTTGTACATCCACCTCTGTCCTTCGTTCCCCCGCATCTCTCCTTCCGTCGCCAACACATGTACCAGTTCGGCATTACGATCGCCAAAAGTACCTGAAACAGAAGAAGGCACTGAAAGCCAAACAGAACCAAGAGGACATCACGCTTGAGGATGGACTGGAAGTGTTTCGCGTATGTTCGTGCGGATGTATCGAATTTGGGGTTTTTTTTGAGATTGGGGCTGATGGAGATATGGAACTGCTATGTAGAAATATTGTCTTGGCGAAAACAGGCTCTTCTCCGCGCACGTACAGGTCTTGAGGCAGGAAGAGGGACAACGGCCTATTCGAGGAGACGTAGCGCTACCAAATCAGGTCTCGGCGGAAGATAAGGCCATTACGCTCGTGTTTGCCACGGTAAGCGGAGATGAGATAGACTCAAAGCCCCGGCGGCGCAGAGCGAGTCACTGACATTCAACATCCTACAAAAGGGAGAGGCAGCAGATGAGGCGAAGCGATTGGGTGCTCACATTGTCGGAGGAAAGGAACTCATTGAAGAGGTACGTATCAATGTGCGGCAGATGAAAGTCGAACGAGATCCCGATCTGAACCTCTCTATCCAATAGATCAAGGCGGGCAAATTGGACTTCGACAAAGTGTTATCTACGAAGGAGATGTTCCCAGCAGTCATTGAAATCGCGCGTATACTCGGTCCCAAGGGGCTGATGCCAAGTCCTGCTAAGGGTGGGTGTCATACACTGATTTGGTGATGGCCGAATATTGCTCCACGTGGTCGGAGCTGTACTATATCACCTACGCATACTGAACTCCTTCGATTATAGGCACTGTATCTGACGACATATCATCGATGATGAGTTCCCTTCGTGCTGTTACGAAATTCGAAGTGGACCCGGACGGTTTTATACATATGGGTACGGTCGCTGATTGTTCCTTGGAAAGGGCGTTCAGCAGACGCTTACTTTTATCGCTTTGGTATTTCAGAGATTGGGAAAACGTCGTGGTCGGATGATAAGCTCTTAGGTAGGCCGAATGTACTCCCGGATGTCGTCTGTGGGCAGTCTGCTGAATGCGCGTTGAATCCATAGATAACATCAAAGCGTTCGTGGCGGCGGTGGTGAGTGTGCGACCGCCAAAGACAGATGGTAGGTTCCTCATATCATATTGGTGTGCATCACGTTCCATCCGAACTCACACTGATACTCTCTCGCCTCCATGTAGCCACGAAGTTTATTCAGAGCGTGAGCATCTCTGCAAAATACACGGCAGGAGTGAATCTGCCACTGAAGCCTTTCAAAGCGCTTTCGGGTACAGCTAAGAAGTGATAGAAAGAGAAGCATAGAGATGGTAGCATAGATTTGGGCTACTTCTGAATGTGAATATGAGCGTCGAACGCGCATGCTGAGAAGCCTAGTATTCAGTATGGAGTCGGGGGAGACGGTCGGAAACGCAAGGCTGCGGACGTAGGGGTGAACGCAAGCCTCCATGTTGGGAAGTCGCGGTAGCGAAGGCGTATGAAGACCTGAAGTAGAGGCGTGAAGAAACAACCACATGACAGACACACCTTTCATATCCTCCTGCTCATACTGTAAAAACCCATCGCTGCTTATGGACCACTCCAGTAAGAAGATCGATTGAATTATACTACATCTACATGCGCGGCATAGCAGACGTCCTGCTCAAAGCTACTCATGCAACCTATTACTGCTTCACCACTCGACATGCTTCCGATCTCTGTAAAATAGACCGTTTTCCAACTTCCCACCCTCCAAAATCTCCTGCTTGTCTGCTGTTGCCAACCACACCGGGGTTTTGGCTCCATCCTCTACACTCAGATGTGCGGCTTCTCCGCCCATGTTTGTCCTAACCCATCCAGGACAACATGCTGCAACCAAGATGTTCTTGGATGTGATTTCTGGTTGCCTAGCGAGCACTCGGGAGAACGCGGTGACCCCAACTTTGGACACACCGTAGGCCTGTTGGGGCCAACCTTTGCTTGCGTATGTCCCGTCCGCGACCGAAGCGACGAACTGATCCATCAGCTTGTCGAGGCCGTCAAGTGTCAGACTCTTGGATGAGAACTGGTCTTGAAGCTCCTTGGAGACTTGTCCGAGCCTTCCCATCGTGGAGCTGACATTGACTATCCTGCCATTTTCGGGTATGAGAGGCAAGAACGCCTGAGTTGTTTTGCGGGTTCCGGTATAGTTCGTAGTGACGGTCCACTTGGCAATCTCCCCGTCGAAAGCGCTTCCCTTAGCGGCGACGCCCGCATTGTTGATCAGCACGTTGACGATGCCCGCCTCGCTCTTCACACGCGCAGCGGCGGCATTGATGCTCGCCTCGTTAGTTACGTCGAGGTGCAAGAATGCGATCGACGTATCGGCTGGCAAGCCGTTCTTCAGCTCGTCGACGGCCTCGTTGCCTCGCTTTTCGTCGCGCGCGGCGAGGTAGATGAGAGAGCTGGTCGGGCGGTGGGCCAGTTGAGCTACGATGGCTTTACCAATACCTTGGTTTGCGCCAGTTACGATGGCGACGAACTTGCTGGTGTTGGGTGCGGACGGCATTTTGGCGGTTCTTCGGGTCGAGAAGAAGGATTTGAAGTCTGATGACTTGTAACGTCTTCCGGTCTGGGTGGTGGGTTCTCGGCTTTGGCAGGCGTGCCTTGTATGCGCCGATTCTGGGCCAGTAATGAATCCAGCTAAGCACTACGCGTAGCTAGTGGCTGCTTCCTATTGCATCGGCCCTATAGCCATGTTGATAAAGGTGTGGAGTCGTCCAATGGTCACGGGGGTTGCCACCATGTCATCTAGGCTTCATCAGCTTCATACCCAGCTGAGTTTCGTCCAGAGGTATTCGCATTCGAAAATATAGGGGTCGACGCGTGATGAATGTTCGGACGATACCAGGGACGATACCAAAACGCAGGAGGAAGCCAAGGCCTATTGCCCACTGAACTCGTTCGGAAACAGCTCCGTCCAACGTACGGATACGTCGTCCAAGGAGGGCGCTCTCTGCTAGAGGAGCAGGATTCTTCTAGAAGAAGGACTCCCCGTCGTACACTCCCATTCACTCAAGGCCGTTCCCACGAGCGATACATATACATAGCACCGGTCGCACCGTGTAATAGCGGGGCAATTAAGAACTGTTCATATGACCGGCATGCTCACCAACGGTACGAATGGTGTGGTGGTGGATGACAGCCCTCTGCGAATCGCATTCTATGTCAGTGGACACGGTGAGTGAGATTGTCTCACGCGTCAACTATTGTGGCCAGACTTTCTAACCACCGATCTCGTGGTCTAGGGTTCGGCCACGCTACGTACGGATTTTGCATACGGTGCTGAGACTCAGGAGAAGGCTGATCGCCGTATACTGATCAGGATGATCCTTTTCCTTCCTCGTCGCCCAGAACAGCCGCGCTGTGGTCACGATCAAAGCCCTCGCCACCCTGGGGCATCACGTCGTAATCGTTAGTTCCGCGCCACCGTTCATCTTCCGCGACACGATCGAGTCATGTGCCAATTGCGAGTTGCGGAGTATAGCTACGCTGTGTCCGGGAGTGATACAGAAGGATCCGGTAACGGTGGATGTTGCGGAGACGATGCGGCAGTTGGACGTGTTTTGGACGGACGCGAAGGATGTTGTTGGGACGGAGGCGGAGTGGATGAAGGGGGCGAGGTTGGATGTTGTTTGTTTGGATGCGCCGTTTTTGCCGGCTTCTGTGGCTAAGGTACGACTGGGGAAGTGGACATCTCGAATAACGCTCTCGGAATTTAGCCCCATTCACCCCTCCGTCTTACCTCATACACAGCAACTAGGCATCCCTTCCATCCTCCTCACCAACTTCACCTTCGACGCCATCTTCTCCGCCCTCGCCAACACCCCAAAAGCCACCCACCTCGTTTCCCAATGCACCTCCATGTACAACTCCACCGACCTCCTCCTCCGCATGCCGGGCCATATCCCCATCCCGGCCTTCACCCACCGCCCAGATCACATCATCGACATCTCACTGATCGTGCGCAAATCCCGCGAATCCCGTACAGCCGTGCGAGAGATGCTGGACATCCCTGTTGACGCGCCGTGCGTGCTGATCACGTTTGGCGGGTTTGAATTGGGGGAGGATGTGTTGACGGAGGAGAAGGTGTTACCCGATGGGTGGTACGGGTTGCTCGCGTGCCGATCCGCGGGGGCTGACGCTTTGGGGCGATTACGGCGTATCCGCACGGACAGGTACTACATGCCGGATTTGATCAACGCGGCGGATGTGGTGATGGGGAAATGCGGGTATGGGACCTGCTCGGAGGTCGTGGCGCATAACGTGCCGCTGGTGTATGTGCCGAGATCGGGGTTTGAGACGGAAGAGGAGGGATTGGTGGGGAATCTGATGGGACCGTATGGACATGCTGTTGAGATGCCGCAGACGGACTTTTATGCGGGGAATTGGGCGGGGTATATAGCGAAAGCTGCGGAGTTGCGTGCGCAGCCTGTGAGGGAACAGATTGCGCATGATGGGGAGATTTTGGCTGCAGAGACGGTGGTTGCTGTTGGTAGACGGAAGTTTCCTGGACTGAGGACGTAGGACTTTGAGAATGATGTTCATTGTTTTAGGGACGGTGGTCCCGCAGTGTTGTTATGTGCATGCATCTAATGATTCTATGTAAATTGAGTGTGTTGCTCCACGTCGGAGTTTCCTCGCTCCGCAATCCCATTGCGTTCCTCGTCGTGTGGCCTCCGTCCACTCAATGCCCACCCTCCCCCGTGACCCCCAACGTCACCAAACTCGTAATCATAATCACCACTCCAAAACAGCCCAAAAAGATAGCGCCCGCCCGCTTCGGGTTGAACCGGGCGGGTCGGTCCGACTCCCGGTCTTCTTGTGTGCTGTACTTGTAGTAGAAGAGGCCAGGGAGGATGTAGCAGATTGTTGTGGAGCCGGTTGCGCCGACGAAGGCTAGGACCTGAGGAATAGAGAAAAAATTGGTCAAGATCTCGCGCACGTACGCAATAAGCAGACCGCAGGACATACCGTAGCCAAATTATGCAACACCAACGCCAAAAGCAAGCTGCTTCCCATCAACCCCAACGTCATGGCCACCCAACGAGTCCGCCCAATCTCGCCCGGCAGCGCAGGAACCTCGTCCACCGCGCATCGGTGGGACTGCAAGTTCGTTATTATCTTGTCCAGGGATGCTCGGGCCGGGTGGCATTGGAGCGGGTAGGAGAGCAGGACGAGGAAGACGATGGCGAGCTGGCCGCCTGTTATTAGGGCGTTTGCGGGATCTGGGATGCAAGAATGGATGAGGCTTGGATCTGCGGGTGGCTGGGACACATGCCGACAGAGATCTTACATTGTCCGATGATATTCGACGAAACAGTGTTTCCAAACGTCAGATAGCCCAAAACCGCTACGGTTTGATAGACAAAGAAGGCGGTGCCTACGGATGTGACGACGACTTTCCGCATGCGCTTGTGCTCGTTCTCAATTAGTTCGTTGTACACCGAGAAGATCTAGTGTGCATTCTGGTCTTGTTATGTCCTGTTCCTGGGTAGTACGATGATGAAAGCGAGCTTGGTTCAACACTTACATTCTGATGACCTGGAGATGCAAACTCCGTTAGTCGTCATCTTCGTGTAGTGCTTAATGATGAGCCTCTATCACTCACATGTGAACGCAAACACAAATATAGGAATCACTCCAAAAAAATGGCGATCCAGCTTAAACCACTTGATCTCATCCCAATGCACATGCGGTGGCATTCCCTCTTGCGGAGCGAAGAAGTACGTCACCACGATGAACACAAGGTAAATCACGGAGAGCAGCGCAAATCCTGATGTGTATCGAAGCGAGTCCAGCCGTCTCAAAAAACATAGCGGCGACACCAGCAGGAGGCAGGCGATGAGCCAGAAAGTTTTGCTGAGAAGGAGGGAGTCTGGAGACACTTCTGGATGGAAACCTAGGATAACTCTTGGGAGCTGCATCGTATGAACTTTTATCAGCCACCGTCCACGATGCCGCCAGAGCAAAAGGAACGGCATACCAAGTCTCCACAAATAACAAGATACGATATTGAGACGCCGAAGCACTTGACGGCAATGGCCACGTCAAACCAGACCGCCGCCCCTGGATAGGTTATTTTCGCGCAGGAGTTGAATGAGGACGTCCGCCCGACTTTCGAAGCGATCTCACTAAGGAGAAGTAATCCGAATGCTGCTGCTGTTCCCGATAAGCCAATAAGAACGATACCGAAGCCAAGACCGACGCGCGCTAGTGCTGAGGGCTATGTGCGAAGCGCCAAGAGAAAGCCAGGTTAGGCCCCCATAACGGTCATATGCCGGCTCACAGCGGTTCTCGTGCCTCGTGCTGATTTCCTCCCCTCTCACTGACAAGTGCCAAATAAATCCATACCATGGCCAGCATTCCGCTCCCCAAAATAGTGTTCCCAATGTTGATACACGAGCTCGCAAAAGACCCCGTGGGCTTCCACTCATCATATATCTCAATGGCAACGTCTTCCTCGTCGTCCTCGTCGTCGGCTGCACTAGTGACTGATCGATACGTTCCATAGCTCCTGGTTGGCGATACGCCGGGATTCGAACTCCCTGCGGAGTGGAGAGACTCTGAGGACCGTGGGCGGCGGTCGAGATCGTCTGCTGGTGGCCCGGCTCCGTTTCGAGAGATGAGACTTTCGGAGGAAATACGGCCAGCGGGTGCTGTTGCGGCTACCTTTGCGTAGTCTCGGGGCATTGTTCGAGAGGGTCGCCGTGGGGGTCTGCTGTGGGGGTGTTCCGGTTTACTTCCCCTATATATACAACCTTCGCAATTGCCAAAGTGGAGAGCGAGTTCGCGAGGCCTCCCCTCCGCCTGAAACCAAAACGAGAGCGCGTGTGATGAGAGCATTGATGACTCACCGCCCGCAGTCACCAATTCGTCGCTTCCAACGCTTCCCCATCTCTACCACCATACAGTAACTTCGACATTGCGGCAAAACAACCACCACACACACACACAATGACAAACTCCACCCCCTTCCAACCTCCCTTCGAGCTGTCCTCTTTGCTCCACTCAGGCTACAGCAACCCAACCCTGCGCCAATGGCAGTCCGCGGACGGAAAAACTATCACAAAGAACTCGCTCATTTACCCGGTGTTCATTCACGATAATGTCGACGAGAAGGTCGAGATCGCGTCTCTTCCCAACCAGTATAGGTATGGTGTGAGTTTCCGAGCGATAGCGAGCCCAGTTGCGCCGGAGTCCGAGTGAAGCGAGGCGGAAGAATGCTTGAGGGGTTTCCGAGCGAGGGAGGTGCAAGAATGCCCGAGATTCCGAGCGATAGCGAGCCCAACATCCTCGTCGCGAGCGGAGCGAGCCGAGTATTGTTTGTTGATGGTTGATGGATGGTGGGCTGACGTTCGACAGTTGATGGGTGACACATACTCTTGCATTCCCCCACAGGTTCGGAGTCAACACCCTCAAAGCCCATTTTGCGCCCCTCGTCGCAAAGGGCTTACGAACAGTAATGCTCTTCGGCGTCCCCACCACCAAGCCAAAGGACGGCAGAGGTTCCCTCGCAGACGACCCCGAGGGCCCCGTCATCCAAGCGATCAAATTATTCCGCAAAGAGTTCCCGCAAGTGGTTGTGGCGTGCGACGTATGTTTGTGCGAGTATACGGACCATGGGCACTGTGGGGTGCTGAATGAGGATGGGACGATCAATAATACGCCGTCGATTGGGAGGTTGGCGGAGGTTTCGTTGAATTACGCGAAAGCAGGTTAGCACGAGGTCGTAATTTAAGCGTCGGCAAATTTCTCACACCGGTGGATTGTAGGATGTCAGATAATAGCCCCGTCGGACATGATGGACGGCCGCATCAAAGCCATCAAGCAGATCCTCTACGACAACGGTCTCGGCTCGAAGGTCGCCGTCATGGCTTACGGAGCAAAGTTCGCCAGTGTGTTCTACGGACCATTCCGGTACTGCCTCACTCACCTCTATAACGGCCCACGTAGTCTCGATGTCACTAATCCCATTATCCCTATCCAGTGACGCGGCCGGCTCAGCCCCCATCCAAGGCTCCGGCGACCGTAAATGCTACCAACTCCCCCCCGGCGCCCGGGGCCTCGCGCGGCGGGCCCTCTCCCGCGACGTAGCCGAGGGCGCCGACATGCTGGTCGTCAAGCCCGCATACCCGTACCTCGACATTGTGCGAGACGCAAAGGAGCTGTGCCCGGATCACCCGATTGTGATTTATCAGGTGTCGGGGGAGTATGCGATGCTATGGCATGCGGCGAAGGCGGGCGCGGTGGATTTAAAGGCGGGGGTTTTGGAGAGTTTGGAGTGTGCTTTGAGGGCCGGTGGGTATCTCTACGTGGGGTTTGACTTGACTTCCGCGACATGACTTCAATGCTGATCGGTTCTCTCCTTTCATACAGGTGCCAACATCCTCATCACCTATTACACACCCGAGCTCCTCGACTGGTTGGAGCAGTAGCGCACGGGAATGTAGTTCAACATACCATAGCATCGCCAGATTTTGGGTTCATCTCTGATTCGAATGTAGCCAAAGGCCGTGAATTTATTATATAGAGTAACATACGCCATCTTTATGCTAGCCTTAACGCGCTGGTGGGGCTATCAACACTACGACCTGAATTACGAGCTTGAATCGGCCTTGCACTGCTAGCTACGCTATTCCTGTCGCGGGCAGACCCGCCGTTTACCTGTCCAACAATTTCTCATGCTCAGCGAACCTGTTTCCGCAGTACAGGCAGTGCGCGATCTGCTGAAGGACGAGGTTTGCGAGCTCAGATGGTTGATTAGCTGCGTTGAGGTAGGGTATAAGCCTGATGCACATCATGCCAGCAAGAAGGAAGAAGAAACAACGTACGTGCAGCGAGCTTCCGTCCACACCCCGTACACGTCCGCAACCCAACCGCTCCCAACGTCGATATCGTCGCCGAACACCGTGCTAAGAACATCAACGTGACATCATCAGCACACACCGCCCAAACCCACAGAATCCACAAACAATCACATACTCCAAACATGCCCAGCCGCACAAACCCCCCTCTCAATCCCCGCCAACCCCACCATCTCCCCACACGCAACACACGCTTCTCTCGCGGGCAGCGCCTCACTCCCTGTACCGCCTCCGGAAACTAGGGCCCGTTCGAGGTCATCGGGGTATAGGGGCGTTGCGCGATTCCTGAGTTGGGTGCAGCAGTCTGCGAAGGCGCTCAGCGTGCTCTCGTCGTGGGATTTGGATAGGCAGAGGGTGGCGTAGGCGTCGGTGAGGAGGCCGATTTGGGTTGTGTCGTGGTCTGATTTGAGGGGTGTGAGAAGTGGGCAAAACTTATGGGCGCTGGCGGAGGATTGGTCTTACCGGTCAGTGTGTCGGTATTGGAGACGTAGGCTTTCAGGAGGTGCATGGTTTGAGAGAGGTAGTAGGCGGTTAGTCGATGGCGGACGCTGAGTTGTGATGCTCGAAGGGATGCGGTGATTTCCTTTGATATCGATTTAGCCTGGGCCTAGTGGAATGGGTAAGGGATGAGTGCCTGTTATTCTCCGTGAGTGGTGGTGATGACCCACCAGTAGATGACCGATAAAGTAATCTTGGAGCCGCAACACGTTAATCTTCGGGTTGCCGAAGAGTGCTTTGCGATAGCCGTTCAGTCTATAGTAATTTGCATTCAGCGTTGTGTACGAGATCCCCACAAAAAACGAAGTGATAGGCGCATCAACGAGGGCAGCAACCTACACTGCATCATCAGCACTCGGCGCCCTCGCGCTAACATTCCGCCATTCCCGAATAAGATGCGAGTCGTCGTACGAGTCACAAAACTCATTGAACGCCTTTTGCGCGAGAGACGTAAATGTATCTCCCGGTTGAGACCATTGCGCGATATCGGCTAGGCAGTATTGGATGATGTCCCATAGTATGTAGGATGATGAATGGGATGTTACTGCGGAGGTTGCGCTTGGTCAGCTGATTTGGGGCGATGACATGTACATGCAAATCGGAGAGCCAGCCTTACAGGTATCTGGCAAACGCAGCAGTTTGCTGAGCTGCACAATGAGATCCTTCTCGAAATCCTCCACGCCTTGCGCGTAAACAGGTCGGACGGTCACAAACGATATAAGACGGTTCGCGGTGTGGTATACAAAATCGTTTGGCGAGGCCGTGCTATGCACAACCATTCTGTCAGCATCCCTGGATCGAGCGCGCATACACTTGATCAAAAAGCCCTTACTGGAAAACAACAGCATCAAACAACCCATTCGCAGATGACGCTGCCCCAAAGATCCGGATCTGCTGCCCCTGTCTCGGCTGACTCTCCTCCGCGTCATTATCTTCCGCCGCATCCTCCTCTCCATCTGCGTTGTCGTTGCTGCCGAGTTGCAGGAGATCCTCATACAAGTCGTCGGTGCTCTCGTCGATTATCCCTAGCCGCTCGGCGGCGCCTTCTTTGATGGTGGAGACGGTGAAGCAGCGGCCGTCGACGGTGAAGACGCGCATTTCGGAGGCGTCCATTCCCCAGACTACGCCTGGTGTGTGTGGTATGTTGTTAGAAGTTTCTCCCAAACTCGGACGAGCACAGCGTCGTCTATTCCCCATGTGAGCGCATGGATTGTGCTACGCACCGGCGATGGACATGATCTTCGGAAATGCCAGGCTCAACGTGCGGCCCTCGCTCGTTGCCATCAGATCTTTCGCAGCAGGCGGGAACCAGATTGTCAACGTGCGGCCTTTACAGATGGCAACGCATTCTCGATCGGTCTGCGCTTATAACGTCGTAAGAATGTCGATATCTGGCAGTGACGAGGTTGGGGTTCCTTTTTCTCACCATTCCCCTCTGAGTTTGCACGAGGGTAACCGTCCTCCCATCATTCTTGTGCAGCGCTGAGACCAGCCTCATGGTGCAGGAAAACATGTTTTCCAGGTCGATGATAACTTGCCAAACGGACACGGTGCCATCGGCTGATGCGACGGTCAGGTACGAGGCTGCGAACCGAAAAGGTTCTCAGCCCAACGTGGAACCGAGATGGGACGTTTTCTATCGAGCAAAGCACGTACAGATCTGGCCGTCGTCCATCGTTTGCCATGAAGACCAACTGAGTCGGCTGACCCATCCGCTCTGCACAGTCTCCAACGCCACTCGCGATATGGAGACCCCTTTTTGGTTGCTGAACCTATGACCCTTTCTTTCAGCGAATGCGGGATTTGCGTCGAAGCACAACAGAAATATGCACCTCCATAAGCTCACAGATCCATCTTTGGCCCCCAATGCGATTATCCCAAATGGTTCTTTGTCGGGCGAAGGACAACATGGTGACCAGGCAATCGCTGCGGTGCCATACATCCTTAGTATTGCGCCATCTCTGATTCATTTGTCCATAGCATAATAGTATCTCACATTTTATGGATAGCTGATTGAGCTCTTCGACCGTCAGCTCATCCAGGCCTCGATCTCCCGATAATTCCGCCCGGTAGAGGGCACTCAAATCTTGTAACTACCCTCAAATGAACGTCAAGATTTGACGCGACTTGATTGAGAGAGACTAGATCGAACCTGCTCCCAGGATGAAATTGCAGGATCCGCATTTGGCTGCCAGATAATGACAGAATACAGCGTCGAGACTGTTGCTAACAAGCAGCTTCAAATGAACCATGGTAAGTCGGAAAGGGGCTCGGCAGCCAGATTGTAGGTCCGCCGCGCATACCTACCCCCCCAAATCTGAGAAACCACTTGGCGACCAAACAGCTTGATTGAAGCCATCTTTCCAAACTTGCACGGCTTTTATGTCCTCTGCTCAGCGATTTAGTCAGTGTCGCATCCGCGTTCATATGCGTTCCAGACGGCGGAATACCATCTTCAGCTAAAAGCAGCAGTTTCAGAAACGCGCTGTCCTTATTATTTCCTGAGGGATTGCTGATTGAGGTGCGGTGGTACTCAAAAGAATCCTCGGCCTGATGCGGAGTCTACCGGTCCCTGAGAAAGTTAGTCCGATCCAGGGAATTGAACCACCTGTGCGAAACCGTTTCTGTGGATTCTCTAACCAGCAGGAATACAAAGGACAAAGTGGTTACTGCGAGCTGGTTGTCGTCTGACCACGCCAGACTATCAGCAGTGTTCGGACGAGTCTTGAGGACAGCTGTGCCTGTTGACATGTTGGTCGGCCTCCACTGTGTCCTCGCAAACGGCCTGTGGGAAAGCCATTTCGTCTTTGTCCGAACCCTCTTTCCTGTTGACGCGCTCGTCAAGAATCCCGTAGTGTGCCGCCCATTCACGGGAGGAGCTCACTCAGAACCCATAATACCGTAAAACGAGTCCCATACGAACGGCGCTCAGGAGTCAGCAACCCCAACTTCGCTTGGAACATGCATGGGAGTCATAGATACCGGGTCTTCTTCTCTACTTGAAAAGTAACTCAGTTGTTCCAGCGAGTAGACAAATATAGTAGGCAAAACACACGTAGCAAAGTTTCCCGGTTTGCACCGAGTTTACAACCAGAAAGCGAAGTCCACATGAATGGAATACCCAACGAGCAAGTAGGTATCCAAGGAACCAGGATGAACGACGATGAAGCAGCGCCTTCCGGCCCGGGTAGCCCATTCGTTCGAGAGTCCACGCCGATGTTCACCATTTATCGCGACTCGGCCACGCACCGCTTCCGTCGCTACTCCGGCGACGAAGACGACGACGACGAAGAGGACTATCAACCGAGCACCCCCAAAGCAAAGCCGGTTCATAAACGACATGCCGCCAAACCCATTCCTATACAAAGACCCTCGTCCGCTCACAGCAGACTCTCTATGTCGATGGAGTCGACAGGCGCTTTCGGCCAAAATCGTATCGGATCCCCTTTATTTCAAAGCTATCGGCCTTCTATATCGACGGGTCTGCTGGGGTCTCGTCGTAATTCAGATGGAATGCTTATGGATGATCAAGGAGGTGATGCGGATGCCATGGCACTGGACAGAACACCCCGGAGAGACTCCAAGCGTCACTCGCTCTGTGGGAGGTCACTGTCCCGAATAGCCGCCCTTCTGAAGGTACGGGTCTTACTTTGGCGGGAATCGTGAATGCGAAGTTGCTGACGTTCTCTTGAACACACCAGGATGAAGCAGACCCTTTGGACAAGGAGATTGCACACGAGCGCGCCATCAACACCAGCAGTCTCTCCCTTCCACCGGTTAGCTCGGAGGACACCGATGACATGATAGATGACATATCGCCTGATTTGCCGGGAGGCACTTTTGAACCTGCAACACCACGTCATACCAGACCTCTTAGCATCAACACAAGTGATTTCAGCCGGGTACGTTTTCAGATGCTCAATCTTCGAGTCGCTGGGCTTCAAACCTGACCAAATCACGCTCCCTTTAGCAGCCTTCCACACCCGAGGACGTTCACCCGGTGACGGTCCGCACTGTCGCCATCCCGAATTCAGCGCTGAAAGATCCCGCTACCTATGTTTCGCATTCATCCAAATTGAATCCTGAAAATAATGTAAGCTGGTGAACGAATGTTCTTAGGTTGATCCTGGTTTCTCACACTTGCTATTTGTCTACATTTCACAGTTTGCGTCGAAGCATCACGATATTATGGTGGCCTCCCCCTGCCTTTCACCCATTCATCCTTCGATGATATCAATGTCACCAAGTGCAGTAGACAGGAAAGGGAAAAGAAAGCGTACGTTCCATAACCATGGTTGCATTGATTCGGACTTGCGTTTACTGACTTCTACCAGTGTCAACAGTCTCCACGGACTCGGATCGGTTTGAACCATATAAGCGCCATCATCGCATGCCAGCATCGCCCACTCTTCATTCGCCCACCATAGGTCATCCCTCCACGTCATCCGGCAACGCCAGTCTGAACGGGGCATCGTACTTCACATCTCCGGCGCCTGCGACATCAAGGTCGACAGGGGGAACCCCTCCGCCGTTTAGCCTGCCGATACCCCTGGTCTTTCAACGTCAACGATCACCGTCGGTCTCCAGCGCTGCATCAAGCGGAATTGCTGCGGCATCAGCGATCCCGAACTGGGCTACCGGCTTTGAACGGGCGTCGTCTGCTTCTTCTTCAATGTCATCTTCATCAATGGGAGTCACAGCGCAACCTCTATCGGATGCAGTGGCCGGTGGCACAGCAATGACACCGCAGCCACAGCACTTGTTCATGTCGGGGTCGAACTTGCAACATATCTTTCAACAAGGCAATACGGCACACCCTCTGGTCATTGCTAGTCCAAGGGCTATGGGACAGCGACTTAATCTCACCGGCACGCAGGAAGGCTTCACGAAAATGAGTATCGCCGACCCGTAACGCATCTTCGACACCCAAGCCAGCCTCCAGATCCGCTCACCTTCGCTCGCAATATACATTTTCAAATCCCTCACATAGCCGATATATGGCGTCTCTGTTTCTAATTCGGTGATTTGGTTTATAGTAGATACCCGCCAAGGCTCAAAGCTCTGGCATTTTTTTTGTAAATACATAGTTGTTGTTGTTTCAATCCGACGTCGCCTTCAGGCGTATATGAACTTCAGTTCCTTCGCAGTCTCCGGAGCTCTGTCTTCAGCTGCCCCTCGTTCGTAAAACGCGTGCCCCTCAGGTGCCCCTTGTCTGCACGGAAAGTCCTTGCGCAACCATACCGCGAAACGAGGACTGTTGAAGAACATCACGCTTGGTCTTTGCAGCGAAACGCAGGGGGAAGCGGACACAGGGAGTTTGGGTGCTATGTCCTCATCTTTGGTCAAAAACTCAGGTTCTGCATCGTAGCATGGTTTCGGACCAGTTCTCGGACGCTCTGGACGAAATGGACGTGGACACGCTGCCAGCCCCCGTCACCACGCTGGACACATGCGAGAGATCAATACGCCGGAGGTCTCTCCCTCCATTACCCAGCACGGCAGAGCTTTCAGAAGGAGAGTCGTCACAGCGCGGACGCGTAGCAACTACCGGTCGCAAGCGGAAAACGAGCGTTCTATCTCAACTCACCAGGGAAACCAAGCTAGCCAAAGAGCGGGGCTCCCCAGCTCCCAGCAGCAGCAGACCCAAGCGGCTCCCGTTCGCCGACCTAGCGAACTACGATGATATCCTCTGCGACCTGCTGGTCGACTCCCTGCACCTGGGGTTCAAAACGCATAAAATGAACGGCGATTTTTATTGCCCCGACGCTTCACCGCACGGTGGCGTTGATGTTTTGGATGCCCCGAGGAAGACGCCCGGGTTGGAGAGGGAGCAGAGCGATACGGAGGCTGTTGCGGCGGCTGTCATTGATATCGTGAGGAGATATGTCATTGATGAGAAGAGGCTGGATTTGGCTGCTCAGGCTCTGTTGACGTGCATAACCATTCCGGAGGATGGTTTTAAAAGGTGGGTATTGCGAAATATCATGCAGAGAGGGGTTCCGCTCGGCAATAACTCCGCCTTGATAGTTTTGGTACCATGTCTGAGGCGCTTCAACGATCCTTCCAAGTTTTCGTGCCCTTCTTCCGTGGGAAAACGCCTGAGCAATTGCAGGACTTCACAGAGTAGGTGGTTGCATGCTGGCTAGTCAATCTCCGCAATCACTTATCCGCACATCGCAATCTAGTCATGCGGGACGGTACTTCGGAATGTATCACCCAGCCGCGGGGTATGAAGTAGCACAGACCAACCGATACGGCAGCTCAGGGAAGGTGGAAGCGTGTCTACGAGCGACACGCACCTTCGCGGTTGGGGATGAGATGCGATATTGCACCGGGGTCATCGCCGAACTGGATCAGAGCGAGGAGGCATATCTCACCGATCGAGACTTTAGCGTCATGTTCTTGACAAAGAAGGAGTGCTCTTGCTTGTTCCTTGGCCCGGCGCGGTTCATGAACCATGATTGTGATCCCAACGCCAAGGTACCGATGTATCTCTGGCTGACCGCTATGAAAGTGACGTATCTCACACGAAGAATGTGATCGAATAGTTCATCATTCTGAGCCTGAAACGGAATCTCATCGGCTTCAAGGTGCTGAAACCGATCGAAGTTGGAGACGAGATTACTACTTTTTATGGCGAGAACTACTTTGGAGAAAACAATAAGGAATGCCTATGCGGAACTTGTGAACGGTGCGTTTCATATCGGCGGCCAGATGCAATATGGGTATGGGCTAACCCGTGAGACAGATTGCACAAGGGAGCTTTCACCAGGCACGACGCCCTGCGCGAGATATTACCCGATGGGGAATACGAGCTCCCCATGATTGCCAAACTGAGGAAGAACTCGGCCCGCTCGCACACGTGGTCATTCGAGCAGAACTTTGATTCCGGAACTGACTCTGCTGATAAGAAAAAGGATAAAGATGACGCTAACGTGCCCAAATGCGCAACCTGCAATGAAGGGCTCCTTGCGCTCAATGCAACTCCGGAAACGGACTGTCAACGGTGTATGCGCCATGGTGAAATTTTCGGCGTACGGTGGCCGAATAGGAAGGGAATAAGACGGTCGACCACCACCAATGTGAGTAAATGTGGCAACTTGTCACATGCTTGTATTCCTCCTGAATTTGGGCCTGATCGCTTCTCGGTTTTCTCTCTGGCTCGTACAGGCCTTGGAAGAGGCCAACGTCAACTCGAGTACGGAAGACTCTGTCACTGGCAACACGACATCCATGTCTGATGTGGAGAACACAGAAGGTGAGGCGTGAGCTCGTCTCTCGTTGTAAATTTGTACTTATGTTGAAGTTTTATTGTGCACAGACACTCCTGTTGCGAAAAAGCCGCGGAAACGAGGCCCACGGAAAAGGAAGAAGGTGAGCTACCATTCGAAGGCGCTGACCAGGGCCCAAATGCTGACGACGCTCGTTATGAATCTCAGGAACCTTCCGAGCCCGTCGTCGTGTTGGATCCTCCAGGAAAACTGGTCCCCGACGGTGAGTTTTGATACCTCGTCGGCGCCTCGGAATGGAACTAACTTCGGATGCAATATAGAGTTCCATCCTCATCTGGTGCTAGTGGATCCGGGCGATGATAGTGTGCCTTATTGGTGGCCTGCACTAGTGAGTTCGACCCCCAAAATGTATCGTTAGTATCCTAGCTAACTTTTGCTCTCCAGGTGGTACCGACCGCCAAGCTGACCAGGACTATGCCGAAACCCGAGGAGCCACAACAGCGACTTGTTACCTTTATGGAAGACGCCTCCTAGTACGTAACGATATCATCAACTCGTTATCGGCTGGTATGGGTATCTCATGATTATCGCACTTGCAGCTGGGTCGCTGAGCCTGAGGAGATGAGGTTACTCGTCAAAGATGAAGAGCCTTTCCTGACCTTCTGGAAAGATCCAAACTTCCAGAAAGACCGTGGCGTCATTAATGCTATGCTGTTGCTCGAGACCGGGAAGCTCCCCAAAGGAATCAAGCAGGAATCGTGGGCTCGGAAAGCGTGGTCGCAAAAGGACATCCAGCGTACCTCGGAAACAAATACTCCAGCAACGGTATAAATTCTGTGACGCATATTCTGCAATGATCAATCCCTGCTAAACTCTTGTCTACGTCTACATAGGCCCGGAAAAAGAGATCTGCCTCTGAAATCGATGACACTCGGACGCCGGACTCGAAAAATTCGAAAAAGCGACGCGTCTCTTACGGTACTACCCCACGAAAGAAACCGGAGCAGACGGTTGAGGAGACTCCGCTAGACAGTACACGCAAACCTGGCAAGATCGGGCGCCCGCGGAAATCTTCATTGGCGACTCCGTTCGTGGCAGTAGAAGGTGCGTGGGCTGATTATTGCATCTACTATCCCTATTGCGCTCAGTACTCACATCATCTCCATCGACAGAGAGTCCGGAGAACGTCCATATTGACATTGAGGCGTGTAGCACGGTAGAAAACTCGCCGTCCAAAGATGATGGACGCCATACGAAAAGCGCACCGGCAACTGTGTCGCGAGATCCCGTGCCTGCAATTCAGGCATCGTCTAGCACGCGTGGCAGTACAGGAAACATGCGACGTCCGCCCACAGAACGACCTCCTCCGCTGGTTCGAAAACGTCCACGTAGGGTTCCTGTTGGCACGTCATTCATTAAGCCAGGGGCTGTAGCAGCTACGGCAAAGGCAAAAGCTAAGGATGAGGAGACGGGTCAGAAGCCGAGCCGGGACACACTGCCCAATTCGGTGGACGACAAGGAGATGATGGAAATTGATGTAGTGAACGACACATCAACAGAACTACATCGCAATTCTCTTCTGGTGACGGAAACAACGGAGCTCATGGCCTCAACGGTCATCATAAACGGTGATTTAGAAGTCCCCAACGCTCCGACCTCAGTTCCGTCAATCAGCAGGATGCACGCGTCGGTAATTAGCACTGGTTTCACCTCGACCTCCTCGCTATCGTCATTGGAAATGTACTCCGATTCTGACGACGACGAAGACGTTCCCCGAGACGGCTACGACAGCCCCGAAGCGGCTCCAGAGCCATCCCGCGATGCACCGCCAGGGGAAGTCATGTCGGACAGCGTGCCGGTTTGTGATAAGGCCGTGATTGATGAAACGAGCATGGAGTGCGATATAGATATAGATACCCCGGCTGCCCATGAACCCGGATGTGAAGAGGCGCCATCCAGGCAACCGATACCACAGGATCACGTTGCGGGTTCCAGCGCAGGCATGTCCGACGGCCGTAGCGCGCCGGCCTCGGAGAGCGATAAGGTGATAGACGATGGAACGAGTATGCAATGCAATGTCGATACGGCGACCGCCGCTGAGCTCGAAGCCAACGAGAAATCGATCATACAGCCAATACCGGAGGCTCGGCCATCTGAACCCTCACACGAGTGTGCTATGGATGTATCGAATGGCGCTCGGGCTAACCTGCCCGGTATGCCCGAGCCGGGGATACAGAGTGATGCGACAATTGGCCTATCTCACATACACGCGCTTCAAACGGCCCCCGCTGCATCGTACGATATGCTCAGCGCAAGCACGTGGCTATCCGATATCCTTGTCTCGCCACGGCGGTCGGTGCCCTCATTACGCAATTTGGCGATGGTTGCATTCAGGGCGAGCAATCCGTTTATGACTGAGCAAATTCCTGTGGGAAGCGCGCTCGCGGACGAAGCCAAAAGCGGCATGCAGGCCCTTTTAGAGCCAGTTGCCAATAGAGGGCCTGCACAGCGGATGGAGGGGTCAGACGCAGAGGAAGCAGACCAAGTGGACTCGGACGAAGAGGAATTATGCGGATTTGTTTCACTGCCGGCGTCAATGCGCGTATCGACGACGAGTGCGTCCGCCCTGAGCCATCTGTTTATGCCAACGCCACGAAGCTGTTTGGAAGATTCGTTGGCGGACGGAGCCCGTCCGGTGGCCGCTACTCATCTGGGGCCTGCACAACCAACGGAGGTGTATTTCGAGGCGGAGGAGTGGGGCCGCGCCACCCGTGTGGAGCCTGCACAGCCAATGGAGGTGGATTCCAAGGCGGAGGGGTCGGACCGAGAGGGAGACCGTCCAGTAGCCGCTACCTATGTCGAGCCTGCACGGCCGGTGGAGGTAGATTCCGAGGCGGAGGAGTCGGACCGAGCGGGACCAGGCGCAGAGGCACCCAAATCGGACGCAGATTCCGACACGCCATTCGAATTGGAAGACGAAACGACTGCACAGGCGTCCGAGGAGGAAATAGGACCTTCATCACTGGTGTCAGACTCGGATGATGAGGAGGAGCTGCAGATCGATCCCAAGCCCACCCTCCAAGCCCATCCGAACACGCACGCATATGCCCTGGAAGGCCGTCAAGACACCGACCTATATGTCTCGGTCCCCTTCAAGATCAACCTGCTTGAATGCCCCGGCTGCCGCATGGATCTTATGAGCATAATAACGCAACAGGGCGTGGACCACCACTGTCAGCTGGTCGTCCGGGCGCCGGTGGCTACAGTGGGTCAGAAAATGTAGGTTTTTTTTCGGTCGCTGTTCCGGGCGCACGTGCCACGATTGGGGAAACCCTGTATTCATTTTTTTTCCACAACCCTTTTCCCCTCTGTATCTCAACGCAATAGTGACGGCGTATTCGTCCCGTTCGCGCCACATCGCCAACTTCCGCGAATGGCTCCAGCTGCCGGGATAGAGATGGGCACGCGTATGCAAGACCGCACATGACTTGGGTTGGGTCGGATTACGCCAACCTTTCGTCTCCTTCTCTGATGTTAGCCCCCTTACCCCTAATGAGAACGATCGAGTGCACGGAAAGTACAAGAAAGTACATATATAGAGCACAAAAAAAGGCCGGGTGTGGCAGGCAGCGTTTCAGGTGGGGTACTTAAACTCTTTATAGCTGGACTCTGAATACGTACAGAACAGATTGTGTAATATGAGGGGGCATGCGCTAAAAACCTATATGCGTATTATGACTGAATAGTGCCGACAAAACGTATACCATGACCATGAAACGAGCAACCTTCGACTTCCAGTAACTGAGGCTTTGTATTCAGAAAATGATTGAAGCATTACACGTAGAAATAAGGGGATGCAGAGAACAAAAATAAACACACCGATATGGTACACGGAGTAAGATCACGACGAAATTTGGGAAAGAGCCAAGCACAATGCTAAGATACTCAATATATAAGGGCAGTAGAGCAACAACGATCAAGCCAACTGCTGTACGGCCCTCGCATCCTCCCTGCTGCAGGTAGCAATATGGTTCCTTAACAGAGCAATCTGGCTCTCCATGGATCCCAACAACCTAACCGCATCCAGCTGGCACATGCGCTTAACCCTGTGCTGGAACATGCCCAGGTCCACTTCCGGCGACGAAGCGATGGTGAAAGGGTCGAACGGCGACGGCGACGAAGACGATGTGGTGGAGTCTTGGTTGGACTCGATGGATTCGCGGCGGCGCTTGAGGGACGGGTTCGTCGTCATTGGCGTGGCGGACGTGGAGGAGGGGTCGAGACGCGCGGTGATTGCTTCTGCGAACGCGTGTTGCATGGCGAAGGCTTCCGTGGTGTACGTTTGGTGTGGCTTGTGGATACCAGACGTGTTGTTGATGGACACGACCTTGACCATTGCTCCGGCGTCCTTCCGCAATGCAGCGGCGCTCGGCATAACCACAGCGTAGTCGGTGCCGTTGGCGGTGGAGACAATGGACAGCTCGACCGAAGAGGAGGTCTTCTGGCGGATGTTCGATGGGCGGTGGCATTGATACTGCTTGTAGTATAAGCCTAGAAAGGAAGGACAAGCGGTTGAGAAAAAGGTTCAACGTCGGGCGAGGTTGATCAAGGACAGGGTACATACCACATGCGTTGCACAACGGATGCTGCCTGTCAGCAGTGCGACGCCACAAGGGCGTCCGACTGGTCTTGCAGTTGAAGCAGATAAGGTTGCGAGTGTTTTCGCGGATTTTCTTGCGCTCAGCCTTTGTCAACTTGCTCATGTTGATGGGCGGAATGACCTGGAGTTCCGGTAAAGGGATGTCCACACTTGCGGAGACATTCTCGGGTCGGTTTGCGTTCGCCTGAAGCATCGACTGCGTCACTTGATGCTGATCCACCAACTGCTGGGCAGCAGAGGCTACAGCACTTACAGTGGTTGCAGCGGAAGCATTGCTGCCCAAGGGCATGGAAGGCTGCGGGAGGCCCGAGTCTCCATCGACCATGGGCGGCAGTGAGAGCGCCCACTGGTTGAGCATCGGCGCGAGCGTAGACCCATCCGGTATCTTCATTCCAGATGCGTTCAAGGTCAATCCCAAGGTGTTGTCCGTGAAGCGATGGTCAGATGTCCACTGATATTCTTCAATCGGCGGAACATACTTTCCGTCAGGAGACAGAGGAGTGTAGAAAGACGTACTGTAGCTGGCGTTGTCGCCACCCGGCACGATGTCACCAGCCAGGTCGGAGAAGAGAGGTAACTCGGCGAACTTGCTTGACGACGGCGAGGGCGCCGAGTCCTCAGATACCGGGCTGACGGGTTCAAACCCGCCAGGCATCCAGTTCTGAGATGCCTCCGAGTTGAGAGGGGTCCCTGGGTAGTTACCCGTCGGGAAGAGTTGCTGATCTAGCATCTGCCAATCGGCAGATCCGTAGAACGAGAAGGTAGGGCTGCTGTTGTTGTCCATATTCGGGAATGAGATGATTTGCGATGGTAGTGGATTTCTTTCGCTGAGGATCTGTAAGATCCTTTCCGTTCGTGTGTTTGAGACTGCGTGCGTTGAAGCTTCGTGCGGTATTGAATAAGGTTGCTTTATTCGCTAATGATGGAGAGCGACAAGATTCGGCTGTTCGTCCGTTTCGAGTCAGATTGTAGTTGGCTGTTTTGGTTCAGGTTATGTTCGTTCGATATTGTAAACGTTTCGGTTTCGCACGGGGTTCTTTCAGTCGCAATCGCAGCCAACGTGTTCGCCGGATACAGTGAAGAAGAAGTAAGCCATTTGAGAAAATATAAGAGTATTGAATAGTTAGGTTGAAAGGCGTCAGGCTCGGATCGAACAGTATCCGAGCTGATAATAATAAGGAATAGAACGGCGATATGTGAATCCCCGAACAAGAAGGAAGGGTTTAGTTGGAACAGGCTTTGCGGCTGCTGAGTCCAAGCTGTCGAATGCTGGTGCGGAAGAGAACCGGAGATAGGGTTGCGGAATCCAGTGTGGGAAGAAGTAAGCGTTGCGCCTTTGCGGGCAGCTACTCGTCGAAGAGCGTGTGGTTGCGGGTTGCAGCGGGCGGGCGGGCGGGGGGTGGTGCGCTCACTACTGCTGTTGTCTGCGTCTCTCTTCTGTTTGCGAGGCACTCTGAGTTTTCCCAGTCCGTCGCTGGGCGGTGGGGATGAACGGGAAGAAGGAGGGAGGGTGACCCTGTGTGGGCGGCTATGCTTTTGGGAGGGAGTGTGTGTGTGTGGGGGGGGGGGGGGGTTGTTGGGGTGCTATCCTATCGCAGGTTGCGCCCTCCCACTCTTGATTGCGATGAGTCCTAATACTGTTCTGGGGGACTCCCACCACGGGTGCGACGCTGATGTCCGTCCCATAAGACTCCCCATTACTAAACCGCACAAAATACTTGCATATGATTGGCAACCCACGCGCCTGGGGGCTGCTGCTGGGTGCGTGTTCCGTGTACTCCCGCCGCCTTCATTAGTACTGTGTGTGGAGAAATCGTGGGGAACAAGGGACCCATCCCCCGCGAAGAAAAACACACATGCCTCAGCTCACCGTCACGTGATCCCTCCAATACCTTCGACATTCGATCGACTCTGTATGTGCGGTGCCAGAAGAGAACCGAGAGAGATAACATAAGATAGTACAGTACAGTACCAGAAGGTGTAATTCCACTGTTAGATATGTGTTTGTGAGGTAAGCATGCGCGTGAGACTTTCCTCCATCAGAGGCTGTCGAATTTTGACGCTCGCTCTCTCCCTCACCTCTCTATCGCCCACCTCTCTCACCCACCTCCCTCACCCAACGACCGTCGAACTCCGATAATACGCCCTCACCGACATGTCAAGCCACAAGCCCGGTGCCGTGCGGCTTCCGCTACCGCCGGGAAGCGGCCCTCGAGGGATTATCGGGGACGGGAACTGCCAGTTTCGCGCGCCTGCATTCTGCCTGCGGAGCAACCAACAGCAACACGGCGACGTCAGAAGAGCGCTCATTGAACAGATGGAGGCGGAGGCTGATGGACGGCTTAAGTATCGGGATGCGTTTGACAGGACCTTACTTGCCGCTCAACAAGAAGATCACGGGTATCAAGGGGACGGTCAACCGCTGAGCTTTGAGCATTTTCTTGAGGAGATGGGGAAGGGTGGCATGTGGCGACGAGACCTTACGCTGCGTGCACTGGCTAACCTTTACCTCGTCAACTTCGGTGTGTTCATTGCCCAGACGGATGGAGGGGGGCTACTACTTCCATAAAGTCACGCCGGAAATGGGACCTGCGGCCAGCACATACTTCCTTATCTTTGATGGGAATCACTACGATGTGCTGGTCAAAAAAAGCACTGGGGACCCCATTCAAGCCTTGGACAATGTGGACGATGGGTGGGAAACAGCGCACGGGTATCGCGCAACGAAAGCATCGAAGAAGCGCCGCGTAAGTTCCGACACAGAACCTGAAAACGCCTGTAGAGCTAAGCGCCTGCCGCAGACAACACTGCAGACAACGGTATCCCATCAAATGCTCGACAACGCCGACAAGCCGCAGAAACCGCTCGAACCAAGCTATGGCATCTTTTTGGTATGGGCAACGGCAAAGAACACGGAGAGGACCTTGGGAATTGCTCAGATCCCGAAGAAATACAAACTCGGTCTACCTCTGCAATGGAGTTGTCTGATTCCGACGCAATTCAATCCGAATCCGAATCCGACGTTGGAGGAAGCGACTTTGCTGATGTTGAAATGTCCAACATGGAGGCTGGTATCCACACTCCCCTGGATGAGGATATGCCGGATAACAGTTTGGCGTGCGATGATGAATCACTGGTTAGTTGGCTGATTGACATTGGACTACGTTTCATTTCCTGACATATGGAACATATACTCAGGACAAGAGACAGAAGCGACTTCAGAGAAACATGCGCCAACGGGACAAGCGTGCAGTTGGTAAACGGGGACGGATTGAGGCTCCCTTTGTATGTATGTATGTATGTATGTATGCACATGTATGTGCATGAACACTCTAATCTCTTCCTTGACAGCCCTGTTCTAATTGCTATCGTCCTGCCGCGTGTAATTTGTCGGTTTGAGGGTGCAGGCGGCGTGTATTGCGAATGAGGTGTGCGGAGTGTGCGCGGTGCCCGTTGTGCGTGGTCATTCTACATACGTCTGCCTGTCCACGAAGAGATGGGAGGCAAACATGACACCCTCCCACTCTCTCCAGATCGCTTTCCTTCCATTCCCGTGCGTGAGATGAATCCTCCTTTCATGCGTCATTCACATCGTGAAGCGAAGGAATGCGAGACGTCGAGGAGCGTAAGGACGCAGCGCAATTATGCCCCGAGGTGAAGCGCCGTTCGAAACGGGCAGTGATAGGTGCCTCAGTTCTCCGTCTCACTCGCCCGCCCCCCGCCTTTCCACCCAGAAAGCGTGACTGCAGTCCACATGGCTAAAGTCCCACCCCCGCAACCCCAACCACCGTCTCCATCCTCCCGGTCCCTCCGTGCCTTCATGCCATGAAGCCGTACTGGCTAACCCCTTCATATATCTACTTCGCCGGCGACTCGACCCCAATATCGGTATTAGCTTCTTCCCACTTCTTCCGTCGTTCGCGCGAGGATTTTAGGCTTGAGCGTTTCTTGCCGATGTACTATGGGGAGTGGGAGAGGTGGGAGAGGCAGGGGAGTGTGAGATAGATCCGTGGGAAGATGCTCCCCTTCCCGTCTTGTTGCTTTTATCCGGAATCCCCTTCTTTTCCACTTCCTTATCGTTCTCACCCCAACCAGACTCCAGACTCCTCGGAACCCCAACGACCTGCCCGCCGTATTCCCCCCCTCCCCGTCATTCTCTTTCAGAACATACCTCCTTTCTCAAACATTTCTCCAGCTCCTCTTTGAGCACGTCGCAGCGGCCCAGCAAGCGGCCCCATAGGTTCTCGCGGTCTACGCAGGCGCGGAACTTGTCGCTGATGGCTACGCAGGGTTCTGGGAGGGTCATGTTTGGGGGTGACTGGTGGTGGTGGTGGTGGTGGTGGTGGTGGTGGTAGGGTAGTGGGAGACGAGGGGGATGGAGGGAGTGAGACTGGGAAACGGAAGTTACTGTAACTTCTCCTAAGGCGCCTCCCCACCCCCACCCCCACCGACATTGCGGAAATCACCTCCACAGCGGACCCCCCGACACCCCCACAAACACTACTGCCCACTCGCTGTTTCAGCACTCCAACAATGGCTCCCCAACCGAAAATATCGCCCTCAATGCTCTCCTCAGACTTTGCCTGTCTCGCCGACGAGGCGAAGCGCATGGTCGGCTGTGGCGCTGACTGTCTTCATATGGATATTATGGATGGGTGAGTTGTGGGGGGTGTGAGGGGGATGCGGGCGTGGTAGGGCGATGGGGAGGGTGGTGGTGTAGAGGAGTATCGAAGTAGGACAGGCCCGCTTGTGGATGGACTCGACAGCCGGAAAGATGACCACTGACTTTTCCGTGATCTTGAAAAACACAACAGGCACTTCGTACCCAACCTGACCATGGGCCACCCTGTGATCAAGAGTCTGCGGAAGCACACTGATGCGTTTCTAGGTAATTGTTTTTCATCCGTTGCTTTTGCCTTCGTGTACCCGCTTCCAAGCGCCAATGCTCGTTTTCGTTGCTAGACTGCCATATGATGGTGTCGAACCCAGAACAGGTCAGTCCTCCAAAACCGTCCCTCGTCCAGTAAACATCACCTCCAATCCAGATACTGACTTTGATCCATAGTGGGTAGAAGAATTCGCCAAAGCCGGCGCCTCCATGTACTGCTTCCACTACGAGGCGACGTCGGACCCGGGCGCCCTGATCGACAAGATCAAAGCCTCAGGGATGAAAGCCGGACTGGCGATCAAGCCCAAGACGGCCGTGGAGGTCGTGTTTCCATTCGCGGAGAAGCTGGATCAGGTGCTTGTTATGACTGTCGGTACGTATACCCCCATCTCGTGTCTCCCCCCCTCCTCGCTCGGCATAACCCCATTTGCTATTGTTTTCGCAGAACCCGGCTTCGGCGGCCAAAAATTCATGCACGACTGCATCCCCAAAGTCCGCACTCTCCGCTCCAAATACCCCAACCTCGACATCCAGGTCGACGGCGGGGTCGGGCCGGACAATATTGACCTTGCGACGGAGGCTGGGGCGAATGTCATTGTTGCGGGGACGTCGGTTTTTGGTGCGCCGGAGCCGAGGGAGGCTATTCGGGTGCTTAGAGAGAGTGTGCTTGTCAATGTTACGAATAAGTAGGTTCGGCGGTGTAGGCTAGGTGCAGGTGTAGGAGGGTTCTTTTTGGGGGGTGTAAATTGGAACGGCGATAGTTAAAGAATACAGTAGAATCATTTCATACATGTTGAGCATCTGGGCGTAAGAATTTGCATTGCAAACGAGGTAATATATTTTGAGACCATCCAGCTCTAGTACACTCCTTTACCTACTAAGACCCGGCTCGCATCCCATCACCTTTCATCCCGACCCAACATCTTGCACCTCCTCCTCAACCGCTTCCTCGTTCACAGCATCCTCTACCTGCGCATCCTCCACATCTTCGTCCACTTTATCTTCCTCCTCTACAAAAACACCCTCTTCACCACCATCCTGCCCCGCATCTCCACCCACTTCCTCCTCCTCCCGCTCAGCAACTCCAGCATCTTCCCCGTCCTCTACATCCTCCTGTCCCTCTCCCTGTTTCGGTTCGTCCCCACCCTCCTGCTCGGGCGCGCCGGCGTCCTCACCCTCGTCGGCGTTGGTCGTCGCTGCAGGGCTTACGTTCGTTTCGGCGGCGTCCGCAGCGTCCGTTTCGGATCCGGATACAGCTGTCGCGGCTTCGACCTCCTGCTCTGGCGACATCGCAGGCTCATCCTCAGCGATGGACGCATCGGCGTCTGAAACCTCAACAGCCTCCGATACCGACTCCGTGGCTGCATCTTCATCAACAACCTCGCCGGCCTCACTCCCCACCCACGCTTCCCCAGCCCCCACAATGCGCGTCGCCCCGCCCCCCCTTTTCTTCTCCCCAGCCTCCCGTCTCCTCCTTTCCCGCTCCTCCCTCTCCCCCCTCAAAACCTCCCTCCCAACACTCCGCGTCTCGACCCTCCACTCCGGGTCCAACCTTGGATGCTCCGCAACCCCACCCTCCGCAAGATACCCCCGCGTCATCACCACCCCCGCGTCCACGACAGGCGGGGCGCGCCGCGGGAGCACGGGGCGGATGAGCGTATCCGCGTCCCGGACGGCGTGGCGGGCGTGCAGGGTGTGGGCGGTGCGGCGGGTGCGGTCGAGGAGGGCTTTGCGGGTCCATTGGGTGTGCGGGTGGTCGAGGGAGGGGTCGGCGTCGGCGGTCAGGGCGAGGAGCTCGGTGGACCCGCCCGTGCGTGGTCTCCGCTCAGACGAGTCGAGCGCGACAACCGAGCGTGAATCGGCCCCCTTCAGTCCTGCCTCTCTAGGCGAGAGGATGTCGTCGATCGTGGCGTACTGCAGCATCTTGTCGCGGACGAGGAGGTCCGAGAGGATGGTTTTGGACGTGGTGAGTTCGGGGAGACGGGTCAGCGGGTTTGCGAGCGGTGGCGGGGGATTGGAGGGTGTGTGGGTGTGCAGGAGGTGCTGGTGTGTGTAGCGGTAGGTTAGGTGGGGTTCGGGGGCTGTTGCCGGGCGCTGTTTGGGGATCGATTGTAGGAAAACAGTGTGAGTTGGGGCAAATCCATCTTTTCCTCAACCTTGTGCCCCACGTTCGGGATGATTACCTTATCCCCACCCCCATGATAGGTAACCCACACCCCCGCAGTCGCCCTCGGCACCGGTCTATCCGGCTCCGGCTGGCTCCACACGGCCAGAAACTTCACTCTTTTGCGCTGTTCGCTTGTTCCGCGGTGTTGGAGGTCGCATGTCCATGTCAATGGTGGAAGGGTTGTTTTAGATGACGTGGTAGATGGGCGGGGGTTGAGGTGGTTCTCGCTCCAGGAGGAGAGGAGGGAGGTTACGGCGACGTGGGCTTCGTGTTCGAGGGCGGTGGGGGGGCGGTGGATTGTTGTTGCCATGGTTTTTGTGGGTTTTTTGTTGCGGGCATCAGTTCAAGGGATAATCTGAAAGCTGGCGAGTGGTAAAAGTTCTGCAGGGGAATATTCTCCGGCGTTTGTGCGAACACTCGTCCAGTCACTTCTCGGTTATTTCAACACCGTTGACCCTTCTTGAAATAAGCGAAAGTTGAAATATCTGAAATCCTCCTCATACGCAACTAAAACCTACGCTAAGCTCGGTGAACAGGCACTCCCTAGGCTAACTCCATAACCTCCAACCCTTCCTCACTAAGAATCTGGCGAGCAATGGAGGGCGCTTACAGTGCCTTGCTTGGCTGGAACCATTCTCAGATCCGTACGCACATACTCTGCGTGCAACTCCATCAACTTGGTCCTAGAACATTTTCTTCCCTATTGAAGGAGAAAAGAATATGGTTTCTGGAATGCAGATGTTACCCTGCCATACGGGCGACCGTAAAGAGGGCAGCGAAAGCGGTTGCTCATGTCTCACGCCGTATGTACGAAAATGAACGTCGTCGACACCTTTGTTGCGTAGCCCATCCGACGGACGTGAAAATTCCGACGCCGGGGGGCTGATGCGCGTTGCTAGACTTGCCAGACTCGTCCGCGAAGCCCATTGGCTGCAATCCGGCCAACGCGTCTCGGTAAGTCCAGCAGGCCTGGTCGCATAGCCCTCCTCAACAACCTTCCCCCCCCTCCCCAACCCAACTTGGTTGCCCACGCAAAGTTCTTCAACGTCCGGCTCGCCATAGCTATACCGGACAGGGCTTACAGACCACACAACCCCACCTCCGCATACCCCTGGGGCTCATAGTCTCGGCGAAAAGCCACAACTCACGAGCATTCTGGTACCCCCAAGGTGCGTTGTTACTGTACAATAGTGCCTCCTCATTGCGTGTGAGAACGAGCTCGGCAGCGGAATATCGCTTGCATGGAGAGGCGCCCTACAGGCTTCGGGGCGTTGTAGGTTACTCTCCCTGCGCAATGTGCTGATCGTCAACTGTGCAGTTCCCTGTCTGGGCTACAACTTGGAAATGATGACAACCGACTCGCCAACCCAACCAAAGGCAGAGGAAGCTGTCGAGGAATCCGCCGTCGCCGCAGAGTCTGTGCCGGCCGGGACTGAGGAGGTTGAAGGTATGAGAGCCTCACTTCTCACCACCTTCGATGATCTGTCGAAAAGCTGACACCTGCCTTCCAGTGCCCATAGAAGACCAAACCTTCTCCCTGACCGTCCGCTTACCGGAGTCCACTACGCAACCCATCAAGTTGTATGTTTCCTCGCAGACCGCCATCCAGGACATTCGCCAGGCCATCTTTGACGTTCCCGACGCGTCGGGATACACTTGTTTCTACCTGACTTTCAACGGACAAAAGTTGAGCGATTTCACAGAGCTCGGCGAGATTGAGGATTTCACGCCTGATTCAGAGCTGGAGCTGCATGAGGGTGGGTTCTTTGATGGAAGCAGGGTGTGCAATTCGCTTTTCAGAGTCTGGAGATCTCACATCTCGCTGTGCAGATGCATACAATGACAGAGAGTTGAGAGTCCACCTCACACGGTTTCGCGAGACCATGACCCTGTTCAACAGCCATCAGCTGAATCGGGGCGTGGACTATGCAAGTTCGTATTTGGGACACGTCGACCGTTGGGATGGTAAGAATGTGGCAAGCATTAGTGGGGCTGCTGAGAAGACATGCGACTGATAAGGCGTCTCCTCAATCAACCAGACTCAGAAAACCTGAATGTTAACGGGAAAGGCAAAAAGAAGGCCAGAACCGAGAAGAACACAAAACCTGGAACTCGCGCAACAGATGACTTGCACGCCTTCGACGACTACGATTTCGAATGTACAGGCCACAATTTGCTCTCGGACTTTGTTGTGGAATACACCGACGAAGCTGAGAGACTGAAGCCAGTGAAGAGCTTCTCTATGTCGGCCTGGAATCCTGTGCCCCATTCGCAGCGTTCTGCAGGGGATCTGCTTTACTTGCGAGTGCAAACCTTGGAAAGCGAAGTTCTTCACATCACTTGCAGTACGTTTGGCTTCTTCATCAACGGGTCGACCGACACACACTTCGACCCCGCACCGAGGGAGGTCAAATCCTACCATGAGCACAACCTCGCCGTGACATTATCCAAAGCCAGCCCCCAGTTTGCAAAAACGTTCGCGAAGCTGCAAAACAAAGTCGCCCAGAGGAACCCTCTGGAATATCTCCACACAGTTGAGGCAGTGTACCCCTGGGCAGTTCGTAGCCGGAAAGTTGCGGCCGATGAAGGCCGCACGTTGGACATGCACCTGCATGCGACGGATCAAGCGGATGGCTTTGGAAGCCACGACTGGAACGAAGAGCTCCAGTCCATCCGCGAGCTCCCGCACGGCACACCGCATGAGAAGGTTCACCGGGACCAAGCGCTCTACCGCATCCACAGCGAGTTCATTGAGGCAGCGTCCCGCGGTGCTGTCGCGGTCCTCACTGGAAACGCCATCCCCCTCAACCCGCAGGAGCCTACAGCTACTCAGATGTTCCTCCACAACAACATTTTCTACTCTGTCGGCTACGACAACCGTGAAGTGTTTGACCGGATAGGCGGTGAAGCCGCCGCCCACGTCGCTGTCTCCAAAGACGTCGACGGTGTTCGTCTGCTCAACAACCTCGAGATTCCCGACCTCTTCACTGTCGGCACAGCTGTCATCGACTACCAAGGCCACCGTGTCGTCGCACAGAGTGTCATCCCAGGCATCCTCCGCCGCGCACCCGACGCCGACCCGCTCGTCAAGTACGGCAGCGTCGACATGGGCAATGAAATTGCAGCTGACCCGGAGTTCCATGTGATGTCCGAAAAGATCGCCAAAGCCCTCCACCTGGGTGAACATACCGTTGTCGACGGTGCTGGCAAGGAGTGGAAGCTCCACACGAGCCTTGAGACTAAGGGAATTGTGGGACAGGATGACCGCAAGTACTTTTTGGATCTATTCAGGGTCACGCCGGTGGATGTGGAGTTTTTGGAGGAAATTGATGGAAAGAAGGATACTGATGGTGAGAAGGAGGTGCCGGAGAAGAGCGAGGATGGAGAAGAGAAGAATGACAAGGCGGACAAGTCTGGGTTACCGGAGTATCCTCACCGATTGGTTCTTATGAGACCGGAGTTGTTGGACCACTTTTACGAGCATAAGCTTCGGGCTGCTATGGCTGAGGCCAAGACGAAGGAAGGCAAGGGCGAAGAGAAGAAGAATGAAGAAGAGGAGGCCTCCAAGGAAAGTGCCGGTGAACTGACAAAAAAGGCAACAAAGGAGAATGCCACGGAGACTACGGAAACTTCTGATGAAGCGAAGGAGAAGCCCGCTGTCGAGAACGGAGATCGAAAGCAGGCCGAGCCCGCTGACGATGTCGACTCTGCCATCTCGCAAACCATCTCGCAATTCAAGCTGAGCCTCAACCCCGATGTGTTCACGCCTATCCAGCAGGGAGACGCACCTGAGGTCAAAGCTGCGCACGAAAATGCTGTTCGCGACGTCGCGCTCTTTCTGCGTAAAACGATGCTGCAACGCCTAGTCATCGAGTGCGTTTACCACGCCCAGCTCACCGACAGTGAAGCACTGACGAAGCGATTCCACTCCCGCGGTATCAACATGCGGTACTTAGGCAAAGCTGTGGAGGTGGCTCAGGAGGTGGGCAGTGTTACAAAGGCGGCAACCAACGCTGACGGTGCGGTTTCGCCCCTCAAGCACAATGCGTACTTCATCCGTGTGTGCAAGCAGGAGATGGTCGGTCGAGCTGCCAAGCATATTCTGAGGAACATGTTGAAGGAGTCACCCGGACACGCCATGAGGGAGTGCGTGGCGAAATTCCTGAGCTGTTTGTTCGCCGATGAAGATGTGGAGATCAACTTTGAATACAAGGCCTCCCAGGGCCGGAAGATTGGACTTAAAGCCAAGTCTCAGCCGGAGTTGCCGTTCGCGTCCTTGACTCCTGCGTCCGTTCACGCTGACATTAGGCACGAGGTGGCCAAGAGGTACAGATTCACGGATCTCTCTGCGACGTTCTGGCGCGAGAGGCCTTTGGCCCTTCTCCGCTCCATCTGCATCAAAGTGGGTTTGCAGATCGAGGCCTTGGACTACTTCGCCGGGTCTCCATCCTCCACCACCCCCTTGTTCAACCCGAGCAACATCATTACACATCTCCCGGTCATCAAACACCACCCACCGCGCGCGACCTTCGCCGAAGAGACGCTCGAGTCCGCCAACTACACCCTCAACACCCACCCTGCCCTCGCCATCGAGCTCTACACCGAAGCCGCTACAGTCTACGAACAGATCTACGGGCCCGTACACGCCGACACCGCGCGCGCATACACAGCCCTCGCCCTCGCATACCACCAAACCGGCGACATCGACAAGGCCGTCGGGTGGGCGCGCAAAGCCGTCGTCGTCGGCGAACGATGCCTGGGTGTCGATTGCGAGGAAGTTGTAGGATGGTATGCCAACCTGGCTTACTTTGAGTATGTGCGCGCCAACAGCGAGTTGGTGGATGTGGCTGATGAGGAAGGGGCTCCCAAGCTTCCCCCGAAGAGTGATGGGGAGCTTGCGAGGGAGAAGAGGGTGCGGGATGAACGTATTGCGAGGGCGTTGAGGTTGATGAGGCATGCGCTGAGGATGTGGGAGAAGATTGCGGCTGGGGAGAGGAACTTGGAGGGTGCGAGCACAGATGTGAGTGACAATTTTCTGTGACATTTCTCTCGGGAGCGGAAGGGAGGAATTCTTTTGTGTAGCTGCGGCGGTAGCCTCACATCGAGGCCGACCGGTCCGCCGTTGCCAATGCCGGCAACCGTCATTACTTCCTTCTCCCATACGATCATGGACTGTGGCTGATCTCGTCCCTCCTTCTATAGTCCAATTTGTCAACGATCCTCTCAGACATCAACCCGTCAGTTTCGCTCCAATTCCTCCTCCGCGCACTCGACACGCACACAACCCTCCTTGGCAAATCGCACGCACTCACTCTCAAATCCCAAGAGTCGCTCGTGAAACACTACATCCAGATCGGGGATTTCCACCAAGCCGTCACTGCACAGCGCATCGTCTGCGAGATCCTCAGAGCGCGCCATGTGCCTGCGGCTACCAAAGGGGACAGCGAAGAGGTGAAGGATGGTAACGACGCGGCTGCCGCTGCCGTCGCTGCTGAGATGGACAGGGAGGAGGAGAAGTTGAGGACTGCTGAGGCTATCTTGGCTGGGTTGACTGCGAGGGCTGTGAGCGAGGTGAATAGTTTATTTCGTCGCAACTCACCATACAAACCCCTATTGACCTCGTACTGACTGAATCTCACTCCAATCAAATAATAGGCAAGGAAAGCAGCGCTCCTCAAGTCCTCCGCGAAATCAAGTCGCGTCGGCAATGGCGTAACATTAGAGCCCTCGTTTTCCAACGGACAAGGTACCAATGGAACGGCGGAAAAGAAGAAGAAGAAAAAGGACAAGGAGCCTTCCATCGACCAATTGCTCGAGTTCATTGGCGAGAAGAAGCAGGCACCTGCGGCTCAGCCGGGGAAGAAGGCCGGCGGCAAGAAGCCCGTTGCTGCCAACGGTGCGACTGCGGCGGCCAAGAAGTGAGGTGACCAGCAGCAGCTCGCCTCCTTTGCATCCGGTGTGAGATGGCCAGGCTCTGCGCTTCTATCAGGTGGTTCCCAGACGGCGGGGCGCATTGCCCTACCTGAGTTGATATCGTTAATCCCGCACGAAGGAGTTTGATGGATCACATTATCGCGCACAGGCGCACACGCACGATCCATACGCCCGCCATTGGCTCACCACTTTCATCACACGCACATCCGCACTTCATCATAGACACAAAAAGAACATGCACATCCCTCATCACACCATCCCCCCCACACATATCTAGAGTTATGCTGTTCCCATCATGTTTCCATTTTTATATATGTATGTATTTGTGCATATGCACCGAGCCCTTTTTGCTTAACAACCAATTCGATAGAGTAAACAGGAGAATACCGAATCTTGTAGACTATTTTCTCTGAAGATGTCGATGGCCACGTTAACCATTCCACCTCGGTTCCTACCTACTATCTTAAGGAGCCGAAGATCTCGATGTGGACGTTGCAACTGGCCAGCTACATCCTCATGTCGAAAGGTAGGTCGTTTTAGGAGTCAATCGATGCTTTTTGGTTAGGGCAGGCCTTCGTGAGTCAAGCACAATGTCACTAATTACGTGACCCATCTTGAGCCTGAAAACGTATTCTTCTTCTTCGTTCATCCCCTTGACGAAGTCATCGTACCAGCCTAGCCAGCGTTTCGGAAGGTTCCCGTCAGGCCCAGCGAAGGCATGGACGAGATCAGCCCACACTAGGAGAAGGATTCCCGGCGAGACCCCTGTGATCTCCTGAGAATGCTCCAACGCGTAAGCCGCCGACTGATATGTGGGGTGGCACGCCTTGCATATCATGACGCATCGCTTGGCGCCATCCATTCCGCTGGAGATGCGATGCAGCAACGTCTGCGGCATCACGTGCTGGCAGACGAGCTCATCGCGAGCTGAGTTGCCGCAACGGACGCAGCCTTGAGCGATCTCGGCGAGATGGTCGTCACGGTTCTTGTACTGCACAGGGTCCATTATTGATGGTGAACGGCGAGGGGAGAAAGATTTCCCTGAGGTTGCGCTCGGACTTTATACACATGGCGGTTTGCCATAACCTAGGAAAGGTAGAAAAACTGCGATCAACGAACGCCTTCGTTTCCGTAGGTACCAACAATCTTACCCGCGGCAATAAAACGAGTTTCAACATCCGCATCACAACCTCAGCAGTTCAGTCCTGCCTCTCGAATGCAGTTCCTTCATATCGACGTTTTTTACACGCAGCTCAATCCACTTCTCCGCCACAACCTCGATAAAGGCTTCCATATAGATTTCGGCAATCAATGGAACGAAGGCTCGCGCCGCCGGACAAGACCTCGGGTCGGTCGAAAACGTCAGACTTACTTTTGGTTCCTTAGCCCGCTCGTTCACTTTTGTGACGTCGATGCGTGAAATGTCGCCATCAAGATGAAAATGCTAGCTTTTTTGGCAAAGTTTCGACAGCGCGTAAGCCGTCACTTTCGACGAGCAGTCCGACAGCATGAATTCCAGCTTAGACCTTTAGAATACTTCTTTCGTTATGTGATATGGCCTGACTATATCGGCATCATGAGACAGGCAAATGCGATAGAAGCTATCTCATCGTCTTCTATAGCCAGAAGATACTTTATCGATCCCAAAGGTACTGTATCCAGAGGAGGGGTTACTTCGGACCAATTCCGCACATTTTCTGGTACGGCGCTACAATAACCGCGAAATACAAGCTCCACGTAATCGGCCAATATGGGCCATTAAGGCCATAATTAAGCATTTTTAGCCATTATGCAGGTACTCGAAGTTCACAAATCCTTCATGGCGTAGTGATCATGGAGAAACGCCATCTACTATGTATATTTTGTGTTCAGCTCCTGAAAATAATCCACGCCGTAAGAGCTACCCAAATTTGTATCTGATAATTGATGTGAAAGGGTCACAAGCGAGCAGGCTATATTCCCTCTTACGCGCCAGTACGCCCTGCAGACCCGTGCACCCCATTCCAGCAATCCAGACTCGGCAGTGGCGGGTACCTCTTATCCTCGGGCTTCGCTACCTCTGACGCTAAAGATGCCTCCACCTGCTCTGTTGTTCTATTTGCAATCGCGGTCGTAGGCGATCGCAAGAACCCAGTATGGACCAGGAACCCGATATACAGCGGCATGAGTGCGCGCATCGAGTGCGGTATCGGTTGTACCGCCGACGATGCCGATACCGCGGTAAGTGCTGCGCGAGCTAAGACGCGTTCGGCGTTGGTGGTATCCAGCACGGGAGACTTGGTGCTGGTGGGTAGGTCATCGACCACGAAGTGGAGGAGAGGAAAGAGAGCTGATGATGTTGGCGAGGTGGTGGTGTCATCGCCCGACGATGATGAAGAGCCGGAAAGGACAAAGTCCATCAGCGATGTCCGCCAGTGAATGTAGTCTGTCGGTTGTAGCGGTCGGTAGCCTACCGCGGCTAGCTGTGCGAATAGGTCGTTGAAGCTGAAACCTTCGGGATTGTAGCAGTGGAAGACTGTGTTGTCGGGAATGGCGGTTGAAGCATCGCCATTCGTGGTAGGCAACGACCGGGCTGCGACGTACGGGTCCGTGGCGACGGCTCCTACCACAGCGGCGACGTAATCTACTGGACACATGTTGATAGCATTGGCGATACGCGGGGCTCTGCCAAGATCCACGCACCCCTTGACCAGACGCCAGATAAAATCATCGGTGTTCGTCACGCCCGTCGTCGTGGAGCCGACAATGTAACCCGGTCGGATGATCGTCGTGGGCAGGTCGGGCTGAGATGAAATTCCCCGATTACGCTTCCTGGCCCGGACGACAAGTTGCTCAGCGACCCATTTGGTTTGCCCGTATCCGGAACGCAGACCCCGCTTCGCACCCATCAGGTCATCGTCTTCGTAGACCCTGGTCCCGGTATCCAGCTTGCGCACATAATGCGGGGTGTCAAGCACAGACGTAGATGAGACAAAATGCACGGGCTTGACATGGGTGGTCGTCGCCAGACGCAAACACCAAAGCGTGCTCAGAACATTAGCGGCTCGGAGCTTGTGGTAAGGATAGACCCAGTGCACCAATGCACCGTTGTGTATGACCACATGTGCCGTTCGGCTGAGCTCCGCCCATTCCGCCTCTGAAAGCCCCAGCCGCGGCTGCGCCAGATCTCCGCAGAGGGCTGTAAGACGGCCTTTGGCCACCCAGTCCTCATTCCACACAAGATATCTCGACGAGTTGGTCCGGATGCGATCGATCGCGTCCTTTGTCGACTTTGCGCGAACCAGTGCGGTGACTTTGTTGTTGGGCGAGCGATTGAGCAAATCAGCGACGATGAAGGCACCAAGGAAGCCTGTAACGCCGGTAGCGAAGAACGAGGCGCTGACCTCCCCAGGGCGTTCAGCAGTAGGAGACAGCCCCGCCGTGGTAATAGGAAACTCCGCGTCCAACGTTTCCAGATCTGCCGCGTAATCCACCTCTCCCACCGTGTCGGCATCGTCAGCGTCTCCCTTCGGCCGGGATCCCAGCGTTGGAGAGCGCCGCTCGTTCCCACCACCACCAGACACGAGCCCCAGCTCGCTATCCATATACCTCTCCACCTCGCCAGACATTCCTCGCACCGTCGGTGTCTTGTACACAATACCAAGAGGTACATCCACCCTGAGGTTCTTCCTGATCATGAACACGAGTTGCGTGGCAAGAATGGAGTGCCCGCCAATGTCAAAGAAGTTGTCGTCGAGGCCTATGGAAGCTGTTGGTTGACGAAGGACTGAGCTCCAGATTTCCCGCACGGCTGTCTCGATGGTTGTCAAAGACGCTGCGTTGGCTTGTTCTTCGACGGCTGGGAATAGCGATGCGAGGAGGGCTGTGTCTGGGAAGGGAAGCGCGTTCTTGTCGACCTTGCCGTTAGGGGTCAGAGGCATTCGCTTAAGAGGTACGATCACTGCAAAAGAAGTATTTTAGCACGTGCCGGTTTAGATGAAGATGGCCCTGTCATCGATTGAAATCCACATACCTCCAGGCACCGCATACGACGGCAACTTCCCTTTCAAATATTCCCGAACACCAGCAACCAGGCTCGCCACATTCTCCGTCGAATCCACAGGAACGATATAGCTAATCAGCACCTTCTCCTCATCTTTATCTCTCTTGACCATGGAGACGTTCTCCCGAACTTGCGGACACTGAGACAGATGTGTGTCAATCTCCTTCAACTCAATCCGGAATCCGCGAATCTTGACCTGATCGTCGGCTCGGCCCGTGCATTCCACCGAACCGTTCGGCAGATAGCGGCCCAGATCCCCGGTGCGGTAGCAGCGATCACGGGGGCCTAGGTAGTAGGGCCACGCCTTCTGAGGCGCCGATAGGTTCTTGGTCGCATCGCCGAATGGGTTTGCGACAAACTTGGCCGCTTTGGCTTCCTCGTCCAGGTAGCCTTCCGCCAAACCGCTACTCCTCACGTAAATCTCGCCAACCTCACCGATTCCACACAGCGCGCCGGCTGGGTTGACGACGAGTAGCTGAACATCAATCATCCCCTTGCCCGCAGGAATGATATCCTTCAACTCAGACAAAAACCCAGGGTTCTTGTTACTCGGCGGAACAATCAAGTGACTAACGGCGCGCTGGGTCTCCGTCGTACCGTACATGTTCACGACATGCACGTTTTCAGCAAGATATTGCAGTCGGAGGACATCGCGCTTCGTGAGAACGTCTCCGACAAAGAACGCGTTGCGAAGGGTTGGGATGGGTGTTGTAGCATTAGCGGAGAGGAGTTGGCCCATTGCTGGGGTGAGATGTGTTACGGTGATACCATGATGCGCCATCCATTCTGCGAGGCGACCAGGTAGACCGATGTCTTCGGATGTAGGGATGCGAAGCTGAGCACCGAGGAAGAGAGGGGTGAAGACTGGGGCACGCAAGAACAGAGAATCAATTAGCAGCAGGCTCTTGAACTCTCCATCCAGAAAATGAAGAGTACTCACTGTCGCGCTGGATGGGATCATGTGCAATGCCGCTCAGCATGGTAAATCGCTCATTTTCCGTTATGCCAAAAGTTTCCTTCATCCACGGATAGAAATGGGTCAAGGAGAAATGCCGTCCCTTGACGCCCTTGGGAATACCTGTACTTCCACTTGTAAAGCTCAGAGTGCTTCCGGAATCCGGGCCCAAAACAACGTCCGGTGCAGTCCCCTTGAGCTCAGCGTCAGGTCCAAAAATGTCGTTTCCGTCCGGCCCTAATCCTCCCGTCAGGTTTCCATCATCATGTATCAGCAGCGAGGGCACCATGCACACGATGTCCAGATTGTTCGCGACGTACTCCTTGACCTCCTGGTCCAGTTCTCCCGCCTTGGCCAACACGACAAGTCCACGCGGTACGGCGACTGATAAATAGATATTTTGGCGAGACGGCGGGTAGGCCGGGTCGATGACGCTGAAGATGGCACCGGCCTTCAACACGCCCATCACGGCCACTACTAAATCAACTCCGCGATACGAGTAAAGAACGACCACATCTTCCCGTTGGATTCCATTTCGAAGCAGGTGGTGCGCCAGAACGTTCGAAGCCTCGTTGATCGCTTGGTAAGAGAATTCGCGCAATGGAGCCAATGAGGGGGAGACGTTCGTATCACGGCTCTCTACCACACAAACCCTGTCGGGGTGCGCTTGAGCATTACGTGCGAAGATGTCGGTGATAGCTCCTTCGAAGCCGTCATAGTGTAAATCAGCGGCGGGATCTGGGAGTAGTGGTCTCGAGAATGTTGACACGAGTGAGATGGCGCCAATCGGGGAGTCGATGTTGGCAGCAGCACCTTCCAAAACTAGTTGCAGTTGTTCAAGCATGTCCGTTATGCGACTATGCGCAAAAAGCACCGAGTTGTAAACGATGCGAATATCTATCGGGAGCAGTCTACGCAGTGTGGGCTCTTGCGAGATGAAGATGGTGATGTCGCAAGACGAGGATGTGGTCGTGGACGCCAAGGTCTCTTGATTCGTATCGGTGAGATTGAAGAAGCGGACTTTGAACAACGATGGTTGATGTGGGTTTGCCTGCTGCTGGGCCGGCTGCGATTTGACCGGGGAAGGCAAAGGAGGTACCAATGCGTTCAGCAATGTCTGAAAGGGCACCTCGTTCGTAGTCGCATCCAGTTCTGCCTCCAGAACGGCACGGATGACAGAGCGAAACGTCGCATCGGCCGTAACAGGGAACCTGAGAACAAGCGGGTTGGATGTCGTCGAGCTGGATCCGACCGTGATATCGCTCTCGCCGCTATGACGATGCAAAAGCACAGCAAAGGCAGCCAGGAGGATGGTGAACGGAGTCACCGTTGCCCCTACACCCTCGTTCCCGCTGTTCACCGCCAGCGACAACTGCAGTATCGCCAACGAGGTTTTCTCACTGACGTGAAGGACCTGATCTGCCTCCACCACTCTGCTGGGAATAGGCCGTGGATAGTCCGTCGGGAGTAGGAGCTCAGTGAGGTCTGCTAAACGCTGCTTCCAACCTGCCAGCAGTGCGTCGTTCCCAGAAGGTTCTGTATCGACGCGAAGATGAGGAGCGACACCGTTGCTTCCTGGCATTTTGACTCTTTGTAAGAAGGGTGTCGTGGGAATGGGTTGGAAAGGTGCAGACCGAAGAAGCCGGAGGTTCCCAGAGGTCAAGTCCGCGGGAATGTAAATACAATGAATTGGCTTGGACAACGACAGCTATACGCAATTCCACCTGCTCACTTATATGGCCGTTGGGAGAAGACAGCTATGCGACTGAGAGAGTGAACCTGGAGAGTAGAGCTGCTTTTGAGCCTTTGATATTTCTGTGTGTTTTTCCCACGGCTTCCCCATGAGTGCATGCCCAGTGGTGAAAAAGGTCTCCAGAGAACGGAGGCATTGACAGCAAAAAGAGATGGCGGAGATTGTCATCAGAGATCGGGCGCAGCTCACATCTGCTGAGTCACATGGTCCGTGACTTCATATGTCAGGGGAGGAAGTCAGCGGCTCCGTGCGCATCCTTTGAATTTAACAGTTTGGTTCGACGTTTGGCGGTGAGTACGTACAGTATATACGACGAGTTCGCCCTTCAGGAAATGTGAAGGTACTGGATTCGATGTACTGTAGGGGCGGCAACGGCTTGACTTGGTTTGACTTGGCTTGACTAGACACCGTAGCACATTCCCGACAAATGCGGGCAATGCATGGGCCGACCTGATCTCGTGAAATCTGTCAGCGCGCTGATGCAAACCACTACTGACCTCAGAATGGATATGCGAGCTCTGGAGAGGAAGATGGACCGCGGCTTTGCCACTGCGAACTATGAACACCCAATTCGCTGCTGTGAACATCCAACTCGCTGCTATAAACGCCACTCTGCACCGCCCGCTCCCGCCGCCTCGTCTTCAGGCGCTGCTCCGGCGGCTCAGTCGTAGTCCTTTACTTCATCCTTGATCCCTTCCTTTGCACGGCGTAAATTGGCTCTCCTCGTTTTTCCGCTACACTATTCTTCTTCGTATCGCGTCGATATCCTCACTCATAGTCTCTCCCCATTCGTATGTTGCCGTAAATAGCCAGCTCATTAATCCAATCGTTTTGTCCATAACATCCCCTAATTCTCAAATCCCTCAATTTTTTGGTCCTATTTCTTCTTAGCGCTCTTTGCTCCACCCTTCGCTGACTTAGCGCCCTCCTTGCCTTTACCGCCTTTACCCTTCTTAGCCGAACCGGACTGCCCAAAGAAGGTAAGATCAACACTACACTCATCTCCGAGAAGCATTACACATGGAAAAGGATGTTTTCACACATACCCGCTGTTTAGCCAACTCCCTCCTAACCTTCCATCCCTTAAAGAACGCCTGAATGCGCGTCGCGGCCATTACGTCGTGGCGGAGGAGGGCTTCGCGTTCCTAAATGAAAAATTCATAGATGTGAGTGTCTGAGGGGAGGGGAAGGTGGCAACCGGAGGTTTGGCTTTACTTTGCATTTTTCGTCTTCGACCTTCCGCTCTTCCATGATAGTTTCGTACTCCTTTTCCATGTCGGCGTGCCCGGCAGAGAGTTCGTCTAGTTGGGCCTTTTCTTCGAGGTAGATTGCCTGGGAATTGTATCATCGGATGTTAGTGATGTGTGGGCAGTTGTTTCATTCACATGTGCGACTTGGGTTGAGACTGGGCTGATATGATATTCAAAATTATGCGGTGATGATGGTAGTCGGGGGTTATTAGAGGATTACGTAGAGTGATGATAAGAATGGGGGTTCCAAAAGATGAATGTTATAAGGGATACGCCGAGATGACGGATGATGCTAAATATGAGGGAGTTCTATCTACAGAAAGGTGGCAGAGGGGAGAAGGAACGCCGATTCGGATTCCTCACAACGAGTCTGCTCAGTGATGTTCGACGGGATTCCGATAGTTGTGGTGCGTGTGTGGTTTTGCCGTGTCACCGTGCGATTTGCATTGGTGCAGCAGCGTCTAATGGCATCGATGGCGGTAATGGCGGTGGTGGGATGGTAGGTATCTCAAGCATGACGGATGAAGACACCGAGCCTTCCTCCTGCTCCACATCGACATCGACATCCACATCCACATCTACTACCTCCACATCGTCCACCTCCGCATCCGTCTCCTCCCCGCCCTCCCCATCGCCCCCATACAGGACTCCAGGCGGATCCGGCGCGACGCCCAACACCTCCCTGCTATGCACCACAGCGGGGTTCAAATACATCGGCAAGGTATCGACACTAAACGTCGGCTGCGGGTCAAAATAGACGGCCGGAAACCCCGTAATCACAATCGGCAGCTGTATCTTTAGAGATTTCGAGAAGGATGCGGTGGAGGTGATTTTAACGACGAGGACGTGGGTGACGTTCAGGATGACGGATTTGATGGAGGGCGGCATGATGCAGGAGGAAGGGATGGGGAAGTTGATGATGCGGTTGATGCGGCGGGTTTTAGAGGAGAAGGTTTCGGTGAAGTTGAGGCGGTGGATGCGCTCCGTGAAGGGGCCGCGGAGTCTGCGAAGAGATACATGTTAGCTATGGGGTTCGACTTGCGCGCGCTGATGGAAGTATTTCATAGCTTGTGAACTCACTCATTGACAATCTTGTAGGAAGCCCTCTGTTTCAGCGCCACAGCTTTCAACACAACCCCACTCCCCGAATGATTTGTAATATCAATCGACAATGGCACCGTCTCTTCACTTGTATAGCCCGTCCGTGGGGTGCTAACCCTCACCGCCAGATGCCCTGATTTCCACAACCAAAACCCCACGGGCACATTCTGCTCCTGCGCGCTGCCCTCCAGCATATCCAGATCCGACGCGTCTAGTGTCGATGGGACCGTTACAGGGTGGTACACCAGTTTGTTGAGTTGGCCTGGTCGGGCTAGGACGGCGGCGACTTCGTACCGTACGCGGCCGTAGCGGCCTTCGAAGGATGGGGGGAGTTGTGCAGGGGGTACGCGGAACGCGAATGGGTACCGGTGCTCGCCTTCGGGTATATCTTCTGTGTCGTTCGAGGGTACGATCGAGCCTATCAAGGATTCCAACTCTTTAAATAACGTCACCGTCGAGGTGTTCTGGTCCGCTGGTCTAAATCAAATCGCGAAAGGATGGAAATCATTGATGAGTGTCTGCTCAACCATCCACCAACAGCGACCATCATCAACCATCCACCAACATCAACCAACTTCAACTAACTACCCGCGGTTAGGGTAATCTTGCGCCTTTGGCGCAATGTGGCTCGCTCCGGTCGGGCGAGAACCAACCTCAAGCATTCCTGGGCCTCGCTTTGCTCGGACAACGGCCCAGTTGGGGATCGCTATCGCTCGCCTTCTCCTCGGTATCGCTCGGATTTTCGCGCTCACGCACCTAATATCATCCGTCTTGTGAAGCTGAGTCTGAATGATGCCCGAGAACCTCACTCTCAACAATTTCACTTTAACGGGCGTCAAAGCAACCAGCACAATTTCCCCTCGCAATATCTGGCCTGGCGAGAACGTGGTTTTCCCTCCCTCTAGTTCGATATCGAATCGTGATATTTGTTTTTTCGTTTGAAAGGGGTGTATTGGAGGGGGTACGAGAGTGGGTAGTTGTGTTGAGGCGTCGAGAAGGTTCGTTGGTGATATGGGGTCGGTCATTGTTGGAGGTGTGTGATGAATGGCAGGGTCCGGAATAAGGCAGAGGTGTGGGACGGTTGGAAGTGTTTAGAGCGTTACACCTGCGCCGCAACAAAACAGTAGTACGTTGTTGTTCTGAGGGGTATTCGGAGTAGTGCGGCGATTTTGGCGAGTGTAAGTACAGTATGTCGTCTAAGCGAGGAGGCAGCTACAGTAGTTGCGTCCGTTGTTCACACTTCTGTTTGCGATATGCCGTGAACGAGCCTTTTTTTCGAAACGGGTTCCGCTCCTCGGTATGAGATGACGGCTGCATTTTTGCTCTCTCTCAATGATGGGGGGGGGGGGGGGAGGGGGGGAGGAACAATTGAAACGGGACGGAGATCCAGCCGGGTTGGCGTCGAAGTCCAAGGCGATGGATCAGACTCATCAGAGGGATCCCCCGGTGCGACTGGGACGCGCCTTCGTTTCGGTCTTTGGGACTGGGAACCACTGCAACATCACGTGACCGTCTGCTTGATTCAACGAAATGGAACGCGAAACCCAACGTGCTTCCTGGTTGGAGCTATTCAGCGAGCTATTCCATCTTGCTGAGTTAGGGTTAGGGTTAGGGTTAGGGTTACTCGTGCTGGGAAACTTATCGCACGGAGACGAACGGATATCCACTCTCGGAAGCACATCTTCATCCGTTGCTTTTCGCCTGGTCGTTTACATACCGAACTTGCACAGGTCCATCCCCCAAAATCTTAACCAACAACCCACCCAAGCAAGAGTCCCAAGCAAGAGTCCCAGCAAAAGAAGATGGGTATCTCCTATCACCACCGCTCGCTCACCCCCACCGTCTACCACCACCTCACCCAACAATCCGCCTACCCCTTCCTGCACCTCGTTACAACATTTACTCTCCTCTTCTTCACCCTCTACAACCTCTCCCACCGCCTCCTCAACAAAACTGACACAATCACTGTACTGATGAACCAAGTTCAACCGGCATTCGCAGGCCGAGCTTCGGATGAGGCCAGTAGACTTTGGATGACTTCAGCCATTTTATATCGAAGGTCGCTATGCCTTGAGACAGACAGGACTCCCAACATACTAACCTGCACAAGTCATACTATGCTTCCGCCCTCGCTGTGAGTCTTTGGTTCGTTACCCAGGTTCAACCTCACAGAAAGAACTGCCAAGCTATGGTACGGACAAGGATGATGAGCGATCCGGCAGTCGTAGAGGAGGTGCCGGTAACGTTGGGTATGAGCGCGTTGGGTCTGAGGGCGTTCGTAGAAGGGGCTTGCTGACGAAGCGCGTTGAAGAAGAGGTGATCGCCTTGAGAGAGTGACGTACTAAATTCACGTGAGTGAGCGACATCGATTTCAATTAGACCCTGAGTCGTGTTTTCCCCCCCCAAACACTGACGACGGCGAAAAACTCAGTATATAACGTTACGCTCGGACAATCATCCCATCAGCTGCAGCAGACCCATTAATACGTATTGAATATCGGCGCCTTACTGCGTCTTCCACCCAGCACCGAACTCACCGCCTCGCCTTTTCCGATAAAATCCTTCCCGACAAACCCCACTGTGCTGCTGAAACACAGCTGGTTTCATGCAAAGTGGCTGTCTAGTCGCAATCTGCTCGCCATATCATCCTTTTATTATGCCTTGTTGTACTCTGTGCGAAAAATCCTCCTCCCTGGCATACCATCCCCTGTCCTGCCGTTGTCGCCGCACCCTTCTCAAGCAGCCCACTGCAACATTACTTTCCGCCTCTCCTTTCACCGCCATAAGCGGCAAATATACCTCAAAAAGGCGACAACGAATTGGGAGACGATTTCGAGATTATAGATTAGAGACATAAGCGAAAAATGCAATTAAATGTGAGTATCCTCGCGAGCCGCGAGGTCCCATTGCGCCAAAGGCGCAATACTCTCTAAGTTACTTCTTAGCGAACCCTAGCGAGCGTCAGATCTTTTGCGAGCGAAGCGAGCACTACATTGCACCGAAGGGGCAACACTTTCCATACCCACGTAGATGGTTGACATTCGATGGTTGATGGGTTGATGAGTAGATGATTGGTCTGGTTTGAGGCGAGGTCGTCTTATAAATTGTTCATTTTCCCTCTCAGAGATATGCAGTTTTGGGTTTACCTCGAAAGGTGAGGAGCAACGCAAACAAAGCCAATTCTGCCATGCCACTCGACGGCAGCGGCATCAAGCCGACGCTCAAAGCTGATCCAGCGGCAATGGCGCAGTTGAGGGAGCTTTTCCCGTTTGTGGCTGAGCATCAGCTGGAATCAACATTGGAAGCGGCTTCCAACGATATAGCGCAGGCAGTAGCGATGCTGTGTAGCGCAGATATGATCTCCATGCAGAGCATCGAAAAGCCGGGAGCATCCCCGACGGCCGTAAATGGTTCACGGGGAATTCATTCACCGACCACATCCGTCAGTCCAAACTCGAGCCAGCCTTCCAGCGTGTTTGGCGCTTCCGCCGAATACCAGCTATTATCGTCACTGTTTCCCTCCCTATCCGTGTCGGCGTTGGAAGAGGCGTACTCCAACGCAGGAAACAACATGGAAACAGCCGTAGATCAGCTGTTGGCCGCCGATAGCGAGTCATCCGACGACAGTGCATCTGGCCTCTCTGGCTCTGAATCATGCGCCGACTCTGCCAGCAGCAAACCTTACGACGATGCCTCCTCTACATCTTCCTCCATGACCCGGAGCAGTCGAAGCACAACTGGATCCAGGGGAGCTGAAGAGACGACCCATCCACGTGGAAGCTCCCAACCCCCGCGATACGCTGAGAGCATGGAGGCATTGACGGCCATGTTTCCGTCCCACACGCACAAAACCATCACTTCGGCTCTAAAGACACATTATGGGGATGTAGACCGCGCCACCACCTCACTCGCCAAGCTCATGCTGGACGAAACTGGAGCGAGTCAAACGTGTGATGATGGCTCTGATTCAGCCCTTGCCGTTCTCGTCGACGTGTTCCCAAATCATAACGTCGATATTTTGAAACGGACCCTGAGACGCACGGGTGGGGTGGACGCCGCGGTCGTTGCGTTATCGGGTGGGCCTGATAAAGAGACGAAAGCTGCTTGGAGTGGGAAAGGCTCGTTGTTTGTGGACACGGAAGATGGAGATGTGGCTGGAACCCCACGGAAAAGTGGGAAGAAGGGGAATGGAAGTTGGAATACGAAAACGAGCCTAGGGGAGAACAAAATATGGACATTATCCATGACTGGGGCCTCTGTTGCGTCGAGTCCGCGGTTCTCGGGGCCGCCCGCTGTTGAGGTAAGACTATACACTGGACAATTCCTTGTTGGCGGCCGATTCATTAGTCTCATCGCCAACCACGTATTCTTCTGCCTCGCAGTCGCCGAAACCCGGACTCCTCTCACCCCAAACTCCAACCAACAAGCACGCAACAACATGGCAAGACCCCAAAGAACTTCGCCAGATGGCGCACGAGGTTCGCGATAGCCGCAACGAGTTGTTCCGCCGGGCTGCCACCGCCTTCCGCAAAGGCAATCTCACGGGCAAAGGCTCTGCCGCTTACTACAGCGACGAAGGACGCATTCTTACGGCTCAGATTGCGAGGTGGAATGAGCAGGCTGCCAAGTCGATTATTGAGCGGAATAAGTACGTAATTGGACACGATCTAGTTGATTTATTTGCATTGGTGTTGTTGAGAGGGAATAGTTCTCCCTATTGTGCATGCCACTCACCTCATCTCCTCCCTTACCTCACCAGCGCCCGCTTCCCGCACGACCCCAACACGATCGACTTACACGAACTCACCGTCCGCGAAGCAGTCGCCTACGCCCTCGAAGCCGTCAACGCCTGGCACGCCCGCCCAAACACATCTTCCTCGCGCCCGCTGAAAATCATCGCTGGCGCAGGCACGCATTCCTCTGACGGCGTCCGCAAGGTTTATCCAGCAGTAGTGAGAGCGCTGAGAGCGAAGGGGTGGAAGGTGTCGGAGGAGGGTGCGGGGTGGTTTTTGGTTAGGGATCGGTGAGGGTCTCTTATCGATTCGACCAGCCCACTCTTCCTCCTGGAATCTTTTTTGGCCCGCGACTCTCGGCTTTCACTTGAGCGACTACCCTCACCGTAGCACACCTTCGCGCGTGCCATACACCGACGTAGATATTTTGGTCCTCATCCTGCTGTCTCGTGTAGACTGTAGACACCCTTCCGACGCCGCCTTTTGTGTTTGGAACTGCCACTTTGTAGATATGAACTTTATTTGCACAGTCTGAATATACCCTTCAATACTTCTGGAATATGACCGAGTGTTTCAGTGTTTGATTAGGAGCGAAGATTGTATATACAGTGTAGAAGGGGGATCCAGCTTCGTTTAGACTCAGGTAATTGTTCCTCCGAGATGTGCTTCGCAGAGCACAAGATACAGTTACGTGGATGTTTCCGGGAGTTTTGTGCGGATATACCTATTGCTCGCCCCAGTTCTGTAGGAGCAAGCCGTGTACGATTGTTTCACGAGGAAAGCGCTTCTACCGACGCCCGTCATTTGGTGGATTATTTGTACCCGTGCCTCCCTGCCCGAACGCGTTCACAAGGCCCGAGTTGAGAGGAATGCCTTGTGCCGCGAGTTGCGAGAGAATCTGTTGTGTTTGCTGCTGCTGTTCTTGCTGTGAGAGCGGGTTCGGTGGTGGTTGTACTTGTGGGTACGCCGGTCGCCCCTGCTGTTGGTGTGGCGGCGGCGTATTGCTCATTTGTTGCGGATATTGCTGGAATGGCGGACGGGCCCCTCCTGCTCCTCCTCCTCCGCCATTCCACCCACCACCTCCGTCATTCCGCCGCTCCCCGTCCCTTCTGTCACCACCCGGCCCGCCAAACCGCCCCTCGTTATACGCCGGCCCAGCCCCTCGCCCCGCGCCAAACCGCTGATCCCTGGCATCAGGCGGGGCGAACCGCTGTTGGTGCTGCGTATTGCCGTAATTGCCGCCGCTGCTGTTGTTGCTATTATGCCGCGAACCCATAGCCACCAAGTTGGGGTTGCCCTGCGGATTATTATCTCGGAACTGTGGCGGCGGCGGTCGACGGTCGCGATGGGCATCTTCATAGCCGCCGCGCTGCTGTGATGCGGCTCCTCCATCGTGGTCTCTCCGCCCTGCAGGTGTCCCCTGCCCTAACCCAGGCGGTAATCCCGATCCCAACCCGGGCAGCAGCGCCGCTGGATCGTGTGCTACTACATCCGGGACTGTGGTCGTATGATGGTGGGCATCGTCTTGATGGTGGTGGTGGTGATCGTCGTCCCTCGCGTTCCCATACCGATCATCGCGCACGAAACTGAACACGTCGCTCATGCCGTCAGCGGGCCTGTTCCGCGCCCAGAAGCGGGTGGTATGGTCGTTGGAGCCGGAAACGAGGATGTGGCCTAGCGGGTGCCAGTCGAGCGCAAAGACGGAGGATTCATGTGCTGCTTCGATGCCGCCAGTTGAGTGCTCGACGCTGTTGACAGATGAATGGATCAGAGAAGTGCTTGGGGGAAGTCTGAGAGTTGTTCTGCTTACCCAACGTTCCAGAACATCATACTGCCATCCGTTCCACCACTAACGAACTCTGTTTCGTGGAAGGGGTGCCATGCCACGGCTGGATACCCGGCGAGAGTCACATGTAAGTAAGCAACTGGGCACTAGAGAACGCGGGCGGAAGCTGCTCCATTCTCTCCACTTGGCTCTATGACCGGGAATGGTAAACTTACACTGTACGTCCTTCTTGTGCCCACGGAAGGTCTGCATCTCCCGCATCGTTCTGATATCGAAGACTCGCAGCAGCTGGTCGCGAGAGGCTGTCGCGAGCCAGTTTCCGTTCTTATTCCATTGAATGCCCAGAATTGTGTTCTTATGACCATGACTAGCAAAGACAGGATGTTAGCGTTCCGGCAGGGTAGATCCGTATGAGTGGAAGGATTCAGTAAGCAACTTACAGCGTTGAGAGAGCCTTCCCTGTCTTGGGATCCCAGAGTTTTGCCAGATTGTCCTTGGATCCCGATGCAAGTAGGCCTTTGCTTGGATGCCAATCAATGCATTTCACATCCCATCCGTGCCCTGCATACCCATAGAATGTGCGTCAGCAGCCGCATGGCACTTTCCTCTCTCTCCACATTTCTTTCATGTCTTCCTCAACAACTCCGCGTATTTTGCTCACGGCTTACACAAGCCCCTGACAACAACATACCCGTCAAGACTCTCTCCTCGATTCCATCAGCAAACGACCAAACCTTGATCGTCCCATCATCCGAACAGCTCGCAAACTTTGCATCAGTCGGCGAAAAGCACAAATCGCGCACCGTCTCCTTGTGCGCGACCACCACTTTGAGGTTATTAAGGTTCGACTGCCAGTACTTGACAATGCCACCGTCATCGCCCGTGATCAGCCATGTGTCGTTATGTGACCATACCATCGTGCGTACTGCTGTGTCGTGTGCCTGGAAATGGAAGCAATCTAGTTTAGACTCTGAATCGTCAAATCTAAACGTACGAGACATGGAAGAACCACCCCATTACCTGCATGATGGTCTCGAAGTTGAATGTTAAACCGTTCCATAGCGTGAATTCCCCACTTGAGGCGCCTGTAATCAGTCGTCGGCCGTCTGGTGTCCACTATATTCGATGTTCGCAGAAGGAAGGAGAAAGACCATATATCAGGAAACTGCATGCCAACGTGTCCTTTCCATCCCCTACCGCAGTCCATCCCTCTCCACCCCTCAACCCCCACTTCCCAAATTCGGAACAAAACAAGCATTGCGCACCCTGACAGCGTTTATGGGACATCGAATTTTATTGGTAGAAGTATGCACAAATTTGGTAGTTATTGAGGTTGATGGGTTGTTCGGATAGCAAAAAGGAGCTAGGACCTATTTTGTTCCCCATTTGCGCAGAGAAAGAAAAAGAAATACCGGTGATCAACCGCCATGCCTTCATAATACAACTCCCAGGCACAGCGCTTTTGCCTTGGAATATCAATGCTCCGATAATGCGTCGCTCCGCTCGTGCTGTTGCAAAGACAAGTGAAGAAAATGATTGAAATGCGAACTTACATCGATGATGAAATTTGGGTCGGGCTGTACTGCCAAATGCTGCTTCCAGTTCCTTTGATATGCTCGTGTCTGTTTGGATTGAAAATGTTGAGAGGGCGCCCGCAGAAACCACAACCGCATGCTTTGCACTCCAGTGCCTGCAAGCCCTCTTTTCCCCCTAACGCACGAACGGAATAATGCATACCTCAAGGTGGCGAATAATAAAGGCGTTGAGGTCGATAGTACGCCTTTGAATGGCCTTGCGCACTCGCTTCCCGTCGATGAACTGCTGCCCCCCACCGCCTCCCCCACCATACCCGCCGCCGCCGCCTCCTCCTCCATACCCTCCCCCGCCTCCACCAGACCCGCCCGCGAAACGGCGCTGCTGATAGGGAGCTGGCCTGTTTGCCTGGTAGGAGGCCATGTTGCTACTCTGTACTAGTGAGGTATGATCTGTTCAGCGACTTTCCCACGATATCATCAACGCTGGTTTTGAGACCGAGGACTGAGTTGAGTATGAACAGGTTCAAAAGCGGGAGGGTGAGTCACACACGCGCTGTCACTCCTCTGCTTGCTGTCAGACGCGTAGCTCTCCTCTTGCTCTTTTGATCTGACGGATGGCTTTTTTCTCTCTTCTTCATAGCATCTTCTCGCGCATCCGCCTCTCGTTTCCTTTGGAGCAAACAGCGAACCAGAAGATTGCCGGCAGCTGGGGAACGCAATCAGACGGCTAGATATGGCTATCCATCCACCGCTGCTGCATCAGCAGCAACAACCGCTGCCCAAGGCCTCCATCGCTCGCGCAGGCGTCTATCCGTCCTTCCTTAAACGTGTTCCGGCCCCAAAGGGTGGATGGGCCCCTTCAGACCGTCAGATGGGAATGAACAAAAGAAGGATGTCCGATGCACAGAGAGAGGATATCAGGCGCATCGCAGATGCGATCTTGGATCCTGATGCCAATGGTTCGGGCCCGAGCGATCCTCGATTAGGTATAGAGGAGTAGTTGGACTTGAATGTGTTTCACAAGCGATTGTACTAACAGACATTTCTCTTCACGAACGATCACAGTAACGACTTCGAGCCTCATCCCCAACACGCATTACAAACTTACCCTCCGTCCGTCCAACCCATCAGACAACCTGCATGGCCCATTTCCACCTGCACATCCATCACACGCGCACATTCACGACCCACCCATTCTGGAAGTCACAGATGTAGCGGATCCTTTCGACCGCTACACTTTCTCATGTACATCAAATGCCCTCGCTGCCGTCGCATCACACGCAGGTTGGGATGCTGAAGAGGATGACATTGAATTTGACGATGATGGTAGGGAGAACCGGAAAGGATTCGGGCGCAAGGTAGCGCATGACAAGAGAGATGGAACTGGGATACCGGACGAGGAGGAAAATGACGAATACAAGTCGTTGTTCGCAAAGTTTGCAAAAGTTCTGAAATCGCTGTTGAGGAAATGCGAGGATGAGCCAAAACAGTAGGTGACGGTTTGCACGCTCTGCTTCGTTACCAAGGTCATCAGAATGCTCATGCCCGTGTTTCGCATAGGTACTCCATTACTGTCTCACATACACCAGCGACAGCCCCCGCGGCGAGCACGATCATTTTGAGAGTCTACAAGCAACTCCCTGTGTCCAGCGCTGCGGAGCGGCAAAGTATCTCAGGCCGCGACGCCCCACCCTCGCGCAAAACAAAACCACGCTTGATGCTCCATTTGGTACTCCAAAAGTCGGACTGGGAAAACACCAAGCGGGATATGTGGGGAGAGATTGTGAGGTTGAGGGTAAGTGCCTTCCATGGATGATTCGTCACTTTTCGTCATCTGGATGTTGATGCTCATTTTCGATTCAGAAACACAACGATGCGTTGACCCTCCGTTTGCTGCAAACCACCGAATACCTTTGCAAGCACAAGCCGTCCCTGCTGCCGACCTCTTTAGCCAAGGCGCTACTACATCCTCGATATGATTCTCCGTTCAAAGGGTTGGCTGGTGCGCACGGGATAGGGTCTGATGGCACTGACAGCGATAGAGAAGGTGGGTGAGCAATTATCGCAGATGTCATGGCCAATAGGACTTCCCACTGACATCGATGCATCTCCAGTGATAGAGGCACAGCCACTCAAGCTTAACATAATATACCCACCTGCACCAGCACCAATCCCACACAACACACCCGTACAACCGCATATGCCTGCATCTGAGCCTGCGCCTTTGCCCAACACATTACCACCGGACGCACATCATCATCACTTCTGCCGCAGGCATCACTGCTGTCGTCACCTCTGCGACAACAAGCATGCTCATAAGCATTACGCCTCTGATGTGTCGGCGGCTTCGTCGCACCAACATCAGTCCCATCAGCGAACCCGCCGTCATCACGAGAGCAAGTCTTGCTCACGATGCATCCGCAGAGCGCAACGTGCAGGCATCGACATCACTTCCCCTGCCTTCCATCATCAGTCACACCCCACAGTCGCCCCACCGATCGCACATAATCCACATATGTATGCTCCACCCGCTCCACCCCACCAGCCATCCTCACACATGGAAAAGGAAACCTTCATTGCAACCCTCCACCGGCACACCCGCCTTCTCCACGACTCAACCCGCGGTGCGCGGCGAGTTGGCTATTACACCCTCACCCTTGCGCACTCCACACGCCCGTTCGAGCATTTCACGAGCGGGAGGATCACCGAGGCGGGGTGGGTAAGGACAATGCTGGGTGGCCAAGCGGGTGCAGATGCTGGGGAGTATGAGGATGTGGAGGATTGGGAAAGTGGGGGAGGGCAGGCAAGCGAGGGAGTGAAGGATGTGCTGTTTGGGGAGTACATCAAAAAGTGTGACAGTGAGCCGGGGGTGTATCGTGCGGTGTGGACGGCACATCCGGCGGCGGCTAGGGACATGTTTACGGCGAATATGGACCCCACGCAGTGTCGTTCCACCCATCGTCACCCGAGACATAAACATTCGCACAATCACAAGCAGTGGTGTATCTACCACGACACGACCGCACCACCAGGGCCAAACGTCGCCGCGACCGCCACAGCACCTATCAGCTACGCCACTTCGCCCGCAGATTCCTCAACATGCACCCTCACATTGCAAACACGCGACCCACCCGACAAGCGGTGGCACACCGTAGTCGCTCTCCCCTTCCACCCTACTTCAAACGCCACGGTAATGCACGAGCTACGCGCCACATATTTCGCGCTCACCGAGGAAGTCGAGGAGAAAGCGGGGCGGCTGCGTGGCGTTGTGGAGGGCTGTGTCTGCTCGGAACCGGGGATTGTGCGCGGGCTGGGCGAGTGGGTGAGCGTGATTGGGCGTGGGCATGGGCATAAGGAAGATGGTGCCCATGGGGTTGAAAAGAGGGACAGAAGGCCGCTTAGCGAGATTGGCGGAGGAGGAAGGATGTTTGTTAACCAGGCGAGCCGGCCGCCGGATGTGTTTTGGCGCGATCTGGATCCTTCTACAATCCTCTCCCGCCGGAAAGAGCAGGATTCCCCACGGCATCAACCGGTTGCTAGTGCTCAGACACTACAGCCACCGCCGCCCAAGGCCACCCACGCGGTTCCGCCACTGCCGCACCGTCGCCCTCGCCAACAGGCTGTCGACACGAGCAAAAACCTTGCACATTCCACCATCGCTCAAGCACCACCTTCTACACAAACCGATACCCACGCATGCAGCCGCCCCGGACGCCACGCCCGGCGCGACCGCAACCACATCCAGCGCATGCAATCCCGCAGCCGCAGCCGCAACCCATCACCATCAAAATCCAAGCGGCGCGCCGCTGCAGAACAGAAGGCAAAAACCTTAGGCGAACTGCAACGCGCGTTGGATTTACTGAATGAGCGTGCGGAGAGAGTGAAGGTTGTTGCACGGGAGGCGCATCACGGCGGAGAGGTTGAAGATGCGCGATCTGAGCGTGTTGCTGTCCGTGATGAGGATGATATGGCCTATGATAGAACTGGGCATGAGAGTGCGGATGCGTACGCATCGGCCTCCGAGCGCAGTAGAACTACCTCTGAGAGATTGAGAGATTACCTCGCGACAGTTCCACCGCCGCGGGCGTTTCTGCGGCCGCGCAGGGAACTCTCGGGGGGCTCGGATGGCGACTCCGATGATGAAAAGGAAAGCGAGCGAGGGTGGCCGCGGAACTGGCGGCCGCAGCGTGATGCGCGTATGGCGTGGTAAAAGGACTCATGTGTTTGATCTGTGTGATGACGGGGAACGAGGCAAGCGGCGAGGAAGGGGCCGCCGCCGCTGCCCATTTGCGCATTCCGGCCGCTGCGTTTGCTGAGCGAGAAACCAAGCCTCAAAGGCCTCCCTCCCTCGCATCATTTGCGTCCCATATCTCATGTGCACGTATGTGCTTGATATAATGCACGCGTATATGCTTAAAATAATGTACATATACAGCTTCTCTCTCTCTCTCTACTGCAATGCCGGCTCTTTTGATTGCGGTAGTTGTACAAGAATGCAGTTCAGTACGCCGCGGATGAATCAGAAACTGTACAGGCCGTGCTCTACCGTCGCGATGCTACGCCTCCACACATGGTGGTTACGCTAATAAGATGAAACGTGAAAGCCAAGGACTCCGAAAATGTGCCGCTAATGATTGTCTAGTACTTGTGCTTAAACCGCGTGCGAATCAGGTATCTGCGAAGTCGTAACGAAGTCACCATAGTCATGTGCGTGCTCAAATCTAAAGAAGAAGCGAAGTGCACCCCACTTACCTGATCTTCGCCTGCTGCACTTTGTACACGATGAACTCATCATATTGCAGGTATGCGCCAGGAACCTTGCTCGGTACGCCCTTTCCGCACGGCACATTCACATCGGGCTCGTCAGGGAGCGCAGTGTAATCCTTCGGGTCAGGGGTTGTTTGGCCCTGCCCGTGAGTGGAATGGCACCCAGCGGCCTCGGCGCCTTCGCCGGCATGGTAATCTGCGTTGGTCAATTTGTGCGTGTCGCCCAATTCCACTTCGCAGAGAAGGAGAATGCCAGTTGGCGAGGAGCGGCTGGTGCAGCAGTAGTTGGCGCTTTTGGAAACCATGTTGGCGAAGTAGATCCCCTTTCCGAACTGTAAGCAAGGATGTGTATCCAGTTGAGTGCCTGCGGGGTGGCATAATCCAACCGCGTAAGAAACGTACCATGTAACCAGTCACTGGAGCCTCTGGTGGTGCAATTTTCAATCCTTGAGACAAGATACCGACAAAGTTTGTGCTGAGAGATCGAAGTTCAATCGCCAGTGACGGTCGCAGGAACCGGACGGGTCAGAATCTACTTACAGACGACTACCATGCCAGAGCAGCTGTTTGTTATGCAACGATTTGCAGCGATCGGCCTCGTCCTCACGCGCAACCTTATTTGATTGGCATCGGTCAAGACCCCAATCTCGTATGGACAAACGGATCAAGCGCACGCAAGAACCTACATCGAAGATGTCCTCAATCTCAAGGCTGTAGCTGTTGTGCGTGGCCGCATGCGTGTTCTTCATGTACTTTTCGATCAGAGTGAAAGTCGGCGACTCCCTATCTATGGGTTTAAGACCCGTGTTCAGCGACTTGTAATGGTTGTCGATGGGATTCGAGTCCAAGAGATTCTTCGTAGACTTGAGAATCTCCGTTGCGACTTCGATGTCCCCAAGAGCCTCGACCATTTCAAGCTTGGACTTGAGCAACTGGGGCGTATTGATCACCGTCGGCCGGGTGGTGTTGGGAAAAACATGTGGGATGATGGTGTAGAAGAGGCTGCTCAATTCGATCAAGACATCCCTGCTAGGCTTTGGCTTCGCCAGTTCATCGGAAATTGCGGCCAGAGCGTTATATCCTTTCTTGATGTTTGTTTTGGTCAGCTTCCCCAACGGCAACTTCTTGGCGTCATATCCAATTTCGACCATGCTTTGAGTCATCATTTCCACATTGAATATCAGACTAATAAGATCTTGAACTCGGCTCGGTAACTTTGAATCCGGGACTTTGACTTCTTCCTTCACAGCATCTCCATCCTCAGATGCTTTCGATTCCTTGTTGTCCTCCAGATCATCTCCGTAGTCGCGTTCGAGAAGGAAATATTTCCCTGGGTGCTTGACAAACTCAGCTCGATCGTCCCAGTCGTTCTTCGTCTTGTCCCGAAACTTTCCCTTAAACCTGCAATGTTTTGGGGCAGCTTATTTATCACCTGCACAATGGATAACACATCAAATAAAGAACTTCATTTATAGCTAACCCGGCAATTGCACGGTCCAGGGAAATTTGCTCCAGCTTGTCCTGCCCGGTAGCTCCGACCCTTCCCCATCTGGAAACGATCTGTCAGTAGAGCGTCTGAGAATGGAGGCATCCAGATGGCGTGACGCCGCCCCAAACCTGTTCCAAAGGTAGTATGACTTGTTTGCGTCGTCTTCCAGCACTTGGATAACATAGAATTTGTTGTTGTTGTTCTTGATCTCCGTTTGGTTGAGCATGCAATCTGAACGTGAGGAGAATCGATGAGAAGATTTTCTCGTGTAGGGAGCACTCCGTTGCGAAACCCACCATACACGCCGGACTCGTCCTCGTATACGTGGCAGGTTCGTGCCACAGGGCAAACCTCGTCAACAACGGCGTTCCCTTTCTTGATGAATTTCACCATTTTGGCCGGCTCCTCCGGCACAGCATCTTCGTCGTCTTCGGTTTCGCGTTTTCGCTTGCTACCGGCTTCGGTCTTTGTTTTCTTTCCATTCGTTGGCTTTTCCTCTTCGGCCTCATCCTCATCCTCCTGCTCGTCGTCCTCGTCTCTTTCATCGGCGTCCACCTTGAAGTCCTCAGTGTTCAAGATTTTACCTTGCTGGGCTGAGCAAACGAAATAATCCAGGGACACAACGGAAACATCGGTGCGCCCCTTAGCAGTTTTCAACTTTGCTGACTGCTTAAGAACATCGTCAGGTACGACCACAAGGTGCGTTAACTGTGCCAACGGGAACGATATTGTCAGATGGCTGAAATCAGGAGGCACGCTAGGCGATACGATCCTGTCGGAGCGAGACAGCCGCACTCACCGCTTTCGTCACAGAGGCGACGACTTTCCCGCCACAAGCGTTGATATAGGAGAGCGCTTGACTTGCTCTCCGGTCTTTGGCAGCATAGGCAGAAAGGGTGATGACGAGGCTATCGAACAGGGTGGAGTCCGGGACGGCAGGAGTATCGGTCTTTGCAGCCTGCTTCCCTCTTGTCTTGGGCGGCATTCTGAGAGCGCAGTTCTTGGGTGAGGAGGGGGTTGTGGCAGAGAAGAAGCGGCACGACGTTCAAGGGCTTTTATGTATGCGCCGGGTAGAAGCCACGAAAGGGCGAGCGGTCACTGGGAATATTGCAATCTGCTAATGGACTGCTGTGCCACTCCCGCCCTCCAGCGATTTCGACACTGCTTTCGACAGGCTCCGCCGTGGGCGCCAGGGACTGAGGGACAATCGCTCACAAGTTGGAGTAAGGGTCCGTAAACTTTACGCTTGATGCGAACAAAGCGCCCCTCCCCCCAAGGCGGTTCCAGGTGTGGCACACCACAAATGCTTCTATTTCCATCGTGGCATCTGCGTCTTCCTCTCAATATGGTTTACAATGCGGTTACTTTCGACAAAAGTCGGCCACCATATCCAGATTTCACAGCTCACTATTATCGGCTTCTCGTTTTCAGTCAGAACGCCCAGAACCGTTTGAAAGGACATCCCGCAGCCCGCATCAATACACTAGAATCAAGACGAACGACATGGCCGCACTCGGCGAACAACGACCTCGCTTCGGACCGCAAGGCAGCCGCATGCGTCGCTCGCAATCCAACCCAGCCTTCGTGCAAGAGCAAGCCGACACGTTCACCGGGTTCTTGTGGAAACACTCTCGCACGCATCCCAGCCGATGGATGCGCAGGCACTTCCGCTTCGAAAACAACTACCTATCCTACCACCACTCAGCGGCCGTTAACTCGCCACCACGCTTCGTCATCCATGCATCGGCCATCGACCGGGTTGTGGCGAGGGGAGCGCCCGCTTCGGGGATAGGAGGCCATGTGTTTGATATCTTCTTCAAAGACGGCAGCCCCGCCATTGAGGTGGCCGCTATCACCAAGCCAAAGATGGAGCAATGCGTCACTGTGCTGGTGCGGGGTATAGCGTCGAAAAAAGACGCAAAAGAGACGCTGACCGTAGAGGTTGCCGCCACGGAGGCGGTCGCTGACCGACCGCTGTCCTTCCACTCGGCCCCGCCCCGCGCTGTACCACTCTTATGGCCATTTCCGGACGTTCCGCTGGACCCACCTGCGTCGCGTCGGAAATCAGACGCTGAAAAGGGTACATCCAAGTTTGATGGCCAACTACCTGCTCTCCCGAAACTTCCGTCGCTCGCAGAGCTTATGGCTCGCGTTGACCAGGCGGTGGCGGACATACCGCGGACCACGATCGACTTTGTGGCTGATGAGAAAAATGACAGGGAGCCTCAGACTGGGGAAGCATCTGAGCAGAGAGGGTTGGAAGAGGGAGAAGCCGAGCAAACAGGGTTGAAAACGCCGGTGCAAAAGTCCAGTCTGAAAATGCCAACGTGGTCGAACAGCACGGGCGGAGCGACCGCGATTTCCAACGCCGCGGCGAAAAATGGGGGATCACAGGAAAACCTCACAGGATACCAGCCTCTGCCAGGTCGAGTGCTGCAGCAATTCCAGCGGTCAAAATCCATCACCTCGAAACCAAACACAAAAGCGAGCACCACCACCGCACCCACGATCGCAACACTTCCATCTCGGGGAGGATCGTCGACGACGGGGCAAAAGGAGCGGAGGAACGCTGCTCTGTTCCCCAGTTACTCAACCTCGGATCTGTACACACCCGACCCAATGCTCACTTCATCATCGGGGCCTCACCCATCGGGACCTCGCCCATCGGCTTTGCATAGTACGGAAACGCTTGATGCGTTGATGCAGGCTTTGCGCAATGAGCCTAAGTTTGTAGGCAACCCGCGTCGGTACGGCATGCTGCCACCGCGGGTGGCGAATCTGTTAAAGGATTTGCCACCACTACCAAAGGGGGCGGAGGAGACGGTGAAGGCATACAAGGCACCGGTCCGTCCCGTTTCATCCGTCCCAGGCACCGAAACCGACTTCAACGACAATCTTGCAACGATCATGTCCGACACCTCTACACCCACCACCGAACAAACCCACCGTCACCGCAAATCCGTCGACAGCGCCCGGACCATCATCCGCCCCGCCCCCATCGAAGTCGCCGCCGATCACACCCTCCCAACAGCCAACCTCTCCCCACTCTCCCCCAGCCGCGACCTCCTCCGCACCCCCGTCGCCGAGTCCCCGCTCGCAACCGGTCTCGATCCCGCCCGCACGACCTCACCCGCCACACGACAGGCCGTGCTGCTGAAAGTGATCAACATCCTCCGTCACGGCGACGCGTTGCATGAGCGGCTAAATCAGGAAGAGGAGAAATTGATGGAGGCCGTGGACCAGTTTGGGAAAGGCGGGAACGCGACGTCGGGGAAGGCGACCGAGCTGGCGGCGAGGACGAAGGCAAGGCGGAAGGCGTTGGATGAGTTTCGGATTGCGGTCGAGGATTTGGGTCGAAAGACTAGGGGTTACATCCGTAAGTTGCCTTTGGGTACCGGTGGTGGTGATGAGGGGGCGAAGGAGGATAAGACCTTATCGATTGCGAGTGATGCATCGATTTCAAACGCTGCGATTGATTTGGTGGAGAGTGTAGAGGTGACCATCATGAAGCTCGCGCAGTTGAAAGAGATCTTTGGGCCTTTAATGTGAGGCTCTCAACTTCGCTCATCCTTGGAGCGATGGATCCTTTCTCGACTTATAATGCGAGGACGCAGATAGGCGCAGTTAGAGTAGGCCTTTTGCAAACTTGTGTTTCGAGAAAACTCGTAATTGATAGAATGATACCTGGTGTGTTTGATCCAATTCGGAAAACGTTTGAGGGGGGTATATTTGAAGGAAAAGATTCCAAAAAAATAGGGACGATATTATACATAGGGTGAAGGTAACCTTCCTCACCGGTTGAGCGTTATGGAAGGGGAAGCACCTAAGCTATCATGATACTGGCACAGTTGATGTAAAACTAATATCCCATTGACGATTGAATCCAAGTCCAAAGTTCATGTCGAAAATGCGGCAAGTAACAGTTGTGATGGGTGGATAGCGCGGTGGCTATTGCCACGAGAAATACAACACGATATTAGTGGTATTATCATCCAAGCTCAGTCGGTCGAGGCCAGCCAAGCTCGCTTGCGTTATGTAGTTGCTGGCAGATGTCGCGTCCGCGTTGCTGCTGACGGCTTTAATTATGTCGTCGTCGGTTACTCCGTCCCACACGCCGTCGGTGGCCATTACGAGGAACCGATCCGAGGGGGTTAGCGTCACGACGTCGACTTCTGGTTCGCACGTTATTCCTAGGCGGCGGGCCACGTTGTCTCCTAATGTTCTGGTCACCACTAGCCTGCATGCATGAGGGAGATTAGTTTTTCGGAGTGCGGGCTTGTGAAATCTGCAGATGGATAACTTACCCAGGATATGGCAACGTGCCCTTGAAGATCCGCAGGGGTCCTGTTTCGAATTCCACGTCCGCAATCAGAAAGGAAGGCTCAGATTTGCACACAGAGAACGTCCTAAACGACGTACCGTCGGTATTGCCATCCGTTGGTAAGCTCTCTACTCTCGCCCCGGCTTTTGTCACCCTCTCGTACTCTCCTGGATCTGTGCAATTATGATCTCTGCATCATTCGTCCCAGAAGTTTGACGAAAGAAACATGGTAAGCATTTCACGCGTGCGCCAACCTTTGCCGTCTTTCTCATTTCAACAGTCAGCCTCCTCTCACCTCGTCAACGGCCGGAGCGACAGGCCGCCCTGGGCCTCCGTCCGTCCCAGGACCACGCGACTGTCGCCAATATGCGCCACATAAAGCGTCTCGCCTACCAGCAACACCAACGCGACGGTCGATCCCGACATGTACGTATCGATGCTCTGCTCATCCTCCAGTTTCTCGTTCACGAGACGAAACACGTTCGTGAACGCGGTTTTCGGGTCCCCTGCTAATATCTGTTCCGCGTGTTGCGCAACGACGGCGGCGAACTGCTCTTTGACGAACTGTGCGACTTTTGTTCCTTCACTGCCGTGGCCGTCCAGGATGATAAAGAGGTAGGTTGGATGTGGGTTTGAGGGGATCGCGGAAGGGTGTATCAGGAAGGCATCTTGTTGGGAGGCGCGTCGGCCAATGTCGGTGCTCGCACCATATGAGACCGTAAGTGGCATCGCTCGAGACTAAGTAGCGCTGCGGTTCCGGAAGAAAGTGGTGCGGTTGATCTCGGGAGAGTGTAGTTGACTTCTCGTTATGTGCTGAGCTCAATAGTGGGAAAAAGCCAAGACAGACACAATTGCGTTTTGGCCCTGGCGACTGCTCCTCCAGAGATGGCCTCCCGATGCGACCCTGTAGCACCTTGAATACAGCGAACACGAGCCAAGCTACCAGCCGGACCCGAAAGGAAAGGCAGCTGATGGTGAGGACAGTCGAACGGGATGGCCGGAAGTGTTGAGAAGGAAAGGGAACGGAAACCGGCAGGAATTTTGAAAATTTTGAGGGTTGAAGCCGCAATCCGATAAAGTTGATTGATGACTTGCTGAGCCATGCGATCCCAATCGACAGCACCCACTAGGGCAAAATGACGGGAACCAGCCACGCCACTTCCAAACTCCGCTCATTCTCACCCCGGCTTCTTTCTTGCATGCACTGGATTACTCGCACTCCTTTGCTGACCTGAAGCTGCATCACGGCGTTTCCATACACCCAAGTTCCCAGCTTTTCAACCGTTTCATTACGCATTTCTGCTGTACGCTATCTTGCTCTGAAAAGTTAGGACTGGTATCTGCGAAAAGTGGATTTGCGATTGGAGACTAATTTCTCCCCGTTCGCACAGCAGGTTCAGCCTGACGAAGCGAGGCGGAGACATTGGCGACTAGTTCCAGAAGCGAATGCCGCAAATACATGTGACGGTAGCGCGATCATCATGGCGACACTTCCACAACTAGATACAGCGCCACACCACCATGCCCATGGTCCACACGCATCACATGGTGGAGAAGGTCACATCCAATCCCACCACTCCCATTACCACCATTTCCAGCAACAGCATCCCGCTCCACTGATCCATGCACATTCCCGGCCCCTTCCACTCCACACACAGGCGCCGCCCAGCGCGCTTATCACAACCGGCCACAGCCAACACCACCACCATGGCGCCCCGCCAAAACCAGAAACATGGTCCCATCGACATTTCCCAACCTACCATGCGACCTCATCAAAGCTTCTGAGTAAGAAGTGGGAGGAGAGGGCGAGGCAGATTCATCTGCAGAAACTGAGGAATGCTGCTTGTACGGTTGATAATCGGCCGCCCAAGAGGCGGCCGCATCTGGAGGTCAGGCTGAAGAAGCTGCAGTCTGAGCAAGGTGAGGGTTAAGAAAACAAGCAAGCTAAAAAGTAGGGGCTTAAACAGAGGGTCACGCTAACCGAACCTACACCAGAACGACTGTACGAAATTGAACGAGCAAACCACATCCTCCTCGACCGCATCTCTTTCCAAATGCAAGCCGCATCCAACCTCCAACCCGGGATCTCACCAGCTGCTGACGAGCCTACCCCCGTTCCTGGCGGGACCACCGTCCTAACCGCTTCTGGTACGCCAGCGCCTGGCAGTCTGCACGGTCCACGGCGCGCACAAATTCTTCGCTCGATAGCGAAAGAGAATGCAACGATCATGCAGCGCATCGAGGACCAGCCACCCAACTACAAGCGCTCGAACTGGACGCGGGAACGATGCAAGAATCTGGACTACTTGCGCAACATTGCAAGTTTCCCGGAGAGTTATACGCGCCTGTTGGAGGATCATTTGGAGATTGGCCGGAAGAAGAAAAATGGAGAGGCCGGTGCATGCGGGCCGGGATGTTCGCATGGGCATTCCGGGCATGGAACGGCGCAGGAGGGACCGAGAAAGCTGGCGCCCCCGCCTGTGCAAAGACCCAAGACGGCGCAGAACCCGAGAACAGGCGGGCTGAACTCACCCACGGTGGCTACGCTCGGCAACCCGAGAATGTCGGCGTCGCTGATCGGACCGCGGGGAATCGTCGGAAGGCCGCAGCGGGCAGGCTCCGCACGCGATTTGGGGAGCAAACGGGCCAGCCTGCTTGAACTGGCGCGTGGGGATGACGACTTGGACTTGGCACCGAGCGAGGAAGGGACGGCGGGAGAAGAGGACTGGGTGCCTGTGTTAGAAACGGGGCGTCCGCAGACCAGAGTCAATCGGATGAAGGGACCGTTGTCAGAGTATGGGGAGAGTGAAGATGAGCGGGAGAGGGACCGGGGACGACAGACCGAAACGGCGTCTTTCGGGTTCGAAACAGAGAATGAATCTGAGGGTGCGGGGCCGAGCCGGCCCGAATCTCGAGAACAGCTTGATGACGAGCAGCGGTACGATGGAGGGGCTGCTGCGGAGGCAGAGGAAGAAGACAACGAACCTGCACCAACGCAAAGACACGCGACACCCTCAGAAGCCGCTGATGAGCAACTAGCGGGAGCCTTCGCAGAGCAAGGCAATCAATACAGCGACGAGTATGACAACGAAAAGTTCGAGTCCTTGCCCTCCTTACCCGCTCAAGACTCGCGACCCGTCTCTGCAATTGTGGATTATTGATCACACAGACCCATTCCCGCGGCAGTGTAGCTGTAGAAGACCAACCCCACTTACATAATGTAATCACCAACAGTAAAAACCTTGAGCCAGCATGGCAGCATCTGTCTTTTGTAGTGAGTGTGCGAGACTAGCGAGGTGTCCGGCAACTTTCTCCAAGACGCGTTCCTGTTCTATTCCTGTCCGCCCTCCGGGACCTCCGAGACCTCCGTGTCGACCGTCAAAAGCTCAAGCCACGACTCTCAAATCGACAGCCTGAAAGGAGGAACATCTGCCAACCCACGCCTGCTTAAAACGCCAAGAAGGAGACCAGTCCCCGTCATCCCACCACCACCATGTCCACACTCTTCAACGTTGCCTTGCTGCTCTTCATCATCAACGCCTTTACCGCCCTCTTCTTCTTCTTCGACAAAGAACGATCTCTTAAACAAGGATGTGGGTGTGACGTCGTGAAGATGGCTGCTGATCGTCTACCTGGATTTTTTTCTCTGTGTTTCTTTCGACGTTCTGTTCCTGCCGTTATGGTGACTCGTTTTTCGGTGACAAGCAGATCGCCGCTCTCGGAAGCGTACTGGTGGGTACCAGCAAATTTGTGAAGTGTTCCCTAATTGGTGTGGGAAAATGTGAGCACAGCCAAACTTGCCCTTTTAGATCTTACATAGGATGGCAATCAATCTGCCAAACTGGAAAGGGAGTTGGAACTTGCAAAACGCTCGCCACACTGGGTATCGGATACATATTTGTCAGCGGGAGTCTGCGTATATGCATTCAAGCTTGTGGAGTGGTGGCGATTGTTTGCAACTCAGCAGCCCCGTACGGCATCTGCCCAGCCGGTCTACCAACGACCATATGTGCGTTGCTAGATGCGTTTCGAAACATGCACGTTTGTCTTCCCGACCGGCGTATCTGTAAACAGCTGAACACTGTATGTAGAATAACCCCGCAATTTGACATATTAAGGAGCAAATATCATGTCGACCGCATCCATTCTACAGTCACACCTCGTTGATATCAACTCCGTTTATGTCAATTCGTGCCGCAGGCCATAAGCACGGAGCTGCTGCGACATCGGCTCTAACCATCGGCTTTTGTTTAGCGCCCGAACCTTCTGAGGACGAAAGGGCCTTGTCTTGTTTAGCGCAATTGGAGACTTATGTCACGGACAAGGGTATTGATGTAAACGAGGAGGTGTGACAGTACGTTGGACGTTTTGAGGACGTTTGCCGATCTCATGATATAAGAGAGGTTCCTCGGTTATCGAAACCCCAAAGCTTAAATCTAGAGCAGGTTGGTCTTTCGGAAGGGCTGTTCAGATTTTCCCATTTCTTCGCTGAAGCTGATTGCCAGCACCGCACACCGGTTAACCAACACGACACCTCAAACTCTATCTCAACATCTGGCCGAATATCCAGTGTTGGGCACTTAATGAAAGGGTTAGGGTTAGGGTTAGGGTTCTCTGATTCGTTGATGATGAGCGGTGCGACGATATCACCGTGCTCATATCCAAATTTTGTACGCTCCAAGCGCAAGTCTCCGCAAGACCCCCGGAAGCCTCCCAGTTTCCCCAACATTTCAGATTCCAACACTGAACAAGACATAGAAGACCACTGAAAATATTTGATTGACAGATATGAACAGCTACATATGCTCAGATTGCAAGAACGCAAATCTAAGCTTTGCCAGCCTTCTTGTCGGAGAAGATATAGGTGAGACCGCACTTCCCGCAGTACTGACGGTCAAAGTGCATGGCCATGAAGACACCGGCACCGCAGGTCTCGTTGGGGCACTCACGACGGAGACGGGTGATCTTGCCATCGTCGTCGACCTTGTAGTACTTCAAGACCGCAAGCTTAACCTTCTTGTGCTTGTGCTTGATCTTCTTGGGGGTGGTGTACGTCTTCTTCTTACGCTTCTTGGCACCACCACGAAGGCGGAGCACCAAGTGGAGGGTGGACTCCTTCTGAATGTTGTAGTCTGGTGCAAAAAAAAGGCGACTTAGCGTCTGGATATATTACCGCCGAGGTTTGGACCACGGTAAAAAAAAACCTACCAGAAAGAGTACGGCCGTCCTCGAGCTGCTTGCCCGCGAAGATCAGACGCTGCTGGTCTGGGGGAATTCCCTCCTTGTCTTGGATCTTAGCCTTGACATTTTCGATGGTGTCGGACGACTCCACCTCAAGGGTGATAGTCTTACCCGTGAGGGTCTTGACGAAGATCTGCATGTCTGTAAATTGAAGCGGTGAAGTCAGTTTTCTTCGCTCCTTCGTTGGTCGACTGTTAAAAGAACGCTTGCGGGTATTTGCCGCTGCCGGTCGAATGGGGAGAGCCACCAGACATGCATTGGAACTACTCACTTGCAACTCTCTCAGTTCAGACTAGCTTGTTCAGTGAAAAAGAAGCGTCCTCACCTGGCCCGAGATATGAGACAAACGGGATGCCAAATTTCCGGGAGTAGCGGAGAAAGAAAGAAGAGCAGAGCCGAGCTAAAGTGCGAGGGTGGCGGCCGACGAACGAAAAAAACGATCAGTCACGTGACTCGGAGAGGTGTGACGTGAATTTCGACAGTGCGTCAGGAAGTGGCTTTGAAATGCAGGACTTCTCCGGCCGGCCATCTCAACAGAAGGCACTTGGACCGGGGCATCCAAGGGTTCGTCGCGAGGTGCTCAGTGCTTGCTTGTTGTTTCTATTTTCTCAGCTCTCATGTCATGCTTGTTCCTGAGGCTCGAGTACGCTAAAAACCGGGAAACGATCCCACTTCAGAACATCATGAGGACTGCCACAGCGCCGCGGCTGCTCCCGGAGCTCATCGAACCGGTCCTCGAATACCTTTCCATACCATTCCTACGCCTGGTCTGCCGCCGCGTCAGCCGAGAATGGCGTTACGCGACCGACACCGTGATCCCAAAGCTCCTGCTTCGTCCACCACTACGAGCCGAAATGGCTTACCTCGACCACGTCTTGATGCGCTACGAGTACGTCAACTTCGACACGCTGCAGTTGATTGATGAACGACAGGATGGAGTTGAGGAGAATAGCGGAGTTCGAGAGGAAAGTTACAAGGACCGGTTAGTCGTGTTCCGCCCCAAACCCGCCGGAGACGTTTGGTTCCAAGTCTGGCACGGGTTTTCAGCCGAGCACGACGCGAGTGTCTGGGAAGACGTAAGGTTCTCAGACGGTTCTTGGGAGTCCAATTGCGACGGCTTTCTGCCGCGCGTAGTATACGATATTAGTGCCGTCGGCGGGTCGGGGATCAAAGTCGCGCGGCGCGGCCCCTGGACGCTGGAGTACGAGGTCCTAGACGAGCATGAGGACTCGGGCGGATATGACGGGGACGACGATTTCGATGAGGCGTACGAGATTCGCGTGCGGTTGGTGTCGATTACCATCACTTTGCGGCATTTGCTGACGTGGGACGGGATGAGGAGGATACGGATTGAGCACAGCAGAGCGTTTTTCGATCAGAAAAAGTTGAGAGAGGTGGAGGCGAACGAGGACGAGAGGACGAGAAGACGGCGGCGGGGAAGATAATCCGAGGGCTCCGCACGTCAACACCTCGAAGCTCTGGCATTGGCAAGCGTCTTACATGAAACCGGATGTTAGAGTTTCGAGCTCAAGCCCCCGCGCCTGGCTGCATTGGCGGATATCAGAATATGCTTGCAGATCGCGGCCCACCCAACGAAAGGCTATCGCATGCAAGCAAGTTGCGCACGAGTAGACTGTTTGTCCAATGCGGTGGCCGCCTTGCAACAACCTGCCGCTCAAAGCTCGGGGCAGTTTTGGACGGGTGTTTGGCTTCGTCACTACGCTCATCCATCGCTTACGATGGTAGGATAGAGGCCTATCATGGTTGACTGGCCTACTAAGAATCAAAGTTCGTTCCCGGAGCGAGAGGCTGAAGGATGGTCGCCGGTACGAAAGAGAACTGGCGTAGCGGTGAACAGCTGATATGTTTGACTTTGGAGAGTCACCCCTATTCCCTATCTCGATCCCTACCTCCCCTCTCTTTTTGGAGCCGAGAACACACAGTCACTCGCACACACATGCATACCACCTCGTTTTTGCTAAGAATATTTGAAATGTCTATTGAATATGGATTCTCTATGATGATACATTGCTTATAGGGCCAGCCAGCCAGTCAATTAGGGGGTTTACAGCAACTAGGAGTTCGATGAGGGACTGACAGACCACCTGAAACAGCTTACTGAATACGGTACAGCAGGTGGTGTAGGAGCCGCGAAAATCGGGTGTGGCAACCCGACTTTTAAATGAAGGTCTGGGGACCGTCCGTTTTCGCTGTGCTTCCCGCATCGATTAACACCGGGTGTATGTGATTATGCTGATTTGCTACAGTTGAGGCTCTCCTCTCCTGCCTATTTACAAGAGCGTGCCGAACACCCGGTCCCACAACTTGGTGGTGATTCCGTAGCCAAGGTTGGCGTCCTTGTAGTGGTGGTCCAAGTGGTAGCTCTTCATGGTTCGTAGATGAGCCGCGAAAGGTCTGCCGTGGTGTAGGTAAACTATATCGCACAGGAATAAGATCGTCAGGAATCGAACTCCGAGGCACGTCGACCTGATGCAAGCGCAAACTTACAATGTATCAGGTCGTACCCGACATAGCCTGGAATGACACCTGTTGCCAGACCGTACACCCACTCCTTGGGCAGGATCGCGCTGAAAAAGTTCCAGAGGCCGATTCCCAGAATTACGGAAAGAGCTGGAGGCATCACAAGACGCAGCCTGTGAACGACCCAATATATCAGATTAGACAACAGACAAAGGAATGCGACAATGAGATGTGATTCTTACCTGTCCATGGGGAGGTAGTGGTGAATACCGTGCAGCAGGAAGTGCAACGTAAGAGCAACACGGTTGTCTGGCAAAACCGCCTCCACGTGGAACAGGAACCTATGCAGGCTGTACTCGATCACGGTCCAGAGAAGCACGCCAAGAGGCAATAATTGCAATGTGGCCGGCAGGCCGATTTGCTGGCTGGCAAGGTATAGAGACACGATCCAGATCGGCGCCCAGAACATGGGCACGGCGTACCAAACGGTCTTGGTTAACGACTCCAAAATCGGATTCCCGAAGATTGGCGCCGACCCCTTAGCGTGTCGTGGCATGTGAACATGCTTTAGGTAGTGCTCTTTGGTGAAGTTGCCGAACCAGACCTGCACCAGCATAGGCTTTGTGACGTCGATGAATGGTTCGACAGGGGTGGTTGTCGTGGTGGTCGTCGTGGTGGTTGTTGTACGCTTCTTCAGAACCGAGACGCCCTCGGAATCCACTGCGCTGGCTGTTACGGACGACGCCGCTAATTCGCCAATGTAGTACTCCTCAAGCAGTTCGTAAGCCGACTCTGAGTGGTCGTGCTCGACGGGGTCCTTCATGACCTCGGACACGTCCTTTCCTCCATACTGCAGCAACAGCTCTTCGCCTCCGGGGTGATCGAACATGAAATTTGTGACATCGTAGACTATACGAATAGAACAGACGTTAGTGAATAGGATCCACTAGAGAAGGTTTTCGACTGACTGAGGATAAGGACCGCCTTCTTCCTGCCATGGCCCTCTCAACGCAGTGTCATGATGCCCCAGGCAAGTAAAAGTGTTCTAATTCTTCGCCTTGCTAGGCTCCCAGGGTTGGCTAAAACGGCCTCACCTCCGGCCTTCCTGCCATCCCTGAACCGTTCTACGCCCTCCGGTCGGTCGTTTGTCAGGCTTCCGCCAACCCGAATTTGCAAGCCTCCAAGGAAAACAAGGCAGTCCTTGCAGCCTGTTCCTGCCACGTCTCCCTGCGACGACTCCTCGATGTCCTCCCAACGCTTCCCGTCCCATGACAACACACCTTTGCTTCCCAAGGTCAGCCATAGGGATTTCGCCGTGTGGTGTTCGGAGACCTCCTCGTGGGAGAAGGTGCGGACCTCCTGCTGGTCGACGACCGTTGTTTGTGCGCTTATCCCCATCATCTTGGAGGGTTGGTATCGGGAAACCGGTGAATATGTGTGGTGTGGGGTGGGATCAGTTCTGTCGACAGAGCTGAGAGGTTGTCCCAAAACTGTGAATTTGACCGTCGTTTGTCAGAGCGGCAGAAGATCGCGGGAGTCGACTCAGTCGAACAAAGTGGAGCGGTTTCTTATCATCGCAGGTTAGGATTCCCGACCATTTGGGCGCTTTCGAGGCTAATCATTCTTGCCGCCAAGCAAACGCGGCAAACCTGAAGCGGCAAATTTTGATGCGCCGCGGCAAAGCGAGCGAACGCCTTACGCAAGCATGACTCTTGTATAAACAAACTCCCTCGGACTGCGCAATTGAACGAAACGCGTGCGGTGAACTTGTTATGCAACAGCTGCGCCGATCTATCTCCAACGCGTCGCATATGTCGGTCCCCTTGCGTCCCCTCTCGGTTCCCAGAAACCCCTTGCATATCTGTTGTCCCGAACCATGAACATGAACGCCGCCGCCAAACATGTCCTTTGACCGCTGAGAAATATCGGAACCCTGGGAGCTTCCGGCAATTGCTCAAAAAGCCCGCCCTTAGGCCCCCGTCCTTGCTCAAGATCTACTCATTCGCACGTAAAAACGTACATATCATCGCCGCCGGAGAAAGGACGTATAGAGACTTCGTGTTTCGTTTGTAGATATCGGGGTCGGGGATCGTGTCAAGATCACCTACCTGTACCTAGATTAGCTCCGATAGAGTCGTCGTTGTTTTCGTCGGAGTTCATTGCGTTTGTTGTCTTCGCTCTTCATCCTATCCTTTTCCTCAAGTCAGCACCAGCGCACTTGAGTAAGTAGGGCAGCAACCAAACACGGAGCATGGATTCACCACGAGCCGACCGCAACCGCGATGATCCAGCAGCAAAAGGCGGCCACTCCGTTCTGTTCGCCCCTCGCCGAAGTCATCACGGCCGCCGGAATACGGGCGGCGTCGGCAAAGGCATAATATCTGGCTCGGGAGCCGGTGGTGGGGCTCTCGCGTATCTCAAGAAGTTAGGACGACCAGGGTGCCTACGCTACGTGTTCTTTGCCCTGCTCGTATGCTTCGTCACGTATACAATCCTTCTCAGCAGCGACTCGGCGAGCCAGTCTTTGGAATCGACCAAAAATGCCGCGCATGGATTCTTGTCCAGAAAGCACCGCTTCAAGCTGCATCACCAAGATCCTACCATACCTGATCAAGAAGATGAGTCTGTGAACTATGACGAGTCTAGCGAGGTCCCGGTCGCAGTGGGCAGTGATAGCGATGCAGCGGCGCCGGACGACCCATCAAACTCAAATACGGAGAACAAGGCTACCTCGCCTGAGAGCGAGGACCAGAGTGAAAACAAACAAACGCCAATGTCTTCCATCACCGGGGAAAACATGAACGCGACTGAAGTGGCCAATGCAATAGCGGACAACGAGCCGGGAGCCCACAACGCACGACTTCCCGCGGCGATGCTGCCCAACAAGGGCGGTGAAGACAACGCCGTAGCGCAAGCTCAGCAAGCCGCGCCGGCACCAGACTCCGACGCGTCGCGACGACCTGCTTCCCCCGGAGCCGACAAGAAACAATCACAGTCTCCTACAGGAAACAAAAAGGATGATATCGCATGGTACAAAGCGCAATACGAGGCGTTGAAACGTCGCATGGCATTGGAGATGGAGAACGCAGTGCAGGCCGATCGGGAGCGCCGCAAGGAGGAACTGGAGACGTTGGTCGAATCCAAGTTAACACAGCGGATCGCGAACGAGCGCGCAGAGATGGAGAAGGAATTCAAGAAGAAGCTTACGCACGAGATCGAGCATGTGAAGGGTGATGCGCGCGATACGGTTACTTCTGAGCTGGACAAGATATTTGCCACTGCCAATGTCAACCAGCTCAATCAGAGGATATTCCATCCGGACCTGGCCAACCGCCTGTCCAGAACGAAGCTTGTTGAGTTGACTGGATTCAAAATGTGTGAAATGCTCGACGGGGCCTTGTTTAATCCCTGGGTGAACCTACGTACGTAGTCCTCGCCGATTCATACGGTGGAATGCAAAGTCTGTGACACTGACGTCTTTTTGAACTTCCTTGTCAAAACAGTGCCCATCGGCGGCAGCCTCGTAACCGCCAATCCCTCCCGCGCGCTCGCAACGGGGATGCTCGACGCCCTCGCACGCAAAATCTTTGACAACATCAACTCCTGGGCCGACGACGACAAGTTCGACAAAGACTCCGTTACCCGATTCGCATGTTACATGGCAGCCCACGGACGGAACGAGTATGGACTCATGACCGATGGCGCCTGGTTGGTGCACATCAACGGTTCCAAGTATTTCCAGGACTTGGTCCTCGAAGGTCCGGGAGATACGCCGCTACATCCCGGTGTAAGATATTTGGGCGTCGAGGGAGAGAGGAAGATCGCAGAGGAGAAACAGCGTAAGGAGAAGGAGGATGCTGAAGGTAACCATGAGAAGAAAAAGGAGCATCCACAAGATCCCAACAATGAACATAAGAGTGATGATAAGAAGGATGATAAGGAAGAGCAAAATAACCAACATGACGATGGCCATCGCAACAACGATGATAAAGCCAGGCGTGAACTCGCCGGCGACAGCGGCGAAAACAAGCAAGCCGAAACCAATAAAGAGCAACCCAAACCGGATGACCTCACCCGCTTCGACCTCCAGATCCCCACCCTTGGCTCCGATGTCACCAAAGACCCCTCATCGCCACAAGTCCCTCGACACAAATACAAGATCGCTTACTTACTTCTTGTCCACGAGCGCCTCGACATCTTCGAGACCCTCTTCGCCGCGCTGTACAACACCGACGGTGTGTTTCTCATTCACGTCGACTCCAAGCGTGTGGATTTCAAACGGAAGGTTCGGGAATGGTTGATCAGGCACCCTATCTACAAGGATGCGCGGAATATTTTCTTGGGCAGATCATTCAACCTGAACTGGGGAGCAAGCAGTATCGTGTTTGGACAGTTGCAGGGGTTCTTTTCCTTGATGGATGTCGCTGATTGGGACTATGTCGTCAATTTGAGTGGATACGACTATCCCATCCGCAGCTCGAAGAGTATTCATGCCATTCTTGAGGTAGATTCTTGTCACGAAGAAAACTTACATGCTTGTTCGGACACTGCCCTAACGTCATCCACTCTCCCTCCCAGCGTGACCCCGGGAAGGTGTACATCGAGCACTGGCAAGACCCCGATACGGAATGGCGCATGGAACGCGCCTTTTTCCTCGCCGAGTCCAAGACGTACGTCAAAACACCCACCGCCGCTCCCGACCGTCGTTTCGCGCTGGATCACCGTTTCCGTCCTATGAAGCACCACCAATGGATGATTCTTCCGCGCGATTTCATCTCCTACCTCCGCAAATCGCAAGACGCGCACGACCTCCTCGCATGGCAAGAACACTCCTGGATCCCCGACGAGTCGTACTTTGCCATGGTCGCCCTGTCGCCCAAGTCCGGATACGCCGACAAGATCATCAACGATTGCAAACGCTTCATCTTCTTCGACAAGGGTGCCCTGCATCCCATCTGGATCCGCGATGGCGATGAGCACAAGCTGGAAAAGGGCGCAAATGTTGAGGTTTCCCTTCCGCCAGAGAAACGTGATAACGCTACCAACCCCACCCGCGAGTACTTTTTCGTGCGCAAAATCAACAGCCTGTGGGAGAAAAAGATTAGTGGGTGGATGGATGACAAGAGACGGAAGACGGATGAGGCATTGGCGCAGGAGATCGAAGAGATCGATAAACGGTTTTGGAAGAATCCAGATGAAACGGGAGATTATAGTGTTTATTGAGGACCTAGAGCTTTCACCATGACAGATACTCCGAGACACATATTCTGGTCAATTTTTCTTTTTCTATTCCCTTTCTCCGCACCATTGCGGCTTGTATTCACCTTATATGATTCTTTTGTAAGCTCTACCCTATTTATCTATGGCAATGATCCCCATCGTTTCATTACAGCTGCGTTGCTGTATATGTACGCTTCGAGTGCTTTTCCGCTCAGGATTTCCCATGGCGTAACGGCACCAAGCTGTCCGTAGATCGAGTAAACCTACTGCCAGGCGATAATGTTTGGGTGTTAAGGCCTGCGATCCGCAATCGGAAGACATGTGTCGTCTCCAAGTCGTAGCTCGGTGCAGGCGGTGGTAAAACCTATGGTCATGTTTAAGATCTCCTGCCGTATGCCATTTGAAATCACCGTGCTGTCCCGCCCCTTTGGGATTTTCGCGGAACTGGAAGTCCAGCCGCAAGCGATGAGGCATGGACAATCATATTCTGTGGCTTGTTCACCGACGCTTCGCTTGACCCGAAGGCTCTATAAGGTTCATCCTCCTGAGTTACACGGGCAGGCGGGCACAGCAAGTCGGGGGTTCGGACTATACGAATCGATATCCCTCGACGATCTTCCCTCAATAATACAGCCTCGATGTATCCATTCCCACCCAAACGGCGGGGCCTTATTTGGGTCCGCCCCTAGCAGCCCTCGCAGCGCTCCTCCTGCCCCTAGCCGACAGCGGTCCAAGCAATGGTCCTCTGCTCTTTTTCCTCACTGGCTTCGCCCCTTTCCCCGTCCTTCCCTTGCCGCGCTTGAATGGCGAGAAACCCCTCCCTGTCCGGCTGGCCGCGATCGCGGAGATTACGAACACGGCTGCAAGGGAGGTAAGGAGAGCTATCCGGGACCCACTCCATGTGCGTATAGAGCGAAGTGCGGCTGTGAAGACGGAGAGAGGAGGACGAGCTGGGGCCGCCGTGCTGGAGGACATTTATAGCGTTCGGCAGTGGCTTGCGTATGAGAACTGCTACGTCGTCGATGAGGCGGGAACTCGAGGCTACTTCAAAAGTCCCACTTTCGACCAGATCCAGCAAACCAGCCAGTGAGTACTCACCGCCGACATACTGCACGTTTCGCAGGGGCGTGTCGCTCTCGGGCCCACCCTCACTTTGACAGCAACTGACACTATCCACGCGACACTCCATTTTCCGCTCCCCAAAAAAACTGAGCTTCCTCGTTTTCGACGCAGACCGCAGCACAGACAAGGGCAACGCGTGAACGCCGTTGGTGCGGGACTTCAGCGGAATTGGCAGGGCTATCAGAATAATTGAAAATATCTCACAAAAGTTTCGAAACCACTGAGTTACAGGCCATTTTTGTAAAGTCATACCGAATTTCTGGAACCTGCTTTTTGGAGTGCAGTCGTGCATCGCACAACTTCTGAACCATCATGAGGTGTTACGCCCTCAGAAACTAGACTACAAGGAACAAAAAATTATAATTGCTCAAAGCGATTCGGCTCATTGCCCACATGCTACGGATGTACAAAGTTGCTCAAAAGTCATATGTCCTAATACTAAAGCCTCGGCCGTCGTAATGTCCATATTGCGAGCAAACCACACCATCATGTCCGTACTAATTTTGATGAACATAACCTGGCAGTTCTGACACATGCCGTTGGGTCCTAAATGTCTCCGGGCACCCACACGAGGCTAACGGCAGAAGGCAGTCGTTGGCGTGATCGGATCCTGCCATGAATTAGGCGAAGCGGAAATCTGAAACTGGTGAATTGGGATGTCCGTATTGAACTGTACGACTGGGGAACGCCTCAGCGGGAGAGGCAGCAGCATCTCTGAAATCTTGGTCGCGGGCGAGGGTTGCGGCGGCGGCGGAACGGGGATGGGGGGCAAAGTTTCAAGGGTAACTCGTGATTTCTTCTTTGGTCACTTCGCTGGGCACTAACAGGGGGCAGCCCGGGTTGCCAAAGCTTGTAGAAACCAATCTTCCTTGATCCATGCTTTGTCGCCTTGAGGACTTCTTCCGAGTGGATAATATCGAAGTCCATGTGGACCAGCCCGTGAAAGGTATGGACAAGATGATCATGCATGCGTGAGACGGCTCCTTCGTAGTTCTCCGAGTTGCTTTTGGAAGATGACGGGTGGTTTTCCTTGTCTGTGACATGAGAGCGTCGCAGTCGGAATGGAGGCCCTCAGAGAACGCATCAAGATCAACAAAAGGGCGAGATTTGGGCGGTGCGGCGATGAACATATCCGGTGAGCTGAGCCAGCGGTCATGCTGAAAGACATTGTAGATACCATCCGTCTGTATGCCTTTCTCATCCGCCCCCCCCCCCCCCCCCCCCCCCCCCCCCCCCCGGCCTGTAAACCCATAACTATATGCGCTTGAGGGGAAAATGCGGCATCCGAGAGGAGGTGCTGAGTGTGGCGGGAAGTGAGGTGGGATACTAAGCAACCTCCTTCTGTCCATAGACTCTGGAGGACTACGTTCCTCGTCCAGAGCACAATGGACTCCATTCGGAGGTTGCTTATTTGTCAATGAAGAGGAAGCCATGTTCGATGCCATATCGCGTAGGAATTTGTCGTAGGTGCGCTTGTCTTTGGAGCAGGATGCCTTGGTGTACACGTCGTCGATGCCAATGGTGTAATGTGTTTGGAACACTCTTGAATTGGGTACCCAACGCCCCTTCTTGATCGTTTCTTTGCTGAGTCCACTGTGAGTTTGTGCGGTCATGATGGCGTGAGTGATGGATTTTGGTGTTGTTGTGCGAAGACGCAAACTATCCTGTCAGTTACTGTCATTGCGTAAGCAGACGCGTAAGCAGTCTGGTCACGTTCAGAGAGACAAAGACCCCGACGCCAGAGTCTGGAGTATATAGAGACATACAAGAAGTAATACAATAAGACCAGTAATGGTTCTACGCTTCATCGGCTCCTTCCAGTAATAACACAACAGGTTATGAGCACTGTTTGCGGAGCCGAAACAAAGCAGTAAGGAACGTATCGCAAACTCGTTAAGCCAGCACAAAAAACCGCCATGGCCTTCAGACAAAGCCCAATTCAGACACGCGCCCGCGCCGGAGAGCTGAGGAAGAGTTGGTCAGGAAGAGCTGAGGCGGAGCACAAATCAGTAGAAGAGGAGCTTCAAGAGCAGGTGGAAGGTGTTGATGAGAAGAACGAGGCTGCATACAAGCTGGAGTTGTTGGAGCAAGAGGTCCGTGAACAGTGTAACGTCAGAGGAAACGTAGACGATATTGGGCCCTTCCGAGACGGCTGAGAGCAATGTATTGTAGTGAAGAAAAAAGTAAGAAGCTCTTCGCAGCAGCCGCTCGACTGACAGCTTTATATATGGGCTGCTAGTGGGGCTTGCGTGGCTTCAGCGAGGCTTGGCGCCTTATGTAATGTATATCAAGAGCTCGGGTGGCCAGCCCGGGTCTCGGATCAAGTAGAAGTAAAGAGATATAATATGAAAAACAAGTGAAGATGAGATATCCCTGACACCTCCCTCAGGTCCTGAGGAGGGCGCCGAATAAATAAGAGGTGAACTACAAGGGATATGTGAAGAAAGGGAGAGCTCATGTTCATTTTCAAGTGTTGTTGCACTTGTTCATTTTATAGTGTTGACGCACTGTGTAATGTGTGTGTTTGAGGCAAAGGCGGCCCTAAGCCGACGTCGTGTGTGATGTGGGTGTGTAAGGTCGGTTCTTGCGTCGCTGCGCGTGATGTGATGTAGTTTACGTCGCTATTGTCAGCGGTGTGATTGATAGTGAGCGGTTCTTGCAGCGTTGCGCGTGTGATGTGATATGGGATGCTCTATGCTGTTCGTCTCCGTATCCACAAAGATTGTGGGTGAGCTTTTTGCCATCGTTTGTAGGCAGGCGTGTAGGGAAGTGCGGATTTGGGTTCCCAAGTGGGGTCAGGATAACCGAGCCATTTGACTAGAAGATTTCGTATGGCGCGTCGCTCGTCGATGATATCTTCTACAACCCATTCAGGTTGTCCGCGTTCTTTGATTGGTGGAGGAGGTTGTGGAACTGCACGTTGCGGATATTGCTCTTCGCGATGTGGTCGTAAAATATTGACGTGAAAGACAGGCCAGATGCCGCTGATCTTCGATGGTGATAAATCGAGTTTGTAGGTATCAGGATGTGCTCCCAGTGCAATGATTTTGAATGGTCGGATCCACGTAGCTGAGTATCAAAGTCCTCTTCGAGCGTCTACTTCTAGGTTGATTCCTTGTCAATTTAGATCGACAAGGTCGCCAATTTGATATGCGATTGGGGTTCGACCTTTGTTGTGTTGACGTGCGAATTGATCTTGCGATCTCTGAAGGTTTTTGCGTACAATACGGGCGATGTCTTCCTGCCCTTTCTTGAAGAGTTCGATCTTGTTTCGATCTACAGCTTGAAGTTTGTGTTCTTGTCCTTTGAGTGTTGGATTCCAACCCGGAAGGATTGGAGAGCATCCGAGATCTACTTCGAATGGCAATAAACCTTCATATTCCTCCCTCAGAGTGGTATTGTATGTGAATTCGATTAAAGGCAATAGTTTTTTCCAATTGCTTTTGTCGCAGTTGAGGTATTGCTTCCAAATCCTGTTCAGGGTTTGGATGGCTCGCTCAACTTTGCCGTCAGTTTGCTGATGACGAGCCGTAGCAAATTCGTGTTTTACACCGAGGAGAATATCAAATGCGAGGAAGAAGTCGGAAAGTGCGCAAGGTTCGCGATCCGTAACGCAGATTTTTGGTGTACCGACATGATTCCAAACATGATCTAGAAAGACTTGAGCTAGTTTGCGTCCAGTAATTGTCCTCTTGATCAGTGTTAGAATCACACGTCCGGAAGGGTAATCAATGCAGACAAGATAAGAGTTTGTTTCATCTACTTCGAAATGTCGAATCCAATTGTGTGCCATATTCCAAAAGGTATAGGAAGAGGTCAAAGAAATCCATATCGACAATGACCTGGTTTGAATTGTCCGCAGGATTTGCAAGTCCCAACGTATTTGATGACGTCGGAGCGTACGGTAGGCCAGTAATAGTCCGTAAGAATTCTCGCAAGAGTCTTCTTAACACTGAGACGTCCTCCGGTGGCGAGTTCGTCATGGAATTTCCGCAAAATCTCCGGGCAAATGTCTTTAGGAACGTATAGACGTCCTTCATGTCGTACTAATCCATTTTCGAACGTATAACGGAGTTCTTTTGAAGTTTTCTCGTGATGAGGCTTTCGAGAAATTTCATCGAGATAATCCGAATATGGATCTTCGCGTAGCGCTTTTTTCCATTCTTCTTCTGAGCAGGTAGGTGAGTTTCGTGGATCGTCTATCGTAGCGTTGGAGGAAGGTTCATTGACAAGCATGTTGCTGATCTGCGTATGCATGTCGAGGCGTTGTTGACAATCTACACACCGAGGCGCATAGATTGGATTGCGGGAGAGTATGTCGGCAATATGATTCCATTGTCCAGGTAAATACCGGATGTCGAAATCATACTCTTGGTGCTTCTCCACCCAATTGGCTTGTCTTCTGCTCAAATGGGGTTGCGTTTGGATGAATTCGAGTCCCTTGTGATCGCTAAAACATCGGAAGTAACGACCGATGAGATATAGTCCATTGGCGACCAACATCTTGACAGGAGCTAAAAGCTCTTGTTCGTGCGTAGGATATCGAGTTTCTGCGTCCTTCATCTTTCTAGAAAAGAAGACCACAGGCCGGAGCCGAGGTAACTTCTTCCATTGTCCGACAAGAGTAGGCAGATTAGTAGGGATCGTTTCATCGCCAGAAGGTTGTCCAATCCAGCCAGCAATAGCGTAGCCTGATGAATCGGTATAGACGTAAATCGGCTTGGTTTCGTCGATGGTTGCTAGCGTAGGCGCATTGATCAACGCTTCTTTCAAGTTTTGAAATGCCTCTTGTTGCTCAGGACCCCATCGAAATTTGACTTTCGAAGATTAAATACTTGATAGGGGCAGAGCAATGTCCGAATAACCTTGTACGAAGTCGAGGAAGTAATTCGTGAACCCGAGAAAGCTTTGAACTCCTTTTGTTGACTTTGGAGTAGCCCAATCCTTGATAGCTTGGATTTTCGAGGGCGCGATGCGAACACCATGTCTTCCGAAAATATGTTTGTTATGATCTCGACGACTGAGGCGGAAGCGAAGTAGAGAAGACAAGGCGCGAGTGATAGGCGACAAGAGATTGTATTGGCGAAACAAGAGACAAGGACTAGAACAAGAGATGAGAAGAACTGGTGTTGATCTGCTGGGGAGGAAGGGAATGCACGAAGAGAGGCCGGCTATCTATAGGTAGGCAACCCAGCAGGCCAGAGAACAACAACAACAAGAGGGGACTGGGGGGGGGGCGCCAGCTATGCCCCTAGAGCGTGCGTGACAAGCGTAGAGAGCATTGCTACAGCTGCTGGCTTATGGTGAAGTAGTGGGGGATGTGGAGAAGCTGAGGGGGGATTGGCGAAATGAGAGGAGAGAGGAGGAGCGGCGATATTGCGGGAGGATAGGCAAAATGAGAGGAGAGAGGGAGAGTGGTGTTGACATTGACATTGACACTGACTTTGACACTGACATTGACATTGACATTGGCGTTTGACATTTGGCGGTTGACATTGGCGGCTGTCAGTAGGTAAGCTTATGGTATGGGCGCGTCATCCATAACATCACCCCTCTCTTTAGCGGCAGCGGCGGCGGCGTCGAGTTTGGTGTGGCCGCAGAGGAGGTGCTACGGGGACAGAGGAAGGCTTGTTGGGGTACGCGCTGTGGAAGTCCTGGAGGAGTGCGTCGGTATGGGTGAGGTGTTCCACAGGCTCCCAGGTGTTCTCAGAGTCAGGCCAGCCCTGCCATTTGACCAAGTACTGAAGGCGACGACGATGGATGCGAGAGTCAAGGATGGCTTTGACAACCCACTATTCTTGACCCTCAACGGTCTCTGGGGGCGCGGGTTCGGGTTCGTGTCATTCGGGGATGGTGAAGCGGGGTTCGAGGAGCGAGACAGGGAAGACATCGTGGATTTTGTACGTAGGCGGGAGCTTGAGCCGGTAGGCGACGGGATTGATTTTTTCAACGATGGGGAATAGCCCAATCTTGCCATGGTCGAGTTTCTGAGAGGGTCGGGTTGTCTGGAGGTTTTTGCGGAGGAGCCAGACGTGGTCGCCAGGCTCGAAGTCCGGTCCAGGAATTCGTTTGGCATCGGCGAAGCGCTTCATTTGATCTTCGGCTTCCTTGAGCTCGAGGGCGAGCTGTTCATGGACTTCCCTAATTTGTTTAGCGCGGGCTTCAGCGGCGGGGTTGACGGATTCGGAGGTAGCAGAGGCCGCGAAACTGAAGCGGGGGTGGAGACCCTTGTTGGCGTAGAAGGGGGTGGTCTGGGAGGCGGACTGATGGGTGTTGTTGTAGGCGAACTCGGCGGACGACAGAAGCTGTTTCCAGTTGTCCTGTTGGTGGTTGCAAAAGCGTCGGGGATACTGCTCCAGGATCTGGTTGGTGCGTTCCGTCTGGCCGTCGCTCTGGGGGTGAAAGACCGAGGACAGGTTGGCTTTCGCCCCAAGGAGTTCGTGAAGTCGACGCCAGAAACGGGACTTGAACTGGGGTCCTTGGTCAGAGATGATGTCGTCGGGGAGGCCGTGGAGACGGATGATATTGTGGGAGACTAGGTCGGCGGTGGATTTGGCGGATTCTGACTCTCTGCAGGCGATGAAGTGGGCCATCTTGGTGAGGGGGCAGTTGA